CTGCAAATTATAATTCCCCCTGCAGCAGAGGGGAATCTGTTCTTTTGTTGCTGATTATAGGTGGTTCTGTGCAGCCATTGATCAACGCAAGAGTTTTGAAAAAGGGATAGGCCAGTGGGCAGATATACACTCAATTGTGACAGGCACAGCTGTGGTGCTGAGAAATATGCTCGAGTCTGGAATTCTGCAGAAGCTGATTCAGCGGAGTCACACTGCATTACTTGTCCCAACCTTTCTTCACTTTATTAGTAATAATAATAATTCTTGCATTTGATATAACGCCTTATGACATCGTTGAGACAGTATACAGTATATACTGTAAAGTGGATTGACTGTATTTTTGCGGGAGAACCAACAACTAGTAAACCAACACATATGATATGACTGCAAAGCACAGGGAAGCTTTCGATTCTGTAGAATAAGATTGAACGGGAAAGAGTTTGATATCTCATAGTCTGAGTCTCGTCACCCCTGGGCCCCTGTCACCCCTGCACTATAATTACTACAAGATTTCGTGATATCTGTGGTGAAATTTCATCCAGATTAATATTTCCATGGATTGTTGATGTATCATGAGAGGAGTCTCAGCTCTCCAGTTAACAGTTTCCATCTGTGATTATAATCACTTAATGAGCTGCTCCCAGAGGAACAGTAACAAACCATTGCATTGCAGTGGGGAAGTTTACAAAAGCAAAATTTCTGGTTTCACAGAATCATAAAACAATCCTAGAAACTCCAGCTAACTCTGTCCCCCCCAGTGGAACTATCAGTGTAATCCCACTCCCCTATTGGTTTCTGGACCCAATTAAATATTTTAGTAGCCAGAAATAACTACAAGCTAGCTGGATTGTGAGAATAAAATTCAGAGCATCTGATACGAGTTAGTTATGTGTTGAGGGAGCATTAATATTCTGTGTAAACCATCCGTTTTATGAAGAAGAGGTGGAACTCTGGCAAGATTTATGCTAACATGCAAGGAAGTGCTTTTAAAGCATTCTGTTTCACATTTGTTCTTATTTCATCTTCTTCATTAACTGAACTGAGCAGGGAAAGGGAATGTAGAATATTGACCAAAAGCATGGTCAAGGAAATACATTTTTGAAGGCAGAGAGAGAAAGAGAAAGGAAAATTTTGGAAAGGCGTTCAGGAGGAGAGCGACATACCACCATGTCTCTGACTGAATGCTGAATCCACCCCTCGTTTAGTTCACATCTGAAGATCTTCCTCTTTGACCGTGCTTACGGTCACCTCCCCCGGCTTGCCATCAGGCCCCACTGTTAAGTGGTCTGAGTCACTGCCCTGTGTGAAGGGCGCTACATAAATGTGAGATTTTGTTGTTATTGTTGAATGCTCGGCCAGCAATGGGAGTTGGAAAGGAATGAGGAGCAAGCGACAATCCACAATCAGAAGAGCAGAAGGCATGGCCAAGAGAACAGGGTGGCCAGAGATTGCATAGATAAGGCGGGAAGAAACTCAGTCAGGATAAGGATCTTAATGTCATTCCGCGGAAGTCAATTGAGCTTGGCAAGGGCAGGTGATGACAGTGATGGTACCTTGCTCTACTTGCAATCTCAGTGAAGAATCATTTGCCAAATTTGTGAATCGCACGTAGGCAAAGTATAAAACAGCCCTTCCCTCATGTCCCCTCTGCCCAGCCCAGGCCTCCCCTCCACTTTTTATTCTGTTTTTACATTTTTGCCCCAGTGCACGTGCATTAACAAATGGGTTAATGTTTCTGTTGTTCTCCATTATCTGCCTGTAACTACCACTAAATCCATTTTCTCTGCCTCTTTCTTGCCTCTGTTCAGTTAGGTACTGAACAAAGGCAGATTCACTGTGTCCCAGGAGAATGGATTCATTGTGCAAAAAGCCAGAGATAATATTGTTTTTTGTAGCAAGCCCAGCATGCACAACTGAGCCGGCCAAGAGCACTGAGCTGCCTCCAGAGTACTGACTGACGGCCCCTAGCTAGCCCTAGACATTTTGCCTTAATTTTAAGGTCGTCCTCTTGTGAACAATTGACCCACCAGGTGTAAAAATCTCTCTGCTTATTTTAATAATGCCCTTTATAATCATTAACACTCAATTAAATCACCCCTCGAGCTTCTCAGCTTCAGTGAAACCATTTCCCAACCTAAGTATCCTTTGGCTATAGCTGATTTCCCCTTCCTCCCGTTCCATTCCAGGATTATTCTTGTGAATCTACGCTGGAATCTCTTCAAACTCATATCCTTTTGGATTGTGGTCTCGAGAATTAATCTAGTATTACTGTACGATATCAACCCCTTGGCACAGGTTCACTCTTCACAAGTAACAAGGATCCTGATAGGGAGAGAGCTGCCTGTGCGTCACAAGAAGTGGTGATGCTGGAAACCATTGACCTTGTTGTTGATTCCGTGACCCCCAGATCTTTGGTGACAGCAAAGTACATCCAACAAGATGAGACAGGGTAGTCTGTGTTGAACTGTGTGGTCTTGTCTCTCGACCGGCTACATAATAAACATGTCTCATCTTTTCATTCGCTGATTCAGGCAAAAAAAATTCTACCAAAGACAGCTAGCCTTTGAGTGTTTGAGCTCAGCCTCTGAGCTCTGCTTGGTTCCATATATGAGCAGGCGTTCACATCAAGGGGCTTTCATTTCAACAGCTTATCACAGATTATTTTTCAAGTCCGTTTTCACATGAAGTGTTTTGCCGTCAGATTCATGAGCTCACGAGCTGACCGCTTTCCATCTGACAGCCCAGCTCGGGAACCTTCACAACCTGGTTTTGGGGAGGAGCGTGTCATGATGATAACGTGTGCTTCTTTCACTCAAAATAATCGTCTCAAAGCACAAATTGATCAGAAATTAAGTTGTGTAGGTAAACACAGCAACTAATCTGTTCCTCCCAACAAGTCAAGTTGATTTGAGTTCATTTCTTGAACATTTGTGTGTAGGAAGAGAGCGAGCAATCCTGCATTTACCATCTGCTCAGATACTGTACCCTTCTTTGGGACACTGCCAGACACTCATGTGACTGAGTGTGGGAAGCGTTGAGGTTCAGTGTATAAGTATGTAGTGTGGGAATAGAGCAGTGTTTGGTTTTTTTGTGGGGATCGGGGTGGGACCTGGCTCCAAGCCCTGGGAGAATGCATCGATCTCAGTTTGTTAAGGAGAAAGGAATGAGGGGGTCAGGGGCTGGAAGTGCAGTACTATTTGGGAATCAGGACTGGAGCTGCTTTTAAAAGAGCCACAAAGTCTTCTGAAACGTAGTAGAGCTGGGAATGGGCCCCCTTCCCTGACCAAACACAATTATACAGCCGGAAATAACACTTTCCAATATCATGGCCAGCACAGCACTCCCAGTGTGTCAGGGGAACATTGAAACTGATTATAATCCTGAACTGTGTGTTTGTTGGCGTGTGTATGTGTGGGTGTATATTGGAGTTGGTGTGTGTGTGTGGGGCGGTGTGTGTGTGTGTGGGGCGGTGTGTATGTGTGTTTGTGTATTTGTATTGGGGTTTGTATGTATGTGTGTTTTCATGTGAGTGTGTATTGGAGTTGTTGTGTGTGTGTGTGTGTGTGTGGTGTGTTTGTGTGTGTGTTTGTGGGGAATGTCTGTAGAATTCCGGGCTGTGATTCAGTGCCCTGATGTGTCTGTTTGGACACTGGCACATCTGACTGCTGACTACTGCGACTGACAGGCTCATTCTGCCCTTTAATCTCAGAAGCAAAACTGCTGAAGTCCGGCAAGGGCCGGGCAGGTGAGCGAGTGGTGGGAATAGATATCTCACAAATACTCTGGCTCCAAATTCTGTTTCTATTTCACAGAAGGAAATATTAATCTTGGGAGAATTCCAACTAATGTTTTTTAGATAGAATTCTCCGGTCTGGCACAGAACCCCCTTCCCCTTCCCCTCCCTCCTCTCCCCCTCCCCCCCCGCCCCCCCCCTCGAGTGAGTAGTGAAGCGAGTTTCTGGAGCAGCCTCAGTGAAGGGAGTGGGTGAGGCGGCTGAGAGCTGTACCTGCTCTATATATTAATAATAATCCTTGCATTTGATTCAGTGCCTTAACACGTTGTCAAGACATCTGTACTGTAAAGTGACTGTGTATTTTCCAGGCAAATGAGGTGACTAATTTGTGCACAGCACTGTCCTACAAAATCACCCAAGATTCAGCCTTCTTTTATCCAAACTCATATGACCTTATATGATCTAGTGTGCTGAGCTTTGCGGAGAAAGCCTGGGCTTGTCAGTTCTGCACATTGTTTCATCGTATCCTGCCAGAATATCCTCTCCGCCATTTTTTCCATTCCAACATCAAGCTACTTAAATGAGCTCAGCATCTGACCTCAACTATCCTTCCTGGTAACCCTTTCCGAGTGTTAAGTACCTTCTGTGTCAAGGAATACTTTCTGGGATGTGTTCCTGAAATTTCCCTCCCCCATGTGACCCAGGGAATTCTGGCACTGGTGACGGGACCTGTGAATAAATGCAGGTTTACAGCATATGCTGTGACCTACACTGCCCGCACACTAGTTACATGTTACATATTACTCCTGTCTGTGGACTCATAGAATCAAAGAGATTATTGTACAGCAGAAGGTCATTCATCCCATCGAGTTTATGCTGAATTTAGCTCCTTCACTGAAGTTCTTTGCTCTGGTCCTTTGTTTTTGTATTCTTCCTTATCAAATATTGATCCAATTTGGGCTGTGTGTGTGAGGGGTGGGGGGGGTCACTGTGCTGCGGTTTCCGCGTGTGGAGGAAGGGGGGGGTGCTCTCTGTTATGTGTATGTAGGGGGATCGTTTGCGTGGGGGGGTGATGGGTGTCTCTGCTATGGGTGTGAAGAAGATCTGTGTGTGCACGGGATGGGTTTGTGTGTGTGTGTGTATGGGGGAGGTTCTCTGTGTTTTGTAGGTGGGGGTGGATTTCTGTGTTATATGTGTGTGTGTGTGTTTGGGAAGGTTTGGGAAGTGTGAGTCAAGCTGATGTGGTTTATTCCTGATCTCTTCAAAGGGTGCTCATGCCACTGTTCGATGCTGACACTGGGCTGCTGATTCTGAGTGGAAAGGTAAGTCATGGTGTGACAGCAATTAAAGCACAATAGGAGACCAATCACCCATCAGACTGATGCTCCACTGCTTTTATCCCAGTGCCTGATCTTGCAACACACCCTTTGCAATATTTATCCAATTCTTTTTCAAATCTTGATGTGGTCTCGGCTTCAAAAGCCGCTTGTGGGAAAGAATTTCATGATCTGATAACTCTTTGTGTGAAAACTAATCTCCCCTTAACTCTTTAAGTGCCAATACTGAGCTAATGCAATTGCTTACGATTTGCCACCAACAGGACTAATCCTGTGATTTACAGTGTGCCATTACCTCATCCTCAAAATCAGGTGTGAGGGAATCACCATGTGTTACTCAGAAGAGTCACTGAGGTAAAGATAATTATCCTGTCACAATACCCACCTAACCAGTTTTCCATTCCAACATCAAGCTACTGCTTAAATAAGCCCAGCATCCTGGCCTTATCCACCCTTCCTGGTAACCTATTCCACTTGTTAATTACCTTCCGATGCTATGATGGGAAGAAATATGCTTGGCTGTGTATTCTGGAAGGAAAAGATCAAATGGGTCAAAGGGTTTTCTTCATCCCGACCTTTCCTGTGATCCAGTTTCTAACAATTTGTTCTCCCCCCTCAGGGTGATAGCTTTCTTCACTGTTACGAGGTTTCTGCTGCACAGGCTGCCATTACTCAAGGTAAGCATTGAGACTCAATATGGCAACTCCTGATTCTCGACTCAAAGCATTGCCTGCTCAAGATCAGGGCTGGGGGAGAGCAATCGAATTGTCGGAGGTGCCGTCCTTCAAATGAGACATTAAATCAAAGTCCCATTTTCTGTTCAGGTGGATATTAAAGGTTACAAGACACTATTTGAAATTGATACTGACTGGCACTTCAGCAGAGTGACCGGCTGCACAGTGGGGTACAGGCACACAGTGGGGTTCAGGCACACCATGAGGTATAGGCACACAGTGGAGTACAGGATCACTGTCAGCTTGTGCTTTCACGGCTGATGGTGACTTTGTCATTTTGCCAGTGAATCAGTGCCTGATGGAGGCCAAATCCAAGGGGGCCGCCCTGGTGCCCAAACTCATCCTGGACGTGATGGCGTGTGAGGTTCTTCGCGTGCTGCAGCTCACAGAGAATTGCATCATCCCAGTCACCTACACTGTACCCCGCAAGGTAATCTGAGGCCTGCCCGGGTCTCTCACATGTGTGCGTACCTGTCTCTCTCTCTCATCGTACTGATGACCCTCACTCCCTATCGCTCTATACTTTTTGGTTAGTTTTTTTGTTTCTCTCTCGCTCTCGCTCTCCATCTGTATATACAACTCTTCCATTTCTCAATGCTGTTGTATCCGAATTGTTCGGCTCTTTTTATAATAGGAGTGGACATTCCTTGTTCACCAACAATCCACCATTAAACACACACTGTCTCCTTGCTCACTGACACACGCATATCACACTGGTTGGTTTGTACTCATCGACAAGTGCGGCAACTGTACTTAGTTCACTGACACACATTGCGTCACGATCAGCGAATGACTCCACAAGTTATGCTTTGTACTGTGTTTTTGTGACCAAGTCCCAGAAGGAATTCCATGAGGATTTATTCCCTGATACAGTTGGTGCCATTCCTGCTATGGCTGCCCAGGACTGGTGGAGTGGATCCAACAAAGAGGTGAGGTTGAAATCAGCATCCATAACTCAGTGTGGGTGTGAGAGACTGTGTATGTCTGTGTGTAGTGTGACTCTCTGTGTGTGTGGGTGTGTGCGTGAGTGTGTAGTGTGACTGTGTGTGTGTGAGTTGCTGTGTGTGTGTGTGAGAGACTCTGTTTGTGTGTGTGTATGCCTGTGTGTGTGTGTGCACTCTCAGCCTTGAAACTCACAAGCTGCTGTTTCATCAGGTGCCGAAAGTGTGTTTAAACCCAGGAAAACGCACAAATCAAAGTTTCAGCTCAATTGCTGTCCCCGGCCCTCGTGGGCCACCAGAGGAGACTGTACGACCTGTTGTAGGAGAACCAGGGCCCAAAGAGCAGCCGGTAAGAACTTCACTCAACAGTCACACTATACAGCTCTAACAGCATGGGTTAGATATCCCATAAAACACCCTCTGAACAGTCCCACTCAGCAGTCCCAGGTGGGCTACAACTGGAGCTAATACAGAGCTCCTGGCTGTGTTGTTGTGCCAGGGTTGTCCCAGAGGCTATCTGCTAAAGTTAGGTGTGGAGTAATTCTAACGGGGTTAGATGTCTGGCTTTTCATCAATGTCAGCTTCCATCCCAAATATCTGCACCGCTGACAGGAGTCAGAGAATCTGAGGATCACACCACAAACAGCCTCCCAGGTGAATAGACACAGACCAGCTTGGGACAGGGCCTGCCTGAGAGAACATAGCACTTTCCCTCCATGGCTGTGACATCTTCTCTGATTCTCCAATTCAATCTCAGTTTGTGTGTCTCTCATGAACACTTTTCAGCCAAATTTCTAACATGTACTTCTTGTTGAATGCTTACACCTCTGTATGTTCCAAGCCGACTATCACTGCTTCTCTGTCGCCTTTCAGCTACAAAGCAACCAATCACCATCCTCAAGCCCCTTGACCTCGCCATCTATGACCTCTCTCAGCAGCACCAGTGGAAAGTCGAGTGGCTTCGTAACCAGCCCTCAGAGCCAGAAATCCCTGCACAGTCTTTTTGGTAAGTTAGAGAGAAACGGGACGCATGCTGACAACATTGGAAGCTGTTAACTGTACTGCGTGTGGCAGCTGCTTTATGGAGCATTAGCAAAAGGTGATTGATCTGAATGAAGTAGGAGAAAGCAAGTTCAGTACTAAACAGAGTAATTCATTGTAGATGCTTAACTTTGGTGTCACCTCACTGTGTCTACATGGGGAGTCACGGTCTGTATGTGGGGGCTAGGGGTGTGTGTGTGTTTAGCATCAGATGTATTGTCTTTATCAGTGTTACTGGGTGCAGGAACCGTGAAGAGAGGACACGTGTGTGCATTGGTTGATCATGTCTGTAACTATTGATCCTCAGGCTCCAGCTCCAAGTTCCGACACGTGCAGGGGTTAGTCAGCCATCGGGACACACACATCACCAACCTGAAGGGGCTGAACCTGACCACCCCCGGGGAGTGCGATGGCTTCTGTGTCAATCGGGAGCGAGCTGCTATACCATTGTCCATATCAGGAGGGCAGATCGCTGTCCTAGAGGTAAGTGTAAGATGGACACCAGGAAGTATTTCTTTACACGTAGGGGAATTCACAGTTGGGAGTGGGTTACCAGGAAGGGTGTTTGAAGCCATAGATTTCAGAAGCAACTTGATGCCGTGATGAGAAGATGGTTGTTTTGGAAGGCCGAAGGACCTCCTCCTGAACCTCTTGTGGTCTTATGAACCTTGACGTCTCTTTTTGGTTGCACAAGTATTGGCCCAGCGCCTTGCGACATCCTCCCAACGTGAAAGCTGCTATACAAATGTAATTTGTTGTTGTTGTTGATTGATTCATTATACATGGGGTTTGTTTAACCCTTGTGCCTCCCACAGCTCTCCAAGCATGGCCGATTGCCAGATGGCGCTATACCCACTATCCAGAACACAGCGGCCGTGGTGGACATGAGCTGGGATCCGTTTGATTGCTCCCGCCTCGCTGTTGGTACTGTCTGCCCTCTTAACTATAATTTTACGGTGAAAATTAAATATAAATTTTGTTGTAATCAAAAATCGGATTTTCCTTGAGTTCATGTTGTTTGTTATGAAGGAGTCCTGTAGCTCAGTGGATAGAGCATTCACCTCTCAAGCGAGAGACCTGGGTTTGATTCCTGGCAGGGCGAAACCTTGGGCAAGTTTCCTTACTCCACACGACTGATAATAATCCCTCAAGAAAAATAGACAATAATAAAATTGGTCACTTCAATCCACGACTGTTTGTAGGACACCTCTGTGCGCAATTGGCTGCGCACAAATATACAGTCAATCCACTTTACAATATATTCTGTGAAACACTTTGAGACGTCTAGACACATGAAAAGCGCTATATCAAATGCAACGATTATTATCATTATTATTTATTATTATAATCTTGTGACATTGTTCAGGGTCTCAGATCTCATAGTGCCTAGGGAGGGTGGTGGGGGGAAGGGGTCACATGTACAAAAGTGGCTTAACTGTTAAAATCACTCCGCTTGCTTCCTTAGCTTTCTCTCCTCGGCTCTCGCTGACATCGCTCTGTGAATCGTTTTCTATTCTGCAACAACAACAGCACTCAGAGTATCAAGCCAGTTTCTAATTCATTACACTATAGAACATGCTTTAATCCCGCTCCCGACTGTACTCCATACTATTTAATACTCTTCCTTTCCAAGTACAGTAACTACCTGTCTCCATTTTTGAATATCTCAATTCATTCTGCCTCAATGGCTCTCTCTAAGGCAGTGCTTTTCACATTTCCCCACGTGAAGAAATGCTTTCAGATCTTCTAACTGTCCTAGCTCTGATTTGAAGATCACTTCCCCTTGTTTTGGATCCCTCAACCAGAGTTGTTTACTATCCACCTGAGCAACTTGAGTGCTCATCTTTGAGATAAGGTGTTCAACTGAGGTCCAGTCTGCCTGTACAGGTGGACATTTAAGAAACCATAACACTATTTGAAAAAAGTTTATTCTGTGGTCATGGCCAACAATAAAATACAATTGGTCATTCACTTTATGGCTAGTACTGTGTGCAAATTGCTGTGTTCATCCACAAAATACAGTTGCTACACATTGTGGTAAATCCCATGAAGCACTTGGAAACATCCTCTCGACGTGAAAGATGCTGTATCAAATGTAAGGTTTAGGATTATGACTTTAGCTTCTCATCATGAAGAGTAAACCTCTTCCTCCCAGGTATTAATCAAGTGAATCTTCACTGGACTAGTATGATGACAGGATGCCCAAAATCCAACACAATACATAACACTCCAGATGTGGTGTGGTCAGCACCCTATATAACTGCAGTAGCACTTTCTTGCTTTTACGTTCCAAACCTTTTGTTATAAAGCCCATCAATCCACCGCCTGCTTCTTTGCTAGATCCTTACTTGCATTCCCTGGTTTGCTGTCACTCAGCCTCGTTCTCAGTGTTACTTCACAATGTGTTATCCCTTCCAGCTCGTCCGTCTCTTTCTTCTCTTACTCCTTGGACACTGATTTCCTGATGCATCTTTCCTTGTCCTCAATACCCTAACTGTTTCCCAGTGCCAGGCTGCGGACGGACTGACTGCCTCGGCTCTTCCCTCCCTCTCTGGCTCACATTTCCACCCTAAAGGTGATTTGGCGCATGTTTTGATCATTCCATATGTAAGCTAAAAGCTACTCAACGTCTGCGCAGGCAATTGTGCGTGCGTGAATGCGTGTGTGGTTGTCCCACCTCAAACCTGAGCAATGCAGGCCTGTAAATTCCTCTACCTCTCCCTCCCTCCCCACACCTCACTCTCAATCTCGTGGCTCTTGCTTCCAGCGCTCGGGGCCTGCTAACTCCAGTACTGCAGCAAGTGGCTCTCAGCGAGCAGCTCCCCCGCTAACCAGCTTGCTCAGTAACCAGCACCCGAGGTAACCTCAGTTACATTGTGCTCTGATTGATCCCATTAGCCTTGATCAGCCGGGAATCTGCAGAGCTCAGTGTGTGACTGTGTTTGACTGTTTGATTACAGCCGGGGAGGATGCAAAGATCCGGGTCTGGAGAATTCCTGATGGAGGACTGACCGAGATTATCTCAAAGCCTGAGACAGTGCTTCCTGGTGAGTGAGGGGCACAGAGTCTCTCCAGCAAATGAAGGGTACAGAGTGCTGCACAACAACAACAACAAAATTACATTTGTAAAGCGCCTTTCACGTCAGGAGGAGGTGGGGGAAGGCAGAACAGGTCATGGCGCAGATGTGGGGTAGAAAGGATAGTTGAGGGTCAAACAAAATTCCAAGGTTCCAGATTGTCTTAGCAAGGTGGGGTGTGCAACCATGGATGGTGATGCTGTCAGCGTCTAAGGTGAGGATCGCTGACGGGAGCCAATCGGTAGGGCCTCGGTCTTATTGACGTTCAACTGACGAAAGTTAGCTCTCATCCAGGACTTGATGTCTGACAGACATTCTGCCAGGACAGCAGTGGGTCCTGTAGTCAAGGGTGGAGGCAGAGGGGTAGAATTGGGTGTCATCCGCATACATGTGGAAGTTGACTCCATAAAGATATTGAAGAGGAGGGGACCAAGGACAGAGCCCTGAGGAACGCCACATGAGATGGTCCGGGGATTTGAGGAGAAGCCGTTTGTGGAGATGAAGTGGTGGCGGTGTGAGAGGTAAGATCTGAACCAGTCAAGGACACCGCTGTGAAGATTGAGGTGAGAGGAGAGGCGGTGGATGAGGATATAGTGATTGACAGTATCAAAAGCAGCAGAGAGGTCAAGGAGGACGAGGAGGCCGAGAGAGCCCTGGTTGCAGATGGACAGAATGTCTTTTGTCACTTTGACCAGGGCTGTTTCTATGCTTTGGTCGGCACAGAAACCAGATTGGAGGGGTTCGAGAAGGGAGTGGCGGGAGAGGAAGGAGCCAAGCTGAGAAGCAACAACTCGTTGCAGGACCTTGGAGAGGAAAGGGAAGTTGGAGATGGGGCGATAGTTAGGGAGTAGAGAAAGGTCCAGGAGGGGTTTTTTAAGGATAGGAGTGATGACAGCATTTTTAATGGGGTGGGAACAGTACCATAGGACAGGGAGAGGTTTACAATGTCAGTGAGTAGAGGGACAAGGAGGTGGAGCTGGGAGATCAGATGAGGGATAGGGATGGGGTAGAGGTAGCAGGTGGTTGTTTTTGGTGGTGATGAGAGAAGAGGGGGAGCCAGGTTCAAAGGTGTGGAGGGAGGGATGGGTAGGGGCCAGGGTGGGAGGAGGAGATGTGTAGGGAGTAGCATCTGCAATGGCAGAGGCAGCTGAGTGGATTCCCTCGACTTTGGATTCAAGAAAGTCCAGCATCGCCTTGCAGTTGGCATTTGAGGTGAGGATGGGTGAGGCCTGAGAGGGTGGGCGGAGGAGTCGGTTCGTGATGAAGAAGAGGAGCCTGGGGTTGTCCTCAGCCTTCAAGATTGTCTTGGAGTAGAACGACGATTTAGCGGAGGGGAGGGCAGAGTGGTAGGATTTGACATGATACAGCCAGATCTGCCGATGGATCGTCACGATTTATCTAAGCCAAGTGCGCTCAGCGGAAATCGCCTGTCCTTTAAGGAAGCGGAGGTGGCTGTCCAGTGACTGAGGTACAGAGTGCAACCCCCCACCTGCCTAATAAAACAAGAGAATAGTCTCAAAAACTTACGTCTCTAATGTGTACGCACATTATGGAACTATTTGGCTTTGCCTCATACTTAGTTCAGTCCCACAATGTCTTGGCCAAGGTTTGACTCCAGCCACTACTGGTCCCAAATCCAAGCTCTCCCGAAGAGCAGCAGTTTATTATTACTCAGCCCGGCCCATGCCAGTCGTTGTGTTGTCAGCCAGCTTCAGCCACACACCGAGTCAGGCCTCGCTCAGCAGCTTCATCAGACTTCAGCTCACAGTCCAGACCGACAGCAGCAGTACTGGGGGGGAACGCTGCATTGATGAAAACGCTGACATTCAGATGAAACATTAAAACTGAAGTCAGGTCTGCCTGTTCGTTAGATGGATACAATACCCAATTCAAAATTACATTGGAATAGTGCCTTTCACACCGGGAAGACATCCCAAGGTGTTGGACAGTCAGGGATTTGGCCCATCAGGGGGAAGGAGTAGTTGGGATAAGGGAGGATGGAGGATAGGTCAAAGAGGAGAGGCAAGGGAGGGAGCGAGGCGAAGGGAATGTGGAATGGAGTGCCAAAGGATGGGATGCTAAAAGATGACATGACGCTTCTGGAAACAAGTAAGATTCCCTTGTAATCTGACAGTAATTCAGAGTAATCAGTCATTCACTTCATGATAGTTTGTGGGACTTTGCTGTGCGCAAATTGCTGCCGCTTTAGTCTGTAGAAAAGCATATCTAGACTTAATATCAATTACCTATGAGGTACTTTCAATCATTTAGACATGATAAGGCACTATGAAATGCAAATCCTTTCTTGGTGTACATGCTACAGTATAATGAAGTGATTGTGAATGAAAAACCATTTGTGTTCCATTAGTACTGGCAGGCTAGGCTCCCTTTATTATGAATAACACATCTCTGAACCTGGGAGCAATGCCCATATTCCAGCCTGAAACAACTATGTTTTTCACTCTCAAAATCTTAACACTTGGTCACAGCGACAGAAGAAGGGAGGTCACGAAAGGAAATCCACACCCAACATGAACACAAACACATCCCCAGGAGAAATCACTGTATGATGATTAAGTGTAGTTTTCATCAGCCGAGTTATCTGACACATTCAGAAACTCATCACTCTGCTTAAGAGTCTCCAAAACAGAACTTACTGAGAGTTCCACTGGTTCAATTTGTCTGGTATAGAGTGCGCACTCTCTCCCCCGAAGGCGCTACCTGTTTAACTAATCCTGGAGAGTTTAGCTGCAGGTGGGCAAGAGAGTTTAGGTACAGGCTTGGGGACCCCAGAATGTTCATTTAGGGTAATGCCGGAGTTTAACCGACTAAAACTATGCAGCTTGTCATTGCAAAACACTGCCAAGCCTCCACTGTTTGTCTGATAACTCCTTACCTGTCAGTTATTCTCTGGAAATACTCGCTGAGCCAAGGGAGTTGGGGGGGAGGGGAGGAGAGGGAGCCCAGGTAGCGTATTGATAGAAGCAAAGTTTTTTTTTAAAGCTATAATTGAGGAAGGCGGTGTTAAAGTGCTAAAGGCATTGAAGTGACAATTGCAGTTGAATTATCAGGATATGGTAGATGCATTTGAATAGATTGTACTAAGCTGCCAAAGAGAGATAGTTACGTTAGCTCAGCTATAATGGCATTCGCAAAGCTGGAGCTGGTAAAGTGCAGCGTGTTTAATCAAGAATGTTGCAATTCAGTCTGTCAAACCTTCCCTTGTTTGAAGGCATATCAGCTATTCCCATAAACAGACACCCATCCCATATGGTGTTGACCAGCAAACTCTCCTTTGGTTGGGAATCAGTGACGAAGGTCAATGAACTCAGGATTGTTAGCAGAAAAACATGAGGGAAGATTTTAAATGGAATTTCTTCACTCCCAAGGGTTGTTAGGATTAGGAATCCATTACCACAGGTTCTGTTGAACCTGGATCAACAGAAGTTTTTTTTCCAAAGGGAACTGAATAAGCACCCAAACAGCAAAACAAAATTAAGGAAGTTGGAAAGTGGGTTTAATAAATAAAAAGGTGATTTAGAAAAACAGATAGAAGTGGCACAGACATGCTGGGCCAGAAGATTATTGCTATGTTTGTATTTGCAGCATTCTCCTTTTTTATATTGGGTGCTCCACCCTTGGCAGCCGTGCTTTCAGCCACTGCACCCCAAAACTATGGAACTCTGCCTCAATCCTTCCGCCTTCAGATCACACCTGAAGATCTTCCTCTTCAATCATGTATATGCTTCCTTCCACCCAGCTCAGTGTCAAGCTCTGCTACTGTTAAGTGCTCCGAGACACTACACTCTGTGAAGGGCGCTGTATAAATGCAAGTTGTTGCTGTTGTTGCCAATGCTGGGGATAGTTTGATGGTTTGTTACTATGGGGGTCAGGCAGCCCCTGTGGAATGCAAAGGGTGCAATAAATAGTGTATGTTGTGATGTTAACCCTGTGGGGGCAGTTCTCTGTACATCACTTTGTACTGAGATGCTGTTCCTTCCCCTCGTTCTCTTCTAGGGCACCCTGAGAAAATCTACTCCATCAAATTTCATCCATTGGCAGCCGATATCCTGGCCTCGTCCTCGCATGACATGACAGTGAAGATCTGGAATCTCGATACGGGCAAAATGGTGATCGAGTTGAAGGGGCACAAGGACCAGGTAAAGAGAGATCTGTGCTTGCATAAAAAATACCCTGCTTTAGCATCACTTGTTGTTTATAGCACAGAAAGAGATTGGTCCCCATTGGCCCCCCAAAGAGAAAGCCCCCATTGGAGCTACCAAACCGTATAGTTAATCCACTTTACAGTGTATTCTCTGAAGCTCTTTGAGAGACCTCAACGACGTGATATGGCACTATATCAAATTATTTTTTATTATTATTATTACCTCCTCAATTTACCACTCCACTTCTCTTTCCCCCTGTGTGTCTGTCCTGGTGCTAGCTCCCCAGTTGGAGCTATCCAGTTTGATCCTGTTATCCTATTCTTCCTTCTATCTGCCGCCTCGACATTCTCTTCTCTTTTGTTCCAGATCTTTAGTTTGTGCTGGAGCCCGAACGGGCAGTTCCTCTCCACTGTCTGCAGAGACGGCAAAATTCGGATTTATGATCCTCGCCGCTCAGTGAGCCCATTGCAGGTAACAGCAACCGCTCTTCTGTTTGTGTGTGTGTGTGTGTGTGTACGTGCCATGTAGGTTTCTGTGCGTATGCACATATGCCTGTGAGAATGTGGGCTTGTATGTGTGGGCTTATGAGTGCATGCATGTGAGATTTTATGGATTTCATCAGCTAGCTGTTGTGTTTGAGTTTATTTCTTCTTTCACCTATTCTCTGTGTGGGTGGTTATACACACACTACTCCCTGTGCCACGGAGCACTGCCCAGGTGTTGCTAACACTAACACTCCTCCTTGTTGTGTAGGAAGGCCCAGGTCCCGAGAGGAATCGTGGTGCCCGGATCCTGTGGGTGTGCGGTGGCCAATATCTGCTGGTCTCCGGCTTCAACAGGTAAACCCGGGGGAGTGAGGCCAGGGGATGTAGGAGTGAGGCCAGGGGTGTCTAAGAATGAGGCTGAGGGATTGGAGTGAGGCCAGCGGGGCTAGGAGTGAGGCCACAGGTGTAGGGGATGACAGACCCTGCTTGCTGGGGGCGGGGTAGGGGGATGTGGGTGGGGTGTTATTGAGGTTGGGTAAGGGGCACAGGGGCAGCAGAGAATGACCAAAACTAAAGTGCCTGGGCAGTGGGGAGGCAGCAGCCACACTTACATTGTTAATTAGAGAAACAATGAGCGGCTACCAGGCTGGGATTGGGAGCTGTGAAGGGAGACTTGAGGCACGTGGCTGACGCTGCCCATTTCCTGTGCCCACAGCCTCAGTGAGCGACAGGTCTACCTATACAAAGCGGAGGCTCTCTCAGCGGGTGTTGTGGCCACTGCCAGCCTTGACATGGCTCCGTCTACGCTCATCCCTTTCTACGATGAAGACACCAGGACCGTTTTCCTCACTGGAAAGGTAACGTCGGGTTGCAAATCTCGGTTATGCTGGGACGGGAGCCTTGGTTGTGTGAGGTGCACCGTGCCAGCAGTAGGGGACAAAGGTTGTGGGAACGATGGAGGAAAGTGTGCCGGCAATGGGGGAGTGTGCCGGCCTGCGAGGTTCTGTGTGGGGCTGTGTCAGCAGTGGGGGAGAGTGCCGGGCTGTACTGGTGGTTATAGTGGTGGGATGCGCTGGGTCAGGCTGGGCTGTGTCTCATCGGCTCTGCTTTTTGACCGTGCTTACGGTCAACTACCCTCTCCCTTTCCGCCGGACTCGGGGGTCAGACCCCGCCACCGTCGAGCACACTGGGACGCTACCCAGCGTGAAGGGCGCCATATAAATGCAAGTTGTTGTTGTTGCTAACATGTTACAGTTCCTCTGACATGTTCCTCTGACTGGCACTGCGTCTCACAGGGCGACACCAAGGTTTGCATCTTTGAGATCCAGACGGAAAATCCACACTTCTTGGAATGCAGCACTTTCTGTTCGGCGGACTTGCACAAGGTACAGGAGAGCGCTGCACTGTTTACCAACCAATACAGTCACTACACTTGACGAGATTCTCTGTGAAGGGTGTTATAGACGCTATACCGAAAGCAAGCATTAAGGATTATTGTTCAATTGATTAATAGTAAATTTGGAATCTTTGCACTCAAGAGTTTGCATTCATGTCAATGCAAGGCGGTGGGGGCAGCAACATTGGGATGGTTGAGAATGGAGTCAGTGCTGGGCGTTAGTTTGCTGACCCAGCGGCTCAATGGCTTTACTAATCTGTGGCTGTTCCTTTGCTGCTCTCCAGGGCTTTGGCTTCCTGCCCAAGACTGAGTGCAACGTGCGGGAGGTGGAGTTTGCCCGCGCCTGGCGCCTCAGCCACAGCTCATTAGAGATGGTGCTGTTCAGCGTTCCTCGAGTGAAGGTACTTTGTGTGCTCAGTGTGTGACAGTGAGGTGCTGGCCCTGTGGGAGCACTTTCTGCCCTTCAGTGTGTCGGTGGTAACCGAAACTACACAGATTCACTGTCAGCCATGATTCTTGTCAAACTCTATCAATGTCAGTCAGAAAGTTGTGCATTTGAGCCCCAATGGTGCTCACAGTTGAGGTTGACAGTAATGCTGTGCTGGGAGCGTGCTGCATGGTCAGAGGTACCATCCTTCGGAAGAGACTTTAAGTCGCGTTGCCGTCTGCCTATTCAGGTGGATATTAAACATCCTGTTGCATTGGAAGAAGAGCAGGGAGTATCTTGGTATCCTGCTCGATATCCCGCTAGAACACTTTTACCTCTATCCCTTTGCCTTGCCCCTTCCTTGCCCAGCTTTGCACCTGAAGAACTTCCTCTTCATCATGCCTACAGTCTCACCCCCCCCCGGTTCAGCTTCGTGCTCCGCCATTCTCAAAGCGCTCTGGGGCGCTACCCTGTGTGAGGGACGCAATATAAATGCAAGTTGTTGTTGTTGATATCCTGCTTGAAGTAAAACAGGCTACTGGGAATGTTGGGACAAAGTCTGCTGGGTCTGTCAGATTTCAGAGCAATTCTCCCACACGCACCCCTGCAGCTCCTGGGCTGTGTTTACAGTGTTGCCCTCGGCCTTTCTTTGTCTAATTATTATTCCTGTTTTCTGGCCTAACAGAAGGAATTCTTCCAGGATGATATTTTCCCGGAGACCAGTGTTTGGTGGAAGTTCGCGCTCTCCGCCTCCGCCTGGCTTTCCGGCTCCAACCAACAACATCAGAAAATCAGTCTGCAACCCAGCAATATGACACCAGGTAGGTCAGCATGTCAGGTACTCAGTGGCTGCTCTACACAAGCTTGTATGATTTGCACACTGGTGTGATGTTACATGGGAATGCCCACAAAATATACAGTCAATTTACTTTACAGAATGTTCTGCGAAGCACTTTGAGACATCTCGAAGACATGATAAGGCGCTATGTCAAATACAAGGATCATCATTATTATTATTATTATTATTTGACCCACAGTCAGTGCCGCCCCCAAAGAGGCTCCAGTCAGGAAATACCCTACCTCAGCGTTCTACCTGGAGGAGAAAACAGACGATCAGAAGAAAGAGGAGGTAACGCGTTTAGCCAAGTAATGTGTCTGTACTGTGATAATTCCTCATTCATTCAGCCATTATATACCAGTGGATTTTATGTCAGCTGACGGAGGAAGCTCCACTGTCTCTCTATAGTCCCACTCTGGTTAACCACCCGACTCTGCTGTATAACAGCATCACTCTGGGTTTGGTCACCAGCTGATGCTAGAACAAGCTATGTGCCCCCAATCTAATCCCACTCCCTACTCTTTCCACGTTACCCTTCCCAGTTTTTCTCAAACAGTTGTCCTTTGGGATCTGTCAGACATCAAGTCCTGGATAAGAGCTAACTTTCTACAGTTGAACGTCAACAAGATCGAGGCCCTCCTGATTAGCTCCCGTCAGCACCTCCACACCTCAGGCACTGACAGCACCACCATACAAGGATGCGCACTCCACCTTACTAAGGCAGTCCGGAACTTTGGTGTCTTGTTTGACCCTCAACTATCCTTTCTACCCCACATCCGTGCCATGTCCCGCTCTCTCTTACCCCACCTCTGCAACATCTCCCGGCTCCGCCACTGTCTCACACCATAGGCCGCCGAGACCCTCATACACGCATTCATAACATCCAGGCTCAATTACGCAAACTTCCTGCTTGTCGGCCTCCCCAACTCCACCCTCCATAGGCTGCAGATCATCCAGAACTCTGCAGCCCATGTCATCACCCCCACTAGGCTCCACGACCCTATCACCCCCATCCTCACCCGACTCCACTGACTTCCCATCACACAGAGGGTACAGTTCAAGATACTGTTCCTCATCCTCAAAGCCCTCCATAGCCTTGCTCCACCCTACCTCTGCGGCCTCCTAACCCCCTACTATCCTGCCCACTTCCTCTGCTCAGCAGGCTCACATCCCCTGCATTGCCCATTCCTCCATTGGTGGGCGGGCCTTCTGCCACTCTGCCCCCACCCTCTGGAACTCCATCCTGCTGTCCCTCCCCTTGCCCCTTCCTTGCCTCCTTCAAGACCCATCTCAAGACCCTCCTCTTCGACCGTGCCTTCAGTCACCCTCCTTCCCCCTCTGCCCTCCACCCTGCACGATCCTAACCCACAGCTCAGGTCCGAAACACTAATTGTCCAGCACCTTGGGACGTCCTACCAACGTGAAAGGCGCTATACAAATGTAATTTTGTGGCTGTTTTTGTTGTTGTTTCATACAGTGTTCACAGTCTTGAATTTCACATCTGTTTGTGCTAACGTGTTCCATAGTCTAACAGTCTTGGGAAAAGAATCAGACCTTCCCATTTGTTTTCCTTGTGATAATAAAGTTCGGCCTCTTGTTTCTGACTCAAGATTGACAAAGTTAGTTTGACTCAGTCTGGTGAAGGGTCGGTAAAGACCTCGGGACACAAATTAAACATTGGAAAGTTAAGAGTAAGAAAGGAAGTCATCTGGAACTTTTTGTTAAGGCGTAAATTGTGGAATATGTTACCAGGGAAGCAGACATTATGCTGTCATTTGTTTGAGGCATTTTGGAGAGAGCTTATAGAGAGATGGGCTGAAACCAGTCAAGACTGGCTGTTGGATCTCACTTATTTTTCTGCTCTTAAACATTCTTATGTTCAAACTGGTGCTATATTTAGAGAGAAAGTGAGTCAGAGAGAGAGAGAGAGAGCGAGAAAAAAACAAGCACACATCTCAGACAGACCCATATGCCAGACAGAGGAATGTCCTCTTCAGAGAGAAGATAGTGTCAGACTGAAAACACTGTTCCCGAGCTGACAGCAGACTTGCTTTCGTTGGAGAAGTGAAGTTTCAGAGGAGACGTGATCCATGTCCTAGAATGGTGAAGGTACGGATGTGGGCAGGTTAATTCATGTAACTGAATCAAAGTCCAAAGAACTTGCATTTTTATAGTGTAAAATACCTCAACTCACTTCGCTGGTAATTATTGCCAAATGTAGTAACTGTTTTTGTAAACAAATTTTCAAACTTCTTGGAACGTACCTATGGCTCCCTCTCCTTCCGCTCAGCATCGACCTCAGCCTCGTCCTTGTACACAACAACAAATTGCATTTATATAGCGGCTTTCACGTCGGGAGGACATCCCAATTGCTCCAAGGCGTTAACCCACATGTGCTATATAAACGCAAGTTGTTTTTATTGCCATTTTGGACACTGCAAGGTCCCCCACACAGTTATGTTGTGAATTTATCTGAAGGCTGATTGAGTAGGACATGGAGAGAAATTCTCTTTTCTTTTGAATCGTGTCATGGAAACCTGGATGTCTTCCTGAATAGGAAGATGAGTTCTCGATTTGACAGCATCTCTGCCAATGAAGCACTCTTTCACAACTTTGTTGGAATGTCAGCCTGGATTGTAAGCTCAGGCCCCGAGGTAGGTCTTCTGACCCAGTAGCAAACGTGCTACCAACTGAAATACACATGAGCTGGTTAATTATCTGCAAGCAAATTACGGATACTGGGATCTGTTGCAATGGACAGGGTAGATCGATGCGATGGTCTTTTGTTTTTCTTTACTTCTGTTCCAGTCTCCCTCGGAGTGTGACACTGTCAGTGGGTCTACTAGCACTTGGTATCCAGTACGGTCTCACCATTCTCCTGGTATTACTGAGAGAGAATGGCAAGAGGGGTTTGACCTCCTGGCTGGGATTCCCTCCCACCCCTGTTCATTTAAAGAACAACCCTAGGGAGTAAGCTGCAAATAGCACTGGTGTTGCGATACACGGCAAAGCAGCTGTGAAGTGCTCCAGGATGCTATCTCGTATGAAGGGCGCTATATGAACGCAAGGTGTTGTTGTTACACTTCAGGGTCTCACTACATTCTCCCCCTGCAGCTGCTGAGTGCAATGGTGGCAAAGCTGGGAAACCTGGATGACCCCCTTCCTCAGGATGCATTTGAGGGGGTGGACGAGGAGGAGTGGGTGAGTAAAGTCAGTGCTTCTCAGGTGCAGCACCAGGGTTGGCTAACGTGTCACAAAATCCACAAAGTATAAAAACACCACAAGCCACAGAGTGCCTGCCTTGTGGTAGCTATGCAGCTGCATTCTACTTTGGGTGGCAGATGATTTTTCTACATTAAAAGGTTTGACTGATTAAGACACATCACGCACAAACACTCACACACAAACATACCCACACAGAAAGTTGGGATAATACATGGACATGGATTTGAATTTGGCTGAAGGGAATGAAGCAGAGGTTAGTTGTTAGGTGAGCTTGCTCAGTAAAAGGTCTTTACATTTTCATATGGCTTCAAAAATCAGGGGAAACTGAGGAATCAAAGAGGCAACAAAGATCTTGCAAAGAGAACTTGATAGGTAGAGTATGCACCTACTCAATAAGACAGAACCTGCCAAACAAGCTGAACAACATATATGTTTGATGGTTGACTCATCATTCACCATGTCAAAACACCATAAGGCACCAATTAACACGACAAACAGGATGCTTTTTGTTTCGTAACATAAGAACATAATAAGAACATAAGAAATGCTAAATGAAAAAAGACCACCTTCCTGACGGTCGCATGCACACATGTCCCAAACTACCTATGTATTATATCCCATAATGTTATTTCCTAAAAGAAAACAAAATCTATCTAATCTGTGCTTGAAAGAATCAACGCTTCCTGTTTCAACCGTCTCTCCAGGGAGCCTGTTCCACAGGTTCACTATTCGCTCACTGAAATGGTGTTTGTGTAGATTCGTTCTGAATTTCCTCCCCTTCAATCGCAGGCTGTGTCCTCCGGTTTTACTATACTGGACAAGTTGAAACAGCCGGTCACAATCTATACTGTGTTGCCCGTTTAGAATCTTAAAGACAGCAATCATGCCTCCTCTCAATCTTCTCTTTTCCAGCATGAACATGCCCAATTTACTTAGTTGCTCCTCATAGTCCAGTCCTTCCATTCCCTCAATCATTTTGGTTGTCCTTCTCTGTATCTTCTCGATTTCTCTAATATCCTTTTTGTACTGTGGTGACCAGATACTCTAAGTATGGTCTCACCAATGATTTATACAGTGGCAGGACTACCCACTATTTCGACTTGCTATTCTTGCTCCTTCTGTCTCCCTCTTTCTCTCTCTGTTTTTTAATTCATTTTCTCTCTGTCTCTTCCTCTTTCTCCATGTTTTTCTCTATCTGTCTCTCCCTGTTTCGCTCATTTCCTGTGCATGTTGTTAATATCACAGCTGTCACCCTACTGCAGATTAATCTCAGTGGTTAGGTGGTGCAGACTGCATAGCTGTTTATAGGGTTACAGGTGACTTGTAGTGTGTTAGAATGACTTGTTACTCAGTGGTGTACCCAACCCGATCACTAACCTGTCACTCTCCTGGTTTTGCAGGACGAATAGTTCACCACGATTGACCTCTGCACAGCACAGTGTTTCATCTCCTAATGGCTGAGCTCAGCCTTTCTGTCTGCCTGAGTGCCATTAATCAGAAGTGCACTGACAAACCCCTAGCCTGCTCCCTGAACCTCAATGCAGCTTGTTCCTAGCTCCCCATTGAGCCTTGCTTTCCATTGCAACTTGCTTCCTATTGTAGCTTACCCTCCATTGCATCTCTCTCCCCAACCCCATCTGCCTTGCACCTCACGTCCTCTGCTTTATCCCCCCTCATTTCTTGCTCACTCTCAAGTACCTAAGCCTCACTCACTGCTCACACCTGTGCCGCACTCCCCAGCCACACACAAGCGTGCCTCATTCCTGGTCCCCTGCAGGCACAGCTGGACCTTCCACCCACATCTGTTTTGCATTTTGCCGGTTTCTTTACTAATTGGCAATCAGGGTTTGATAAATAAAAACCTTCAGGTTAAAAAAGGGAATTTTGTTGTGCTGCTTCTTTCTTCTGCTGAATTGGGAAAAAGGTCTGCAGTGTATATCAGAACCTTTCCTGTGCCCTGCCCAGGAATGTGAGAGCAGCCAGAAAACAAAAACCTTCACAAGAGTGAAATTCTCAAGTCAGGGACAGATTTTAGCTTTATAGAGTTAAGCTACTGAGAGGAAAAGAAGCTCTTTAGGCGAAAGAAGGAAACCAAATTTTCAGGCAACTTGTAGCAATTAAACACATATCAATGCTACCTCTGTTTTTCTAAATCACTCTTTTTATTAATCCCACTGTCCAGCTCTCTCCTGATATCCCTAATGCATCAGTTCTGTTCCTTATCCTGCTCTGTTCTGAATGATTCTATTGATCCAGACTCAGTAGCCACATAACATACTGATTTCCACACACTGTAACAACCCTCTGAGTGAAGAAATTCCTTCTAACTGCTCCCTTCATTCATTTTTCTGTTAACAATGCTGAGACTGTGCTGCCTTGTTACTTTTTCCCCAACTAAAAGTAATAGTTATTCCCCATCTACTTGTCATGGCTCTTCATTATTTTAAATACCTCCATCATATTTCCACTCAATCTCTGTACTCAATCTCTGTGTAATTAATGTACAGAAAAACAGCTGCCTCAACTCGAACAACTGACAAAGCTGCACCAGCCACAGCACTTTCCCCTTGGACACTGTGCAGGGACGGTACAGGATGTGTTGCTGTGAATTGTTTCCTGATATAAACATTGCAGGAAAAAAGATGGGTTCGGTCTGGACAGGGCTCCTGTTTTAATCCCTTCACGTGCGAACATGAAAGACTTTGTTTCCAGGAGTGTGTTGGAATGGTTCACAGGAAAAAGTGCTTCCTCACCTCAGGAGGAGCCAACACATCTCTACTCTTTGTAATGAGTTGTTCAACCCAAGCTTTGCCAAAGGCTGGGATCAGCCTGATTCCTGGGCTCACGGACACGGAGTGGCTGACCATCGATACACTCGATGCTAGGAAACATTACTCCTCTGACCAACTACCTGTCAGACATCTGGTCTGATTCATGTCCACTGCCACAGGTGGGCAAGCTTTCAGACACTTTACCCCTGCCCTAAGGAATTCTCTTTCTGAATTCCCCCACCTTGCCAATCAGTGAGAAGCGCTGTCAGTCAGTGAGACTCACTGTCAGTCAGTGAACACTGAGACAATGCTTTACTCTTTTGGGGCCACTCAGGGCGCCCAGGATGAATCTCTGCAGTCGGGAATAAGAGCTTCCAAGCATTTTACTGCACACATATCACATTCCCCAAAGGAGATTGAAGTTTCTTGAATCTTTAAGAAACTATAGGTATAATTAACCAGGACATCCTGAAACTCGAGGAGCTGTCTAACCTGCTTTATTTGAAATATATTTTTCCAGAACAGGGTGCAGCCAAATGGCATGTTAGCATTTGCACGTCTGTTTGTTGTAATACTCCCTCCTTCGCAGCACTTTTCTCCCTCTCCCTTCTCAATCACTCTGCTCCTGATCCTCGTCACTCCCCATTCAATTCTGCTTGATCCCTCTCTTGATCATGCTGATGACCTTCCTTTCCTAAACACTGTAGACAACTAGAATTACAGCTGCGTTTAGCTCACGTATGTCAGAGTGAGACAGGAAATGGTCAAGCACTTGAGGGTTAAACAAGAGGGAGCATCTGAATTGAGCTCAAAGTGTGAAATGTGCTGGCATTCTGCCCTGGACATTGAGGATACTTAAAACAGCCATTGTAATAACAACAACAAATTACATTTGTATTGCACCTTTCGCATCGGGAGGACAACCCAAGGCTGTGTACCATGAAATATTCTTAAGATTTCTAGTTGCAGAAACGTGAGAAACTGGAATTAAATCTAACTATATATAGAGTAAGATACAACTGTGAAAGCAGTTGCACAGGCTGTCCAGAGCAAAGGAGGATCTACATTCTGCAAACAGCACAAGGATCTGGGCCAACTTCATTCATAAAGTGGTTTCAGTTATTGAAGGTGCAAAATGAGGTGGATTATAGACTGGTTGCGGCAGAGTTAACCTGTACAGTGTATCAACAATAACAAAATTACATTTGTATAGAGCATTTCACGTCAGGAGGATGTCCCAAGACGCTGGACAATCAGCATAGTGAGCGGGAGGTTAGCAGGGGGTTAGGAGGTCGCAGAGGTAGGGGGAAGCAAGGCCGTGAAGGACTTTGAAAGTGAGTACTAGGATCTTGAACTGCATCCTCTGTGCGATGGGAAGCCAGTGGAGTCGGGCGAAGATGAGGATGATAGGGTCACGGAGCCTGCTGCAGGAGAGGACACGGGCTGCAGAGTTCTGGATGATCTGCAGCCTATGGAGAGAGGAGTTGGGGAGGCCGGCAAGCAGGGAGTTTGCATAGTCAAGCCTGGACATTACGTATGCGTGTGTGAGAGTCGCGGCAGCCTACGGTGTAAGACAGTGGTGGAGCCAGGTATGTATCAGTATGTTTCACTTGTGTCTCCAGTTGGGTTAGGGCTTTGATTTATGGATGATTTCACTGACCGCTGAGCCAGTAAAAAGAGGCATAAATTTAAGGATTAAAAATGAGAAAGATGGGATTTCTTTTTTAGATTCAATAACAACTTTTAAGAGAGAAGTGATTTGATAACTTTTAAGAGAGAAGTAGATAATTATTTGGGGAGGATAAGTTTGCAGGGCTATGGGGAGAGAGCGGGTGAATGGGATTGATTTGGATAGCTCTTTTCAAAGAACCGGCAGACATGATGGGCCTCCTTCTGAGCTGTATAATTCTATGATTCTGTGATTATTAAAGATTGTGAAATGCTTCAAAGAAAATAGCTATTTAAACCAAGCCCGTAACAACATTTAAAATGGAATTGGCTTAAATACATAGACGAAATATTGAAAGTTACAGGGGGAAATGAAGAATGAGATGATGAGAGGAAACAGTGGGGAGGGGAAGACGAACATCACATACACATTTGGAGGATACCCTCTGTACAAGACACCAAGATCTCTGCTGACACTCTGAAAGAAATATGAAATACAGATCAGTAGGCACCGCGCAGCTTGTGGATCAGTCCCTGTGTTGTTCATGTTTCAAACACACACACACAGACCTCACCTACAGTACTAATCTTGCTCCCCTTTCAGTGTCTATTTCTGTTGAGTGTTCAGTCAATAGCATACAAGCGCCCTCTAATGCTGGATTATTCAACGTACATGCATGGCACTGGCCCATTGGATGTACCCGTATACCGAGGCAAGCAGGAAATTACTGCCCTACTTTGTGTATCTCGTACCAAATTGAGACCGGAACAACTGCACTGCAGCTAGTGTGAGCACTTAGACATTTTCTGTATCGGAGGCTATTACGTCCACTTTACCTGTACCATTGTTTTCCAAATCATGTTTCAGAAGGGAGTACTCTCGTTTGAGGTCAGAAGGGGTTAAAGTCCTAAAATGGGACTTTGAACTCGCAATCTAGGCTAGGCAGAGGTGCTGACCTACAATTCTCTCTTCATAATAATAATCCTTCCATTTGATAAAACGCTTTTCACGTCTTCTAGACATCTCAAAGCGCTTCACAAAATATACCGTAAAGTGAATTGACTGTATATTTGTGGGTGAAACGCGACAGCCAATTGCGGATAGCAGTGTCCCACAAACAGTGGTGGATTGAGTGACCAAATTATTATTTTTTTGAGGGATTATTGTCCCCAGAAAAGTGATCCACCAATTGACTAATAACCAGGTTCCTCCTTACTGCTAGGTAAACAAAGGCGTGTGGAGTAAGGAAATTTGCCCAACATTTTGCCCTGCTGGGAATAGAACCCAGGTCTCTCACTTGCCAGGCGAGTGCTCTAACCACTAAGTTACAGGAGTTTCCCAATAAATGGGTCCGTTTACTTCATGGCTGTGCACAAAGTGGTTGCTACAACCAGTGTCAACTTACAGTAAATTCACGTCACAGCAATTCCATGTTGCTGTTTATACACATGGTAGCAAATGCAAGTATTACTGTATTACCAAATCACCATCTTTTTACTAATCCCATAATCTAGCTCTTCCCACAGCCCTTAATATTCTTTTTTTTACCCCTCCACTTAAGTGTTTACCCAGTTGGCTTCTAAATGATTCCATTGATGAAGCCTCACTAGGCACTTATGATGGGTAGTGAATTTGAAACTGACAACCTTCTGAGTGAAGGAATACCTCTAACCTCTACCGTATTTTCTCAGCAATCAACCGAGATTATACCCGTTACCAATTCCCCAACTGAACAGTTTTCCCTCACTATCCAGTCCTGTCGCTTCAGTGTACTAAACACCTCTATTCTATCCCTTCTGCTCCAGTGGAAATAGCTCCAATTTTAGCCTCTCATTTCATGCACTTGTTTCATACCCAGTGTCATCTGAGTGAATCTGGACTGCACCCTCCATGTGTCTAGGTCATAGATTCTATAATTGAGAACCCAAAACTGAACCCAATACTCCCAACTGCAGCCTAAACTGTCTTCTACAATTTCAATGGGTATCTTACTTTTAAATCTATTTCCTCAGTTTAAAATGCCAGAACTCATTTGCCTTCACGATAGCTTTCTGTACCTGTCACCCCACGTCCAGTGATTTAAGAAGCCATCAGCAGACATCCCAGTGTCCACGTTAGGGATGAAATCCATTGAGTTAATTTAAGAAACAAACACAGTTTTTTTCCATTGAATCTTATTTTATTTCCTGGATAAATGCTCGTTGAATCATCCACGTTTGTTCTGGGTAATCTCATACACTGCAGCTATACTGTGTATATACTATACAGGCAGGGCTGCTGCTCTAACATTGTGATTATTTGAGTAGATAGTATTTAATGCAGTAATTAACAGAGAGGCCCCTTACATCTCCCCTGCCTCACCAAAAAAGTCACATAAACATCCCAAACACATGGAAAACCCTCACCCACTCAGGGCTGCAATAGCAGGAGGTTATTATAGGAAGAAACTGTATCCAACATAGAGTGCCCTGCACATGGCAACACACTGGCCTATTACCAATAAACCATTGGCCAAAAAGCCATTGGCAGACATCCCCGAACAATGAGAGCTTTGGACTAGTACATTTGCACCCGTTTCTCTGCAGGGGAACAAAATCTCAAGTCAGTTTGAGACCCACACCTGGTCTTCACGCTTGGGTAGACTTGTCACCCAGCAAAACCAACATCCATCAAACATTGATCAGCACTGTGAGAGTAATCGCACTTTGTGAACAGTCCCCATGGCCACATTTGCTGCTCAGAGCAGGCCACCCATTCCGAAAAGCACAGACCAATCAGCAAGCTGACGGCTGCTTGTCTGGGAAGTTTTGTCCCATGGGAGCGGCTCCGGTTCCAGGCCGGGCTCTGGGCAGTCGTCCCTCGCACCGATAGGCGTCACCATCGTCTGCAAGTCTGGAGCGAGAGCAGAAATGTTCCTTTGCTTCAGGCACTTTCACCCTCCGTCCTGTCAGAGAAGACTGGATTTCACACATTCCCTCCAGACCTCAGGCTTTAAACATCCATGGAACAGAGAAATAGAAAATATTAAAACGCTGGCAACAGCAGAACTGAAGATTCCACTTGCACTCACACAGCACATTTCATGTAGGATGATCATCTCAAAGAGTTTCGAAGAGATGATGGGGAGCCTGGCATGGATGAGGTAATGGACAGCTGCAGAATTCTGTATGAGTTGAAACTTACAGTTTAGAATGATGGAGAAACATTCATATCTGTCATGCAAGAGTCCCCAGTAAAAATCACTGGATGAGTACTGATCAACAAGTTTCTCCGCTGGGGGCAGAGCTGGGTTGTGAAGAGCAACAGGTGGAACATGCAACTCACCATAGTTAGAGGTCAGCTCTCCGTGTCCACTCCACATTGTCTGAATTCAGCAGTTTTTCCAGGTTCTGTTCCACCACACGCAAAGCCTCACCTGCAATGTACATATATCCGCACACACAGTGAGACAGCCTCTTAATAATAGCAGACCAGCTCCCGGAGACGCACAGAGACTTGCAATCCTCATGGTGAGGGCAGACAAGCAGAAAGCAGCGAAAAAGAGGGAAGACTCCCAGTTGCACCTCCGCCTGAAGAAACGAGCACAGAGGAGTTTCCTACTGCAATGGAACAATAGAGAAGACAGTACCAGCTCTGGTACAATAATCTCACTCATCTAATTCAGGACTTTGCTGCCAAGGTTTGCTCACAATACCTGCTATTGTGTCTGTTATAAGCTGTTGTGGCACATGCAGCTTCTAACAGGACAGCAAGACTCCCTCTATTGACCATATCCAATACCCAAAGCAATTACTCACATTCCTTAGGGATCCTGGCTTGCTTCCTGGACTGCATGCTTCTCCTCTGCCCTCCTGCATCGATGGACCGGGCTGTCTGCTCGGTCTGGGACTCTCTGGGGGAAGGGATGATAGGAATGAGACAATCTTGCTTTGCATTAGCTCCCGTGGTCCCACATATAGTGGGTTGGAGCCAGTGACAAATCCCCAGCTCAAAGTGCAGCCCATTAACGAGAAACACTGCAATGGGTTACAGCAATTACTCATGGAGACATTCTCTTACACAGCAGGATTCTATACCACCTGGAACATCAGGAGACTTCACCTGGGCAGAATCACTGTGTGTGCCAGTGGCCAGTCTCACCTCCAGTGACAGGATTGATAATAGGTAAACATAATACTGGTCACCACTAGACGTGGCAATCATGCTGCACGTCACCAGTTTGCTTCTCTGCTGTACGCTAGCATGATGTACTTTATCCCCGCCGCTCCCTGGCCCTGCAAACTCACTGGACGTGCTCTAGGATGATGGCACCGTGCTCACAAAGACCCTGCGTCTCTTTCACCCGCTTCTGGTGCTGCTGCCAGGCTATTTTATCCTCCATCAAAAAGCTTTCCACAATGGTGCGCAGCTCCCGTTCCTGAGTCACCTGCCCCGACAGCATCTCCACCTCTTCACATTTCTACAGAAGTCAACAGCACAAGGCACAATGGCGTGAAATAACACAGGAAACCAGCCACAGATGATAATAATCCTTACCATTGATTATAGCGCTCAGAATGTCAGAACATCACAAAGCACTTCACAAATTATTGCCAAATATATTGTCTACGTGTAGACAAATGCGACATCTAATTGGCATGCAGCAACAATCTACAAGCAGCTGTGAAATGAGGGCCTAATTTATTTGGAGAATTGTTGGCTAGATGAGAGGAGCAGCTTCTGGATAATCACTCAATCTGCTCGAGAATCCACTGGACCTAGGACAGGATTGAGCACTGTGTGGGTGACACATGCATTCACCCACTGAGCCACCAGGAAGTCGCTGGTGCCAAATATATCGTAGTGGCTGGCTGTTACATACACACGCGCACACACGCACGCGCAGAGCCTTATTACCTTGTGCAGCTGAATGGCCATTTCCTGCATTTCAGTCTCGAGGCGATCGGCGTAGACCTGCTCCATTGTGTGGCTGAGAGCTGGAGCATTGCTGTGCCACCGGGCAATTGCAGCAGCCATCTTCCGCTTTGGTCCAAATAATCTGCTCAGACACCGAGAATACACACACACACACCTTAGTAACCAGGTGACCAACTATCCTTCTAACATTCCCTGCATTACATACGCTTTTGAGGATTTCTACCCATTGGTGGGTCTCACGTCCATCAGTGTTTGGGAGAGCACTGAGTGGCTGATTTCACATAGTTTGTGTGTCTGGGAGGGTTTGTGGCCTGCACTTTGTGCGAATCCTGCTGATGGCGAGTACTCACGTGATGCCAACTTCTCTCAGGTCGGCCTCAGTCAGAGTGAGAAAGACCCTCAGATCCACATCCTGCTCCTCAAACACGCTCAGGTACTTCTGACAGCCGATCTGCTCCAGAAACTCAGCCAGGTCCTGTCACATGAGGGGCAGAATTCAATAACAGTGGGGAAAAAGGAGAGGGATTCTAGAAAGCAATTTAATACGTAAAGTCAATCAGCCCACGTTAACATCGAGACAATTTTCAGTCCAAAGAGACTTTGTTTAATATTTGTTTAAACATGCTAATTAGACAAAGCAGTGGGGCAATTCTGGATTTTCTCCCGATGGCGGCAGCACCTCATCATCAAGACCCAGGGTGTGGCCTTGGGTTGTATTAGTCGAAGGCAGCTCTTGGAGACCTTAATCCAAGATGAAGGCCCAGCAGTAAACCTGGCTTTCTGTTTCAATTATATTAAATGTAAAAACTCTCCACTCCTCAAGGGAGAACTCAACAAAGTGACGTCCGTGCAGCAAAGGCAAACCAGGGAGATTCGATCTCATCAAAAGGACAGCTCCTTACAGTGCTCACTGGAATGTCAGCCAAGACTCTGAACTGGAGTCCTAATGTGGGATTTGAACCTACACCCTTCTGAGACCCACTGGCACTTGGGCACACGTGACCTGATTGCAGTGAGCAAGCCCGTGACCTGCCGCAGTCTCCCCCATCCACCCCCAGCCCGATCCCCTTGCATTAGATCTCTGAGCAGGTTCCATGCCAGGTACCTGCGGTCCTTGGTGTACCAGCTCCTCCTCGTTCTGACTGGGAACCCGCTGACTGGGAATCAAATGAACTTCACTGTGACCAGACTGGGGGCTGCTGCTGCTGCTCCCGTGCCCTCGCCGGGTTCGCAGCACTCTCCTGGGAGGGGAATGATTGGCCTGGTCAGAGTCCTTAGAAGGGATGAAAGAGGGTTTACAGAGTGAGTGTTATTAAAGGCATTCCAAACATTTGCTCAATCACTGCAGCTCAAGATAGATGAAGGCACCGTAGCCAGCCAAGCTCGGTCAGAGCACACCTAACACCAATCAGCTCTGCTCCTAATGTTAACAATTATTTTTAAAAATCTCTAGCTATAATAATAATCCTTGCATTTGATATAGTGATCTACTCTCAATCCCATCTCCCCTCTTTTCCCAAGAATATTTCTATCTTTATTCTTCAGGTGTTTATTTAATTTCTTTTTAACCAGTATAATTGTTTCTGCTTCCGAAGCCACTTGTGCTAAACAGATCCAAACTCTATTAACCTTTTGTGTAAAAATATTTCTTCTGACCCCCACCCCCTTTATGTCTCCAGTAAACACACTGGAACTGATGTCCCTGGTCCCTGGCTTCTCACCACAGCGTGGCAATTCCTCACCTCGTTGCTCTCCAGGGATCCTTCGCGGCTCACGCCCAGCACTCGAGCCAGGCCCTCGCTGCAGCTACTGCTGCTTCTGCGGATGGTCATGGCATCATTGGTGAAGAAAGAGTTCTCCTCTGCATCAGGACAGCAGACAGTCAGATAAGCTTTCCAAACAATTCTCATCTAACCAATCTATTCCCCTCCTGAGGTGCCCTGGCTCGTGTTGGGGGGGGGGGGGGAAATCCCAGCCAAGCCTGATCTGACCTCATCCAATGTTCCACTTGCACGTCCAGCAAAGAGTTTTTGGATAGTGAGCCTTGGTTAATTCCCCTCCCCCTCTTTCCTAACTCAGGAGCCCTAAAGCCATTAGTAACTCTGAATGCTAATAGCACTGCTCAAAAACACGCTGACAGGGAAATATCCTAATCAAGTACCTGCTCCAGATGACAGGCTGGATATTGCCAAGTAAGGCATTGTCAAGGAATATCCACTTAGATGTGGAGTGGGCACACTATGTGAAAGGCACCTTATCTAACAAAATGCACAATTTGGTATCATGGGCGAGGTAGGCTTATGTCAACTATGGACAGCCTTAATCTCTGACAGCCTTTTGCATTGTAGAGGAGGGCTGGGCTCTTAACTTCCCAATCTCAAGGTAACTCGGCAGACCCTGCACTCACCTCTGCTGCTGTTGCTTTCTACATCCTGTTCATTTATGGGTGAAGTGACATCTCGGTTCAGGATATCCTCGTCTCCATCCTCTACCTCCTTGTTGAATGTGAGGTATCCCTGCGGAGGAAGAGACTCTGAGAGACAGAGAGAGACGTGATGTACTGGGGGATTCATAAATATGAAACCTTCTGGTAACAGGCTGTGAATCACGCTGACCCACGAGATCCCTTCATCCTCTCCACATATAATAATAATTAATCCCCCCTCCAGCCCGCTCTGCTCACATTCATCAGACTTACCGGTCTGCTCCACATCCCCCGCCCTACCATCGGTGGCCGGGCCTTCAGCCTCTCAGCCCCTAGGCTCTGGAACTCCATCCCCCAGGGTCTTTGCCTTGCTTCCTCCCTTTCCTCCTTCAAGGCCGGTCTCAAGACCTTTCTCTTCGACCGTGCCTTCAGCTCCCCTCTCGACTCTCTACCCCCTCCTCGCCCTGACCATTTCCCCTTTGCTCGGGTCCCGACCCAACTGTCCAGCGCCTTGGGACGTCCTCCCGACGTGAAAGGCGCTCTATAAATGAAATCTTGTTGTTGTTGTTGTTACCATATTGCTGCGACCACCCTTCAGCTCTGATGCCTGTGATCTGGGCCAGTGCCTGAGGCCCATCGTGAATACTGGGACCTCTCGGTTTCCGTGCATGTGGTGGGCGGGGGTCCAGGTGTCGGCTGCGGGGTGGGCAGGACTCATCGGAGGAGCTGAGATCTTCGTATAGACCTGCAGTCAACAAAGGAGGTGAAGCCCCCGTCAGTACTAACACACGCAATACCAGTTAGCCTCTTTCCTCACACTGCCCAGACAACACTGAACCTCAACCACACACATACACACCAGCTGTCAGAGGTATGCTCACACGTGTGTGCATAGACACTAGGACTTCGCTCCGCAGCAGCGTGCTCATACCTGGATCCCGGCGAATTGACTTGGACTGTGGGGCAGTGTGCAAGTCGATGAGGGTGGTGATCTTCACGTAGCCGTACGTCAGTGCTAACAAACGAGCCGTGTCCCCACTCCACGCCTTCATGTCCACCTGGACACCCTGTGCCAGAGACCAGAGTAACATTGCAATTCAACTACATGGGCTTGGCTCTGAATTACAGATCGTGCAATTAATAGAATGCCCATAACCGGAGCTGCAAGCCTCCTACTCAGTCAGCACAACACCCACACTCCCCCCATACTCCCAGACAGCATTCCCTTTTTCTCACCTCCCCTTCTCCCAGCCAGCACTCCTTGCTCCCACCAGCCAATGCTCCCCTCCCATACACATCCCCAACTCACCCTCAGACAAGTTACTTTACATTTCCTACATTGAGTTACGTTTTCCACCTGCTGACCCAGTTTACTCAAATATCAAACACCGACTCTTCGCTCATCCATTCCATTCTATAAACCAGCAGAAACATACATGGTTCAGCAGGTACTGGACGATTATTTCATGGCCTGAAGCCGCAGCTTCCATCAGAGGGGTGAATCCACACAGAGGTTCCCTGAAACCAGAGACGACAGGTTAGACAGTCATCATGAAGGATTGCAAGGGACGCCCTTGTGGGTGGGATAGAGAGGTCAGAACTGGGTTTGGGGAAGTGGGGGGGGGTGAGAGTATAACTTTGTGCAATACTTTTTTTTAAAAAAAGGCTACTTTCTGACCTCAGATTTGCGTCAGCTCCATTGTCCAGAAGGAATTTGACCATCTGTTGGTGGCCAGTGCTAGTACAGTGGAAGAGCGCTGTCCAGCCCCTGTTGTCCTTCATCTCCAGCTCAGCCCCTTGCTGAAAGACCAAGGGGGAGGAACATGGTGTCAATAACAGCCCTAGCTCTGTGCTTTATATCCACTTGTTATCAGAGTAAACACCAGACCAGTCAGGTCTGGGTGGCAAATTTAATGAAGCCGTAACGTTCAGAATAAAGTCTAACCCATGTGTATACTACAGCGCCACTGGCCCCCAGCACCACCAGACTATACACGTTGCTCGTTTCACAGGGTCCAACCCCACCCCAGTCATCTGATAACATGCCAGGATTTACATGGATTATACTGCACGGAAACAGGCCATTTAACCCAACTAGTCTATGCCGGTGTTTAAACTCCACGAGTCTCCACGCATACCTTACTATCTCCTACATTCTTCTATTCCCTTTTCTCTCATGGCTAAGGCTGTAAGAAAGTCATGATTTTTTGGTCCAAAACTTGGGGGGGGGGGGGGGGTTGTTAAAAGTTGTTTAAAGCGATACTCATTTGTATATCTCTCTCTTAAATGCATCTATACTATCTGCTTTAACCAACTTTGAGCAGTGAGTTCCACGTTCTCACTACCTTTTGCATGAAGAAGTTCCACCTAAATTCTCATTTAAATCCCTGAACTGTTATCATATTTGGTCCCCTGATTACAGATTTTCCAACAATCCTGTTATTGGTGGGCTTGCAACAATCTGTGCCCAGATGTCTGCCAGTTTCACTCTTGACCCACTCCAGCTGACTACAAGGACCCAGCTGGTCTCTGGCGGAAAATTTGGATTCGAGGAGACACTGGAATTCACTACATGAATAAGAGACTGGCACTGTCCTTAGCTTACAACTTTCCACAAGTGAGGAGATTTCTCGAAACCTGGGAGTCCAGGAAAGCAGGACTCACCAGGATGGAGTCAACAAACCTGCAGAAGGAAGTACGCAATGCTCTCGTTGCCACAGCTCGCTGCCAGCATCAGAGAGCTCTGCCCTTTATCCGTCACCAGGTTGACATCCACCCCCTCCTCTAGCAGCAGATGCGCTATGGTATCATGGCCTATGTAGGAAGCATACATCAGAGGGGTCCAGCCACCACGGTTCTTCCTGTTCAGATTCACGGTCCCTCTGTCAAGGGAGAAGGTAAAGAGATTACCCTTGCAGTCTGGCTGCCAGCCTGAAGAGAGAATGCCCAGACCATTCCCCCCACCCATCCACCCACCCATCTCTCTCTGTGTCGCCACAAATGTCCCTTACCTTCTGGCGCACTCCTTCACTACCTCGTACTGTCCGAGGGAGGATGCGGTGTGCAGATCCAGCGGCACCTCCAGCTCCTCGCAGCTGATGAGCTGTTCGAAGCCGTGCCACATGGACAGGCTGCGATTGAACAGCTCTGTCTCACTCGACTCATCGCTCAGCTCAGACATTCTGCACAAGCAGAGCTCCTGCACAAGCAGAACATCAGCCTATCAGAAAAATACCGGACGCCAACACAGTCCACGCGAACAGCCTCGAACGAAGTACCCCAAATCCAGAAGGCTTTGCGACATCCTCCTGACGTGAGGTGAGCTTTAAAATGGAAACTGTTGACGTTCAGGACATAAAAAAAAAGCGTGGTTATGGTTATTATCATCACTATGATCCTACTGGCAGGTGTGTATCATGAGGCATCACAACAACAACAACAAGATTGCATTTATAGAGCGCCTTTCACGACGGGAGGATGTCCCGAGGCGCTGGACGGTTGGGTCGGGACCCGAGCATTGGGGGGGAAACGGTCAGGGTGAGGGGAGGGGGGGGGAGGGAGCGAGGAGGGGGTAGGGAGTCGAGAGGGGAGCTGAAGGCCCGGTCGAAGAGAAAGGTCTCGAGACCGGCCTTGAAGGAGGAAAGGGAGTCCAATTCTTAGGGAAGAGTGAAGATCCCACTGCACTGTCACATCGAAGCGCTTCAGATACCGAGGACAGTGAAGCCCTTAAGATACTCCACCCTCCACACTGCCCCCCACCCCACCCCCACCCCTCCCCCCACTCAGCACTCCACACCGAGCAGATACTGACAGAGTGAAGGTTCCCCCCATCACCAGCACCACCACAACAACAACAACTCGCATTTATACAGAGGCGCCCTTCTTCTTGTATAAAAATCCCTGCTTCCAGCCAGACCCCCGACCCGGGCACTTACCCGAGGCAACCGCCGCAGCTCTCAGCAAACCCGACCCCTGGGGTGGGGGGTGGGGTGGGGGTCGGGGGGCGGTCAACAATCCGCCCGGGGATCGGCCGCCGTCCTCGACAGGTCCCGGCGGGGCCGCCGAGCAGCGGAAGCCGCGGTTGTGGGTAATGTAGTCGGGAATGGGAGGCGCGAGCGGACTACAGTTCCCACAATGCAGCGCGCGCCGCCGCCGCCGTTTTGAGTGACGTGGGGCCGACCCCACTCAGGAGGCGGCGGGGCCCCGGTGGGCACGAGGCGAGGGTTTGACGCTCTCAGCTGACCGTTTACGTTAGTTTTTCCCCCCCCCCCGTGTGTGTGTGTGTGTGTGTGGACATCAGTCCCTTTCCGCAATGTTCACCCTGAAAGGTTCAAAGTTTCAGCCCCGGTGACCTTTGACCCGAGGCGGGCGGTTTGAGCGCCGGTTAGTTCCCAGACTGCGGGAGTCAGAGAGAGAAACAGAGAGAGACGGCGCTGCGCGGCGCCCGGTACTGGACGGCGCGGGGCCGGTGAGAGGTAATAGGACCGCGTCGCCCGGCAGACGGGGGAGTGGGGGGGAGACACCACAGGCGAAGGAGGGGGCGAAGCTGTCAGGTCCTCGGGAAGTGGTTACAAGAAGCGGCGCGTGTCCGGTTGCCATGGTGACAGCCTCAAGCTTTTGAGGGAGATGAAGGTTTGAGAGCGCCCGGTGTCTGGGGGTCAGAGCGCCGGGTGTCTGGGGCTCAGAGCGCCGGGTGTCTGGGGCTCAGAGCGCCGGGTGTCTGGGGGTCAGAGCGCCGGGTGTCTGGGGGTCAGAGCGCCGGGTGTCCGGGGCTCAGAGCGCCGGGTGTCCGGGGCTCAGAGCGCCGGGTGTCTGGGGGTCAGAGCGCCGGGTGTCTGGGGCTCAGAGCGCCGGTGTCTGGGGCTCAGAGCGCCCGGTGTCTGGGGCTCAGAGCGCCGGGTGTCTGGGGCTCAGAGCGCCGGGTGTCTGGGGCTCAGAGCGCCGGGTGTCTGGGGCTCAGAGCGCCGGGTGTCTGGGGCTCAGAGCGCCGGGTGTCTGGGGGTCAGAGCGCCCGGTGTCTGGGGGTCAGAGCGCCGGGTGTCTGGGGCTCAGAGCGCCCGGTGTCTGGGGCTCAGAGCGCCGGGTGTCTGGGGGTCAGAGCGCCGGGTGTCTGGGGGTCAGAGCGCCGAGTGTCTGGGGGTCAGAGCGCGGGTGTCTGGGGCTCAGAGCGCCGGGTGTCTGGGGGTCAGAGCGCCCGGTGTCTGGAGGTCAGAGCGCCGGGTGTCTGGGGGTCAGAGCGCAGGGTGTCTGGGGCTCAGAGTGCGGGTGTCTGGGGGTCAGAGCGCCGGGTGTCTGGAGGTCAGAGCGCCGGGTGTCTGGGGCTCAGAGCGCCGGGTGTCTGGGGTCAGAGCGCCGAGTGTCTGGGGGTCAGAGCGCGGGTGTCTGGGGCTCAGAGCGCCGGGTGTCTGGGGGTCAGAGCGCCGGGTGTCTGGGGGTCAGAGCGCCGGGTGTCTGGGGGTCAGAGCGCAGGGTGTCTGGGGCTCAGAGCGCCGGGTGTCTGGGGCTCAGAGCGCCGGGTGTCTGGGGCTCAGAGCGCCGGGTGTCTGGGGTCAGAGCGCCGGGTGTCTGGGCTCAGAGCGCAGGGTGTCTGGGGGTCAGAGCGCAGGGTGTCTGGGGGTCAGAGCGCAGGGTGTCTGGGCTCAGAGCGCCGGGTGTCTGGGGGTCAGAGCGCCGGGTGTCTGGGGGTCAGAGCGCCGGAGGTCTGGGGCTCAGAGCGCAGGGTGTCTGGGGGTCAGAGCGCAGGGTGTCTGGGGCTCAGAGCGCCGGGTGTCTGGGGGTCAGAGCGCCGGAGGTCTGGGGGTCAGAGCGCCGGAGGTCTGGGGGTCAGAGCGCCGGAGGTCTGGGGGTCAGAGCGCAGGGTGTCTGGGGGTCAGAGCGCAGGGTGTCTGGGGCTCAGAGCGCAGGGTGTCTGGGGCTCAGAGCGCCGGGTGTCTGGGGCTCAGAGCGCCGGGTGTCTGGAGCTCAGAGCGCCGGGTGTCTGGGGCTCAGAGCGCCGGGTGTCTGGGGCTCAGAGCGCCGGGTGTCTGGGGCTCAGAGCGCCGGGCGTCTGGGGCTCAGAGCGCCGGGCGTCTGGGGCTCAGAGCGCCGGGCGTCTGGAGGTCAGAGCGCCGGGTGTCTGGGGATCAGAGCGCCGGGTGTCTGGGGGTCAGAGCGCCGGGTGTCTGGGGGTCAGAGCGCGGGTGTCTGGTGGTCAGAGCGCGGGGTGTCTGGGGGTCAGAGCGCCGGGTGTCTGGGGGTCAGAGCGCCGGGTGTCTGGGGGTCAGAGCGCCGCGTGTCTGGGGGTCAGAGCGCCGGGTGTTTGGGGGTCAGAGCGCCGGGTGTCTGGGGGTCAGTGCGCCGGGTGTCTGGGGGTCAGAGCGCCGGGTGTCTGGGGGTCAGAGCGCCGGGTGTCTGGGGATCAGAGCGCCGGGTGTCTGGGGGTCAGAGCGCCGGAGGTCTGGGGTCAGAGCGCCGGAGGTCTGGGGGTCAGAGCGCCGGAGGTCTGGGGGTCAGAGCGCCGAAGGTCTGGGGGTCAGAGCGCCGAAGGTCTGGGGGTCAGAGCGCAGGGTGTCTGGGGGTCAGAGCGCAGGGTGTCTGGGGCTCAGAGCGCAGGGTGTCTGGGGCTCAGAGCGCCGGGTGTCTGGAGCTCAGAGCGCCGGGTGTCTGGGGCTCAGAGCGCCGGGTGTCTGGGGCTCAGAGCGCCGGGTGTCTGGGGCTAAGAGCGCTGGGTGTCTGGGGCTCAGAGCGCCGGGTGTCTGGGGCTCAGAGCGCCGGGTGTCTGGAGGTCAGAGCGCCGGGTGTCTGGGGATCAGAGCGCCGGGTGTCTGGGGGTCAGAGCGCCGAGTGTCTGGGGGTCAGAGCGCGGGTGTCTGGTGGTCAGAGCGCGGGTGTCTGGGGGTCAGAGCGCCGGGTGTCTGGGGGTCAGAGCGCCGGGTGTCTGGGGGTCAGAGCGCCGGGTGTCTGGGGTCAGAGCGCCGGGTGTCTGGGGGTCAGAGCGCCGGGTGTCTGGGGGTCAGAGCGCCGGGTGTCTGGGGGTCAGAGCGCCGGGTGTCTGGGGGTCAGAGCGCCGGGTGTCTGGGGGTCAGAGCGCCGGGTGTCTGTCTGGGGGTCAGAGCGCCGGGTGTCTGTCTGGGGGTCAGAGCGCCGGGTGTCTGTCTGGGGCTCAGAGCGCCGGGTGTCTGGGGCTCAGAGCGCTGGAGGTCTAGAAGTTTTGATGATGTGACAAGGTGCTATATCAAATACAAAGATTATTACGTGATCACACATGGTTTATGCAATTATTAATAGACCCCATTATTTAATTGCTTCTTTTACATTTTGCATTGTCTTGAAAGAGAAGCAGTAATACAGTCCTCTGCTAAAAGAGCTTACAAATATGTGATGTAAATACTATACATCTTATATTTTATTTGTATTATATTTATGAGCAAAAATGTAAATGATGTTTCATTTTTAATTGTTTGTTTTCAAGACTACCTCCTAGAACTCTTGTGAATGAACGACAAAAGGAAGCAGCGTCCTGATTAAAGATGACCTCAACTGATGAGGACCGTAAAAATGTGACACAAGTAAATGACAACAGTTCTGAGTTTCCGACAACAATGATCGATTCCCTAAATCCTGCACAACAGAATCTCAAATCACATTGGGATGCAATATATGCAGCGGTTAAGGATGAGATACCCTCCCTGGATTCAGACTCTTCACTTGTAAGTCAGTGCTCATTGGATTGAAAACCAATACTGATATGTACTTTATAGAGGGCTTCACTTCAGAGACAAATTAAGATAGATCGAAATACCATCTCCACTTGTTCATTCACAATACTTTTATGTTGAACAGGATTTTTTCAACAATGTTAATTGTAAGTAAACCTATGCATTGTCCTTCCTTAACTAATTTAGTTCCTTTCTTAAAGAGTTCTAGTACATCTGTGAAGCATAGACTTTAGCTTCTAAATACACAGAGAACAAGGAGCACATCCCTTATAGACTCTACATTGAGGGATATTTCAAATAGCAGATATCAAAAAATACTGACTTAATCACTGTCAATTTATGATATCAGATCAGAAACCAGTTTCATTATTCAACCGTTTATTACTGTCTTAAGTGTGATCATGTATGCAAGCACACTCTGATGAATGTAAAATCAAGTTGGAGCAGAAGTGGTGCTAGTGTTGCAGTCTATATGGTTATCCTAAAATAAGAGTTTAAGTGTAATCTGTTTGTTTCCTTTGTACAGTCTGATATAGAAGATGGTGAAATTGCTATTTTCCAGCGACATAAGTCAAAGCAAATTACCTCTTTACCGGAAGATCTGATGGATTTATCCTTAGATGATCCAGTTCTTGAGGTAAAATTCAACTGGTTTAATACACATGGTTATAATAGATGTTTCTAAATTGTAATTAACATCCCCTGTGATAGCTTGTGGGCCTTGCTCTCTATTGTTTAACACATCTGTATTTCATTCTGGTTTAGAATTATTGTCAAATGTTAATAAACTTGTTAATAAATGCCCCAATCTTTAAAATACTTGTTGATTAATGATTTTATGATATCTGCAGGAAATGCTGGAATCTGTAAGGTACTCACCAGTGGCCTGTGAAGAATACTGCACCACAGAGCCTGATATTCGAGAGAGCTTCGGAATTGAGATTTCCAGAAATAATAATAACACCAGTGCTGAGATTGATACTCATCCTGAATCGCCGGAACAACTAACAGGTTTTAGCACAGATCAGAACAAAAATCTCTTTGAGGTAAGAAGAGAAAATAGGCCACAAGGAGAAGAGTGCTGTGTCCAACAAGGAAATAAAGCTGGGGGAGACCCGTGTTTATCAGAAGCACAATTAGTTACTAGGAATCGAGAAGAAAGCCAAAGATTCAATGCCAGTGGAGATGGAAACGTAGATTTCTGGCAAATGCTATCCTCAGCATGGCTATCCAGAATTGAATCTCCACCTTCAACAATATCAACAGCCTCTGTGCAAACTAATGCAGCAAGCACTTCTGATACCATCCAGCAAAAGGCAACAACCACTGAAAATAATTTAGCTGCCATGAACCTATGTGAAAAACTCGCCAATCGTAAATCAGTTCCACACAAAACTGCACCACAAATCTTTAATGCAGCGACCAAGGAACGTATATGCACTTCAGATACTAAAATGAATGTCAAAATAGATATTTGGAATAAAAATGCATCTAAGAAGCAAGAAATACAAGGAACAAGTACAGGACAGCAAAGCAAAAGATCACCCATACTTTCTTTAGAAGTGAGTGATAATCATTTTTGTATTCTATTCACATCCAAAGGATTGATTATTTAAGAGCGCTGATTACATAAATAAAGGTATCTTCAGCTCTCACTAAAACTGCACATTTGATTAGTTCAGAATTAAACCTGCGAGGATTACATACAACTTTTGAGTGATGACCAATAGCTTCTTGTCTCTGAAATGTTGAGCGTTATGGGTAGAGGATATTGTCCTTCTTTCTGGACATTGATATTTTCTCTCCAAACTATATTTTTGTTTGTTTTCAAAGTAGTTATAAGTGTGAGTATGTCGAGTCTGTTTCAGATACAGTAGTATTGGGTCAGATCCAGTGAGCTGACCATCTATTGCTGTGGACTTTGTTTTGCAGTCTATAAGCCAAGTGGATCTGGATAGAATCCTCCAGAACTTGGAGCAGATGGAAGACAAGAACATTAGTGTTTTAGAGGACACTCCTAATAGCACTCCATCCACCTCTGGTAACAGATAACATTTCTCAAATGAGTGGTTATTTTAGGATTTAGTTATTTTAGTTCTCTCTCAATTTATCCTTCGTAGTAGGCTGCTTAGTTCTGCAGTCTTCCAAGCAGGCAGGTGAGTTGGTCTGAGTCTGACCTCGCTGTAGTTGTCCAACCAAGAGTGGGATAGTCTGTGGCAGTCAATACATTCAACCCATGTCAGCCAGCACAGTGGTTTGTCTGGAACCTTCACCACAATGTAGCCACCAACACTACTCTACTCCTTTAATGGCTTCCTTATTAATATTAGATAACTCGTTAACAAGCTATTTATCAATCTTGCACCTTACCTGTACCTCCTAGAGAAAATGTCTAGCATTATTTGTTTTTATTTTAGATAGTATAGTTGCTGGCAGCCTTTGCTTTCCAGCAAATGTTCTCGTCCCCCACATTCCTATGTAAAGTAAAGACTAGTAGCTCATACTCCCTAGAAATACAGATGCTGTAGCAGTGGTTAGCCCTTTTACCAATCTCAGAAATGTACAGATGCCTATTTCCTTGTAGTGCTACAGTACACAAGAGAAATTTGCTATCAAAGTTGATTGTAAAATCTTCAATGTAAAACAAATGAGTGACAATAATTATTGCAATTGAGTCCATAAATAGTTTTTAAAAGGGAATTGGATAAATATTTGAAGCAGATTAAGACTGGGTGTGGGGAAAGAGGAGGGGATGTGATTAGTTCCAGTAGGGGCGAGCACCAACATATATACAATGGGCAAAATTGTATTGTGAAACCTCCTTCTAGGATGTATACATTCTTGAGCAAATTGTTAGAGCATTCAGTCAGCAACCACTGAGTATGCAAATACTTCTCCAGTTCCTAGTTATGGGTAACTGTGCACTGTATTATCTATTTGCCATTTGTAAAAAATATCTATTGCTTTATTTTAGCAAAGAAAATCCAAACTATGGGCAACTTTACCGCATTTCTTACTGTAGATTATCTTACTTTGCTCTGCAGCACGTTCTTACGCCAAAAGCCAGGAGAAGCTTATGGAACAGCTGACTTTGCTGGCTATCAGTCAATCTGGAGGAATGCTGAAAGAGCTATCGGCCAAGCCCCCGTGTGATGAACAAGACCAACCCAACAAGGAAAAGTGCAAAATCAGGTGTGATTGGGGAAAAAATGGGCAATTCCAAATATTTTGTTCATATTACTGACACTAACCTGCTTTTTGAGATTGGAGTCTATAATGTACTTTGCTATTGATTTCTTACGAGATTTCTTAATAAGGAATCCAGTGGTAATTCCTTCTGGTAACAAAATATATTGTGTGGCCTCACACGAATTCTGCTCCAAGAGTGTACACGAGAGTAATTCACAATGTGTTGTAAATCTTACCGGTAACTTACTCTGGAACTCCACTCTAACACAATCTCCCTCAGGCATGTTGGAACAGAGTTTCTGCAGGTCAGAGTATTGCATATTGCTAACTGCAGGATTCCAGTTTTGATTCCTGCTTTCGACCCCATTGCCTGGTCAGAATCGCAAAGCTGCACTTACAAGGGTCCTTAGTTACATCCCTCAAATATGTTTCAAAGTTTAATATTGGAGTTCAACCTCATTTTGGTTTCAGAGATCAATCCAACAGTAATCTCTCAATAAGATGAAAACAATCTTGCTGATTGTTTCTGAACTCCTTCCCCTCTGGGCTTCCTCCTGCAATGACTTATCCTCCTCAGTCACTCTTCTCCATAGCTCCCTCTTCTTCACTCTCGATTCCCTTGCTCCCCTCACATCCCGAACTGTCTCCTACTCACATAGGTCACCATGGTACACCAGCCACCCGTTCCCTTAAAGCACAAATGCGTGCTGCTGAACACACCTGGCTTAAATCGAACTTAACGGTCCACCGGCAGATCTGGCTGGACCTTATCAAATCCCACCACTCCACCCTCGCCTCTGCTAAATTGTCGTTTTATTCCAAGACAATCTTGGAGGCCAAGGACAACCCCAGGCTCCTCTTCTCCATCATCAACCGGCTCCTCCACCCACCCTCTCACTCCTCGCCCATCTCTGTTCTCTCCCGCACCAGGTTTCGTGACCCTATTACCCCCATCCTCGCCCGACTCCACTGACTTCCCATCACACAGAGGGTACAGTTCAAGATCTTGGTCTTCACCTTCAAAGCCCTACATGGTCTTGCTCTCCACTACCTCTGTAACCTCGTAGCCCCCTACCATCCTGCCCTCTCCCTCCGCTCAGTGGGCTTTGGCCTACTTCACGTCCCCCGCTTCGCCCACCGCCCCAACATTTGCAGATGGGCCTTCTGCCACTCTGCTCCCACCCTCTGGAACTCCATCCCTCAGTCCCTCTGCCTCACCCCCTCCCTTGCCACCTTCAAGACCCATCTCAAGTCCCTCCTCTTCGACCGTGCTTTCGATCTCCCTGCTTCCCCCCCTGCCCTCAACCCTCCCCAATCCCAACCCTCAGCTCGGGTCCGAAAAACTAACTGTCCTGCACCTTGGGACGTCTTCCCAAAGTGAAAGGCACAATACAAATATAATTTTGTTGTTTATTTTTAATTATCAGCAGTTCCTCATTTCATACCATCAGTCCTGAAGAAGGCAAATATAGCTGGAAGAAAGCAGAGAGCCTGGCAATAAGAAAAACTTCTCCAATTGTTCACATTGACCTGCGGAATTGGGAGTTGGAAAAGACCACAGAATCGCAGACAGACAACAGGAACAGAAGACAAAGGCCTGCATGGCCCAATTCAGAAAGGTAGTGAACTAAACAGTGCCATACAGCACGGTAAAACATTACGTGCAGCTTCTTTTATTGCTTCAGTTATATCTGGCATCTACCAACTGCAAGTATTGAATATTGAAAAATGTAACTACAGATTAATAATACTTGAAATTGACATAGCACCTTTCACATCGGGAAGACAGCTCAAAGTTCTTCATAGGATTTACTGTCATGTGTAGTGGCTGTATTTTGTAACCGAATGCAGCAGCCAATTTGCAGACCAGAGAAATTGATATGATGGTGAGTTCCCAGTCCTGATTTTTATTACCACGTCCATTCCTCTCCACAGTTCTAGTTCTACTGAAGAAGAGGAGAACATGTCACCCCAGGACCAGAATAGAGTGAAGAAAAAAGAGTGTCTGGCTTCAGGGAATGATCGCAGGTATCAAACATGCCAAGTCTACAAAATACTAGATTAAGCATGGGAATTTTCTGAGGGTATAATTTGAATTTGTACTGTCAATCCATACTGTTTGTACTGTCATTTTAATTCAGACTGTGGAGTTGAAATTGAGGTGACTGTATAGATTTGAAGCAAATTAACAGTCTGGAAGGTAAATCCAAGCTATATATACATTTTCTCCCAAATGTAGTATCCACGTGTACTAAAGTACAACAATTTTATCTTGGTTACTACACCAACAATTTACATTCTATCACGGGGGGTGGGGCGGACATCTCAAAGGGCCACATATGACAATTATGGCAAAATGTGGTTGATAAGGCTCTGAAGACAGGCTTCAAAGGTCGGGAGGGAGGGAGCAAGTCAGAGGGACTCGAGGATGGATAATGCAGCACACATCCAGCACTGTACTGGGCTGCCAATCTGGACTGTGACCTCATGATTCAAGCTCCAGTCAAAGTCACAACCTTTTGACCCAGAGGTAAGAGTACTGGCAATTGAGCCAGCTGATACCAGCAAGAGAAGGAGGTGCATTCAGCGAATACTAACATCTGTATTTAAAGATGGATAATCTATTGTTGCTTAGCCATACTGGTAGTACAACTTGTATTATTTGCTGTACTAGGTGGAGTGGCTGTACAGGTAAAAGTATGTTGCTGAGCCAGCTCCGAAAAGCATCTAAGGAACCCCTGAAAATGGCAGACAGTACTGTGTCCATATGTTGTGCTGGAGAGACTGGTACAAATCTTGCAGAAGAAAAAACACTCCAGAAGAAGAGAAGAAAAGCAAGGACTGAAACCACGCTTGTTGATCACAAACAGGGCAACGTGTCTGTGAGTGTGGTGTCCAACACAGAGAAAGGAGGTTTGGGAACACTTAATTCATCTAGTGGCCAACAGATCTTTGAACGTAAAGAAATAGTTCCTCTTGAGACAAGGTTGAACGACACTTCAGATGCCTCTATTCATACTGTGCAGCAGAATAAACCTAGAGTGCTTGAGGGAGAGCAAATCACACAAAGGAAAGGAGAGTCTGCAAATAAAAACAGGTACTGGGGAAGTGCACGGTACTTTCATGAGTCGCCCTGTTTTCTAGCTTTATTTGTAATACTTGTATATTATAATCCAACAGATATCAAAGTAAGATTGAACATTACATAAAAATGTTTCTGGACAATTACCAATGTTCCTCCTTTCCTTCTTCAACTCTTGCAATAATGAGATTTCTCTGTAGTTTTGAAAGTAAAGTTAGATGTAATTATAGGATTCTAAAATGCTTCAATTTAAAATTTAAGCACTAGTCACAAGGTGAAGCCTAATGAGCAACACAGAAGAGAACAATGCAGAAAAGAGCAGCAGAGCCGTCAGCGACTACAAAGACACCTCAGTAACCTGAAACCACTGAGTTCCGTGTCCGGGAAGCAGTTGACCGCAGAGTCTACACCTCTGCTCTTCAGCACGGTGAGTGGGGACGGCAGGGGTGGGAGGGTGGGCAGGTAGGCAGGCAGGGGAATGACACAACAGTGCAGCAAATACCTGCAACAAGTACAGTATTTGCAATACCTGTTTAGTTATTGTTTCATTTACATTATTGATACCCATTTGCTCACTTTCTAGCAAAGCTTCAAAGAACTGAAAAGTTTGTGTGCATTCTGTGTATTGTTAAGTGTAACAAAACAGAAGTGTAGGAATTATTGGATTTTGATTAAAATGAAGGTTTCTATAGGATTCTAAATAAAATGTGGTCTTTTGTCGCTCTCTTAGCAATTTGGCTTCATGTTCCTCATCTGCTTTTAGAAATGTCTACTTGCTCCAGCTATCACTTGAACAGCTGTAATCGTCCCATTGCTTCTGGGAAATGATGGTTATTCAGTTTCTGCAAACATTATTTAAAAAAAAAAACTTATTTTATAATAAACAGACTCATTTGGCAACACAATGGAGGCTGGCATTGCCCTGCCTCTAGGCAGACTCTTGCAAAAGCAGACGCAATTCTACATAGTCCCCAAGTCTCCTTTCTGTGATTTGGAATACTTGGTAAATTTTAGCCATAATTTGTGGTAATTTATTCCATTAAGGGAGCAGCCTTTACCCTCCTTACAAAAATAGGGTCCTATGGGTATGATACAGTATGGGCACAGGGGAATGGTATGACATGTATCAGGCTAGTTTTACCCCCATTTGAATGTTTGAGTTGATATATTGAAAGATGGAGGTGAAACTGTATGCAAAAAATGAAGAAGGTGATGTAACTGTTTTTATCTATTTGTGATTTTGCTCAGGAGGCATCATACTTGCCTAACATCAGCACGTTACCTCCGAGAGGAAGAGATGAAATGCTTTTACTGACTGTCCACCTCTCCAGCTGTGGACAGATGGTCCCTAGTGGCCAGCAGACTGGACGTTTGCTGGACAGTGCACTGACTGCAGCCAACATTTACAATGCTGTGGTTTCATGGGTCCTTTCACTGGTGAGTTTCTGATTGAGACTGAATGATTCAACCAGTGTTCTAGCTGTAGAAATTCTAGGCTTACTAGTTAATATGTAATGCGTGTAATTGTGTGCATTATGTGTATTAAGGGTAACAAACAGCAGTGTGGGAATTATTGAAATTTGATTAAAATATAGGATTTTAAATAAAATGTGGTTCTCTGTCTCTCTTTTAGCAATTTGGCTTCATGTTCCTCATCTGCTTTTAGAAATGTCTATACCTCTGTCGATTCACTAGATTTGTTATTTTTAACCATTAGGAACAGAGTGACTTTGTTTTCTCAAGATCCTGAAGTGATCCGCTGCTTGACTTAATTTAAAACATTTTTGTGGAATGAATTTACATTCTTTTTGCTCCTTCACATGTTCTCATGCATGCCAACATCTGCACTGATGAGCACGTTCAGACATCCCGATATAAGGAAAACTATTAAACTGACCAAAAATATTTTCAAGTGTTGTATAACTACACTATAATGTAGTTGTCTGGCTCTAATGTCTCAGACTGCATTATAACAAAGCTTAAAAAGAATGACTAAAGGTTATCAGGTTGTTGCTGGTATCACTGACAACCCCACACAGCTTTTTCCATTCACCTTTGCTTTTCACGTAATCCGGAAGTGCTTCATACTAATTGATGCTTTGTACCTAAAATGGGAATGTGTTCCATCACCTTAATAAGTACAGAATAACCTTGTAGTTGGACTCTTCAGAGTTCGTGGCACTGTCAGAATTGCCTAAACTAATTATTGCCTTGGAACTTGATACCGACCCCGACCCCTGACCCCCAGCTCAGGTCCGTGACTCTGTCTGTCTAGACCCTTGGGACGTCCTCCCGACGTGAAAGGCGCTTTACAAATGTAATGTTGTCGTTGTTACTGGAAGCTAAACAAACTGGGGAAATAAAACTACGTCATTGTATTTGAAAAATAATACTGTAAGAAAATTAAGTTGCACACTAAGACGAGTGGATTGTATTTATGAAGTAACTCTTTTTTGGTTGATTAGGTGACCGTTCCTACCTGTTCTGTGAATCGATCATATGGAGATTGCTCTGAAGCTGAGGTGGTCGCACCATTTCAGGTGGTGGGTCTCCAACAGACCTGGCGTGAAGATGGGCTAGCTTTTTACGTCTGTGTGATACCAATGTGTGAGGGTTTTGTCCAGCCTATCTACAGCAGGAATCGAAAGAACAGGGTCAGTGATGCCCTACTCAACTATGAAATACTTTAGCGTGCGAGTATTATACTGATAATATGATAATAATAATCCTTGCATTTGATATAGCACCTTGTCACGTCATTGAAACGTCTCAAAGCGCCTCACAGAGCACACTGTAAAGTGCAGTGACTGAATATTTTGTGAGCGAAACGTTCCAGCCAATTGCACACAGCAGTGTCCCACAAACAGTCATGGATTGAAGTGACCAATATATTGTTATTATTTTTTTTTGAAGGGATTATTACCCCTGGAAAAGCGATCCACCAATCGACTAACAACACGGTTTCTACTTACTGCTAGGTAAACAGAGAGGTGTGGAGTAAGGAAACTTGCCCAACATTTCGCCTTGCCCGAGAATCGAACCCAGGTCTCTCGCTTACTAACTGTGTATTGTGCTGTTAAGTTCTTAATGATGTTGAGAAACTGAGAGATCTAAGGGCAAATACAGTACATCTTTAAAGGTGAAATGAAATGCAACAGAAGTATCTTTCTGCTACAGTGTAATTTTGAAACCCTATGAATTCTAATGTCTTTGCCTGCAATATTGTCCAGCCAATTCCTATGCATCCATCCAGTCAGTTTGAAGGTGGGCAGTAAATTGATGTCATTGTCCCCCAGAGGTTTCCTGAGGGTTCGGAGGTAAGTGGCTGATTATGTGATTGCTGACTGGCTGTCCGGGTTTGCCTCTTCTCTTTGATTATTTTCAGGTAAAGGAAGAGTTAAGAGGCACCTCTGCATTTTATCAGCTGGTTGTGAAATTCCTATCACAAACTAGTCTGAAACCAGTGATCTGGTGGAGTGAACAGCTGAACAATCGTCTTTCGGAACAATTGTGTCCAATGCACGTGTGCCTTCCTTCTGCTCGCCTCAGCTCCGTGATTTCTGTCAGTCCAGACACTAAGGTCAGCCAGTGGATAGTGTTTGAATATATTGTGGCTAGTGGTGATATATGGGATTTTTTTAAAAAAACCTAATGGATTGAAAGCTTTAAAGAATACTTGTGATATAGAGTAATGCTTTATTACAATTTAGCAGTGTTATTTGGTGTATATCCTATTTGATGGCTAAATGTCCATCATTATAAATAATACTAATAATGCTTGCTTTTGATATAACGCCTTATCACGTCTTTGAAACATCTCAAAGCACTTCACAGAACATGCTGTAAAGTGTATTGACTGTATATTTTGTGGGCGAAAAGCGACAGTCAATTGCACACAGCAGTGTCCTGCAAACCATTGTGGATTGAAGTGACCAATTTATTATTATGGTTTGAAGGAATTATTACTAAACTACAAATCAATTATGAATAAGTTTGTCTTTATGGTTTGGATTTAATTTCATTCTTAGTTTTTGGCTCTTATACAGGCCGTTGAAAAAGTTTTTAAGGTTCAGATTGGGTTTTACTGGCAAACAGTGGAGACCGAGGAAAACTGCTGCCCCAGTGCCGAGGAGATTGGGGAGAATTGTAAGGAGAATCCTGAGGTATGGCAAGGTGATCATTCGCTTCCTGGGCCTAATAATTCAGGCATTAATAATGTGATAGGGAGAGAGTTGTCCAACGTAGGAGCATTAAAGTGCATAATCTCTGTGCCATAGGAGCCACTGGGCGCAAATTCTAGTGTTGGTAAAAAAAAATCCAATAACAGTACAATGACAATTCCCATTAACAATACTCCAAATCAGAAAGAACCCAGTCTCAGAGAATTTTCCTATCCAACGAATAATATTATAATAGAATAATTCTGTTAAAAAGTACTGATTTACCAATAGCTAAGGATGCACAGTGGAACTTGGTATCAGTCGATTGATTGAAGCATTAATTCTAATATTTCTCTACTCTCAGGTTACCATGGCACTAGTGTTTGAGAACTTGTTCAGTGATCCCATAGCATTTCACCACGTGCTGCAGCTCATCCTAAGCAATGGTATAGATATCTGTGGTCTTCGACTGCTGTATCCAACACATAGCCTCCTGACTGACAGCACAGGTAAGGGAACTGCAGCACCAAACACCTGTGGTGATTTTCCGTGATTACGCTAGGAGAGAAAAGTATCTCATTCAGGGAGTATATTTGCAAAGGCTGCACATTTATATGTAATTATTTATATTGGGTGGGAGGGTGAAGAGTTGAGCATTTAAAGGCTTATTGAAGTTGTTTGAATGGGCTTAATTGTTATAATGTCGTGTGCTGCATTGTTATGGCAGACTGAAGTGTTCCCACAAAGTCTACTGTACACAATGAAGTGGCCACTAAAGCTTCATTTCACACACTAATAATAATCCTTGCATTTGATCTAGCGCCTTATCACGTCTTCAAGACGTCTTTACTCCCTTTAAGTGCACTCTAACGTACATTTCTGTGTTCTCATTCGGATTTTGGTTTCTTTAGGTAAACTGCCTTCTACTTATTGCTCTGATGATACAAAAACAATGCCTGTATTGGCATTGGCACTGAGAGGTGCAAATGCCCGTGTATTGTGGATGGACATTGTAGGACCATTTGATCCTGGGGTAGCCAGTGTGACAGATCGGCATTCCATAAATGCGTTGTACTGCAAGAGTCGTAGTGAGCCACTCCTTTACTCCCCGCGCCAGGAGAGTCGTATCTACTGGGAGCTGTACGTGTGGTTCGGTGGGAGGGTTCCTGAAGATGGGATTGTGCAAGTTGGCATTCAGAATCCTGTCAGGAGGACCAGGTTCAGATCCAGGTATGTGGCACCCTGTACAGGAAGGGCGTGTTTGTTCATCCAATGCAAATAAATCTAAAACAGGCGTCTATCCCATTCATATATGAGCAACAGGATCCATCGTACCTTTCACAGAATCAGGAAAGAAGGGTCATTAAATCTAGGTTTGTCACTTGAGAGGGAAGGTAGCAGAAATAGCTTCTCTTAGATGTTATGTTTTCCTACATTAGAACACTGAATCCTTTGACCGTGGCAACACTTAAAAATGAATAGGACACGTATTCGAAGATAAACAAAATAAAAGGATGTGAGACTACAGTAAAAAGCTGAGAGCCATTTAGATATGAAAGCAGTGGCAGCTCCTAAAATACAAATTGACCACAGTTTTAAACAAGCAATTCTTCCATCAGGAATTATACTGTTACTGTATCAGCCTGTTTTCTCTCTTTCTCTAGCTCTCTGACTCTAACTTTTGTTCTCCTACAAAAACATAGTCACTGCACTTCACCGTAAATCCTGTGAAGCTCTTTGAGCCATCCTGCTGTGAAATGTGCTATATCAAACATGCCAATTATTATTATCATTTAATTCTTTACTTTCAGATCAAACAGTCCACAGCCCACAGGAACCCACACAAACTCCAGACAGGATAGGGGTGCACAACAGATTATACCCTGCAGACCTCCTGCTACAGTTGTTGCAACCATCAAAGGTAAATGCTCTGCGACTCCCAACACAGAGAGAAGAAACAGCGTGGGGCAGATTTAGTGGAAGGGAGGGAGATGTGGTGATGGAGGTGAGGAAGTCATCAGTGATGGTCAGCTCGGAGATGTCACGACCTAATGTAACGATGAAATCAAGGGAACTGGATTCTGTGTTTGCTGTTTCATACTTTCCACAGACTCAACAAGTTTCTGAACACAAAAACAGAAGTCGCTGGGAACACTCAGCAGGTCAGGCAGCATCTATGGAGAAAGGAAAGTGAGTCAACGTTTCGGGTCCACGACCCTTCGTCAGAACTGCATCTGTTCTGACAAAGCCTGACCTGCTGAGTGTTCCCAGCGACTTCTGTTTCTATTTTCAGATTTTCAGCATCTGCAGTATTTTGCATTTTCTCAACAAGTTTCTACCCTATTCTAGACCGCAAACCATTGAACAAATCTTTCAAAAGTTCAAGTTGGAGACACTACCTGAATTGATACAAGTGATAAGGGAATGGGACTTGATGGTTTTATCACTGAGCAGAGCTGTCCACTCTAATCTAAAGAACTATGGATTAAGTTGGCAAAGGTTAAATATACTAAAGGAACAAGCATCCCGTTTGAAATGTGATTCAGAATGCATGGTATCAGGTTAAACTTACTCTACTGTAACTGGTGCTTTCTGCCAAGAAATCAGCAACCTGAAGGCCACAATCAACAGGATTTCACTATATAGTTATTTTTGATGTAATTTGTTTGTTTCTTTTTCTATTTCCTAGCTGACCTACTGCTGCTGGTATCGCCTGCTGTGCCTCTGAATTGCTGTGGTGATATCCTGTCAGTCTGTACCAGACGGGGATTCAGTCTGCAAGGTGTGCGACGTTTGCGTCTGACTCCAAAGCGAGCCAACAGTCTCGGCATCGGGAGTAAGCAGGTACAACAACAACATTCCATTTATTGAGCGCCCTTCACGTCGGGAGCACGTCCCAAGGCGCTGAGGTAGGAAACGATTGGTAAAGCATGGATTTTAGTTGGGAGCATGTTTGCTGTTAGTCTTATCAAATTGTTTCTCAATGAGTTTCAAAAATTGTGACATTTTGCCAGTACTAGTGGAAGGCTGTATGTAGAGCAATGAAAAGTAACTGCAATCTACTTTTAAAAAGCGATATTGTTATCAATATATTTCTGTTAACTTGCAGATCTCAGTGTTTTGTCGAACATCCAGCAATGGATCCTTAACTTCACAAGGCTCTGCTGTTGATGAGTTGCCTAGTCACTGTTTTTTAATGCTGCTGAGAAAAGAGAATGTTTGTCATCATGTTCCCAGTTTACTGAAAGGTACAGCGTTGAAATGATTAACCGATATGGCTTTTTCTTTGCCTCTTTGTGTTGACCTTTGTAGTTATTGCCATCCCTGTGTTTCTACAATTTCAGTCAGGAGTCGTTTCACAATGTCTGGGTTACTATTCTTCTGCAGGATTAATGAATGAACTGTCTGAACAGGGCTTGATTGGAAGTGTACAGAGCAGACTTCCCCACATCACTGAATTTGATATTGGATTGTGTTTTCATGTGGTGCCTTACACTGACCACATTCTGCAGGGACTAGGTAAGGACTTTCCAGTAGCCAGGTAAATATCTTTTTCAAATCATAACTTAAAATAGCCTAACAGATAAGATGGTTCAAGCTGGACAAACAGCAGGAGGCTTGCCAGACAGGGCTTTCAAAGATAAGCTATGTGGTTTTAGCTGGTTAAAAATCAGCAGTACCCCAATCCACACTCTAGCATCCCTAATAGATAAGTAGGGTATGTCCCTCTGGGAAGAGAGCATTCTATTCCAATATACAGGAATTTCCATATGTAATTGGAATGCATGGAGCTCTGTTTGGTTTGGATACTTTTAAGCATGGTGATGGATTTCCATATCTATTTAAAGGCATTTTAAAACACGACAACGCTGGAAGCTCAATGATATGTTTTGAAGCACAACATCCTTCAGAAATAATTCAACCTCAGATTAGGTCTTTCCTATAACTGACCCATCAAGTGTGATTCTGGACATTTATAATCTATCTACATCTTCATCTGAATGTTACCCTTTAAAACGTTTACTTATATATTTCAGATATGGTTCAGCTTTGTGTTCTTAGATTGCTCTCAGTGATTCATTTACCATTATGTGATTGTTGCCGGTGGCAGGAGGAAGTCTGAGTGCAGTGGCTGACTCTGCCAGTCTCACACTGGATGTGCTCTATAAGCACAGCTACATGTCCAACCCCGAACTGGAGCAGGTTGTCGTTCTCACAATGACTGGGCACAAAACCATGAAAGAAGCCGGGATCGGCTTGCGGGAGCTTCTGCGTCCTACAGTGAACCAATCACAAGGTCAATCTGGTAAGACCATTTAACATATATTAAAGGAGGAGTAAAGTCTAGCAGAAAAACTTTATCAGAGGTAAGAATCGCCTTACCTTCCAGTGCAGCAGGCTTAATAATTTTGTTAAATGGAGAAAATGTATTTTGTGAACTTTTCACTAATCAGAAAATCAATAGCAAGTAGTCACACAAATAAAATAAACACAATGAATTAAAGTGGAAATTCAAAAAATATTTCTTTACACAAAAGATGGTTGGATTGTTGTTAAGGCCAAAAATTAGAAAAGTACAAAAATTATTTGAAATGGGATTTATGTAGATACCTGAAGGAATAGTGAGTAGGAACATGGATTTCAATTAGGTGACTCATGTGGAAAAACGTTAGTGCAGATTTGATTCACTAAATGGGTTGTTTCTATACTGCAGCATTAATGATCCTTTGAATGTCTTTTGCTAATTTCTGCGCTTACTTCCTCAGAAAACAATATGGCAGATGGAGGTTTTGAACTGCTAGGCTTGAAATGGTTGCCGCATCTGAGCAGCAGCCAGGCCAAGGAACTAACCCCATTTGAAGTGGGCGACCGACATTGGCAGGGTAGCATTGACTGCCTGGTGTCCAGCCCAGCTCTTGTATGTGTGCTGCGGCGGGTCCGTGCCTTTGGTGTGTTGGCTGAAATTCTAAATACAACTAACTCCAAAGTCAGTCTACTCAATGCAAAGCAAAGCAACCTGGAGAAAATCATGTCACCAACTCCAGAGATAGCTTTCCGACAAGCTGCTTTATTCTTCACTGACCGGGAACTAGTTTCAGGTATGATGCATACATATTACGTAACACATCTTTAACTCCGAGTGAGGAAGATCTAATCTATAAGGGATGCAGTTACAACATAACCAGAAATAATCATAGTTTTCCACTGATCCATTTAACTGATAGTTGCATTGTTTTGACATTTCAATATTTCGCCCACAAAATCTGCAGTCAACTCACTTTACCGTATATTCTGTGAAGCGCTTTGAGACATCTCAAAGATGTAATAAAGTGAAGTGCTATATCAAATGCACGGATTATTATTATTCTGTACACACTTTCTACTGTCCTCAGATCCAAGTGCCCGACCGTTACTGAAGTACATTGCACCCTCTCTCAGCTCGGGGAACACTGCAACAGGTACATGTAATCAATTGCTGACTCTGACTATATATCACTGTGTGTTTGTGTATCTTTAATATAGATTTATAACAGCTGAAAAATCTCATCCGCATGATCTACAGTGAAGATAATGGGGTCCATGATTCGGACGATGCTGAGAAAAGTGTAGATCGTATTTATGCACAACTAAATAAAGAGAATTATAAAAACATAGTATTAAATGATGATTTTTGTAGTTACCATCCATGTATTACTTTCACTGTTGCTATTCCTGTTGACCTTGCAATGTGCTGTAGGTATTGTTGTGCCTTAGCTTATGCATGTGACTATATTCCTCATTACTCCTTTGTATCCACCATTCCTAGCTGACTCTTATCAGACCTCTTCCTGTTTCAGGGAAAAGATCACAAGCTATCAACAAAGAGTCTATCTTTACCTACATGTTGCTTGGTAAGCGCTGGCTACATTTACAATGATTATTTATTTTTCTTTGTTAGCTCTTTCCCATTGTTGTTTTTGTCCTTGAATCACAAAATCTAATTTTGGTTCTCTCTTCGTACTTTCTTTCTTAGTCCTCTTCCATCATTCACTCTTCTTTTTCTCTTTTCCCTCTAATCTGTCTTGTTTTTCTTATGTCCCTGGCTCCCCCCAGCCCCGTCATTGCATTATTCGTTCACTCCGCGATCATTCTATCTCTTTAGTGTTGTAATGATTTGAAATTCACTGGTGAAGCTAGGCACGCAAATATCAGGTTTTAATAAACTTCTCATGTACTGAATTGGTTTATGTAGAACAGTGGCTCGAATAGTTTTGCTATTAGAGCTCAAAAGAATCAGAAAACTCTTTGTGACACTTATCCAACCTTACTGCTATTTGTTAAAGGAGCCCAACCCTTGCTTACTGTGCTGGTGATCAAGCCCTCCACTTTGCCCCGGCATTTCTCCAAGATTCTCCACAAACTAGACCTGGAGCACTTCTATATTGTTGGTATGAAATTGGTCAGTCTGGACAAAGAGAAAGCCTCCCTTCTGTCTCCGTCCAACATACAACAGGTAGTATATGTGGCAATGAAATAATTTGCTTTCTTCCAAAGGTATGGGCCGTCCTCCTGACGTGAAAGGCACTATACAAATATAATTTTGTTGTTGTTGTATGGCTCTTGTGTTTCTAGTTGTCTGTTCCTGTATCTATACTGAACATACAGAGATTAGAGAATGCCTGCATACTATATAGTTCCCAAAAGTGTTAGGTTTTCACGTTGATAAATTGCTGTTATAAGCTCTGAAGTTTCAGTGAGCAATGAACCATGTCTTTATCTGCTGGTATTCCTGAAATATATGATTTTAAAAATATAGATATTAAATAATACCCTGGAGAAATTAGCGTTTGATGCATCTTGGGTAAGGAGGATGTTTTGTTATGAGAATGGACTAAAAGTTAACACCATGTGCATGGTTTTACAGTTATTTTTCTCCATGAAACAAAAAATAGACAGTGTGGTTGCTGATTTTGTAAGCATAAGTATATTTGGGCACGAAGTCTGAGATGAGAGTTTGATTACTATTTTATGGTGAAATTCGATTGAAGTCAAGTCAAAAAGCAGACTTCACCATCCAGTGTTTCAGCACTACCTATGAGTTACTTGGTGAGATGCATTCTGATCTCTTAATAACTGAAATCTAACATCTGTTTTCAGGAACCGGATTTGATGAGCCGCAGTGTTGATTCCCTGACCTCAAGTCCCTCAGCCATTTTGTGTGTTCAACGAGAAAATGCTGTGAAAAAGCTGCTTGACTTGCTTGGACCGGAAGATCCCCATGAGGCCAGAGCCCTGAACCAGTTCCTATGGAGAGGTCACTGTGGGACAGACCTCGTCCACAATGGCTTCTATGGTACGTCATTTAACAGGTTTAATACAACGCATGTCCATTATTCTTATTTTACTAAGCATAACTAGGATGGATCTTGTTGTACCCAAGTTGCTTCATCACTAAATCTACAACTCTTTATCCTATCTATCCATCTCCATCTTCTGAAAGACTCTCAAGTGACTATATTTGGTCTTCTCAGGTCATTTATTCCATATTCTCACAATTTGTGTAATATTTGTTTTCTGGATTATTATGCCACTGAATCAAAACTTAATAGGGGTTCATTGCAGACTGTCTGAAGTACTATTACTTTTATCTTAGAGCTCTGGAACGCCAACCTGCAGGAGGGGCGCTATATAAATGCAAATTGTTGTTGTTTCTGAAATGTATAGATTTAGAAAAGCCTGGGTAGCAGAGTAAAACATCTCTGTAAATTATGCTGGTTGGTGTCTGCCATCTCTGGTACAGGATAACTCTGTGTACAACTGCAGTGATGCTGTAACTCTCTGTGCTTTCTTATTTCCAGGTTCCCAATCTTATAAGACTGCAGTCAGGGATGTGCAGATGTTTTTCCCGGAAGGACTGTGTTGTGAAGAGTCTCAAATGCTGCAGAATGAACAGGTGAAGCAGAGGTAGACGTACAGACTGGTTAGGACACTCTTTTGGCATAATGATGGGTTTCTGCTCGTGTCAGACACCTGACTGACCTAAAAGAAAATAATGTATTGCTCAAAGCATTAACTTGCCTTGACCTGTATATTAAATATTGCTCGGAATTATCCTGGCCTTGTGAGGCAGCATTTCCTCCTGAATTGCCTTGGCTGTAGAGTTCAGTAATTAATTTTTGTATCTGCTTCTCATTTTCAGATTCTCACAAAAAAAAGGATTTGCTGATCAGCCCTGAATTCACACATAATCGCAAGCTTGTCAGACGTTCCTCTCTTGCTGAGTCCCAGGCAGTAACTGTTGCATGGAGTGGACAACAAGGTAATCCCATCAAACCTTATAGAATCCAAATAACAGTTGATCAACTTGCAAACCACAAATAAATAGGAGTTCTGTACATTTAGGTGCAATGGCAGGATAACTGCTTTCTGAATCATGTTTGCATTATCCTTAAAATAATATTTTTTGACCAAATGTTAATTATTGCTGCACTCACCTAAATTCACCAAAGTGAGAAACTCAGAAATCAATCAAGTGTATAGTATGATTCACAGTGGTACAACTCCCTCATAGACACAACAATAAGATTAGGAGCCAATTGATTTGATTTTGAGGATCAATTTGGATTAGGAAGACAAAGTTTCCCCTTTAATACTGTCAAAGGACTTTATAAGGTCAGGCTCTAATCTTTTACACACTTGTTATAATAGGAAGGATTGAAAGACACAGGATTGCTTTGGCTCATGTCACTTTCATGTGGAGACAGTACAAGCTCTATATGGGAGCCCTTAGAAAGTGAGGACAACATGAGTGCTCAATTTAAATTTTTATCATTGATATGGATTGCACCTGGAGGGGAAATTGTTAGCACTTTGCATTGTCCTCCCATCTCCAAGGCTTGTTTAAAATCCAACTCGGACAGAAAGGTAATGAAGTAAATGACCAATTTTATTTGGGAGATTATTGGCCAGGACACTAGAGAAACTCCCTTCCCTTTTTGAGTAATGCCATGAGATCTTTAATGTCCATGTGAACAGGAATATGGACCTCAGTTAAACATCTCATCCAAAGGATGGCAATGCCACACATCACTAGAACTGGATTTGGAGTGTTAACAACTCACTTTGTGAGTTCAAAGTCCTGATGTGGGGCTTGTAACCATAACCTTCTGGTTCAAAGGTGATAGAACCAGCAATTGAGCCAGGATAATATACTATCTGGGAAATAATATAGAAATCGATTGCACAAAGATGAAGGAGATTCAAAAATTGCTGTCTTCTTGTTTATCTCACTGGTGTATGACTACTGCCATTTGTATTCAGTCCAAAGATATGTGTGTGTGTATATATATATATATAAAGATTATAAAAAGTTAAAATGTGTAGTGCATTTCAAATCATTTTCTAATGTAATTATACTAACATTTAACATCTGGCATCTCTGTCCCCTTTTTCTACAGGCCTTTGTCAGACACTTGCTTGTTGCTACCCGGTCCCTTTTTCAGCAGGAGCCACCATCCACCGTACATTGAGGTTATGGATCACCTGGCAGGAAGCAAATTTCTGCTGATGGGCGCACGGATGGGAGTTCTAGACCTGTCCCAAGCTCAGCATGTAGCGAAGCTACTCACTACTCCAGACAGCAGCTCGACAATGGTATACACCCACAGACCTGGGGGCACTCAGAGGGGCTGCTCATGCAGTGTAACCATAGGTAGGGTAGGAGAGAGATACAAGTACTGTGACAAAAATAATCTCAGTATTTAAATTGTGTTAGCAAATTTCCAAGGTGAATTAGTTATTTGGCAACTAAATTATTTGAAAAGATTGAGAGAAGTGATTAATTATTATGGACCCTTCAGGCCATTTCATCCTTTCAGAACATCCACTCTACCATCCTGCCATTGTAGCATCAAGTTGCTTTTTCCTGACTGCGCTTGGGATACAGGTGTGTGACGTGTGCTGATCTGTCACGGTCCCACTGTATCTGCGATGCTGTTGTCTTTGGCAGGAAATGTTGTAAATATACTGTTTGCTTTTTTTTGCAGTGCTCATTGCTCACAAGTGGTCCCTGTTTGTTTCTAGCTCTGGAGAGAGATAATGCCATCTCTTGTTTCCACATACTGTTAAACAGGTGAGTATATTCTAATCAGACTCCCAATGGTAATGGGCTCTTCCTGTCACTGTCTGCAATGTTCCTTGTTCTCTGTTGATGTGGAAATGCACTGGGAGATAAAACAACCCTGAATTACTTTAGCATCTACTTTCGAGTTAATGTTAATGAGAAAGCTGGTGCCTAATGCGATTCTGATATGAGAGGAAGGTTAGGAGGCAGGGGCATTGCAAAATACAGTAGTAATTTAGAAAAAGATCTGCATTGCAATACCACAATGTTACAAAGATAGGATGACCATGCTACCTGTTATGGATAGTGCAATGTCAAAATACGCAGAAGCCTAGTGTTTAAAATATGGCAAAATGTGCAATGCAATTAAGATCTGAAACTCTCTTGTAGTGTGTGCTCTTATTTTACCCATTATTTTCACTTCCTGTGGGATGAAGAGCCTACACAGTAGATAAACCATTGCCTGAATTGGTAGGAAAATCAGAATTTGAATTAAAACCAATCAGCAATTTGTTTAGGTCACAATTATCTAATCAACACTTCTGCTCTGTTTCAGCATCACGTGGGACAAATTGCAGCTCCAGGAATACCTGCAATATCTCATCTACCCAAAGACTGAGAAACAGGCAAGTGATCTGTATAGCATTCTCCAGCACAGACTTCATTAGCAACATTGGGGATTGTCTGGCCAGTTTATATCCTCATACGTGTGGTCACACATCAACCATCTGACAATGCAGTGCTGGGGTGTCAGTCTGGACTACAAAGGAATGGAGATTATGTTCATCATAGCAGTTCCGTAATCGCTTAGAATGCATTTGCTAGCTCCAGGCTTCTTCGTGTGATGCCAACACAGCATTTAGGAAACATCCTTATGGTAGAAAATGCCAGAGGCTGGCAAGCACAGATAAGAGATAAAACAGTGTTAAATGTGACATTAATACCTAGTTAAGCAAGAAAGTACAGTACAAATGTCTCATAAGCACTGCACTAGGTACAATGTGAAGTTAATAAGATTTCACATTCCATTGAAAAGTAATGATACAGAACAAACACGTTATTCACCATGTAAAGATTGGGTTAGATTGTTGCTTGCTAGCTCTGGGATTATTGCTAACTTACTGTGTTTGCGTTTCTGACAGGCGGAACAATTACTGTGTTGTCTGTTTGATACCCTGGCTCCTCAGAGCATTCATCGGATTCTGCACCAGGATTCCAAGCCTGATGCAGGAGCAGCACTTGTACTGTAATCGCTGGATTCCTTCCTGGCTGTTTGTCTCAGAGCATCTGTGGACTAGGAGACAATTCCCCAACTTCACAGTATATCACCAGATTCACTTCTCCCCACAAGGATCTGAGGAAATGGTTTCAAGTAACATAGAAAATTATTTTACTCTTGATGTACGTAACTTTTAAGTTTATGTTCACTTTAAGGTTCTCACCAATTTTTATTTTACCACATTTATTGTTCTGTTTGTTTTATTTAATAATATGGGCCTGATGGAGCAGTAATACCGTTCTTCCTAATTCTGCTGGTATTCAATTTGTAAAGCATTACCACAGTTTGCTCCCCAGCAAGAATCAGAGATTAACTTTGTCTGAGCCTATCTATCCTCTGGAATCAATATAGCAGCAGCATGTCATGAAGGATTTCATGTTCAATCATTTCCTACAATAGGGAAAATGTACACCTGATTGTTCATTTAAATTAACAATTAAGTTTCCTGCATGCTTAGTTTGATTTTATTATTCAACAGTTTATTTTGTAAAACTGAATTTTCATATCCTATAACAAGAGATCCCAAAACAAAGAGCAAGGATTCTGCTTTTCTATTTAACATTAAATATTTAAATGGATTCTGTATCTTAGTTCTTCAGGAACAAATAAATCTATGTAAATTGCTTTTTGTGATGTTGTATTCCTCAGTGACATTTCTGTACCTAGTCAGCAATGGCATCGGAAGGCATGGCTCCAAGTGCTGTGGTATCTCATTATTGCAGTATAGCTTGGCTCAATTTTGTTCACCTTCAGTCTCATACGGCAACTGGTGAGTAACCATTGTCCCATCAGAATGCATTTCCACAGTATGAGGCGAAGTGTAATTATTGCCTTCCATTTGCTCAAGTTCAACAAATGAAGCTGTGCTAGTGATGTGGCTACCAGCAATACTAAATTAATTTACTGCTTCATGAGCAGGAAATTAAGACTGAGGCAAAACTGGATGCCTTTGAATACTGTATTTAACAATAAATCCTCTGGCACAAAATAAGCCTGACTGTTCGCACTTTGCACTAATATCTTGTTTGCAGGATGACAGCTCCAAGCACTTTACAAAGATGATGTGATCAAGACTCTCCTCACTTTCAAGTACCCCCATATGAAAAAAAATTCAAGAAGTATAAGCATTGGTTTACTCTTTTTTTAATAAAACTTAGCCAGAAACTGGAGAGTACTGTTCAACTAGGCAACATTGCTTGCAAAGTCTGGCATCTAGGAAGCTGCAAATAGATTTTCCTCTTCAAGCAGTTTACACATCTACTCCCTCAGCCAAAATACTGAAAGTCAACAACTCTACAGAGCTGCACACATGATCAGTAGTTCATAGAAAAGGTCATCTAAAATGTAAGAGGTTTCTAACATGATGGTCCACACCGCTCCGGAAATAAATCAGATTGTAGAAGTGTTCCCAATGGGTTGGCATTACTCAGATTTGTTATTGAAGGAACCTGCTGGATATCCCACTCTGAGACCCGTACAGACCAATCACAACACTCAGCCTTACACCAATGCTGCCTGGTTTCACAAGCCAACAGTAACCTGCATCCAGGAGTCCCGTCATGTACATTGAGTATTACAGAGGTGGCAGACTTCTGGTCTACAGGTTTGGATCTGAAACTGACTACATTAAGGTTTACAAATAGAGGCTGGTGAAGTGTACATCAAATCCATTTTCAGAAGAAATTAAAGCGAAATTCTCCTTGGCCGGTTTGGAAGAAACCACTCTCCTTTCTGATACCAGTCTGTGAATCTGTGGTGCAGGATTCCTGGGAATGCTTACTGCTCTGCGTCGCACATTTCCGGAATACTTTCCCTTTTGGCGTAACTCCATCTGTTTTAATACTGGCACATTTTGCAGCTGAAACAGGAGAGACACAAATTGCAATGAGCCGTGGACCAGCCTTTATCCTCACCCCCCACTGCTACCACAGCACCACCAATCACCATGTACTGCCATGTCAGACGGATTAAAGCTCCTCTCACCTGTCTCCATTAGTTTCAGCTGTCTCTGCCAATCTACCTCCATTTTCTTCCTGTAGTCTCCAAACATTAATCGCATGAGCTGCCGCTTTTTGACGAGTGGAGCTTTCTTACTACGCAGGGTCCTCACAGCGCGCAGTGCTTCCTCAGCTGAAAGGCAGAAAGCAGTAAATCAATAATCCTGACAGCAGCTTTATACAGGCCACAGCTCAAGGCAGAGCTGGGCTCTGGCAGAGGCCACCGTCTGGTTTTACAGAACAAACAATTCCCAAATCTGATTTTCTCAAACATAGTTGTGAGATTTGTTAGTCTATCTAACTGCATTGTCAATTTTGAACTTTTAAATAAGAGAAAGTAAACCCAGAATAATACTTTCAACTCAACTGAAAAATGCCACCTTGGACCATAATCACCCTCCCAGTGCTGCATTGGAGCATCAGCCTCGACTGAGAGCTCAATACCCGATGTGAGGTTTGAAGCCCACTGCTTTCTGACCTAGATTTGAGAGTGCTGCTGCCTGAGTCAAGCTGACACTTGCCAATCTGCTGTCTGGTGGCACAGTGAGAACATGTGAATCTCTGCTATGTTGAAAGCCAATGACTTCTCTAAACTATGGTTCCACATGATTAATGCAGAACTGAAACATCATATGCAATTCCAGCTCTGATCAACAACAACAATTTACATTTATATGTTGTAGCGCCTTTCGGGTTGTAATCACAAACAGTCGGGTGATCTTCAGCTCCAAGCACACACCTTGTTTCTGATTGCTCTTCTGAGTGCGCAGCCCCAGCTCCAACTGTTCAATACACCAATCCACCTCCCGCTGCAGTTGCTCCTCTGGAGACTGGAAGTGGGGAGAGAAAGAAACGTAAGCTGTGTTGGACTTAAAACATCTACTCTGTAAAGAATTTATGGACTCCGCTTCAATACAGATTGTGGCAGAAAATTCCATATTCATATCCATTTTTGTTCTAACCTCCTCTTTAACCAATGGACCAAAAAGTTTGCAGACTACTATACAACGCTATCTGCTTCATTAGCTGTGTAAACTACTTCAATCTGAACAGGATGATCACCTTACCTCTTCTGAGCTTGAATCTGTGCCCCTTGCTGTAGAGTTTGTAGTGATGTCAAGCATATTAATGGAGTTTAGTTTGTTTATACCCCTTATAATCTTAAAGCGTTCAATAAGATCTTCCCTGAGCCTTCTCTTCCCCATTGGGAACATTGAAAGCTTCTGTATTCTCTCATCAGAACTGAGCTGCCTAATTGTAGACATCAATCTTGTTGCACTTTCTTTAGTGTAAACCAGTCCTTACTGTAATACGACAAACAGAGCTGTGATGAAACATCGAGTTGGGTTTGACTCTACAAGTCCAGCGTTACGTTCCTGTGTATCCTTGTAGCTCTATATCCCAAGATCCTTTTTATAATCTACAACAACAAACAACAACTTCCATTTATAAAGCGCTCCTCACACAAAATAGCATCTTAAGATTTATCCACTGCTACTCGCAGGTCCCTCTCCTGTGTAATTATTTTCATTTAGTTGTCATTCCTACAGCACTCTACCACCCATACAGCCACCAGACCAAACCTTCAATCCAGTTTTCTGGATTCAAATATTGGTCCTGATATATTAATCCACTGTACCCATCAGGCATCCTCCTTCTTCCCCCCCACACCCATACAAACACACACCTCCCCATTACATCCCACTTTGGAAAGTTTTATGTATCCATACCAGAGATGGTTCTTTGCTGGAGCTCCTCCACTGTCCTGGCTTTCTCCTTCCTGATGTGCGTCCTTGGGTGTGTTTTCAGCAGCTGGCTTGTGTGAGATTTTTTTTTCTTCTTTTTCTTGGTTTTGGAGGTAACATTATCAACTAATTTCAGGGCTTCAGATGTCTGAAAAGCTGGATTCTCATGTCCCACTACCGCCGCCAGCTTTTCATCAGTGTCTTGATTCCCAACTGCTCCTGAGCTGACAGCGTTGTACAACAGACATCAGGTAAGGCTATTTGCTGAGGGTCACCAGCAGCCTCAGGAATTGTAAATGTAAACGTCTCTTGGACATCAGTTCCTGAAGGGACGGCTGGGAAGTCATTCCCTTCACTTCCATTCAGAGATTCCTTTATGGCCACCCCACCGCTAACTGGTCTCTTTCTCTCAGAGTTCAGAGTGACTCCAGCTGCCTCCTCACTTAGGTTTGGTAACCCAGTGAAGTTGACCTGGAAGCTGTGGCCAGACTCCTGGACCCTCGGCTCGACCCTATCTGTCGTGCTCCCAGCACAATGCTCTGTCTGCGGTGGTATTGCTGTGTAGAAAGAGACGAATGGTCAGCAACTGATGGTTTAAGAACAAGAAATTATAATTTCACTCAACCAGCACTCTTCTGACAAATCACAGCCCCAAAGTAAATTCTCCCCTGTATTTCTCAGTCCCTCAAAAGCACACTTGGCTGTCTTTGAAACCCATTCATGCTGTCTGCTGCAATGATTTCACTGATAATTTACTCCAGATATACACTTGAGTATATTCGCTAACTGCATTCGATGCACTCATTGCAACTTCTGGGGTGAAATACTGAAAGCTGTTTACTTGATGAGATGGGTGAATAGCTATTTTGTTTTCCAGCTCTCACAGACCAATCTCATAAGTTGCTTTAATACTCTCATGTAAAACTCTCAGTTCTACCTGGGTTTCTTGTGTTGTTTCCCCTTCCCGTAGGTTTGAAATAAGTTACCTTATCTACTGCCTACCTTGCTTTGATGACACATCGAGTTGGGTTTGACCAGGTTCAAGCTGCTGGATGCACCATTTCAGATCCTTCTGGAAAGTCTCTTCAGGAGGCTGTGCCAGGGACAGGAAGGTTCAGAGAAAATCGCGAAAAGCGCTAACAACAGAGCTAGGAGATCCAGACACTCACAACTTACTTAGCATTTCCCAAAATAAAATCAACTCAGTTAAGGGGCAGACTAGAGTTCAGAAGGGTCAACGAGCAGCATTGCCTCAATGTACGCACAAGTGAAATGCTACACAACCGATGTCACTTTAGCACTGTGCATAAAACATCCCCAATGGAGATGTGACTCGGAAGGTTACGGTTCCAGACCTGACCGACAGCGGCGCACGGCCACACTCTCTCTACAAAGCGTTTAATCCACGAAACCTGACATGGAAGTGCTGGGACAGGACAGAAAGGGCGCTTCACTCCGTAGCCAACCCGTCCTGTAGCTGACGAGCAGTCAATCAGTGGATAAGTGGGGGGGGGGGAGGGGGGAGGGAAATGCATTTAAAGAGACTGAAGTGAGGCAGTGGGAGTGGAAACCCTGGGCTGACATGGCTGAAAGTGCTTGTATTCACAACAGTCGCTCTGAATTTATAACCAAACACCTCACACACACACACACACACTACACACCACACACACACTACACACATTGTACCACAGTGTGCGAACTGGGACTGTGAAACCGTTCAGAGTAAATAACAACCCTCGCGCTCGAGACACAGCGTCTTCCCGGGTCAATGCCCGGCCTCAAAGCCACTCGCAGGGGACACGTCTCGTGGAGGAGATGTGACTGTATCTTTTGTGGGCGAAACAAACGCGGCCAAACAGCGCGGCTCAGCTCTCAGCGCGGCGTCGCGCGGCGCCGCGTCCCGCCCACAGGCCCCGGCGCCATTGCTGCGCCGCAGAGTTCAGCAGCGGCGCCCGCGGCCTCTCAACCCGCAGGAGGGTCTAATGTTCCGGGCGGGGGGGGGGGGGACTGGGGATCCCCGGCCCGCGCCGCTCTCGGGGCTCAACCTCACCTCCTCCGGCATCACCGCCGCCATTCAAACCCTGTCCTCCCCCCACCTTTCCCGCGGGTTAAAAGGGTCCGTCACTCAATCCCTTCCCTCCGGCCCAACGGTCCGTCACTCAAACCCTTCCCCCCTCCCCCCATCCCCGCCGGCCATTACTTTCATACAGGGCTTTCAGTCGCGCTGGGCATGCCGGGTCAGCTCGCCGCCATTGTTCCCTTTTCTGCTTCGGGACAAACCTGAAGGGAACAGCAGTGATGGAGGTTCCTCTGCTGCCTGGTTTTGTGTGTGTGTTTTTTTTTACACACACACACACACACACGCACAGTTATTATAACTTGGTGTCCCACCAAAAATGCTGGTTCAAGCAGAAACCAGTTTTTAAAATAAATTAGATAAATATTTGAACACAAGACGCGACTGTGTATATATATTTTTTGGGAAAACCTAAGTGAGAAAGTCACAAAAATAACTTTCTTTAAGTTTGTCCCCCGCCCGCCCGCCCGCTCCCCTTTCCTCGGGGCAGAAACACTGATTAAAATATGAAACCCAAAGTCCACTCAAACCGATAAGGGACTAAAAACAAACAAAAAAAATGGGCAATGACAGATCCAGTGAGGTTCATGCAATGGCTAAAGTGGAATGGGGTATGATACGAAACATAACCTTCAGCGAGCCAAATTGGGCATAATGGACCAAATATCCATCTCCTGTGCTGTGAAATGCTCTTAATTTCTGTCCAATATTTTTATCTACATCCCTGAAAACTAAGAAGTCAACTATAGTGCCCCTTATCTCTTGGAAACCTAATAATCTCAAGATGTGTTATTGAAAAGAATGGTAGTCTCTTTGGGAGGAGATGGGAGCTCTGAGATTCCAGACTACTGTAATAACTCACACTTTTTGACAGGTGTCAATTTTTTTCTCTGGATTCCTCTTGAGTGAGATATTAAAGCAAAACCCTACCTGCCTATTCTTGAGGTGAACATCAACAATCCCAAGACACTTGGAAAAGAAAAAGAATTTCTCCTTGGGTCCTGGATAACAAACATTAATTGCTCGTTCACCTCTTGGTATTTGTGGAAGCATGCACCCACAACTTTGTAATCCAAAGGCAAGCACAATCAACTGAGTCAAACTGACAACAGAGAGAGAGGATCTGAATCTTGTCTGTCCATGGAAGCATGCTTCAGTAATTGATCAATCACTATCAATGGGTAGCATTGGTACAATGGGTAGCAGAAATTTGAGCCAATATTTAAAGTTATTTTCTAGGATCAAAAGACAAACTCATTTACTAATTTGCATCAATTCCAATACGGACACCATTGATTTGTAAATTAGGAATATAATTTGGGGGGATATTTAGTACAATGTTAAAGCATATTGGAGTCTCTCTGATTCATTCATTCATTCATTCAACACAGGCTCGCAACGTTCCAGAATTATCAATGTTCTATACTTGAAACATTCTTAAACTGTTTAAACTTTCGTTGCCATGGTAGATTTTATTTCATAGCTCATTGCTGAGAGAAAGTCATTTTACAGTAACTAGCAATAACACATTTGGTTAAAGTATTAAGCTCATTAAGCAGCACAGCCTTCTTCCAAATGTCTACTCAAGAAATGAAAAGCTCTATTGTCTCAATGATAACAGAGGATGATGATGAGAGGTGTCATGAAAAAAGTAAGCCCCAAATAAAATCATTCGCTTCATGGCTGTTTGTGAAGTATTAGTTACTGTGGCGAAATTGGCCATCACATGCACCTACAAAATAGTAATTGTACTTTACAGTGTAGCTTTGAGATGACCTCCTGATGTGAAAGGCGCTATATCAAATATAATGATCATTATTTTTATCAACAGGAGCAGCGAATGAAAAATATAGTGTAAGTTTATAGTCTGAAAGAAATGTAGCGTTATTGGGAAACAGAGTTTCTGCTAATATTTAAAGTTATTTTCCAGGTTCAAAGATCAAACTATATATCTCTCTAACCTTCATGAATTTATCGAATTCCCTTCGAAATATTGCAGTTGACTTGACGTCAACTTTGTTGCACATTACACATCCTAAAATCTCTTTGTTCAAAAGCATTTCTTCCAAACTTCCTATTTGTGCTTTTTAAATTCTTGAGTTTTGCTGATTTGTTAATTAGTAGAGATAATCTTTTGCTGATCGGCTTTGTTTGTTCAATATCTGTGACATAACATATATGATAATATACAAGCATGAACAATGAAAAAAGCGAGACTATTGTACATTATGTTTCAGAACAAACTAGGTTCATAATAAGGGATGCTGACGAGAAACAAAGTACCATTGTACATGCGCCAATCAAGAAGGGGCTTGAAGGTCTGGGATTGGTGGTCATTCAGAATGGATGTTTTCTGCAAATTATCACAGTTATTGAGGATGGACCTGCGGACAAATCAGGAATGTTGAAGCCAGGTATTTTAACACCACATCCCCACCCCAAAAAAAACACTAACATGGTCATCTGTTGTAGAGTAGTATTTCCTCTCACTCCACTCAGAAATGTGAAAGCCATTAATCTCATCACAACAATACAGAGTGTCTGTGTGGATGATATCAGCTACAGATTTGATCAGAGCAACTCCATCATATATGAATGACCTGTGTTCACAGACTCAGTAGTGTAATGCTGGGGAAAGACTATAGAATCAGAGGAGGCTGAGAATCCATTGGGAGCAATCACAGATAATACAGATAAATTAAATAAAAATAAAAGCCCATGGGATAGAATTTGCCAAGTGCGAATTTAACAATGGACTCATCCACTATTTTGACAGGCGGTCAGACTCTCACCTCAGGCAGAATATTGTGATTTCAAGCCACAACCAGCGACTCTTGTGAAGCATTTTGATACATCCTCCCGATGTGAAAAGGTCGAAATCACATGCAAGGATTATTCTTTTTCTTAAAAACAGAGGGAAAAAAGGGAGTAAAGTTGGCTTTGTTCAGACTGGATTAGAGATTCCATTTGCAGCAAATTGTGAGCGAGACTAGTTTATTTACAGAACTTTACTGAAACTGAAACAGTCCATCAAGTGATAAATACTGAGACCCATTTAAGAATTGAACACGGTCGAGGTTAAAGAACAAATGTTTCTATTGACCTGAATGGTTCTTTGAAGGTCAAGTCCCAATGTGAAGTTCGAATCCACAAACGTTTGACCCAGATGCAATAAAGAGCTCCTCCAAGAGAGCCGGTCTGGCACTTGTAATAAAGTTGTAATAGCATGTTACACCAGACATTACAGCCTTTTCCTTTATTTTACATACAATTCCCGACTGAGCTTGTCAATTATTCTTCTGCAGGGGACATCATAGCTAAAATCGGAAAGACAAATGTCCTGGGCTACAAGCTGCGGGACCTGTGCGATTTAATAGAGAAAATTCCAATGAAAACTGAAGTGGAGGTTACTGTATACAGAAACTACCTTGAACTCCCGGATGACTGGGAAAATGAAATTGAAAACTTAAAATCAATAGTACGGTAAGGTGCAGAGCCACCAGCAGCAGACAGCAAGCAAATTCAAGTTTGTCGATAGTAGAAGTTCCACATTAAAAATGGTGGTGCATACTTACATATCCAGATATTGTTGTGATGATTGTAAGATGTTAAAGCCTTTCTGATGTCACAGCAAATGCCTGTAGGTTGCAATCTGGGAGCACGTGGCATCAGTAACATCTCAAATCATATGTTCAGAGTTCATGATAATTTAATTTCATCACAGTCTCAAATAGCCTGGAGATCAGCACTGTGTGCAATCTTGCAGTACCATCAAGTCTCTCTCCACGCTATTTCATACTGCCTTATTTAGTCTTTGGTCTTAATCTACTACTATACACTTGAAGTGGACAAGCACTTATACGCACAACTGGCTACCTTTCATGACTTCAGACGCCCCAAATTATTTGCGTGTTAAAATTTAAGTTGGTGCGGAATTTTGAGACATTTGATGCAAAGGATATATAAGGACAGAGGGCGAGTAGAGGAGATTCGAATAACCAAACCTGTTTCTCCTGTTCCAACAGTCCTGAAACAGACACACGGTCAAGCAGCGAGGATGACAATAACATCACTGTGAAATTTAATCACTTTACACCCGTCTCCTCAACATGGCACACCCCCAGTGTTAATCTGCCACCAGTCTCCAGGGCATGGCACCACTCAAAGACAAACTACAGAGTGCTGGTCGTTGGACCACAAGCCGATTGCGACATCATCTTCCATCATTCTTTTGAGGACGAGCCCAACCCTGAATTTCTAAAGCACAGCCCTAAGCTTTATCCCTATTGGTCTCAACAAGCTGACACAATCTCACCTTCCTCATCTTCCTCATCTACGGATGCATTCTGGGAGGATGAACTGCCTTCAGATGAGAGGTCGCAAACAGTCTCTCCAACTCTCCAGAAGAGAAATGTCGGTACCGATGACCGCAATAAAAAATATTCAAAGAGCAAGCTCCCTCACAAGAACCCCAAATCAAAACCACCCGAGACAGGAACACTGAAAGGCAAACATGATGAAACATCAATGACTCAGCTAGACAGTATCCGTAAATATCACTGAATGTCCAACCCCATGCAATAGACTTCTCAGCGGAGCTTACAATCCACTTGTCGAACCATCTTATGACAATCCAAACACATTGACATATTCAAGACACGGAAGTTCCCATGACCAATCAGGACAAACTACGTGTGGGAGATACTTACTCTATCAGTGTTCTGCAACCTTTAAAGAGAGTTGCTGTATGTCTTTGTTATAAGATTTAGCTGTGTTCCTATGTACACCTGCCATCGATGCTGTTGTTTCTTTACACTTCTCCAGCTTTTAGTCCTTTGTCAACCATGCTCTGAATCACATTCTTACACATTCCTTTGACATCCACAGCTTTCTCACAGAATATGGATTTGGGGTTCTCAGAAGCAATTATCGGAAGAAGCTTTTGCTGTGCTACCTGTGTCCAAGTGTACATTTTTCTCATGGTTTTCTGTTGATTTAGAAGAGGTTTGAATCCCATCCCCCTCCGATACCCAGTTCCGAACCCCTACTTGATCACAATTTGTGCCATTTTTATATCAAATTAAAAGAAACTCTATTCTACCAAACTTAGTATGTTAAATCGAATGATTTATTGATGGGAGGACAATTCTGAGACAAGTAAACTTAATTTACAACAGATGTATAGAGAGCTGCAACAACATCACTTTCCCAGCCACTTACCTATGTTTAGTTTCAATGTGACAAAATAAAGATAATGACATATGCTACTCAGCAACTTTAGTGGGGATAAAAGGGTAGTCCTTGAGACCAGTCTTATGTTAGCAGATATAAAGTACAAATGCAGCTCTTCAGGATGTTCTGCTGATGACAATCACAGCTCATTTAGGAACGGTGTGTTTTCCAGGTTACCGCAGGCTGCCATCGACTTTTTACCAGATACAAACTTCTTTGCAGCCTGTAAGAGAAAGAATGAGGAGGGGGAAAAGAGAGATTAAGGAAACTTGGTCTCTGCATTGTTTGACTACAGTTACTATATGTTTCAGTATTATAGATGCTGTATCAAATATGAGATTACCTGAACAATCCTGCAACACAAACCCCATCCCCACATCAAAATAACTTTCTGAACAGAATCAGGAAGCAAGCCTTTGACATCGTCAATCTCTGTACTTAACTGAGTTCAGAACAAGTTGAATGTTGCCCTGTCCCAATAAAGTTAGGTTCAGTAAAAGCTCATTTTTTTTACTTTGAGATTCAAGATATTAGCAGCCCTCATGGCCCAGTAAGTAAAAATAACAGCATCAAAATGGGTTTAGAAATTCTCTGTGTGCCTCCCCCCCACTCCAACTTCTGAATAATTGTACAACTCAAAGATGGTTGAATATACTCAGAGCCACCACCTTAGGATTCCTGGGCAGCTGGGCTGCTGCAAAGCAGAAGCCATTTACAGGGTTTCCTTATGAAGTGGTATTGAAAGGCCCCAAAATCCATGATTCAAAACTTCAACAGCAACATTCCTTAAATAAGGAATGGAATACAAACAAGATTACCACAATTTTGACTCTATGATTTGCCAGTTGGTTAACATGTTTTAGACTAAACCAAGTATTACTTACATTCTCCACGTCATTGAGAGACACTGAGTCGATCTCCTGTAGCACCCTGGATGTGGGTATATACGTGCCAGATGCCAGCACCTGAGAGCCAATCTCATCCAAGAGTCCGTCAGAGGTCTCCACGGCCATCAAAGCCTTGGCTTTCAGTTGTTTCCTGTAAAGTAACAGTCTCAGTCACTCAAACCACCTCGGGATTAGAGGTGCAGCTATTAATGCAAAGGCAGAGAGTTAACTATCCAGCTTACTTGGCCTGTGCGATATCAGCCTCGGTGACGTTGCCTTTTGCAATGATGCCGATTTGAGCCAGTGCAGTCCCGATGACCTGAAATTCAGTTACAGTGTAAAATTAACACATATAAAGCCACAAATTACAGCAACATATTCTTTAAATACTGCCCTTCTTGATAAGACAATGCACTTCACCAGCAATCCGGCTTTAAAACGATTCAACAATTGAAAGTTTTAATCAAGTGCGGTATTTTCTAATAGTACTGTAATCTAAGAATTTTTATTAAAATTATTTTAGCCCCAAAATTGGGAGTTTTAGGCTCAATTCAAATTCCAAAAGATTTGTTTGGGTGTATTTTAAAAAAAGGCTGTTCTTGGACGGCAGAGGTATATGATAGTTGGGTTTTCAGAAACCGTGACCAACCGTATCACCTTTTAAATCGACCCAATTCAGCACTGAAGCAGCTGATAATACCATTGTGTCACCAAAAAGAATGTGAATGGTCTTGAGACAAGGCAGCTCAGTTCATGTCATGCAATACAATGATCAGCCTTATTCGTACACATTCTTGACACCACTGGATATTAGAAGGGGAATAATTGTTTATAATATGGCAATTCAGCCCATGTTGGTCACTGTTATCTTTTATTAACTCACTTTCCAGCTCTTTTCCCATATTTCTTCATGTTTTTTTGGGACATGGCTTGGTCAGACACAGAAAACGTACACAGCTAGAATTGTAGGCAGGAGCCAACTTTCAGTCTAGAGCTTGTTACCAAAGTGTCAATTTAAAGTTTCCAACAAAAAGTATCATACTTACATCATTTACTGAACCAGGCTGTGAGATGATGTAAATGCCAAACAGACCAGAGTCAGAGTAGTTTGCATTAAAAACTGAAACCTGTTCGGAAAAAAAAAGGTCAAGAGTCTGGTTTGATGTAGGGCAGATCGAAAAACTGAGTAAAACAGAAGAGAAAGGCAAATTCAGAACAAGGCAAAACTCACATCAAATGGGTCTGAAGTTTTCTTTGCAATTGCCTGGTGCAGCTTGCTGGACACATTGCTGCCTCTTTTGATGTATGGACCAGGAGCCAAGATGTGCTGCAGCACACTGAATGCGTGGGCCTCAGCAGTTCCTGCTGCAATACCCTCTGCTACCACAGCAGCATGGACCAGGCTAGCAGAGCTCTGACTGCGGACGTCACCTGGCAGAAAAGGACGTCGAAAGTTCATGTGTTAAGCTATTTTGTTAAACGTGTACTTACAGGAACACGTTTCAGGAGAGCAATATGAGTCTCCAGTATCCGTTCTAATCCAAGTACCCTCAAAACTTGATTGAGCAATTTTGGGAGTCCTGTAGCTCAGTGGTAAGAGCACTCGTCTTGCAAGCGAGAGACCTGGGTTTGAGTCCCAGCAGGGCAAAACTTTGGGCACGTTTCCTTACTCCACACTCCTCTGTCTACCTAGCAGTAGGTAGGAACCTGGTTGTTAGTCGATTGGGGAAATCGCTTTTCCAGGGGTATTATTCCTTCAAAAAATAATAATAATTTGGTCACTTCAATCCTCAACTGTTTGTGGGACGCTGCTGTGCGCAATTGACTACAACGTTTCGCCCACAAAATATACAGTCAATTAACTTTACAGTATATTCTGTGATTCGCTTTGAAACATCTCGAAGATGTCATAAGGCACTATACCAATGCAAAGATTATTATTTAACAGTATATAAATGCAAATGTTACTCTTTAATATTCTGTTATAATCTCTTCAGATCAAGAAAGTTTTGCTGAACAATGGAAACAAGTCCACAAAAGCACTGGCAGCTTACCTCCACGAAACTTCGCCTTGGCTCCTGCTGTGCCAGTACCACTCCTCATGTTCAGATAATGTTCCCCCACCTGTTTCAGGATATCATGGTTTACCCCTGAAGGTCACGACAGGATGGGGTGGGAGGCAGAACATAAAAATACATTGAAACAATCATCTAGTTCATGCTGAAACAAATTCTAAAGTAAAAAATGAGCAAAATACTCAGCTGTAGGAATGCAATTTTTCAAGCCATTTCATCAGTTTATTGGATAATGGCAGATGTTTTAATCCCATTTCCCTGCCTTTTCCCCATACTTCTTGATACCCTTACTTGACAGTATCTTAACTCGCTTTTAAACCCTGATTCTGCAGCTACAGCCTTCTTGGTACTCATAATCTTCTGTGGGAAAAAAATATTTTCTGATCTCACTTCTAACTGGTTTAGCTCTAATTTTAAGATTATATCTCCTTGTATTAGATCCCTCAACCAAAGGGAAGAATCATCCTCTCTCTAACCTGTCAATTTGCTTTTGTTATTTTAAATACCTCAATGAGATTTCCTTAAATCGAAGAAATACTACCCAAATTTACCCAGCACAGTTACGTTCCTTTTATCCCAGGTATTAATCTGTACATTTAAAAGCAAAACTCTTATTATGCAAAATGTTACTTTACTTTTAATTTCCATGAGTAACTAGTATTCCTATATCCAGTTAGTATATCCCAAACCACAAGGTAAAACTCAGTTCAATCAATCTATTGTTAAGGCAGAATCCATGAAATTGTTTAAAAGAGTTAGATAGATGATTGAAAAAGTGGAATGTTAAATCTAGTTATTTTGGTTTTCTAAGCAAACCTGAGCGTGAAGCTACAGCTAATACACCTAACTTGAAACTTACCCAATCCAACAAGAGCCATCCTTCCACTTGTAAAGTTGTTTTGTACAAACTCATGGAGCTGTGGAGACAAGAAAGCAACATTAAAACTTACAAAGTTTTAATTAAAAAAAATGAAAGTTTTGAGAGAAAGCTTGCTTCAATGCTTTGCCTCACCTTATCTGATGTGTGCTGACCAATCATGTATTGAGGACAGTACAAGGAATTGCTGAGGGCGTTACAGTAAGCAGCTGAATGCAGGTTCTCTAGAACAGCTACAAATAAGGAAGACAAATTACTTGTCCATTGGACTTAAGAGAAGCATCATATCCAAGGTTTACTTGGTTAATTATAAAATGATAAACCTGACATTGTCTCATACTTTCAAGCCTCACCTATTTGTGGATTCTGAAAGGCAACTGCTCTGTCTACCTTTATTCTGGGAGGGAGGGCAGACAGCTCCCAGGGTCTGAACTCCTGAGCAGCAGTAACATTGATCAGATATTCCATTACAGTATCACTGAAACAAATGGGAAATAGTAATTAGAGATGCCACAACAGGAATTTATGTACAACATAGCCTGATTGGATATATAAACTACTGATAATGGGGCTTCACACAAAATAGGCTACATAATTGACTAACCAAAACCTTCTTTAATCGGGCGTTATATTATGGAAATGATACGGCACTGTGCCAGCTCTGCTTTTTCTCTCTGCCTTGCTTTCGGTCTCCCACTTTCTCCCACTCTCTCCAACCTTACACTGTTCCTATAAAAATTTGCATAATAAACATTGCACACCCACGTTGCTGATTCACAGTTGAATCCTCCCCTCTCTTTTTGAAAAGTGTTGTAGGACCTTTAATCTTTAAAGTTGAAAAAACACAATACACCAATTGAATGGTTTGAACTAATTTAGTTAAACCAACGTTTTACCTTGTTATCCCATAATTAAAAAACAAAAATATCCTACAGCTCAAAACTTCTAGCTGTCCAATCTGACTGCAAAGATGCCAATACTCACACATAGTCCCGTATACAATCCACAGTGTAGATCATATTGTCCCTCGTAGATGTCACGCTATGAAGATAGAAGTAGATACAAAGTTGGCTCTTACTTTTCTAGATTTTTTTAAAAATAAAAATTAGTCATCTGAACCTCCTGACAACAGCTTTTAGAAAAATACCTACACATTTCACACAAAGCAAAACACATTAACTAGTGAGGCACAATAATTATTCGCACCATCAGAATGGAGCTTTATTTTTTGCACTTACACATCAGTTATGTACGAAATGAAGTATTTAATCCATACCAACTAACACAATAGATGTTAGTTGTACCAAAACTCAACCTGCTTGTCTCTTCCTTCAAGATGACAGATGTCCTGCACTATGTCCCTTGATCTAGGCTTCTCAATAATAAACTAAATTGGGAATAAGGATTGAATGCAATTAAAGAATGATGTCACGAAAATCTAATTTTCCTACAGTTAAGTCTGCTGATAATCCAGAGACTATGTTTTTTTATTACCATTTCCCCAACTAAGGGAAATAGTTTTTCCTTATCCATCCTTCGTACTCCTTCACTATCTTAAATACCTCTTATCATATCCCCCATCTGCTCCAGTGGACCTTGCTCCAATTTAGTTAGCCTCTCTACCCATATTGTATATTGTCTCTCACCAGGTATCATTTCTAAAGAATCTGTGTGACAAGCATGATGATTCACCAGAAACAAATTAGTAAATAGTGGTGCATGACAAGCACTTACCTCAGGGTGCTACCAACAGCTTCTATGCCACGGGTTATTTTGAATGAAGAATGTCCCTTTGTGGTCTGTAAAATAAAACAAGTATTCGCAGGAAATGACTACTGTAAGTCAGATCCCTAGGCACTGCAGAGCTACAATCAAAGGACTTAAATTTCTACATTATAGGTGCTGAAATGCATTACATTCACAGTTAAGTCCCAACTCTGGCACATTTGGGATTTCAACTATAAGTCACCAGGAGAGAATCATACATCCAAAATGCCCAACAGATAAACAGGAGTCATGGATTTTTAAACTGCTGCAGATTTAACATTATACTTATAATAATCCTTGCATTTGATTATTTATACTTACCATGTTTGCAGCCAAACGCAGAGCATGAGTGATACCCAGATTCCCCGCATTCTCATATCTACTGCCTGCCTTTATGAAGACTCCAATCTTTGAGGTAGGGGAGTAATTCTCAAGAGAAGCAATCACCAGCCCACTGGGTAACTTGGAAACCTGCAGAAGAATACAAGTTCTAATAACTTTCCCAACTTTCAAACGTTGTTTCATCTTCAATACAAGTAAAACATTAATATTTCCATTTTGACAATGTTCCAAAATGTTATTTTTATAACTTCCAGGCAAGGCTGCCCTAATAATAATAATAATCTTTACATCTGACATAATCTTTCACATCAGGAAGACATTTCATAGCATTTCATTGAATTTACTGTTTTTGAAGGCAAATTTGATTTACTAATGAAGCCATTCTTCACATCAGGTTAGATTTTAATTTTAAAATATTTGTAAGATTAATGATTTAAATCTAAACATTGCATCAAATTTTATAAAAGAGCAATAAAGCTTTAACAATATTGAATGTCATTTTTCATGAGTGATGGAATCCATAGTAAATATTCAGATTCAAACTGTACATGTCATTTGCTGCAGTAATCTGTTTCAATATTTTATCTCCAGGATTGTAAATAATTAAAAATGGAGAAATAACCATACTGGAATAAAAAAAAGTTAGTCTGTAAAAATAGCCAGGGTTCATGCTAGAAGCTTTTGCAACATGGACATCTTTAGGCGACAAACAGCTTAAACTGGCTCGTTCCTTGACGTTTTTGAGTAGCTCACTCAATGGGGTGGTTGAGGCTGAATAACATTTCTAGAAAACGAAACAAGCAAAGCCAACATTTACTGACCTGGAACTCCTGAGCAGGAAGCTTAACTCTCTGGGAGGCTGCCGCAGCTTCATACTTAAGGGCAGCTCTCGCTGAATAAAGTCTCTTCTGAAAGCAAAGATTCACATAAGCAAAACAAACAAGCCTATCTGCCAGGAGCTTTATATGGCATTTCACTGATATTCTCCTCCTTTAAAATTTTAATGCCAACTGTGAGATGATGCTGGATGTCTTCGAATCCAAAGTCGAGAGAATCCACTCAGCTGCCTCTGCCATTCCACCTGCTACACTCTCCCCATCTCCCCCTCCCACCCTGGCCCCTACCCATCCCTCCCTCCACACCTTTGAACCTGTCTCCCCCTCCTCTCTCATCACCATCATAACCCACATGAAACCGACCAGCTGCTCCCTCGATCCCATCCCTACCCCTCACCTTACCTCCCAGCTCTGCATCCTTGTACCACTACTCACACATCATAAACCTCTCCCTGTACACTGGTACTGTTCCCACCCCATTAAAAACCGCTGTCATCACGCTAATCCTTAAAAACCCCTCCCTGGACCCATCTCTACTCCCAAACTACCGCCCAATCTCCAACCTCCCTTTCCTCTCCAAGGTCCTGGAACGAGTTGTTGCTTCCCAGCTTCAATGCTTCCTCTCCCGCCACTCCCTTTTTAAACCCCTCCAATCACGTATCCGTGATGCCCATAGAACAGAAACAGCTCTGGTCAAAGTGACAAATGACATTCTGTAAATCTGCGACCAGGGTTCCCCTCGGTCTCCTCGACCCGTATGCTGCCTTCGACACCGTCGACCACTCAACCCTCATCCACCACCTCTCCTGTCACCTCAACTTTCACAGCTCTGTCCTTCACTCGTTCAGATCTTATCTCTCACACTGCCTCCACTTCATCTCCACAAACGGTTACTCCTCTAGCCCCCACACCGTCTCATGCGGCTTTCCTCAGGGCTCTATCCTTGGTCCCCTCCTCTTCAATATCTATATGCTCCCTTTTGGTGACATTATCCGCAGACATGGGGTCAGCTTCCACATGTATGCGGATGACACCAAACTATACCTCTGCCTCCACCCTTGACTACAGGACCACTGCTGTGCTGACAGAATGTCTGTCGGACATCAAGTCCTGGATGAGAGCTAATTTTCTTCAGTTGAACGTCCACAAGACCGAAGCTCTCCTGATTGGCTCCCATCAGCGCTTCCTCACGTCAGGATACACCTTCCACCTTGCTAAGCCAGTCCAGAACCTTGGCGTTTTGTTTGACCTTCAACTTTCTTTTCTACCCCACATCTTCGGCATAACCTGCTATGCCTTCTCTCACCTCCGCAACATCGCCCGGCTCCGCCACTGTCTCACACCGAAGACCGCCGAAACCCTCATACACACATTTATTACATTGAGGCTTGACTATGCAAACTCATTGCTTGTCGGCCTCCCCAACTCCTCCGTCCAAGACGGGAGCGCTCCTCGCCCGACTCCACTGGCTTCCTATCACACAAAGCATACAAACATTCCACGCTCTCATTTCAAAGCCCTCCATGGTCTTGCTCCCCCCTACCTCTGCGACCTCCTAACGCCCTACCATCCTGCTTGCTCCCTTTGCTCAGCGGGCTCCAGCCTACTTCATGTCCCCCGCATCGCTCGCCCCACTACTGGTGGGCAGGCCTTCTGCCACTCTGCCCCCACCCTTTGGAACTCCATCTCGCACTCCCCGTGCCTCACCTCCTTCAAGACCCTCCTCTTCGACTGTGCTTTCGATCATCCTGCTTCCCTGTCTCACTCCCTGACCCCCAGTTCGGGTCCGAAACTCTGTATGTCCAGCGCTTTGGGACATTCTCCTGACGTGAAAGGCGCTGTACAAATGTAATTTCATTGTTGTTGCTGTTGTATGCATTATTATTTTTAACGGTTTCACATCTCACCAGGAAAGATACCCTTCAGAAACCCGTGACTGGTCGGCCACTCCACGTCCTACCGATGAGTACTGCAGATCCTCCACGCTCAGGAACCAGACTACATAGCGCATCGCACAATTCCAACATCCCGTAGCCAAGCAAGTCACCTTGGAGCCAATTCAGCTGCAAGGAGACCTTGCGTACCTACACCCTGCACACCCCCCCCCCCACCTACCCTCCCTCTGCACATCACTATAAATCACCGATTATTTCTAACCTTTAAAACACACACAAAAGGACATTTAAAAATCACCGTCTCTGTCTCTGTGAGGCATTGACGTCAAAAAAACTGACACTGAGGGATCTGCGAAGGACAAAAGAATATCCGGCGACAAAAAAAACAGCTGAAAAACCAGCTGCCGAATAAAGCCGCACTACGGCCATTGCGAGCTCGGGCTCGGCCGGAGATCCACTTGACGATGTCAAGTTATAAAAGGACGAGGGATATAAACCCCGACCCGGTGTGACCTTCAACCACGGCTCCGCTTCATTCAGGATTTCCTCTCACCGACAACCCACCCACCCCGCGCGAACACAAAACGGAGCGCTCCCGTCGTCAACGGCCGTGTTATCTTCGGGTCTATTCGCTGTGTGGGGGGTGGGGGGTGTGGGGGCAAGTCCGGCTCCATGGCAACCCTGGGGGTCCCCGGCTCGGTTCGGCTCAGGTCGCCGCTAGGCCCCGCGGCGGTCCCGGCCTCGATTTGTGCGCAATGGGTGACACGTCGGTGCTGGTGGCTGTTCCGTTAAGGTTCACGTTAACGTTCACGCCGCCGAACGTTGAACGGCGGCCACTTACACTGAGGCTTCTCAGGCTCCCGGTGACTCCCCGCACCGACCCCATCCCCGCCGCTCCAGCACTCAACATGGCGGCGCCCACAGCCCCGGGAGCGCCAGGCAGCCAATCACTTGCCAGCGGCAGCGGCCAACCAATCACTGGTCACCACCGCCGCCACCAGGCAGCCAATCACATACCGAGCAGCAGCGACCAATCACGTTCCAGCTAACTCCACCTGCCACATGCAGCAGCTATCCAATCAGCTGCAAAATGTATCCCCCCCTTTCCTTATAATAATACTAATAATACTCCTGGCATTTGATGCAGTGCCTTATCACGGCTTCAAGACGTCTCAAAGAGCTTCACCGGATACACTGTAAAGTGAATTGACTGTATATAACAACAACTTGTGTTTACAATAACACCACAACAGGGAAGCGTCTCGGAGTGCTGAACAACGGCCGAGCTGGGGAGAATGGGGTGGCTATAGGCATGGTCAAAGAGGAAGGACATCAGGAATGATCTGAAGGCGAAGGGATTGAGGGAGAGAGTTCCAGAGGTTTGGCGCGTAGTGACTGAAAGCCCGGCCACCAATGGTGGAGCAGAGGGGTTGGGGACACACAGAAGATCCAAGTTAGCTGAGGGAAGGGGGAAGACGGAAGAATGGAGCATGAGCAGGTTGGAAAGATAGGGATTTGTAAGAACAATGCTTACATTTGATAGTAGGGTCTAATCTGCGCCTAATACTTTCTGGATTTAGGTAGACAGGATGAGTCCCTCCAGGAAGGGAATTATCAGTTTGGTTTGGATACTCTTAAGCAGGGTTATGCATTTCCACATGTGTCAGACACCCGGTTGATCAAAAAAGGGTAAGCTAATGGATGTAAAACCTCCGTAATATCGCCCGACTCCGCCAATACCTCACCCCTCAGGCCACTGAAACTCTTGTTCATGCCTTCATTACCTCCAGGCTCGACTATACAAACGCCCTGCTTGTCGGCCTTCCTAAATCCTCCCTCTACAGGCTGCAGATAATCCAGAACTCTGCAGCCCGTGTCCTCTCCCACACCAAACTTTGTAACCCCCATCTCCCCTACTTTCGCCCGACTCCATTGGCTCCCTATCCTTCAGAGGATCCAGTTCAAGATCCTGGTCCTCACATACAAAGCCCTCCAATGGCTTCACCCCACCCTACCTCTGCGACCTCCTAACCCCCTACCAACCCGCCAGTTCCCTCCGCTCAACCAGCTCTGGCCTGCTCCATGTCCCCCAACCCACCCGCCCCACCATTGGCGGGAGAGCCTTCAGCCACTCTGCCCCCAACCTCTGGAATTCCATCCATCCTCCAGTCACTCCGCCTGACCCCCTCCTTAGCCTCCTTTAAGTCCTACCTCAAGACCCTCCTCTTCGACCGTGCCATCGGCCACCCCCCCAGCTCGGGTCTGAAAACGCTGTACTCTGTCCAGCGCCTTGGGACGTCCTCCCGACGTGAAAGGCGCTCTATAAATGGAATCTTGTTGTTGTTGTTAAGCTATCTTCAAAACGTTTCCCAGTGTTAGTTTAAGATCACAGTCAGGTGTTTGCTCAGTTCAGCCTTAAAATGAAAACCTACTCCTGGTTAATTTACAGCCGATCTGCTCGAAGAGAACGAGCGCGCTCTGAGAGCCCCTCCAACGCTAACAGAGGTGCAAAGCCTCCCCTTCTGTTTGTGGGAGGGGCTCGAGGTGTTGCGCCTGACCTGTCCCACCCGGGCAGAGGTGGCGCTGTTGCCGGAGGTCTCGCTGTTGGTCAGTCTGTGCCAGAACCGGCGTGCGTCAGGGCGGGTGAAGCGAGTCCTCCGTGAAGCAGCAGCCGAGAGGACGCGTGCGACAGCCTGAGCGGCAGCGACCACCACCACCACCGCCACCACCACCACCGCCACCTTAACCCGCCTGGAGAGATGGTAGGCCCGGGCGGGAGCAGTGTCTGGAGTGGGGAGGGGGGGAAGGGAAGGCAAGGGGCGGCCTCTTTTCCCCTCAGCCACCACGTGTGTTCGCGGCGGGCGGTGAGGCCGAGGGAGGGAGAGGCCGAGAGGTGGGGGGGGGGGGAGAGAGGAGATGGCTGGAGGAGGGACCCTGGGTGGTGGTGGTGGTGGTGGGAGGGAGGGAGATAGTAGGGCGGCGGAGAGCGAGGGTCATGTCGGCCTGACTAACCAGCGGAGGATTTGGTGCTGAAAGAGGCTCCGGCCCGGGGTTAGGCCTCGGTTACCAGGTAACGGCAGCCCCCCCCCCCCTCCCCCCACACTGGCTGCTGAGGACCTCACTCCCGTGGTGCGGTTGAGAGGGTTCCGGGAGGTTCACGGTGTGACTTCGGGTTTGGCCAAACGGCGGAGAGACGGTAAAAGCACTTGTATTTCCACGTGGTTTGTATCTCGGGGCTCCCGGAAATTCACGGACACTGACGGTCCCCACTCTTCGTGGAAAATAGTCTGAATCATTTGCCCCGGGACTGGTTTCACCGTTGTGGTATTTTGTCGTGAGAAGAAACCGTTCTTCACCCACTGGTTTCGAAGACCTGCTTTTGCTGCTGTTGGGGGGCTCCGCACTCCGGGAAGAGCGGTTACGTGAAACGCGGCGGTAACCGGGGCGAGACCTCGGGCAGGTTTCCTCACTCCACTCCACGCGCCTCACCGCCGTCCCTCCAAAACAAACCAAAACAATCATACATTGGGTCATCTTCAGTCCACGGCTGCCCGCGGGGCGCCGCCGTGCGCGGTTTGGCTGCCGCGTTTCGCCCGCAGGTATACGGTCGATTCACTTTGCGGTCTGTTCCGTGAAGCGCTTTGAGACATCGAGAAGACGTGTAAAGCGCTATATCGAATGCAAGGATTATTATTATTATTATTACAAGTCGAGAGTTTCTCTGAGAGGGAGCATTTTGAGCTGTAGGGCAAGTGGAAACAGCATTTCAAAAGTGTCCATTGAGACCTGGTTGAGACAGACCAAACGTTATTTTACAGTATATTCTGTGAGGCACTTTGAGACGCCTAGAAGACGTGAAAAGACACTATATCAAATGCAATGATATGGGATAATTATAGCAGCTGGCGAGCAGTAATTCAGTCTGTGCTGATTCTGGACTGGGTTGCTAATAAATATGGACACTCAATCCTTATGGTAATGAGGTTGTTGTCATCTCATATTATTTTTGGATGACAATATGCCTTAAAGCGACACTGAAAAAGCCTATACCACATGGTGAAGCAGTGTGTGGATGTTCCAGTACTGTGCTAACGTACAGCATATTTCAAGTTTCCTCTGTTTACTCATGTAATGAGTTCCTAACTTTGTTGCAGTGTAACATTTTCCCGTGGGGAAAAGGGTCATACTCCATGACCTATCTGATGTATCTGGATGTAGGGATACAGAGCAGTAGGGACATTTAGAGGAAAGCTCAAGCATTGTATAAAGGAATCTTGATAATTGGAGATTAAGTCTTTTGACTACTGTAAGACTGTTGGCATCTTTGAATTTATTGTAATGCCTAGAACTAATGTCATTTAACTGGCAATTACTGTGAAACACATAACAGACAACTGAATGTTCTAGGTGCTCAAATGCAAGTGTGAAAGACAATTATTGGTGAAGGATTCTTGATTACAACTTCCAAATTTTAACCTTATGTATAGGCTTTCACACCAATTCTAGTTTAAAGAGGTGTACAGTCGAAGGTCACTATTGTTGAGCTGAATACAACTTCAAATAAGATTCTTTTGTGTTTTTTTTAAAAAAGTAAAATAGCTGAAATAAAATACTGCAGTTGCAGTATTTTTCCTTCTAAATTGTGATAAATTGTTTATCCATCTTTAGACTGAACCAGACGTTAACCCAAAGGCTTATCCCCTTGCGGATGCTCAACTGACGAAGACTATACTGGATCTTGTACAGCAAGCTGCAAGCTACAAACAGCTTCGAAAGGGTGCCAATGAAGGTATGTATTTTACATTTGTTTCAGAACTGGCCTTTAAATAAATATGGAATATTTTGACTAACTGGGAATCTGATTAGATGAATTGTCATTTAGTGGTTCAACTACTGAGTTGCATTCCTAAACTACAATATTTTTCTTTCCAGCCACCAAAACATTGAACAGAGGAATTGCTGAGTTCATAGTGATGGCAGCAGATTCTGAACCATTGGAGATCCTTCTTCACTTGCCTCTTCTGTGTGAAGATAAAAATGTACCTTATGTTTTTGTAAGGTCCAAGCAGGCTCTGGGCCGTGCATGTGGGGTTTCCAGACCTGTCATTGCATCTTCAATAACTGTGAAGGAAGGCTCGCAGCTGAAGCCCCAGATTCAGTCTGTTCAACAATCAATTGAACGGCTGCTGGTTTGAATTGCTCTGATGTTGAGTGGGGTTGATGAAAACCTGACAGGATGTGGCTTCTAATACTCAACCATGTACATTCCACTTTATTTTTAATAACTGCTTTGGAACATAGTACAGTATTGTCTAAATAGGCAAAGTTGCAGTGTATTGTAATTCCTTTTTTGAATAAAGGAAAATTTTGTGTCATGTTAACTGGTGTTTACACAGTTTAAGTGGTTGTTGTCATGTAACTGATATGACTGGTGCATTTGATCAAAATGTTTTCACCTACTCCAGGATTCTTTCTTTTGAGATGCTTTTTCAACTAACCCTAACTGATATTGCTAATATAAAATCAGTGTTATTAAAATGCAATTTCACATCAAAGAAAATACCTAATGTGGCACTGGGAGGAGGGGAAGAGGCTGTGGAGGAAGTTGCAGCTATTATGCCATTGGGGGAGAAGTGAACATGTGCTGCTAAAATTGAATTTAAAGCACTCAACTTCATAGAATCATACAGCACAGAAGGAAGCAATTCGGCCCATCATGTCTGTGCTGGTTTGAGTTGCTCTGATGCTGAGTGGGGTTGATGAAATCCTACCCTGCTCTCTTCCCCCAACCCCTGCAAACTTGTCCTCCCCAAATAATTATCTGATTACTGCTGTCAGATACTTAAATTGATTTCATTTTATACTGGGAGCACTCTTACCTCAAGAGTCCAAAAGATGTAGGGTCAAGCCTCATGCCAGGACTTGGAATCAAACTATGCTGCCGCTCCCAATTCAGTGCTAGGGACATGTTGTATTGGCAGATGTTAAACTGAGATCCCATCTGCCTGTGTCAGTGGATGTGAAACATCCCATTCTCCTAGGGAAGTAAGATTAAATGTTTCTACTGATCTAAAAGTGGTGAGAGTGAATGACCACCTGTTCCTATGTCAGAACAAGCACTCAAGTTACCAGAAAGTTACATGAGAAATGTTGCTGTGCATTGATTGGGACTAGCCTGTTAATGTTATCACACAAAATACAACTTTACTAGTGCTAATCTAAAACAATCAATACAACTGTTGCCATCCCTCCTTGCTGACTCACTCTGCAACCTGAAAGGTGTTTCTATAATTGCAATTTATTGCACTCAAATGTGTTGAATCTCTGAATCTTAACATATTGCATAGCAAGTGGTGAATCATGTAACTGCAATTACGTGAACTCACTTGCAAGTGTGTATGTACAGATGTGAAGACAGTTTCTACAATGAGAGCAAAAGGAGGTTCATAGCACAATAACTAGCAAGTCAAAATGTAATACAAAACCATTTATTATAAATTTAGGTACAATCATTTTACATACAGATTAAAATTTTAACATCTTTATTCACTTATATTTTATAGCAAGTATACAACACACACAATTACAAAACAGTGCATTTATAAACCCACAGGGTTATTCATCTGAAATTAGCTACAAAAGTCTTCATTGCAGAGCCTGTGTAAACCCTGTTCATAAAGCACTCCTAAACTGCCAAAAGTATATTTTACTCGGTTTGGATCTTCATTAATCAGTTTTAAACATTCCATACTCACTTGTTTCACAATTCTAGATTTACACCAAGCATCATTCTGTAAAGTAGATTTCCAACAAAGTGACAAAAGAACCCCTCCACCCACCAAAAAAGAGATTGAAACAATGAAATTAGGGATCATGCAACTGAAAATTAAAAAACTTATTCTAATGTCAGGCATCAGCAGCTTTTAAGAAAAATCTGCCTCTCACTCATATTTGACACAGCAAATCAAAGGGGAAACATGAAAACATTTAACAATTTGATTTGTGACAGTTTATCATGTTCTTAACTGATAAGGCTTTACAAAATTTACAGTACCCCATACTTCAAATTGAGCCAGGAATTTGGGAGCACACTAGGCCACTAGGTGGCTTTGTCTCGTCATTTAGTAGCCCAGTGCAAATCAAATGCTCTCATCCATCATAATCGAAGTGTAAAGGTTTCTACCCCAACCCCCAAGACAGTGGTCAAATTGTCTTGGTTGCCTTCTCTGGGAGAAGTACCACACACACATTCCCAATACATCAGATATTAATTTGCACATTATGGGTACAGAATATTTTAAGATTTTGCCACAGAAGATAATGTCCATGTCAAACAGACAGCAGAGGGACATAATAGGAGGCAAAACTAGCTTTAGTTCAAAATAAAGATGTAAGTGCACAGCAGGTTGATCAGCACCTTAAAGAGAAAACATTAACTTTTCAGGTCAGATTTCACCTCAGAATTTCTGCCAGTTTAGATAGGGTTATACCTGAAATCCAAATCCATTCTTCCTTTTTAGGTGTTGATTGACCTGCTGTTGTATGCTTCAAACATTCACAATTCTCGTTTCCGTTAGTTTTCCCTCACATTGACAATCTGAGGAAGAGACTGAGAGTCCAGCAGTCTCACAAGGGTAGAGATAGTTTGCACCTTTCAAATGGACTTGTGTACCTAAGCTACCTTTTTGTGTAAGTACCACCAGAGTGCCAGCACGTCCGCTATATGAATACTCAACAGAATCATACAACTTAGACTTTAGTTTTATACAGGCAATCCAAACATAAAAAGCCAAAAAGTCAGGGATTCATGTTGGGCTGAGAGAATGTCTGGAAAGTATAAAGCAGGGTCCTTCTGTGCTTGTAAAAATCAAGCTAGCTTACTCCTATACGAAGTACAGATCACGACCGTCAGTTGCGAGCACCTTGTTCAGCTGTAGTACTGTGTTGGCTGGGCCACAGATCTTTCAGTACCTGGATGGAGACGCAACTCAACCAACTTCGGCTAGTGAGCATCTCTCCAAATATCTCCCACTTGCCACTTTCTTCACTGTACCGTTCTATAGTGTCGTGGTATCTGAAAACAGAGATATCGACCAATGAATGTGCAACGACAGAGACTCAAAATATATTGATGAAAGGTAGCATTAGTAAATAGCTTTATTAATCTTTATACTCAGACCATTAGTCTTTTAGGTTAGGGAAAAATGAAAATAGTTTGCCAACAATTTACACCTACCGATCCCATCCTTCCTCTCCTCCTAGTATGTAGATTTTGCCATCTATTACCCCCACACCTGGTCGGTACCGCCGCTCGTTCATAGGAGCACACATTTGCCACGTGTTGGTCTTTGGGTCGTATTGTTCTACTTTGTTGGTGTTCTCAGTGGAAGCATGCCAGCCACCTGTCAGATACCCAACAAACCAGCTCATTCACATGTTCCACCTGTCCTCCAAGCAGTGTCCAGCACAGCCGCCCCCAAACAGTTCATCCAGAACATCCAATCCTCAATCACACCAGCAGAACATAGGACCATTATGGTTCATCTGGCTGGTCCCAAAGTAATACATGTGTATCCAAATGACAATTACCACACAATGCTTCCTCTCAACCACTCACACCTGCTCTTGGCAAACAGCATGACCTGCTGAAACAGGTAACTGATTAATTGTTAACTGAGGCCTTACCTGGGGGGATGTGGGGTGGAGAGGGGGAGACAACTAATTCAATGCTGAGGTCCTGCCAGATCGTGAGATTCCACAGACGATGGGTTACTAAAGATGAATTATCTTACCAATAACATAAATCTTTCCTCTGAGGACGCAGGCAACTGAGCCAGAGCGTGGAATTTGCATTGGTGCCAACTCTGACCAGGAATTCATTTGAGGATTGTACACTTGAAAAAGATCAATGCCATCGCCGTCCTCCAACACAGCTCCACCTGTGAGATCAGATAAATGAGAGAACCCTGCACCAGCTTCAAGAATTTGTAATTCAAATCTGTGATTGTGTTCTGGATGCCTTTCACTCCTCCATCCCAAATTGGTCGAACGATTTATACTGTCTGGCTGCTTTAGAGTTTCCCTTATTTGACCCAACACCTCAACTCTGCTCAATGCAGGCGCCAAAAAGCTACGGTAAATTCAGCAACTTCCATCAGAACATCAATTTGAACATAGAACCTCCTTGTAATCAACCACCCCCTGAATCTCAATTCAGGGCCAACTCACTAAAGTGCGAGATTAACCAAACACACCAATTGACATCAGCTATTGCAGGAGCAAAAGGGATGAATGGACTAAATGGCTGCAGCTTGTATTCACTCATTGCCAGACCAGTTCCTTGGACTGAGGTTCACTATTCAATTGAATCAATTTAAGTCCCGTTTGCCATGCAATTGATGTAGATGTGTAAAGCTCTTGGAAAGGTTTCCCTTTATATGAAAAGGACAATATAAATGCACTTTATTGATTGATGAACCAACATTTTAAACATAAGCAAGTTAACTTTGACCTCTGCCACGAGCTGACATTAGTTATGACTAGGATTAGGAAATCCCTTACCTGCTACGTACAGAAGCCCATCCAGTGCAACCACAGCTGGACTGGTAATTGCCATCTTTATGGGTTTCAGGAAGTGCCACATGTTAGTGTGTGGGCTGTAGCATTCAACAGAATCTAGCCTCGAGGAACCTTCCCACCCACCGACTGCAAAGACAAAGCCATTCAACATTGCAACACCTGGGGGAAGGAAAGAGCCGGCCTTTGTTACACGTGGACAACTAAATCCAGGAAATGTTTGACAATGTTCCCATAGGCCGACGGGTCAAGAGTCAAAGTTGGAAAGGTATTAGTACCTGGTCCCTGGAGCCTCGAACCAGGTACAGCATATTAAGGCTTAAAATTGGGGAATTTTTCTTTACAGAGAAAATTGGGAGAGCTCCAGCACTACTGGGGGTGGGTAGGTGCTGATAATTTTGAGTGCGAGTGGGAGGGAGGGAGAAAATATAAAAAGAGGTGTACCTAGTTCAGAACGAGCCACATTCATCGGTGCCTTCTCATGCCATGTATCAAAACATGGGTCGTATTGCCACAACTCTCGGCTGGCAGAACCATCAGGAAACTCACCGCCAACCACGTAAAGAGTTGAACCTACAGAAGAAAACGAGAAAGTGCTACAGCACAGAAACAGGCCACCTTACCCATCAATTTTCTGTTGGCATTTCTCTTCCTAATCTAATCCAATTCCTCCACTCGCTTTTCATACCAATAATCCCATTTCAAGCATCAACCCAATTCCCTTTCACAATAATCTATGGTCTGCTTTAACTAGTTTGTGGCAGAGAATTCTCTTTGCAAAGATTTTTTTTTCTAACCTCCTGTTTTATTCCTTTATGATCTTACGTTCCCATTAACCAAATACTTGGGGGGAAATACCTATGACCCCCATCTGAACCCTTCATAATGCTGAAGATCTCCATCAGGTCATCACTTAACCTTCTCAGGAAAGGATCAAAGGCTTTAATGCAGAACAGCAATGACACATGAACAGAAAAGACAGTCAAGCTCAAGTTTAAAAGCCTCCAGGAGAAAGCGAACACCAAGAGAGGAGAGATTCTACAGAGTGGAAAAGAATGAGTTGAATAGGAGATGGTGCAACAAGTCTAGATTTTAATAGTGAGGATGAGGAGGGTGTGAGATGGTATATTTGGAACTGGGGGGAGAAAAAAGGAAAGTTAGGAGAAGCCACAGAAGCTCTGAGAAAACCAAAAATAGGGTTGTAGGAGCTGGTGAAGGAATGTGCACTTATGTATTTTTATTCACTGCTCCCTCCTGTAATCCACTCGAGTCTTATGAATGATTCAAAATAAACACTGGTTATAATTGCACATATCACCCTGGAGGCAAGAATGAAGGACAGAAATACTCAGCTCTTCAAACAATCATAACCCCTCGCTTTGTACCTGATGCAACAAGTCCATGCTTACTGACAGCAAAAGGCAGACACGCCAGGCACTTCCACTGATGGGCAACGGGGTCAAAACTTTCCACACTGCGCAGAACCACCTTGTCATCTTCTCCTCCGACTGCCACAATAAGCTCCATTAGACCTTGAGAGAGAAAGTGCTCTATAGAACTCAAGAACGTTAAATCAATAGGAACCACAGAAATGTGCCCCCAGATTTAAATAGAGGGCTACTCATCCCATTGTTAGTGAGACATTGCTGGTGCAGGTTAGCTTCTGCAATGGTTAATTAAGGCACTTAATTTTCTTGATCAACTAATCTCCTTCTATGAAGTGCTTTGAGATATTTCTATTACTTCATAAAAGGTTGTAAGTGGCTGTTGTGGGGTTGATAAAGGAACTGATAGATGACCAAACATTACACATATGATTGTTGATTAATGTAGCCAGGAAAGTTAGATTGGACATCCAGAATTTAGGGGAAAGAATTCATGAATTAATTCAATTCTGACATTTAACCTCCTCCTCCTCGCCTTCTACTCACTGGTGGATTTCCGAGGCCGTGTGCGAGCATTGAAGAGCTCCCCTCGTCGGTCCTGTAATAGGAGGTAATTCTTGGCTTCAGAGATCAGGTGCTGACATGGCAGTGAGTCTTGCACTGCACTCTCGGACTCAACAACATCATGGATGTAGTAAGGGCAGAGCAGAGGCAGGCGAACGTGCTCCAATATCTGAAAGTCAAATTACAAGAATGACATCTGTCAAATTTAGTTACCTTTGGATGCCTCAATCCAACTGCGTTATTAACATTTCTATCTCATGATCTCCGGTCTTAAGTTAAACTCACACCTCCATTGCTACATTTTCCTCTCCCTCAGGCCATGTTTTCTATCCATTTAAAAACTGTGGCTAAAATGAGATTACTGAGACTTCAATAACTCTCACAACTTCTAGCCTTTATTTTATTGCTTCCACTGCTCCCAAACAATCCTACTTCATTCCTTCTGAAATCAAAACAGTAATCTTGTACACTTCCTCCACACTGTGCTGATGTAGAAGGAGTCAGTGCCCCTTCAGTAATGTATGGCACTAGACACCTAAATAAGAGTGACCTCAATGAAACAAACATATCGTCTTGGTGAGAATAGAGAGGTAGATTTCCTGCATCAAAAAGAATACAGTCACTACACTTTACGGAACATTCTGTGAAGTGCTTTGAGATGCCTGAATTACGTGATAAGATACTATATCAAATGCAAGGATTATTATTATAGTGCAGAATGGAAGAATATGCATTATTACCTTTTCAAAGTGCTGTTGTCTGGATTGATCTTTCTTCAGCCAAAGCAATACAGCTTCGAACACAATTTCCTCTCTGGGCACGTTCAACTCGTCGCTGCTGATCAGCTCGGTGAGTTTTTCAGCAGTGAGGGAGAGGAACTCCTCCTGTTTGCACACCACATTGAAATGCTGCAGGATGTAGTCCAAGCTTCGAGCCTGCAGCTCCACACAGGAGTGAGCCTCCGCGAAGCAGTGGATACCCACACAGTTAGTTTCATCCATGTGGTGCTCCAGGAACTTGCAACAGGCTTTGCACACTGGCATGATATCAAGCAGGTTAGCGGCAGCCAGCAAACCCTGGACATTTGCTTTAGTGATGTGGACCTGGCCGGTATAGGCATAGCCTACCAGTCTCCAGATCATCTGGTGCTCCACACCATTGATGGCCACTCGCTCTTGCCGAGACTCCATCAGGTCCGTGGAGAACATGGCCCGGAAGTAGGAACTGAAGGAGGCAAGGACGATACGATGGCATGGAAATTCATTACCATCACAACACAGTATCACGTCGCAGAATGCCTGGTTCTGCCGCAGACTATTCATCCCATCCAAGACCCTGTTGGAATGGTTGGATTCTTTGAACACGTAGTTCTCGCTGTCTACTTGGCTCATGTAGAAACCGGTGCCCTCAATCTCACCACAGCTTCAGCTCACAATGTCTCCCCTTGATGTAAGAACACAAGAGAATACAAATGAAACACTCTAAACCTAGCAAATAAAGGATAGATTGTCAAAACAATTATACAGCAACTTCAATGCCTCAAAGATTAAATTCTACAGGGAATATGGAATTCTCTGCCAAACAAAATGCAGTTGAGACAGAATTAAAAAGGGAATGGATTAGATTTGTAGCATTAACATTACATGGTAGTGGTAGCAAACAATAAAGCTTTTTGGGGTAGGAGAAAAGCTATATTTATTCTATAAAGTTTGTTTAAATAACAGAAATATAGCTAACCAGAGTTAGATTGAAGTAGTGTATGAAATGGCTTTACTTTCAGAGCATGTTTAGCTTCTACTTTTAGATCAGAATCTATGTCAGATCTTCCTCTGGGATAAGTTGAAAGGAGTTGGAATATCCTACTTGCGTCAAACCTGCAACATAAAATGGATAACAGTTGTGGCATCACAGATTCTCCCAACATAAGGACACAGACCAAACACCAGTCATTTTTTAAAAAAACTGAATGAGGAAATCAATTCTTGTTGCTACACAAATAAACTTAAAATACTTGTTGACCGGAGACAACTCGTTTCTTTGTGGTTAAAATAAACTGTGGTGAAAAACCCTGGAAATACCATCATCACCTGTTGCTATCTTTCCCCTTCACCCCACACACACACACACACCCTGTGCCCCTGCAGCTATGTTACAGCAAAGTAATCAGAGCCAGGTATCATCCCAGAGCAGAGGGATGAGGAAATTAGAGAACAAACGTCTCCAAGAATACCATGGAGTCCCTGAGACTTAGCTCTCGTCAACCACACCTAAGATTTTCCAGGATCGGTCAGCAGAAATCTATCCGTCTGGGAAGAGGGTGCACTCCACTCCAGACAAAGAAATGTGTATATATATATATATATATGTGTGTGTGTGTGTGAAACGTCTGTCTGGTGTGGAAAACATCAAACACTATACAGGGAGTTTCAAGATACCCAACTGAAGAGAAACAGTGTCAAGAGTTAAAGACCTTCAAGTGTCCACAGTGACTGGGAGGAGACAAGTGGCTCAACAGCTTATGGCCATAGGCGGTGACTGAGGACACCCACCAAGTGCCCACTGACCAGCACCAAGTGCCCACTGACCAGCACCAGGTGCCCACTGACCAGCACCAGGTGCCCACTGACCAGCACCAGGTGCCCACTGACCAGCACCAGGTGCCCACTGACCAGCACCAGGTGCCCACTGACCAGCACCAGGTGCCCACTGACCAGCACCAGGTGCCCACTGACCAGCACCAGGTGCCCACTGACCAGCACCAGGTGCCCACTGACCAGCACCAGGTGCCCACTGACCAGCACCAGGTGCCCACTGACCAGCACCAGGTGCCCACTGACCAGCACCAGGTGCCCACTGACCAGCTCCAGGTGCCCACTGACCAGCACCAGGTGCCCACTGACCAGCACCAAGTGCCCACTGACCAGCACCAGGTGCCCACTGACCAGCAGCAGGTGCCCACTGACCAGCAGCAGGTGCCCACTGACCAGCACCAGGTGCCCACTGACCAGCACCAGGTGCCCACTGACCAGCACCAGGTGCCCACTGACCAGCACCAGGTGCCCACTGACCAGCACCAGGTGCCCACTGACCAGCACCAGGTGCCCACTGACCAGCACCAGGTGCCCACTGACCAGCACCAGGTGCCCACTGACCAGCACCAGGGCGGCCACACCAACACTACTGAGACCCTCCCGCAGACACGAGCTCAGCAACACCTCTCTCTCTCCCTCTCCCCCCACACACACACACACACACACATATATACACACACACAGTGACCGCTTCTCTCCTGTTCTCCTTCACTCACTCCCAGTCAGCACCGGAACCAGCGATCCCCTCCCACCCCCCGCTGTTCCGTCTCCTTAACCTGTCCCCCCGCCGCACTTCCGCTCCCCCTCCCCCTCTCCTCCACACACACACACACACACACAGACACACACCTCCCCCTCCACACACACACACAGACCCTCCCCCCCCCTCCACACACACACAGACACCTCCCCCCCTCCACACACACACACACACACCTCCCTCCCCCCTCCACACACACACTCCCCACACACACAGACACCTCCCCCCCCTCCACACACACACTCCCCACACACACAGACACCTCCCCCCCCTCCACACACACACACTCCCCACACACACAGACCCTCCCCCCCCCCTCCACACACACACAGACACCTCCCCCCCTCCACACACACACACACACACACCTCCCTCCCCCCTCCACACACACACTCCCCACACACACAGACACCTCCCCCCCCCCACACACACACTCCCCCCACACACACACAGCTCCCCCCCTCCACACACAGACACCTCCCCCCCTCCACACACACACAGACAAACGCACACTTAGAGACAGTTACTTCTCGAGGGGGGGGGGGGGGTCACTGAAATGGGATCAAGAGCAGGAGCCCTTCTCTGCTGCTGCAGCAGAAAGAAAGTAATGAACCAGCTTCCTTGTTTAACCTTTATTTACTATGTTGCATGAAATGACCCCTTGAGAAAGTCCCTCGCCCCCTCCCTCGCCCCCTTCAAGACCCATCTCAAGACCCTCCTCTTCGACCGTGCTTTCCATCTCCCTGATTAGCCCCCTGCCGTCCACCCTCCCCAATCCTGACCCACAGCTCACGTCAGGAGGACGTCCCAAGGCGTTATATAAATGTAATTTTGTTGTTGTTATTGTTGCTCAGAAAGTTTTTGGCAATCAAAACTTTGGTTAAACATTACCAGGAGGTGGAGACTGTAACAAATCAGAGGATTTCAACAAGCGCCACGAGTCGAATGGGAGGCCAGGAATATTATTCAGTACATCTATAGGCAGGAGCAGGTAGGCAGAAGTGCAAAGCTCACTTTAACAATGGCTGATGCACCTATCTTCATTGGGGCAGCTGAGGTGGCTGACTTGCTGCAGTATGGTGCATTGCTGCCGGTGCTGGAGAGAGCGCTGGTTGACTTCAGCAAGCATGACGGTATGGTGGTGCAGCCTGTCCGCAGCACAGTCCCTGTGGATAAGCATAATGGGTAAGGAAGCGATTTGACTACCACACACAACACATTGCAATAAAAGCAATTTGCCTAAACTGCTGCTGCATCAATTAAATAAAGTTCTCATGCCTAAAATCTAGCGTTTTTTAAAAAAAATTCTAAAGGTTTTCTTTGACGGTGTGACAATGGAGCTTGATAAGGGTAAGGCTGTCAATGTATATCTGGATTTCAGTAAGGCCTTTGATACAGTTCCTCTTGAGAGGCTGATAGTGAAAGTAAAGAAAGCGTGAAGCAGTGTAGGTATGTTACAATGAATACGTAATTGGTTGACCAACAAAACCCAGAGGGTGGTAGTACAGAGAATGTCATCAGACCAGGAAAATGTTACCAGTGGAGTTCTGTTTTGGGACCTCTTTTGTTTAATATATTTATAAATCACCTGGAACTAGGAATCGCAAGCACAGTGGCTAAGTTTGCAGATGACACCAAGCTAGTGAAGGTGGTAGATTGCGAAGCTGAACAAGATATGTTCAAATCTTCCTGTAACCTATTTGAGAATTGTGCAGATCAGTGGCAGATGGAATTCAGTGTGGAGAAATGTAAAGTACTTCACATGGGGACAAAAAAATCCTGGAAGGGACTATTATTTGAATGGTAGGAAAATAATTTGTATGGAAAATAAAAAGGATCTGGGAGTAAATAATAAATTGAAGGTCTCCCAACAATGCTCTGTGGCAGTGAGTAAAGCAAACTAGATGAGATGTATCAAAAGATCAATAGCAAGCCGAAATAGTGGGGTAATCCTGCCACTGTATAAATCATTGGTGAGACCATACTTAGAGTATCTGGTCACCACAGTACAAAAAGGATATTGGAGAAATTGAGAAAATACAGAGGAGGGGAACCAAAATGATTGAGGGAATGGAAGGACTGGACTATGAGGAGCAACTAAGTAAATTGGGCATGTTCACGCTGGAAAAGAGAAGATTGAGAGGAGGCATGATTGCTGTCTTTAAGATTCTAAATGGGCAACACAATATAGATTGTGACCGGCTGGCACGAGCCAATCGGGAGGGCCTCGCTCTTGCTGACGTTCAGTTGGAGAAAGTTGTCCCTTGTTCAGGACTTGATGTCGAAAGCGAGTCGGTCAAGACGCCAGTAACCCTGGAGTTGATGGTGGAGGCAGAGAGATAGAGTTGGGTGTCATCCGCATACATGTGGAAGGCGAACTAGATGGACCTTGGTCTTTTCTCGTCTAGCATTTCTTATGTTATGTTGTTATGTTAAGTTGTTGTTTCAAATTTGGCAATTTTTGGGTGTGACAAACTGGCCAGGCAGTGAGTAAATGTACATGTGTGTGGGGGGTGAGGTTCATCGCTTCAGTTCTGTTTACTGTTAAAAAATCATTATGCAATCCTTAATAAGTAACAAATTGCTCAAAATCATAAACCACAGAGAGTTTTTAAAAAAATGAACAGTAGAAGCTTGTGGTGGTTTGGTTTGGATTGAGAAGTTTGCTGAGCTGTTGTGTGGTCAGTTTGAGAAGTCTTGGAGACGTGATAAGGCCCTTTATCAAATGGAAGGATTATTAATATTATTACCATTAATATAAAACTGAGCTTGACACACTAAAAAGTCCCAGTTTTATTCCTGCTCGTTTTCTCCAGTGGCTTCTTCTTTTGCTCCTGCACGATCGCCTACGGCTCTATCCTTAATTCGTTTTATGATACCCTCACAACAATGCTGAATGTTCTACTTACAGGATCCTATTTACTCTTTACAGGTTCCTTGGAGTGATGCCGGCCTACATGACTGAATCTGACACCTTAGCCACAAAGATTGTGCGGTTTTATCATCAGACGGCTTTTGGGACCTCCTCTCATCAGGCAACTGTGCTGCTGTTCAACCCGAGTGATGGCAGCTTGAGAGCTGTAGGTCGTGTTAGTGCACAGTACGAACACCTTACACTGCTCCAGGGTCAACTGTCATGAGCTTGATGTGGTTATTCCCCACTCCCCCAAACTCCAGCAGTACCCCAACAACAACTTGCATTTATATTGTGCCCTTCACTCGAGATAGCATCTTGGAGCACTGAAACACACACTCTAGAGTGTCCAAGCCTTGGCTCTTGCCAACTTGTGCCTAGTCGTTTCTGGAATTGGGGGAAAGAAGTCTTTGTCCCTCCAGGGAGTGAATAAGCATTCCATTCCATTTACACTATGATTGACGTTCATATAAGGAAATCGCAGTCTGATTTGGATATTCCTTCTAAACCACGCTGGTGTGTTGTTATAATAATAATAATAATCCTTGCATTTGATATAGCGCTTTTCATGTCGGGAGGAGTCCCAAAGCGCTTCACAGAACACACTAAAGTGAATTGACTGTATATTTGTCGGCGAAAGTGGCAGCCAATTGCGCACAGCAATGTCCCACAAACAGTCGTAGATTGAAAATGACCAATTATTTATTATTATTTTTGGTTTTTGGAGGGATTTTTGTATGTGAACGACACTCAGCTGAGCAAAAACAAAACTAGTCCGAACCTTTTTGTGTATGTCTAGATCATGGATGGAACGGTCATCACGGAAATGAGGACTGCAGCAGTTTCTGCCATAGCAACCAAGGTAACCGGTCGCACAATATCACAATATTACTTGTGTAGTTTACACTTTGGTTATCTACTTCTTTGAATAAACAAATAAATGGGATATAATATTCCCTCAGGGTAAACCTTCCATTAGGTTGGGTCTGCAGGAGGCATACACTGTTGTTTGTATTGTCACAGTGTGTTGCTCCTGATGATGAATTGCCCATCACAAGCTTCAATTATTTGGTTCACTTATTTGTGATAGTCTGTGTTTCTCTCCTCTGTGACTCGTACTGCGGTAACATCCAAAGCTATCCTCCAGGCCTCACACAAGTAACCAGAATTTATATCTGAGCTTCAATACTGAGAGGGTGTGTGACTGCAGGGGAGATGGGGGAGGTTCTGCCAGTCAAACCCAAACCCCTTTTATCCTCGATCCCCCTCCCCGCCAACACACACATCACTGGATAATCAGGGAAGCTCCTGGCTCATTTTTCTCCTCCCTAGTGCAGTGATGCGAGGCCCAATTGTAGCGCTGACTGCTGTCCTGGCTGGAATTAGTAACTTAGCTCATAACAGGATATGAACAGGGAACTCTCTAGATCTCTATGATGACGGACGTCTCAGTTTCCATCAAAGTAAAAGCTTGCCCCAAGCTCGCCATCAGACAGGAACACTGAATTAGCGTGTTCAGCACTTGGTTGCTGTGGGTTCAGTTGTGGTTTAGCATTTCAGACTTGTTCCATTTTTTACATTCAGTACCTGAAGCCCGACAGACTGGAGACGTTGTGTATTCTGGGTAGTGGAGCACAGGCCATCAGTCACTACAACATCTTCACTCAAATGTTCCCCTTCAAGCAGGTACCTTCTATACGTCTCCTCATGCTTTACTGTTAATGTGTGAGGGGAAAGCTTATTCTTTACTAGTCCAGTAGTGCTACAGTTGAGTGCCGCGGCAGCAACACGGTACATTAACAGCATCAGTTACATGTGAGGATCCATGTCTGTGAGTGTGTTGGTGTGGGTCTGGAGGTGTATTTTTTTTTTTTGGGGGGGGGGGATTGTGTGTGTGTGTGTGTGTGTGTGTGGGAGGGAGGGAGGGAGGGGTGGGGGTTGTCACTGCTATTTCACCCTGACGTGCTGTGGGTTGGTGCAACGCAGGTGCGAGTGTGGAGCCGGAGTAGAGAATCCGCCGAGAGGTTTGCTGGGCAGGTTCAGGGGCAGGTGCAGGTGTGTACCTCAGCACGAGAAGCTGTGCTTGGGGCTGATGTTGTGATCACGGTCACCATGGCATCAGAGCCAGTCCTTTTCGGAGAATGGGTGAAGCCAGGAGCCCATGTTAATGGTGAGCACAATTGGCCGATGCGTAATTATGAAGCATTAATAATTCCCATTCTTTCACGGAACGTACTTTCACAGGTTCCCGATCAGCCATCCCACAGATAAATTAGTCATTGACCTCTGGGCTGATGCAAAATAGTTGTCATATTTGCCTACTTTAGAAGTTACTACACTTGACCGTAATTACTGGAAAGTGCTTCAAGACATTTCATTGTTGAGGTGCTATCAAATGCAAGTTCCTTAAGTTAGAATCTGGTAACTTGAAATCTTTTGAGATGAACACCTCCTTGGTTTGTATAGCGCTTGGGTTTGTATTTCCTTCCAGCCGTAGGGGCATGCCGGCCAGAATGGAGGGAAATGGATGATGCTCTGATGAAGAATGCTGTGCTGTATGTAGACAGCAAAGAGGCTGCATTGATGGAGTCGGGAGATGTCATACTCTCTGGGGTAATAACGCTTTGTTCTTGTGTTTGTGGTCTTGCAAATCAGTGAATGTTTTCTTTAATTCTCAAACCTATGTTTGGCTTTGCTTTGTTTCAGAAAATTGGTCCGATTGTGGTCAATGATAATTTTTCTCCCTCCAGTCTTCTCCCCTCTTGGTCTCTTGACTCATACTGGGGGCTGGTTACCTTACCCCCAAGCAAACATTCTGCATATGTGAGCCAAGACAGTGAGTGTCGGAAAGTTTCTGATGGTGGGAGTTGCACAGCCAAGCCCAATCCTCTTCTCACTTGGCATCCACACACTCACCACTCCAGCAGGGATCTTTCTTTCTCTGCACACGGAACACCCCCCCCCCCCCCACCCCCCCACCACCTTCCCCTGATCCCAAAGCACAGAAACCAGATCAGGAGCTGAGAGCAGGGAGGAAGTCAGAAAATATACTACATTTTAAAACAAAAATTAAGATGGAGTCTAATGTTATGCCTGTTATGTTAAATGAGAGCTTTGAGTGAATCCAGGGATTGAATTGCCACAGCAGTCTTGTTAGACTTGACCACAGCACTGAATTCCCACAGTAAAAATGTACTAATTGAAGGTAATCGCTAAACAGCTTCTCGCAGAAATACATGGAACAAATATCATGCCTTAGCTCAAAGCCCTTTCTCTGTGGTTGCTTCCAGGCTGATATATTTGCAGAACTGGGAGAAGTGGTGAAAGGAACCAGACCTGCCCTGTGTGAGAAAACCACACTTTTCAAATCACTGGGTAAGAACAAGCAGGAAGCCTACACAATGCCCTCCATTCAGTTCTGCACCGCTTCATGCCTCTTTCCTTTCAGTACACACTGTTTAATTGAGTCTAAACAAAAATTACTTTGGACCAGTCTAATTCACTTAGCTCATCATTTTAGCAGAAACTGAAAGAACGGATGTTAAGATAACAAGAGTTATGAAAATTGAAAAGCAACCTTAATCTCCAGCCTCCTGTCCTCGCTACCATTCTCTCAGACTTCCCAAACCACCTAAACCACACTGCCCAAAATTATAGTATATGCTGTGATGATTATCACAGGGCAGCCAGTGTTGCACCCACAAAATACACAGTGAATCCAATTTACAGTCCATCCTGTGAAGCGCTTTGAGACATCTCACTGATGCAATAATGCACTGTATTAAATGCAAGGATTATTATTATTATAGATAACCTGTTATTTATTATAACCTGTTAATGACAGGTTTGGGACTGAATCTCCCCTTCCCTCCAACGTAGAGAATGGTTTGAGACTTTCGGCCTGGTTTTTCAGGGAGCGGGAATCCCAAAGGGGGTTGTTTCAGGACGCCTGCCGATACTCCTAACATTTACATTTTGAGTCTGAAATCCTGTGGGACCGATCTTCAATCCCAAACCTTATAAGGACCTGTTTTAACCACATCTTTTATCCTTGAAATAATTGTCACATCACATAACAGACAAATACAATTGGTCACTCACTTCATGGCTTTTGTTTGACGCTGCTGTATGAAAAATTGGCTGCTGCATTCATGCCCACAAAATACAACTACTTTTTACAGTAAGAAGCTTCATGTGAGCTCTCTGAGAAATCCTCTTGACGTAAAAAACACTTAGTCTTAGATTCATTATCTCATACCACATGGTACTTTTCACCCATAAATCACTATTGAGATGCAGATCCACATTTGTAAAATGTTTGTGGCACTCTTGCACACTTGACAGGTGTGATATAAATGTTTTAAACCAGCAAGTGTCACAGCTGAGACCTCACTCCTGGATGTGTAAAGGAGTGTGTAAACCGGGACAGTGATTAACACACTGATCTTTACCTCTCAAACCTGGGCTCCAATCCAGCCCTGATAGATGGGATGAAAGCCTCCTTTGTCTGTTGGCTGTAAACATTCTCTGCATAATGAGTTTGGGTCAGTTTTAACCCAGTTCCCAGTTAATGTTGGCTCACATCACAAAACTGCCTTTAAATGTCCAATCTTACTCAAGAGGCTTTAGGGGTTACCATTTTCAGGCTGTGGGTGAGATAGGTTATTGCGACTCTGTAGAGGAAGCTTTACTGCATAACTAACCTGTGCTGGATGGGACAGTGTAGAGGGACCTTGACTTTGTAACTAATCCGGGCTTTACCTGACCTAGGAATGACACTAGTATTGGGGTTTTTTGCTCGGTGGATGAGTGGGTGGGTGATGATGGCGGACTGGTCAGTGACAATGAGCTTGAATGATGTGCTTGATTCTTCCAGGAATGGCTGTTGAGGATGCAGCTACCGCTAAGCTGGTATTTGATTGCTGGCTAGCCAAAAAGAAGCCAAAATTGTAACATCAAATACAACGATCATTTGAAGAATAAAATTCACCTCATCCTAATCATCCATGAAAACAAGTTATTTGTATAACTCCTTTTGTGTGGGGTTTGTAACAGACACCGATCCTCCTCTATGATCTAGGCTTGTTCTCATCCTTATTGTCTTCAAGCTCACCTGAGCCTTGCACTGTCTGAAACACGGTTGGTTTATTGGGAGTTATCCTCTTCCTTGTCTTGTGCATTAATGAAACTAAAAATCAGATCATTGGTCAGAAATTTTAAAAAAAATAAAAACTTTTTTTGATAAAATTTGTGTTTCTCAAGGTGTGTGAAGTATATCCAAAGATCCCAAGACATAGCCTATTGTGCAATCATTTGGAAGCAGAGAGTAAATAAATAACAAAACAGTGTTAATGTCAACCAACTTTAAACTTTATTACCACGTAATTTCTTACATCAAATGACGAATCAACATTCTGCAGGACAAATTCATTCCTATTAGTTTCAAGGTATGTGGAGCTATCCTACTTCATTTGTGCTTTTATTGTGCCTGGACTGTCAAAACTCCTCAAAAGCGCTTTATGAATGTCTATATGAAATGAAACTGTCATAAAGCTAAACAAAAGTGTTATAGAAATACAGGAATTGGAATGTTAATATTTTTCTTAGCTGTGACTTCCAAAGCACCCGACTACGTGGTTTAAACACATTCAAATGATTTTACTCTTGTAGCATTCTCTTCTCCCAAGTTTAGCTTTTCATGATCCAATGATTCAACTGAAGATAATGTGACTGTTTTGATGCACTTCAAAGTTGTCAGTAAGAGTGAGAGGCTGTTGCTTTATTTGGCTGTGCAGCGGTGGGAGAAACTCAAAAAGGACAGACCTGAATTTCTGATGTGTGTCGGAGGCAAAAGACTTCCAGTTTCAAGTGTTTTTTTTTTTGCTAATCTCCCGTCCTCCTACCCACAAAGGCGGTAACTAATGCAGGAGTAGTTTCTGGAGGGGAGATCAGCCATTCTGCACAGTTAAGGCCAGAAAATTAATGGTAGAAGAACTTTCTTTCACAAAGGGACCTTTAACATCCACCTGAACAGGTAGAGGGTACCTCGGTTTAATGTCTCACCCTTTTGCTAGCTTGGTGTTTAATACTGTGCTGCTTACAATACAGTGTCTATCAGTTTTTGGGGATTTTTTATGATCATTTTCCGTTTTTCCACCGCAGAAAGCAGCTTTTTCCTTGGGCCAAGTGGCAACCGAATGCCTCTCAGATCATCATCGGAGCATAGCATGAGGGAGTCCAGGTCAATCTGTTCTCTTGCAAGGAACGGGATGAACTCCATCATATTCTGCGACGCTAGAAAAGCTTCCAGGGGTGTTGTCCCAGGTTCATCATCATCCAGCCCTATATCTTCCTCATTCCAAGGTAATTCCTCCTCCAGGTCTTCATCCACATCCTCAAGGTTTTCTGCCATCTTCAAACCCCAATCAGATTTCAACAGTTCATTCCGTAATCTCGAGCCAGCATCCTCAATCTCATTCTCGGTTGACATCTCCTCTTCTATACCCATACCTAAGGTAAAATTTCTTCTGAAGAGCATATTTCCCAAACCAGCCCGTTTGAAGAGGGACTCATGGCCAAAATGATCACCATCTTCAAACTCCCGTGCTTCATCTGATCTCTCTGAGGCTCGATTCTCCTCTTCACCGAACACATCTATCACGTTGGTCCGTAGTCCGTTGCTGCCTTCGTGGCTCACAAAGATCACATCCTTCCCCAGTTGCCTTTCCGCGGTGGCCTTGCCTTCTTTCTTCTTAAGCTTCTTCTGCAAACTTCCTTTCATGAATGAAGGGGCAGTGCCTGATCTTTGTGATGTGCTCACCTTGGAGAAATGGTGACTCAAGCTGGACACGGTTTCTCCGTGCATTGGGCCACTGCCAGAGCTACTGGCTTCCATTTCCCGGGTGTATTTCTTGTTCCTTCTGTTCTCGTGCTTTTTCTTGAGTCGCTCGCACTCCTTGATCTGCTTCTCGGCATCCTTTCTAGCCTTCTCCTTCAGCCTGGCCACTTGCTTGGGGTGGGTGATGTTTTGCTTGGTTGCCGCGGTGTCCAGCAGACGGACGCACTCCATCCGGTCCTTGGCGGCGGCGGCATCCATGGCGGAGTGGAAGTCATTATCCAGTGCCCAGATGTTGGCACCAAAATTGATTAAGAATGTGACAACGTGAAGGTGGCCATTGGTCGCAGCATGATGCAAGGGGGTATTGCCCCAGATATCACAAACATTGGGTTCACCTCTGAAAGATCAATGATAAATAAATTGTTGAATGCAGTGTTTTATAACACACATTATCGATACACTTTCCTTCCCTCATCTGTCTTCTTCTGACTGTATCAGGGCCAGTTCCACCCACATCAGCAATCCTCTGACACCTCACTTAAGTAGACATTTCTTAGCCTTGTCCTTGGACACTGCACTTGGGGGGAAGATTCAGCCATCACAGCTAGTTCTAATATTGTCCTCACTCAAGATTGTTACTCACATTTGTGAGGCAGCAATAAACTAGGCAAATGCAATGCTGGGCTACATTACTAAATCAACTGAGTTCAGTTCCCCAGAACTCACACTCAACCGAATAGATGTGTACCGTATATGATTCTGAATCCTAGCTGATTTCTCCCTCCCTAGCCCAGGTGAAATAAGACTATATGCAAATACTGTTCCAGCTGGGATCGGCAAGCTCCAACAGACCAAACCTGGGGTCTTGTCGGGCTCAGTTCCACACTGTGGTGTGTCATTACTCTCTGACTCACCAGTGGAAGGTTTAATCCTCTTTATTATTGCATGTGACTGTGAAATCATCTGCAGTTTTAATCATCAATTTATAACTCTAGCTCTCTATTTTATGTGGAGTAACTTTGACCCACAAAGATCATCACTTTAATGTTGCAAGTTACTGGTATGATCACACTCATAGAATGGAGTTTGAACCATACAGCACCATAACCTTCATAGTGTTAGTGTACACCATTCCCAGGAAACTGGTGTGGTTTTAATAACATGTTCAGGTGAAGAATTAAATCTTGTACAGGAACCACCAGGGATGACAAGATTTAGGACAGAGGTGAGATATCAGAAAGTGTGGTTAGGTGACACCAAGCTTGGGGTTCAAGAGCTTTTTCAGTGGAGGAAACCGAAGGCTGACTGGAGGGGGGAATTTCCACAGCCTTGAAGTGCTGAGAAAGATTAAGTTAGAGTGGGAGACAGTAGATTGATTCTGGATTTGATCACAGAGGGTGCAGTGAGGATAAAGAGCATATGTCACAGGGGATTCAGAGTTTGGGAGGAGCAGAGGAAAGTTCTGGGAAGCTAAACCAAATATTGTTTAAAATAAGAACATGAAAGTCTGTAATGCAGTGAAGAGGTGAGAGAAGGATTGCCCATCAGACCACAAGCCTTTCCTAGTAATCTGTCCTAGAGAGAAAGAGAGAAAGATGGGATTGGAAGTGCTTCCCAGTTGTTAGAAGCATAGAAATAGTTTTGAACCAAACCTGTAATGACACTTCAGCCTTTGCAAATGGGGAAACAGTAAATGGTATAAAAACCTTTATAAAAACATGACAAAGCATGGTGAGATCTAAAATTGGATGTTTTCTAATGGGATTCTGTAATAATGAATCTGATTCACATAAATGAGCACTTCTTCCAGCAATCAACAATATGTCATGTCAATCCACAGGAATTTAATTTAGGAAATAGACCCCGTCAGAGTGGAGTTCCCAGGAGTCGGTGTGACGTACTTCCATTTAGCAAAAGGATAGCGAAAGCTTAGCAAAAGACTTATTTGTTTGACTCGAGATCCTTATCAAGAACGACAACAAAATGACATTTATATAGCGCCTTTCACGTCGGGAGGACGTCCCTAGGCGTTGGACAGGCAGAATTTCGGACTCGAGCTAAGGGTCGGGGTGGGGGAGGGCAGGGGGTGAAGTTCCAGAGGGTGGGTGCAGAGTGTAGTGCAGAGTGGTGAAAGGCCCACCCGCTGATAGTGGGGTGAGCAAGGCGGGGGATGTGAAGCAGGCCAGAGCCCGCTGAGTGGAGGGAGCGAACAGGATAGTAGGTTAGGAGGTTGCAGAGGTAGGGAGGAGCAAGACAGTGGAGGGCTTTGAAGCTGAGGACCAAGATCTTGAACTGTATCCTCTGTGTGATGGGAAGCCAGTGGAGTTGGGCAAGGATGGGGGTGATAGGGTCAGTGCGGGAGAGGACACTGGCTGCAGAGCTCTGGATGATCTGTAGTTTGTGGAGGGAGGAGTTGGGGAGACCGACAAGCAGGGAGTTTGCATAGTCGAGCCTCGATGTAATAAAAAATTTGTTTACAAAAAAAATACATTTTAACCTCAGAGATATTCATTATTACACCTCAGAAATATTTGGAAAAAAGGTCACACTCCTGCTTGGACAAAGTATCTGGATTCTAATTATAACTTATTCTTTATACTTTATACATTTGCCCAATAAAATGTCAAAATGTGACATTTACGAAGTTTAAATTGTGGGTTGAAATCAAATGAGCGCATGAATTTCATAATTCAGCCTCTTGAACAATTATTTCAGTTTCAACATTTCTGATACAGTATTTTTAGACCACTTTTTAAAGATTGAGGAAGAAAGAACTCTGCCTTTCAACGATGACACTTTGATACCCAGCATAACATTTAACCAACGTTTACAACAGAGTAAAATCTAAAACCTGCTGTTATTTTGAACTCAAAGCATTAGTTTTTTTTTAAAAAAAGACTTTCACAAGCTAGATGGAAACATAAATCACAGTGTTTTTTTTTAAAAAAATAACCTTTGTTTTTGGTGGGGTGGGGAGTCTCAAATGGGTTGACAGTGGTGTTATAATCAGGATAATAATCCTTGCATTTGATATAGCGCTTTTCACGTCGGGAGGACGTCCCAAAGCGCTTCACAGAACACACTGTAAAGTGAATTGACTGTATATATAGGATGGTAACAACTTAGCTCTTTGAAAACAATATCCAAATGATAATATCCAAAATAATCATATTTTGGGGTGGTTAGCAAATTGCTAATCACTTGCTAACACCCCCACACCCCCCCCCACACACACACAGTTCTTTGTCCATACACACCCTCTGCTGCAGATCAGCTGCAAAGCCTCCACTTGGCCATGATAGGCAGCCCACAGGGTGGGGGTCATCCCATCACCATCTGGAGTGTTCAGATCCTTCCTGGTGGCTTCTTTCAGAAGAGCCAAGTAGCCATCCCTGGCGGCTTTGTGGTACCTTTCCGACATGGTTGCAATCCCCTCTCGGACACTTCACATGATCTGCTTCCCAGGGCCAAATGGGGAAAGGCTGGAGCTGTGAGCGAGAGAGAGAGAGAGAGAGAGTGATCACCAGCGCTCAGGGAGGAACACTCAGAAGCCCACAGGCAAAGTCCACTCTCCACCAGCCAGGGCACAGCAGATGCTGCAGGCGTTAAGGTAGCCCCGAGAGTGACAGTAACTTACCTCCTCTGCTCCCGTTTGCAAAAGGACACCTTCCAAATAACTCTCGCAAATAACGTGCACCCAATGCCTTAATGCGGTTGTAAAGCGTGTGTTATACTGGATTGACTGTCTTCTGATTTGCAATTCATTTGAAGGTCCTGTCCTAACCTCAATCCGTTTAAAAAATATTAATTTCAGCCTCTTCTGAATTATGCTCGAGTTGCAACACGTGGAATATCTTTCTGTGTTTTAATTGCATTGAAGTGCACTGTCATTCCTGTAACTTCGAAGAGTTTGGCTTTGGGTAACCACGTTAGCTTGTGGTTTTATTTTGCTGATGTGGAGCTACCTTAACAATATACTGATGGACCTTTGATTCAGGGCGTGGATCAGCTGCTATGTACTGTGTGGTCACTGTGGTTCCACCTTGCTCTGACTCCAGGGAAAGATTCAGAAAAGTTACTTGAAGTGATAGGGTGAGGCAGTGCCCTCCAATAATAATAATAATAATAATCCTTGCATTTGATATAGCGCTTTTCACGTCGGGAGGACGTCCCAAAGCGCTTCACAGAACACACTGTGCCACCGCTGTGCATTTTTATGTCCTTGTCCATCAGGTGGAGTTCCTCTCACCTGTGAGATCAAGCACCAGGTAGAGAGGTTTATGCTCATATTATATAGGCTGACACTCCAGTGCAAAGCGTGGCATCCTTGGAGATGCTTTCAGAAAAGACCTTAAACTGAAACCCTTTCTGCTTGTTCTTCGGTTAGCTGTTAAATATCCACACAATTCGAAAAGAGAAGGGAGTACTCTTGCCCCAAGAACTGCCCAATAATTCTCCACCTAAATTGATCATTCACTTCATGGCTATTTATGGAAATTTACTGTGTGCAAAACAGCTACCGCCTTTGCTTACAAATATGCAGTCATTACACTTGCCAGCAATTGCAATTTCCTGTGAAAAGCTTATCGGTCTTATAGGATCATAATCCACCTGTTTAATATAGTGCTTGTAACATCAAAAATGTCTAAATATGGTTCACGGTAATTACAGTGGGGAGACTAGACTTTGCATAAATTGGGACCATCCCCATTGTGGATATGGAGGCAGAGTAGATAACTGGATATAATGCAAAATATAAATTAGCTACAGTACTCATTTAAAACAATTGTTGAAGGAGAAAAAAAGGGAGAGAGAAAAAGTAGGGAATTGGATGTAGTCAACACCAACATAGGCTGGGTGGGCCGAATGAGTGGCTCTCTGTGTGTTGTATTTTTTGAAAACGTGTGATAATCATAATATATGTTCTTGGAGATGTCTCCCACCCCCAAAACAATATAATAATTTGGTCTCTCAATCCACGACTGTTTGCGGGGAAACTACCGTGCGCAATTGGCTGCCGCGTTTCGCCCACAAATTATTACAGTCAATTCACTTTACAGTATATTCTGTAAAGCGCTTTGAGACGTCTCGAAGGCCTGATAAGGCGCCGTATTCAGATGCAAGGATTATTGTTAAACGCTGCGAGGCAACGCGTCATGATCTTTCTTATTCAAATGTTTTGCCTAAAGCCCATGGTGGCAGCCATTTGAGACGGCCTTGATTTTATTACCCTGTGCATCACAGATTGATTTCTTACATTATCTGTGGTTTGGTTGGACGGTACAGGAGTGTCTTCGGCCATGAGAGGGCGGGCAGGAGCCAAGTGGGGGCCAGTGTATACTGCAGTGATGTACATGGTCTGATCCCACGGGGAGGAGCTGCTTTGCAGGAAGTTTCTCACTCGCTTCGTTTCCCTACAATCAACAGGGATAGCAATGGGGGGATCCTCGATGACATCCTACCGGACCCTTGTCCATGCCCTGTCCGGAGCAGCGGTAAGTGGACCAAGTATGCACGGCCCTGATTGTTGGAACTAAATCAAACCGGGGTTTATACTCCATCCACCCCCAGTGTGTTCTTGATAGACACACAGAGACAGACAGACAGAGAGAGAGAGTGGTAGATCCACACACGCGGAGAAGCCAGTCACTCTCAATAGATGCTGTTCGTATTGGCATCGCTGCATTTAATCAGCCAGGGATTCTCAGAGTAGATCGCATTTCAGTAAAAATCAGATCAGGAAGTGTTAAATCCAGCGATTTCCCAGCAGCATGTGGTTTGATTGCACAATTTAATTGCTATGGATAAATTATTTCTGGATTGCAAGCAGAAAATCCGAAGTTGTTTAAACACAAGTTGTACCACTTTAAACAGCTTAATCCATGAAATAAGTGGTTGTGGGTTGATAGCATGAGTGGGGGATTTTGAAAAAAAATTACTTTCATGTCTAAATTATTATAATATTAAATGGAGAAATTTCTACCGATCACAAGTAGAAATTGAGGATTAATAAGTGAAGCTTGTTTTTAGAATGACCAGCTAAATAATAATAATAATCCTTGCATTTGATATAGCACCACATCACGTCTTTGAGACGTCTCAGAGCGATTTGCAAAATATACTGTAAAGTGAATTGACTGTATATATTGGGGGCGAAATTGCCTTAAGATTGTTTTGCAATAATAAATAAAAGGGAGGAGTAAAATGTCCTTTTCCATCAAATTCTTGAAGTCGCACTCTGCTGAAGCGATTGGCATCTTTCAATACGACTGAGCAATTGGTGAATTCATGTCCCTTCATCACATATTGTAGAAAGTAGAATAAACCTGTAGAATAAATTGTCAGACCCCTATTTCATGAAGATTGTGCCCTTTAATTACCCAACCACGAGTCAGCTCTATGCTGTAACATGCTGTACTTAGAGTTACATAAAGTGACACAGCACTGAAACAGGCCAACCTGCCTGGAATAGTAATACTGTACAGCACATTCCTCAAAGCTGAGGCGCTCCCAGCACCTACTCCAGGATTTTGTATTTTTGTAAAAAAAAATTGACAACTTGTCGTTAAGTTAAAATATCCCAACTTTTTAATGTTGTGCATGCGCTCTTTAATTTCCTCTCCTACCTTTAATCTTCCTCTCACAGAATATACAGTCAATTCATTTCATAGTATATTCTGTGAAGGGCGTTGAGACATCTCAACAACGGGATAAGGTGCTATATCAAACTCAAGGATTATTATTATTCTGTGAAGTTGGCTTTTTACTCTGGGAGTCACTAGTTACAAATCAGGAATTAGATCCCAGTGTTAAATGTTGGGAGATGACGGGTGTATAATAATAATAATCCTTGCATAATGCGAGTAGGAGTAATCTGCCTCCTGTCCTTTTGCATCTGCAGGGCAGTGTGACGGCTATGACAGTATTTTTCCCGCTGGATACTGCAAGAATACGTCTACAAGGCAAGTGCATAACTCGGGGAGAACCTTTGCATTGGTAAAGTGCAGAGTCTTTACAGTAGATAAACCATCTTTCTAGACTATAATCCATTTCCCATATTTCTGGAACCATCTGATCACCGTTTCTATGTAACTAATTCAGTTTTGTTTTAAATAAAACTTGAGAGTGCATATTCCATTCCAACAATCTTATCTCTAGGATTTTTAATGTGTAAGTGGGATGCATGGAATTTTTAGTTTGGTTTGGATACTCTTAAGCATGGTGATGGGTATCCGCAGATGTCAGATACCCGGCTGATCCCGAAAGAAAGAAATTCCAGCTAGATAACGACAATAACTTGCACTTATGCCATGTGTTTTACTTGGAGGGGAAAAAAATATCCAAGCCACTTCATAGAGACAGAGAGACCTGAGCTGGGTGGGAAATTGTGGGTAGGTGGGAAGTGGATACAGATGCAGAGTTAATGAGAGGTTTTTTCAGACAGGTTTTCAAAGCAGAGAGGGAGGGTGTCCGATAGAGCAATTTAGGGAGAGAGTTCGCCAGAAATCTGAATTTTATCCTTCAGTTCCAAACCGGATCAGCGGAAATTCTCATCTCCCCCCATAAAATCTTATAGCACGGAAGAAAACCATTCAGCTCTTTCAGGGTAGGACTGGTAAAATATTTCTTGAATGTATTTATGTTTAATTCACACTCTTCTGACTTGTATGTTTATCCAGTGGATGATAACCGGGAATGCAGATGCACACCTCTGCTGCTGGCGGAGATAATCCGAGAGGAAGGCCTGTAAGTGAGAAACCTGTATATTTTGTGGGCAAAATGCGGAAGTCAATTGCGCACAACAGTGTACCACAAACAGGCATGGATCAAGTGACCAGATTATTATTTTTATTTATTTATTTACTGATTTATTTTGAAGGGATTATTACCCCCGGAAAAGCGATGTGCCAATCGACTAACAACCGGGTTCCCACTTACTGCTAGATTAACAGAGGCGTGTGGAGTAAGGAAACTTGCCTAATGTTTTGCCCTGCCTGGGAATCAAACACAGGTCCTCTTGCTTGTGAGGAGAGTGCTATAACCACTAAGATACAGGACTCCACCAGCATCATTTTATCAACGTTTTACCAGCGACCAAAGTAACCCTAAAACTAATGGGGTCCACCCACATTCCAAGTTGTGATATGATAATCAGCCCAACACAGAAAATTCTGACCTGTCAATATCTGGCCACAGTTGTATCACCCCCCCACCCACCCACCCACCGGCTCGCTGCAGACTTCATCCCAAATGTCCTTGTCATTTGTTTGGTGTTAACTCTGTTGAATTGTGAAATGTTCAGGATTTTATTTCAACAACAGACAAGACACAATGATGTGAACTGTGTCAGCATGTCCCTGCACTACTTGTGAACTGTTGTACATCTTTGTATTTCCTCCCCCACCATAAAACGTTTGCTGATCGTTTTACTGAGGGCTCTGCCGCTTTAAGTGGAGTGCAGTGACAATGGGACTCCTTGTCTCTGGTTAATGGAAATACAATGGATTCTGTTCAACAGCTTCAGCTGTTAGATAATCATATACAGCACCCACAGAGTCTAGGCCAAGAGACTAAGTGCCAGATTCCACTGATGGTGTGTGTTGTTACTGATTTCAGTCAGGGTTACAATTGCCTCGAGGTTGGAATAGGGGTAGAATAAGTGAAGGTGTTTCCTCTGGGTTGATGTCCATTTAAAACACAGAAATTATAACATGAAAGATGCTGGCCTGCAGTTCAGTGGTCACAGATCACTTTCTACTCTTCATGTGTGAGCTGACAGTGCATGTTGGCAAGGGGTAGAATGAGAGAGATAGAGAGAGATAAGAGCATAAAGATTGCTAGATGAAAGAAGACCAAGGTGCATCCAGTTTGCCTTGCACCATCCTGGCACTCGCATGCACATGTCATGTCACAAACTATAATCCTTGCATTTGATATAGCGCCTTATCACGTCTTTGGCACGTTTCAAAGCGCTTCACAAAATATACTGTAAAGTGTAGTGACTGTGTTTTGTCAATGCTGCAGCCAATTACGCACAGCAGTGTCCCACAAGCAGTCATGGAATGAGTGACCAAATGATTATTATTAACCCTAGTATTTGAAGGGATTATTACCCGCCCGGAAATCCTAGATATTGTGTGTCGGAGCAGTGTATTGATTTATTTTCACTTTGGAATTGACGCTATGGACTGTACTAGTCTTGTCCATTTTCTGTGTTGCTAAGCCTCTGTTGTCCTGTTCTGATACAGACTGGCCCTATACCGAGGATGGTTCCCTGTGATTTCCAGCCTCTGCTGCTCAAACTTTGTCTACTTCTACACATTCCACACTCTAAAAGCAACGTGGGGGAAGGGGAACACCCGGGCCTCACCCGGCAGAGATCTGGTGATGGGGTGCATTGCAGGTATACAGCAACCCTTCAGTGGGTGAGCAAGTGGCTGGTCAGCAGAATAAATGTGATGCGGGATCCCAACATTACATAGTTGAGAGACTTAGGAAGCAGCCAGGGCTACAATTGGCTTCAGCATCCCAGGGTCAGGGAGGTGGAATCGGCCAGGGTTCCTGTTCCTGATCATTATGGAGACAACCCCAGCTGGGCCTGCTCAGTTCAGGACAGCATGAGATTTGGCCATGATGTACAGCACCTCCTCTCCCCTTCCTCAAAGCGCTTCACAGGATATACTGTAAAGTGGATTGACTGTGTCTTTTGTAGGCGAAAAGTATTGTGGGTGACAATACTTGCTATCCAGGCTGAATTAAAATAGAGGGATAGTGGGCACTCGAGCAAATTCTAACAATAATGTCTCTGCCTGGTTGAGCTTTAAGATCCTCTCCCCCGCATGCTTTGCAGCAGAAACCGAGGCTTCAACGCAAGTGATTGTGCTTTCAGAGAAAGGGGTCTGTGTACTGGACTGACCATCCACAGCACATGGGAAGGCGAGGCCGAGAGTAGGACAAACATTTCTCTCCTCCAAATTGGAATTCTTAACTTTCTTGGAAGTTGGAAGTGGGGGGGGGGGGGGGGGGGAGGAAGAATTGAGGTGAGAGGTGAGATTCAACATCAATGTGCATTTATACAGCACCTTTCATGTAAACTAAAACATTTGCAAGTGCGGAATAAAATTGATTCTAAATGAAGTGAATGTAATATAAATAAATAGAAATATCCGACTGCCAGCCTTTGGCACTGCTTGAATTTCAAACTTGTCCTTTTGTTTTAGTGAAGCCAGACGAGAGCTCGGTCCTTCAGTGAATACTGGGTAACAGCCTGATGCAGTGCTGTACCATAACATAACACATAGTATTTCTATACATCAACTCTACACTGAATAATAAATATACTTCCTTTTTGTACAACAATTTATGTTAAAGCTTCAAAGTGCTCCACATAATAACATTTAAGTTTAATGACTATTATGTAAGCAAATGAGGTGGCTAATCCACCCCAGTAATTTCTTCGACCACGATGAGCTGAATGGAGATTAATCTGTTTCTGGAATGGATTGGGATGAAAGAGGAATATTGGGCAGGACAATTGCACTCGTTCCAAATAGGATCTTCAGTATGTTTTTATTTACAAATCTTGTCTTGTAGGTATCGAAAATAACTGGCTTGATTTGTTTTGTCAGGAGCTGTTAATGTTCTCATAACCACACCAATGTGGGTGGTCAACACCAGACTGAAACTACAGGGAGCAAAATTTAGGAATAAGAAAATCCATCAGACTTGCTACAAAGGGATGTTGGGTGAGTAGTACTTTTCGTATTCGCTGAATCTTCGTGAGACCGATCCCACAGGGTGGAACTGAGACAAACTCACCAGGGAGGCTACAGGATAAATCCGGTCTGTGTTGTTAGCTGATCTCACCAAGAGATGCATTATGTTTGAGAGGTATGGGGAGGTGTGTTATATCAGAGGTAAGATGTTATACTTGAGCTGTAGGGTGATGATGTATGGAGTGTGGGGAGGTGAGTTAGGAATGTTAGGAATCCTCAGAGCTGTAGGAATGTGTGTGAACTTAATATATTTTTTAGATGCATTTCAGCAGATTGCTAAGCAAGAAGGTGTGAAAACTCTCTGGAATGGAATCCTGCCATCCCTCTTCTTAGTCATGAACCCTGCAGTACAGTTCATGCTGTACGAGGGACTGAAGAGAAAAGCTATGAAAGGAGGTAGAAAGGTACGAGCGGCCCTTAGTATCTGTTGTGCTGCACTTCACAGGATTTACTGTGAAATGGAGTGACTGTGTATTTGTTGGCAAACACGGCAGCACAATTGCGCAAACAGCCAATAAATGAATAAACAATTTTATTTGGGGGATAGTTGGCCGGGACACCAGGAGTAACTCCCTTTTCTTTTTGAATAATGCCATGGGATCTTTAACATCCGGCTGAACAGGTAGACAAGCTTAATGTCTCATCCAAAGGATGGTACCTCCAACATTACAACCCCCCCCCCCCAAGTACTGCATTGGAGTGTCATCTTAGACTATGTGAGTTCAAGTCCCGATGTGGCATTTGAACTCACAACCTTCTAACTCAGAAGGGAGAGAGCTACCACTGAGCCAGGCTGAGACATGACCCCACTCAGAGACCGACCAGCGATCCCCCATTGGATATTGATCATCATGAAGATTGGCTGCATCCCCCCCATGAAACAGCTTAGGCCATTAATGGCCCCAACTACTGCCCTGGCTGAGCTCAGTAACTCAGCGGAGTCTATGGATGGAACTTCAGTTTAGTCAGAGGCTGGACCAATGAAGCCGCTGGGGAAGCTTGGCTGAATACTGCCCTCCCCCACCCCGACCCTCAGCTTGGGTCTGTAACTGTCTGTCCAGCGCCTTGGGACGTCCTCCTGAGGTGAAAGGCTCTATACAAATGTAATTTTGTTGTTGTCGTAACTGTATGCGAGTGTGTATGTTACTTGACCCACTTTCTCGACGTGAACCTGTATTGATTTTACAAGCACTGTTTTAATACTTTAATTCTTCTAACAGATGTCATTTTTTTTTATAGATTTCATCTTTGGAAATATTTTTGATGGGAGCTCTGGCAAAGGGAATTGCCACGACTATCACTTACCCCTTACAGATTGTGCAAGCAGTACTGCGGGTAAGAAAAGCAAAGAAAAATCTCCAACAAGCAGACGTCAGAACACAGCGTTGCAAATAAAAAGTTACAGAAAGTTTATTCTTTTCTTCACAGTTTGGACAGAGTAACACAGGGTCACAGAGGACATTTCTGGGGAGTTTCCACACAGTGCTTTATCTGGTATCTCAGAGGATTAAGTAAGTGGCATGAATTAAGTATCTCTCCTTCTCTAGTATGTCTCACATAGTGCTTAAGGGTTTCCAGCTGCAAAGATCGTGGAAGCAGTTTTTGCATTTGTCAGAACTGTCAATGTTTTCCTCAGGTGACATACACCTGCTGCCTATACACAGAAAATACAGGTGCTGGCTGTCTGAACCAGGTTTTTAAACACCCCTAAGAGTGTGCTGGTACAACTGGAATTGAACCAGGTGAGCTTCCTGCTGCTGGTCAGTTGGGACCACTCTATCCATCAAGAGTTGGGTTACAGCTTTATCAGCAGCTCAGTGGGAAGAATCCAGTCCCCCAGCATGATATTTATATTGCTGAGTCCTATCAATGAGCCACCAGTCAGCCTGGTCAATATCAGCAGTCCCCCCAGAGAACTGCAAAGCAGTTTGGCTCAGATATTGGGATCATTGAGGCTATCCACAAGAGTAAATTTAACTGCTCTTTTTTGCCAAATGTCACTCACCCAGAGCAAGCCCACTCCCCCACTTGGTCTCTCTCTCTCTCCCCCGTTTATTGATATACATTGCCAGGTGAACGTGAATAAAATCTATAACCATTAAACTACCGATAGTTTAAAAGCAGCTACGTATCTTCAGTAAATTGTTCAAAAATCTTAACAGGCTTTTCTTACTAACAGGAGACATGGTTTGCTGGGTCTCTACAAGGGTCTGGAAGCCAAGTTACTTCAGACGGTTCTCACGGCAGCTCTTATGTTTCTAGTCTACGAGAGGATTGTAGGTGCCACCTTCAAAATCATGGGATTATCGTAGACTATGCAAAAGGTTGGAGAACTCTTATCTGGCCACCGCTTTGCTAAAGTAACGTTTAGAAAACATCTGTACAACTTTCTTTCCAGTGAGGTGTTGGGCGTTAACTGCCAGGTTTGTAATGTAGAGAAATGTCAGATCACAAAAATCAGTCTGTATGAAACGGAGTGGGGATTCTAGGTGGACAGCCTGTAACTCTGGGTGGGATGATTGTTTACTCAGTAAAGCTTCAAAAACGTGAATAATTTTGATAAGGTAAATAGAGAAATTTCTACTGATCACAAGGTGCATAAATTGAGGATTAATAAACAAAGCTAGTTTATGTTTAGAATGACCAGCTAAATAATAATCCTTGCGTTTCATACAGCACCTTAAAACATCATTGAGACGTCTCAAAGTGCTTCACAGAATATACTGTAAAGTGAATTGACTGTATATTTTGTGGGCAAAACACGACACTACTGTGTGCAATTGGCTTCTGCAATTCACCCACAAAATACACAGTCAATTCACTTTACAGCATATTCTGTGAAGCGCTTGAGACGTCTCGAAGACACGATAAGGAGCTATATCAAATGCAAGTTATTATATTGAGTGAGCATAGGATCTGGATCAGATGTGATACTCTTCTTACACTGTAAGGAATGGCTATGGTCAGGTGCTGGAGTGTGGCTACCAGCCATGAAGCTGTAGCCCAAACATGTCGCGTCCAGCAGAAAACTGTTAGAAACTGCTTTATTTTTAAAAAATTGAGATTTACACATAATGGCATTCTGTACATTCAGCCCTTTTGAAGTGTGCACTGAAGAATAATGCCTGATAGAAGAATGATCTTAAGGTATAAAAAAAATTCTCCTTCAGAGGTTAATGGGTGGCATGTTGCTGGCAGTGATCCAAGGCAATGTTGGCAGCTAAGCAGCCTGTTTGGCCAATTTGAGAGGCACAGAAATACCTCAACCCTGTGAGCTAAAGCCCTGACTGGGTGGATGGTCATAACAACAAATAACAGGCTAGGCAGTCAGCATTCATATAATTTTACTGCTCGCTTCTTAAACAATGCGATTGACTGTGACATTTGCACAGTAAAACAGCAACAAAACGGAGTATTTTATAGGCGGGAAGACCCAGACTATGTATGTTATAAAACGTTTTATTATGAAACTTTTGAATGGAATTTAACTCACGACTTTTTACAGATTATAAAACAGTTAGTTTACAGACAGTCTCCTGTCCCAGCCCCATTGCGTACTTATTCGGATGATGGAAGTGCTTCTTATTCACTATGGATTAATCACCTCTCCGTACAGTAACTTTTCCACATACCAGTCTGGGAGGAAGGAATACACAGAGTCCATATGTACTGTATACGAAATATCTTTTCCGGGTTGCCAGGAAAAAAGATGCACCAACCTGTCAAGAAAGGTTACAGAAGAGATTAGCTCAAGATCTGTGCTACTGATCGGAGGAGTGTTAAACAAGGCCTACACGTGTGTTTTAAGTTACAATAGGGAGGTGGAGGCAGATTCCATCAGCAAATGCAAGAGGTAATGAGATAGCTGATTGAAGGATCTGAGATATTAGTCTAGGAATGTTTACTTTGGGAGCAGCCTGATGAACTGTTGTTTCCAGGCCTATGTATTTATATCATGGCAAACCCAACACAGTGATAGCAGAGTCTGCCTGATGAGTAAGAGGAGGACTGTAAATTATCTAGTATTCAGCCAACTAACATGCCAACAAATTGCTCAACTAACTGACAATGAACTCTACGCTCATATAATTAAATGACTCCCAATTATTGGAAATCAAACTAAAACCAGAAATACTGAGGTTTATATATTCACCGAGCTCTGGTCTCCCTTTGAGACCTTTCCTGGATACTCTCTGGTGCCAATTTTAGCTCCACCTGCTGCCCTAGCTGAGATCCACTAGCTCAGCACAGATCCTAAGAACATAAGAATTCGATAGGTGAAAGAAGACCAAGGTCCATCTAGTTCGCCTTCCACCATCCTGTCCCAAACTGTATTCTGTCCCATAAGAACATCCTGTTCTGCAGAGTTCGGCTACTAAATGGATACACTCTCCAAGGCATCAGAGCTTCATTGTAATGCATAAAAATGCAATATTTTATCTGAAATGGCCTTTTAGCAGAACACGAAGATAAAGCGAAGGAAATGGATTAGAACTGTACCGGTGATCATCCTGTGTTACCACCTTCTTCACAAAGGACAGGAAAGCGTCGCAGAAGTTCAGGCAGACGGCTGGCTTCCAGCAATTCCGCTCGTTCTATATAAGGAAATGAGAAAAAACAAAATAAATTCCCACCGGTCCATGCATTCTCATAGCACGAACAACTGAGTGTTGAATTCTATAAGTCAATCATTTCTGTGTTAAGTAAATTCAAACTCCCTGCTCACGAAATCATTATCCAGATTAGTCTGTGGGCCTTTTGCAAAAGGCTGTTAGCTGTAGGTTACACAAACCAGTTATTATAGTACATCTCCATAAGCTATATTGTATTTGCAGTGTTTGTACTCATTGGAATGTCCTCCTGAATTGAAAGGCTCTATACAAATGTCATTTGTTGTTTGAGCTGATAGCCGAGCAGTGGTTGGAAGTTGCTACAAATGAAGGGAGAATCAGCTAGAGTTTCTGCTGCTGATGGCTGCCCAATTACACAAGCTGCTACACGTGTTTGCATGGACGAAACACTACACTTGACAGCAAATATCTGTGAAGCCTTTTAAGACATTAACCTTCTAAGCGTGATATCAAATGTTCTGGTGGGATTGAGTGCAACTTACTTTAGGATGCAAATAGTAAGCGTAGGTGTGAGGTTACAGTATTTAAGCAGATACTTTTATACTTTTACTGGCTCAGTTGCCACTCTCACCTCCGAGTCAGAGGTTGTAGGTTCAAGCCCACTTCGGGACTTTGAACTCAGTGTAGGCTGATGCTCCAATACAGTCCTGTACTTCACATGAAACTTTAAACCAAGGTTCTGTCTGCCTGTGTATTGTAATACATGAATCAGGAGTGGAATTGCTGTGCAAGGTTTTCTGTGAGAAGAAGACACTTCCATGGGTTGTTTCCAAAAGTCACACCCACCCACTTGGTTCATATTCTCTGCTTAACTGTAGCCCTTCCAACCAACGCTGTAGTTGAATCAGCTCACTTAGAAGTCTAGGGATTGTCTGTATGATCATTGCACATCAGAAGGTACATTCACACACTGAGCCAGAGGATCCTCATATCAAATTACTCATAGTCAGAAGTCTCCTCTATATTGTAGCCAATTTTAAAGAAAATGACCAAGTGCAGATTTCTCCAGATTTAACATTTGATTTCTTCCCACCTGCTTTGAATCCAATCTATTCAGCTGTGTACAAACCTTGACCAGGTGATGGATCTTCATTGTGTCGAAAGATTGAAGGGAGACAACCTTCCCCTCGTCATCTCTGAAGCCTGCGATTATCCGAGGTACCCCGGGCAGGAAGGACTGCGCCCACCACTTGATCAGTTTAAACCTACCAACAGAAGGTAGACGGTCAGAGCAGCCAACCCATTCCAAGTCACAACAAATACAGTGAATTTACGATTTTTTTTATTGTTTCAGTGGAGCCAAAACGGCAGTGGAGCAATCAGCTGGATCAATGTTACACAATCGGATCAGATATTGTAGGACAGGACACTAACTTTCAGGGCCAGTCACAGTAGTATCCAGCTGTCTAGAATGCTACAATACTAAGCGATGGGAAGTGGGTCTGCTGTTCCTCACAAGTTTAGCTTCTGGTTTCAATCATATCTCTGCTGGCAGGAAGTATCCAAGTGAAGGCCAGGCATGGGAAGGGTAGAAAACCAGGACCTCCCAGAATAAACAGCCTCCTAATAGCAATTCTTCGCTTTATCTAACAGAGAAAAAAAGGGAATACTCTTGACTTCATGTCCGAGACTTCTGCTATTAAAAACTGCTATTAAGTTCACATTTCTTGATGGAAAAAAAATGTTTGGCCCAAGCAGGAAAGGCTTTGTTGACAATAACCTTCCACTCAGTGTTTCGCTCCCCAGTTCATTCCGTGCTTGTACAATTTTCCTCTGAAAAGCAGCAAACTTGTTTAAATATGAGCTTCCTGCTTTAAAACCCACTCGTCACTGCAATGCAAGTCGCATTACATCTACAGCCTCTGTACATCTACACAGCTTGTTCAGAACCGTTTGGCATTTAGAATGCACTGAAGCTTAAACTGCCCGGTGTAAACGGCAGAGGCAAAGACTGCAAGGAATACCAACCTATGAAAGTTCCTTTGTTGGTTGGGGTTGTACATCTCTCTGCTGGTCTTCAGCTCCAAGTAACACTGTGGGGGTTTCTGACTGGGACAGGAGATATCTTTGCAATCCACCTCACCAGCAAACACGAGGGAATGGCTGCTCAGCCGGGTTCGGACCACAGTGCAAAATGCTTCATTGGTGTTTACCACACCAGCTGGATTAGGATTTCCCTGTGGTTTATCTGAAAGAAGGAATAATGTGAATTCCTAAAAATTTAATCCAAACCTTTCCTGTTCATTAGTTGGTTTATAACATACTATTAAATAGGAAAAGCTTGAAAACTAAACAACTGCAAACTAAGTATCTATCTCCATGTTCTTCAAACATAGGAGCTTTTCTGAACCTGATGAGTTATACTAATAATAATTCTTACATTTGATATAGCCCCTATCACGTTGTTGAGACGTCTCAAAGCGCTACATAGAATATATTGTAAAGTGGATTGACTGCATTTTGCAGGCGAAGTAAGGTAGCCAATGTCACAGTAGTGACCCACAAGCAGTCGTTCAATTTCAGCAGGGCAGCTTAGGAAAATGGCCATCTCCCATTCCTAATTTCCTATGTTTCTAAATCAGAAACCAACAATATTTTACAAACAGGCCCTTACAATCTTTTGATAGATCAGATTTTGCCCCAACACAAAAGAATATTGGAGACCACACTCTCACCTGCACACAAGTACTGCTCAAACTTGTAGCCACCATACATCAGCTCTTCCTGCATCTCCGTCCTGTGCTCCCGCTGCCGCTTGGCTTCTTCAGTCTCCACCTCACTCATGTAATATGTGCCATTGAACAGGGTCACCGCCATCAGCCAGCCCTCTCGGGACTCGTACGGTGTGGTCAGGATTTTCGTCAGATGTCCCCTCCACGTGATGAAGTCTGTGTGCAACTGACTGCAATTGAAAGGGATAATGGAACAAATTCATAAGAAGATACACAAAATTCCATCCAATCCACAATAATCCTTGCATTTGATATAGCGCCTTATCAAGTTGAGACATCTCAAAGCTCTTCACAGGATATACTGTAAAGTTGATTGGTTGTGTACTTTGTGGGCGAAATGCAGGAGCCGATTGCGCACATCAATGTCCCAAACAATGGACTGAGTAAACAATTTTATTTGGGGGTTGGTGGTGGTGGGTGGGGGGGGGGGGGGGGGAGATTGTTGCCCAGGACACCAGGAGAAACTCTCTTCTCGATTTGAATAGCATCATGCAATCTTTTAACATCTACCTGAACAGGAAGACAGGACCTTGGTTTGACGTACCATCCAAAGGACAGACAGTAATCAAGCCTTGCAAAATTAGATAAATAAATCCAAGTGACTAATGCAAAGTTCCCCCCACCCCACCACATCTACAGGTCTCTCCCCTTCTTTCCAGAGTGTTGATGTGTGCCCCCTCTAATTCCACAGGCACCTGCTGTACCTTGCTCCATGTGGCCATTCTGTACGAACCCAGACAGTAAATGTCAAAAGGCTATTCACCTGTGAGGAGCATCAGAGATGAGCCAGACTGCACATACCATCCACATTCAGAGAACTTTACAGAGGTATTACTGGAAAGTGCAGCAGGAACCTCAGTTGTTATTCAGGGATGCTGAAACCAATACCTTGGCTGAGAAAAAGGGAGTTTCTCACTGTGTCTTGGCTAACAGTCCTCCAGAGACTAAGTCATTCACCTCATGGTCATTTGTAGGAACTTGCTTGTGCAAATGGGTGCTACAAAAAATAGCCTCTGCAATTGACAGGAATAACCTGAAGCTCTTTGAAATCTTTCAGTACGATCACCCAGTAAAAATATTTTTTTCTTGAAACAACTCAGAATATGATAATTTAGTAATAAATAATCTTTGAATTTGATAATAGTGCCTTACAATGCCATCACTTTCACAGATAAATACTGTCAAGAGTAGTCCTTTATGGGTAAACATGGTAGGGGATTTGGGCACAGCAAGATCCCATAAAAAAATGAAATGAATCAGTAATTTATCTGGAGAATTGTTGGCCAGGACAAAAATCTCATTTTAATATTTCATTTAAAGAAATGCATCTCTTACAAGGTTGCACTCCTCCTGTGCTAGAGTGTTAGCCTAGTCTACAAACTAAAGTCCCAACATATGGTGTGGACCTACAACTTACTTCCCAACAGCAGGTGACTTGCCATCTGCAGACATGGGGAATCTTTGCTTGTTCACTAAAACCCACTTCAGGATATGGTCCAGTTTCTCCTTAATATGTTCGTTTCGCTTTATGTATCTGTCTTTATACCCATCTCGCAGGTTAAAGTTTGGGTTCTTGCTGGACGGTTCCACGTAACATTTAAGCTGTCTTCCATCGTTGAAGAACTGTCTGTATGAATCTAATGAAAAGCATCCGATTTCAACAGGCTGCCTGTAATCTGGGAAGCTGCTGTCATACGTAGCCACTTCCACGGCAAAAACATGTCCGTGCTTATGACCTGTGTTTCTGTTCATATTTGAAGAGTATTGTTTATCAGAATTAAACCGCAGTAATTTAATCCGATCGTCTCGTGTGTCTTCTAGTTTGCGTTTGATGGATCCTCTGGACGTCTCCCCACTAGTATGGAAATGCTGATCCATATCTTGATGCGTTTGTGTAGATTAAAGAGCCTGGAAAAATGACAGAAATGCTGAATAATTAAGACATTATGCATCACAGGAACAGAGGCTCATCAAGCATGTTCTGACAGTTTAATCCCACATTTGAACCCATTTCTCTCACATTCCGTCAATCTTTAATACCTATATTTCACAGGTATCTATTTATGTTCCTTTGAATAGTCCAATTGATTCTGGATCTACAACCTTCTGGGGTAGTACACACCACATTCTCACAACAAAATTAATATTTTTGGATCAATGTTCTGTACAGCCCATTTAAGATACAGCTTTGCTGCCACTGTCTTCAAAGACAAAATGAAAACCTCAGTGTCTCCTCATTTACAGTACAGCAAACGCCTCAGTATAATAATAATCCTTGCATTCGATATAGTGTTATCACGTCTTCGAGATGTCTCAAAGTGCTTCACAAAAAATACTGTAAAGTGAATTGACTATCTTTTGTGGGCGAATGTCCAGTGCAGTGTACACATTAACATAAATTAATGCCCGACACGTCTAGCAGTCAATATATAAAACAAAACACCATCAGGCATGATTGAGGAAAGGGAAATTTAAGAATGTTGACAAAAGACACGGTTAAAGTGTTATGTTTTTAAGAGGCTTCTGAAGGTACCGTCATTCAGATGAGAAGATAACTCAAGGTCCTGCCTGCTGTTTGGACGGATAATGGCAGGGCACTATTCAGTAACAAGGGAGATTCTCCCAGTCTTCTGTCCAACAATCCTCCATTTAAAACTGGTCATTCATTTTGTGGCTGTCTGTTAGACATTGTTATGCACAAGTTACTTGTCTCGTTCACCTTCAAATGCACCCAATGCACTTTACAGAAACTTTGTGAAACACTTTTGAGACATTCTTGATGTCATAAGTGCCATTTTTTTTTGATCAACCAGGTTTTTGACACGTGGGGAAACCCATCACTGTGCTTACAAGTATCTAAACCAAATGGAGGTTCATCCATTTCACCTATACATGGAAATTCCAGAGATATTTATTGGAATGGCATGCGCACCCTCTCCACACAGGGACGAATCCTGTTTACCTAATTCTGGGGAGTACAAGGCACAAATTGGCAAGAGTCAAGTCTTAGGGACGCCAGGGTATGCACATCAGCACTGCCCTGGGGTACTGCAGACCCAAATGACTCAGGAATTGCACTACTGAGACCACCACAGAGGATTGGTTTGATTCTGACACTCCCTTGTCAAACATGTTACCTTGGAGCCCTCCTTAAGAAGCCCCTGCTATTGCTGCCCCCCCCCCGTTGCACAGTCACTTGACATCCTGACAAGTGTGGGTTTGAGCCCTCACAAGGCGGATGGCAAGTATCAGAAACTCCTTGCAAGCTTCCTGGGGGGCAACATCCCTCGGCATGAAACAATAAGCGCCATATCAGATGCAAGGATTATGATGAGGAATTAGAATTTTTCTCGGCCCTGGAGGATCCACCCCCTCTGATTGGGTGATATAAGCTTCACTGGAAGATGCCGCCATTTGTGGTGAATACAAAATTAAGCCCCAGCGCTGACAGCAGTGGGTGCAGTTCAGGGGACACATTCCAAAGACCACAGCCCAATGCTGTGTCAGCTGCTGCTGCCGCCGCCCCCCACCCACCCCCCACCCAGTGATGTCTCCGTACACGGCCCCACTCGTGTTCAGTCACCAACCGCCGTCAACACAGTCCGCGGGACAGGGGTTTGCTGGTCAGTACCTGAGGCCTGGGCCTCACACCCACCGGCGGCTCCGCCCTCACCTGCAGGCCCAGGCCTCGGTGCCTCCCGCGCCCTCCTGAAGCGGCTGCGGTACATCTAACACCTCACACGAGCGACGCGTTTCGAATAAGCGAGGCCCAGGACCTGCTTTAATCGGGAACGGCGCGTGTGCGTGTGTTACTCATTGAGGTCGCGGGGAGTTCGCGCAGCACATAAACAGCACAAGAACCACGGGACGAGGCGCGGAAAGAGTGCGCAGGCGCAGAGCCGCCGGTTCAGACCGGCTGGCCGCGCAGGCGCATTGACGCCGGCTGCGGCTGCGCAGGCGCGGGCGCCGACGACGTCGTCGGGTGAGGCCGCGCGGTGACGTCGCTTTTCGGGCCGCGCAGGCGCAGTGGTGTCGGCGCAGGCCGGCTGCGCAGTCGCAGTCCGCGTCTGTCCACGACTCCCCGGGAGTGGGGAGTTCGCCCACTCACCTCTGCTGTTGAAGCGGCCTCTGAAGGACTGAGACCCGGGAGGGGGGGAGTCGGCAAGTGCGGAGCTCGAGTGTGAGTCCCTCTCCGCGAGTCCCTTAATTGTAAACGTAGATATAAGATTTAAGTCAAATTCAGTCTATGTTTCAGTTCACTTCCGCTTCATAAATGGTATCAAAATGCCCTCAGATCTCAACTTTCTTATATAAACGTCATGTTTAGGCTCTGAAGGACACCGCCACATAGTACCCCATACACGTCGGTGCTTGTTCCACTTGCAGCCATGAATCGGAAGAGGATATTGATCCCCCAGATCTTCAAGCAGTTTAAGAAGCGCAGACTGGGAGCGGAGGATGGCACAGTGCTCACCGATAAGAGTGTCACTCTGGAATTTGAAGGTACTTTAGGCATCTTTTAGAAAGTTGCCACTTTGTTTTCAGTCCATATGTGTTCAGTGGTAGTATTTCGATTGTGGGAGGAGGAAGGCTTGGCCTTTATCACTGGAGAAAAGCATTCAACAACAACAAAACAACAAGATTCCATCTATAGAGCGCCTTTCACGTCGGGAAGGACGTCCCACGGCGCTGGACAGTTGGGTCAGGACCCGAGCATTGGGGGGAAACGCTCAGGGTGAGGGGAGGGAAGGGAGGGAGCGAGGAGGGGGTAGAGAGTCGAGAGCAGAGCTGAAGGCTCGGTCAAAGAGAAAGGTCTTGAGACCGGCCTTAAAGGAGGAAAGGGAGGAAGCGGCGAAGGCCATCATTCAACAATGATGCCCGGGAATAATGAATTGGTGGGTTTAAAGACAAGTTTTTTAAAAGCTACCTTTACCAGCTAGGCTGTTAGGGGAGCTAGAACTTTCTTTCATGATGCAAATTAAATAACATGCAGTTTGACAATTTTCTGGAATCTTAACAGTGGCTTTTTGAAAATAAATACTTCTTAAAAAAAGTTTTACTTTTTTTTTAGATATGCCAAATGATACCAAAACTGGGCTACTGTTTCTGGTGAGATTATTTCCCCGTAAATTATTTGACGATTGTCTTCCTCCAATTGTCCTCAAACACCAACTTTACAGCATTGTTAAAGACAAAACAACAGTTGATCGTCAATTGGTAAGTTATGTTGCTCTGAACTCTTGTTGTGGAAGTTGGATATAAATTTGTCTTCAGTTAGCCAGCCTTAGCCTCTTGCGGTCATAATTTTTAATTGGTAACCACAAAAAAAGTTAGTTGTTTCATTTTGGGATAGACTTACCCCTGGTCTGTTTGTTTAAGATATGTAGCAAATAGGATATGTGTTACTTTATTTTAACCTAAATAATCTTATTGTTTTAACTCAGAATGAGCTGAAAGATCTGGGAGTCATTCGAATGTTCAATCTTGGATTTGACACCGATGTGTTTGGCATTGTCTTTAGCGAAGATTACAAAAGCAAAGTTTTGGCTGCAACAGCGACAAAAGAGAGTTCAGCGACAGTGCAGAGGTTTTTAGAGACAGTATTAACGTCCTGTACAGATATTGGTTTCAACCAAGAGAAAATGCTGAAAGAGTTCTCTTTTCAGGACCAAGAAATAACGTGAGTTCCAGGTAGAGCTACTTCTGTATGTCAGAGATCTGTTGCTTTCCTCTTGCTAAATGTCATTTGGATAATATTACAAACCCTTGTAATACAAAAAGTACTTAATTTTTCTTTATGTCTTTCTGTTATAATCCTGTTCCTTCACCCCATAGATTAAATACTATTTGTCTGAATGTGCATATTGTGTATCTCTCTCCCACCCTCTTTGTTTTTCTTTTTCATTCCACTCGTGTTCAATAAAAACCCTTTTATAATATAAATTGGAAAACATTTAAAAAATTTTGATTTGAACAGTTTATGTACAAATCTAAGATGCACAAAATGTATTTTTGAAGCACAAACCTTGACTTTGCAATCTTAATCAAACATCATTTAATATTTCTGCCCATGTGCAAGTCAACCACTCGTATAAATTTCTGCATGGCTGAAGCTGATCATTCTAGTTTCCCTTTGGTTTGAATGTTTCAGATGTTGTATACATTATTCTGCAGACAGCTGGTGAACGCAGGGGTTTTTACAGTACGGGACGTAGGAAGCTGGTGGCTTTCAATTCCGGGTGCTGGTCGATTTGTGAAATATTTTGTGAAGGGTGAGTTGCATCAATATTCTGGATTAATTTGCAGATAGACTGTTCAAGCGCTGTATAAATGTAAGTTGTTATTGTTGGCAAACTCCAATCTGCTATACTCTCCCCTCCCCTTCGTCCCACCATTGGGACTATGGGTGGAGCTACAATTGGCCTGGGTTGGAAAGAAAAAAAATGACAGTTTCCCATTGCTGTGTGGCAAAACATTGTTTTTTTTAGTAAAAAGAATGAGACAACAACAACAACAACAACAACAAGATTCCATTTATAGAGCGCCTTTCACGTCAGGAGGACGTCCCAAGGCGCTGCACAGTTGGGTCATGACCCGAGCAGGGGGGAAATGGTCAGGGTGAGGGGAGGGAAGGGAGGGAGCGAGGAGGAGGAAGAGAGTCGAGAGGGGAGCTGAAGGCACGGTCAAAGAGAAAGGTTTTGAGACCGGCCTTGAAGGAGGAAAGGGAGGAAGCAAGGCGAAGGCACTGGGGGATGGAGTTCCAGAGCCTGGGGGCTGAGAGGCTGAAGGCCCGACCACCGATGGTAGGGCGGTTGGGGCGGGGGACGTGGAGCAGACCGGAGCCAGAGGAACGGAGGGTACGGGCAGGTAGGTAGGGGGATAGTAGGTTGGAGAGGTAGGAGGGAGCAAGGCCGTGAATGGCCTTGTAGACATGTGGAACAAGAATCTGTAAAGGGTTTCAAAATGGAACTGGATAAGTTCCTGGCAAACCTAAAGGATTCAGGTTATTGCATTTACATATTGACTTGCAGAAGAAATGTTGTGGCTGACTCGATGACCTACTCCTTCTTGAAATTGGGATTGAGTTATTTCAAATGTTTTCTCTTTTCGAGAATTTTAATCACTGATGTGTTTCTTATAAAGATTTTTGTTATTTTTTTAATTTCAGGCCGTAAAGCTGTTCTCAATATGATACGGAAATCCAAGTATAAGGAAGTTTTACAATCGGATTTAGAGCTTCGGAAAATAACCTGCACAGTAAAACTAGGGATCCAGTATCAAGTTCATGACATCATTGGAGCAGAGTTGGTAAAATGGTAAGGTGTTTCCCAGTATAAAATAATGAGCCTTGAAGCAGAATTGAACAAAGATGTGTGCGCAATGAGGCAGAGACGGAGAAGAATTTGGATATGATTTCCAGTCAACATACAGTTGGTACAAAACAAAGATCAAATATTAAGCTACATCTTTAGAGCATCTGAAGAGACAAAATACCTTATTTTTATGAGAATTATGAGAGCCCATATTTGGAATATTATGAACAGTTTGAATTGGAGAAGGTTCAGAAGAGCTTAAAAATGCAAGTTCTTCTTGTTCTGAATAATCTATAGTTGTAGAATTTCTCTTTTAAATGTAGGTGAAATGTTTTATTATTTTAATGTCGAACCCAAGACACACAGTCAATACACCACCAAGCCTGAATAAGAGTAGCAGACAAATGGTTGACATTCACAAGGATATGATATGCCTTGAAGTGAGATACACTTAAGTGTGACTGGTGCTACAATGCAGGTTTGCTTCTACGCCTTGCCACAATGCAATGGTTGGGAGAAATGGTACACGGAGAGGTACAAGTGTCCCACAGGAAAGGAGGAAATGTATATGGATAAGTTGCATATGCTTGCTCTTGTGCACCCCCTAGCATCTACATTGTAGAATAGTAGAGCTAAGAACAGACTGAGGAGTGACATAAAACAGAGACATAGCAAAGAGAGAGAGGAAATGAGGGAGAAATATAGGTTTAACTCACTTAAAATATGGCATTGTAGTTTTTTGCTAAGTATTTGCAATGTGTGTTTTAATAATGGACTATAAAATACTTATCTGTTGAAAATCAAAGTGTTCTCTTTAGTTCAAGTTATGGAGAGAAATGAACCATTAGAGTAGAACTATTGGAAACCAAATCCGTAGAAGCACTTAAAAGGGAATTGGATAAAAAGATGAAGGGAATTAATATTCAAAGAAATAGGGTAAGAGCAGGGGAATGGGATTAGAAGAGAGAATTGCAATAGAGGAGCCAGCATCAGCACAGACATAAGTCAAATCAACTCTTGTGTTATGAATGTTCTATGATTCATAATTAAAGTAATGCCGAGACGTTTCCATTTTCCTTCTAACCAGCATTCCAACAACTACAGGAACATTGTTACGCTTGAATGATACATGAACAGGTGACTTCCCTGGAAACAGCGTGGACCACTTTGAGCAATCCTGTCTCTGGCAAGAATAGACTGATGGCATTTTCAGGAGTGGAACAGACAACTATTGGGAAAAAAAGAAAACAAAGAAAGAAAAAAAGGGAAATGTTTACCTAAATTATTAAAAATAATATGTTACAAGAAACTGAACACCTAGCTGTGAAGCAGCAAAACTATATTTGATATGAAAGTGCAGATAAGCTCGGTTTCCTAGTTATCTTCACTTTGCCAATGTATATGTGCTACTCTACATGCATTGTAATGGAACGCCACTTTGTTTCACCAATATTTTGAGAGGTCTCAATGACGTGAATAGGTGCTAAATCAAATGCAGGGATTATTATTATATTGTATGGTGTGCTTGAGGGAGCAATGTGAATAAATCAATAATGCAACGCAGAAATTGTGTTCTGGATTGCAAAGATATCCAATGTACAAGTACTATCACACGACGGTGGCCTAGAATTTCTGGAATGATCTCTAGTATCAGGCACATCTTCTTTGAGGCGGAGAATAGGGATATGGGGACAGTATGGGTGAGGTCGAGTTTAACAAAAAAATGAATGAAAAATAATCAATGAATGGGAAATGTGAATGTGGCTACATCCTGATTCAATCTAGCTGACTGGAAAATAACATCTACAAATACTATAATGGATCATGTGAAAAGGGGAAAACACTTTAGAAAATGTAAAATGTAGGTAGAGCAACCACAACAACATATATTTATATAAGCTGTTAAAACAAAGGAATATTTTAAAAGTTTCAGAAAATGAAAACAAATTGAAATGTAATGAATTAAGTTGGCAAAATAACAGATGGTTGTTAAACATTGAATGGATAGACTTTGTTATCTATCCAGAACAGATTTTTATTTTCAAGGCTGTTACTCCATGGAAATGGATTCAAGTAAATAGCTTTTGTGCAAATCAATGTCTGACAACAACAACAACAAAATTACATTTGTAAAGCCTTTCACGTCGGGAGGACGTCCCAAGGTGTTGGGCAGACAGAGTTTCGGACCCAAGCTCGGGGTCAGGGAAGATGATGGGCAGTGGGGGAAGCAGGAAGATCGAAAGCACGGTTGAAGAGGAGGGTCTTGAGATGGGTCTTGAAGGAGGCAAGGGAGAGGGTGAGGTGGAAGACTGCAGGATGGAGTTCCAGCGGGTGGGGGCAGAGTGGCAGAAGACCTGGCTACCAATAGTGGGGCGAGTGAGGCGGGATGTGAAACAGGCCGGAGCCCGCTGAGCGGGGGGAGTGAGCAGGATGATAGGGCGTTGGGAGGTCGCAGAGGTAGGGGGGAGCAAGACCATGGAGGGCTTTGAAGGTGAGGACCAGGATTTTGAATTGTGTCATCGGGCGAGGATGGGATTGATGGGTCGCGGAGCCTAGTGCAGGAGAGGACATGGGTTGCAGAGATCTGGATTAACTGCAGCCTGTGGAGGGAGGAGTTGGGGAGGCCGTAAAGCAAGGAGTTTGCACAGTCAAGCCTCGATGTAATGAAAGCACGTATGAAGGTTTCGGCGGCCTGCGGTGTGAGACAGTGGCGGACCAGGCGGAGGTGAGGGAAGGCAGAGGGGGTCATGGCGCAGGTGTGGGGTAGAAAGGATAGTTGAGGGTCAAACAAGACGCCAAGGTTCCAGACTGGCTTAGCAAGGTGGAATGAGCAACCGTGTATGGTGATGCTGTCAGCCCCTGAGGTGAGAAGGCACTGACGGGAGCCAATCAGGAGTGCCTCGGTCTTGTTGACATTCAACTGAAGAAAGTCAGCACTCATCCAGGACTTGATGTCTGACAGACATTCTGTCAGGACAGGAGGGGTCCTGGAGTCAAGGGCGGAGGCAGAGATGTGCAGTTGGGTGTCATCCGCATACATTTGGAAGTTGACCCCATGTCTGCGGATGATGTCACCAAGAGGGAGCATGTAGATATTGAAGAGGAGGGAACCAAGGACAGAGGCCTGAGGAACGCCGCACAAGACAGTGTGGGGGCTAGAGCAGAAACCGTTTGTGGAGATGATGTGGAGGCGGTGTGAAAGGTAAGATCTGAACCAGTCAAGGGCAGAACCATGAAGGTTGAGGTGAAAGGAGAGGCGGTGGATGAGGATAGAGTGGTCGATGGTGTCGAGGGGCAGAGAAGTCAAGGAGGACGAGGAGGCATAGAGAGCCCCGGTCGCAGATGGACAGAATATCATTTGTCACTTTGACCAGGGCTGTTTCTGTGGTGTGGCGGCACGGAAACCCGATTGGGGGGGTTCAAGAAAGGAGTAGTGGGAGAGGAAGGAGTGAAGCTGAGAACAACTTGTTCCAGGACCATGGAGAGGAAAGGGAGGTTGGAGATGGGGCAGTAGTTTGGGAGTAGAGGCTCCCAAACAAGACCGAGGCTCTCCTGATTGGCTTCCATCAGCACCTCCACACCTCAGTCGCATCACCATCCATGTTGCACATTCCATCTCACTAAGCCAGTCTGGATCCTTGGCGTCTTGCTCGACTCTCGGTTTTTAGTAGTTTTTAGTATTCTTTCTAGTTTTTTATATTTGGAAAGAATGCAGGATAAATTGTGCTGGATCTGGAAAGCTGCGTGAATTGTGTGGGATAGCATCTCGGCGATCTGATTACAGTGTACGTAGAACTAAAATGTACAACGCTGCACATAGGATAAATCTAATTGGAATTTGAGTTGAAATTATTAAATGAAGGAGGTACGGTATGAATTTCAAATTTTAAAAATGGAATTTCATGGAAAACTCATTCACACACGAATAAAGCCCAGTTGGCGACACCCGGATTTACTTTACCAAATTGTACGGACGACTGCACTTAGTTTCAATGCAGATTGTTGTAAGAGGAGGAGCGGCGGGCCATCTCCAGCCCAATCACTGATGCCAGGCACCAACCTTACTCAGATAGACACTGGCCCTTAACAACCAGTCAACCATCCTCCCCACCTGCACCGCCCTCGGCAACTGAGCACTGTGTTTAGCAGCGACGGTCTTCTCCCTCGCAACCAAGCACTGACCTTCGGACCCAGGCAGCATTCTTAGCAGCTGAAGCACAGCCCCAGCAACAATGCACTCACCACAGAGACAAAACAGTCCCCAGCAATCCACGCCATCTTTGGCCACCATTGCTCTCTCAGCCTTGACGGCCCGGCCACGGTCTTCAGGTAAGAGTGACTGATGCCTTTGCCGCCTCAGACCAATTCCTTCATTACCTTTTTTGTCTTTAATAAGGCGATTCTTACAGTTCTCGCTCTCTTTTAAGCGTGAGCCCCGCAGAAGTCTTCTTGACCCCAAGGTCAAACATCATCGACCTTTGACTCGCGTTTGCCTTGGCCGAATCTCTCCGGAAACAGCCGAGTGTCCCCGAACGCTCCCCGGAAACGGGCGTTCCGTTCCCGAACGCACCCGGAAACGGCCGAGTGTTCCCGAGCGGATCTCCGGAAGTCACCGAGTGTGCCCGAGCGGTCCCCGGAGGTAACCGAGTGTGCCCGAGGGGAAGGGGTCTCAGGAAGCAGCCGAGGCTTTCCGAGCGGTTCCCCGGAAACAGCCGAGTGATCCCGAGCGCTCTCCCGAAAGGGCCGAACGGGCGGACGCGACCTGTTCCCCGGTCTCCGGAGCCAATAACCGGGAAATAAATTCTACCGAGAACTGGCGTGAAAGGCACCGACCATGAGGAGGGACGTCAGGATCCTCCTGGTGGGAGAGCGTGAGTACAGCAGCAGCCGCCACTCACTCACTTACACACTCACTGCACTTACACACTCACTGTACACTGCCCCACTCACTCACTCACTTACACACTCACTGTACACTGCCCCACTTACACACTCACTGTACACTGCCCCACTCACTCACTCACTTACACACTCACTGTACACTGCCCCACTCACTTACACACTCATTGTACACTGCCCCACTTACACACTCACTGTACACTGCCCCACTCACTTACACACTCACTGTACACTGCCCCACTTACACACTCACTGTACACTGCCCAACTCACTCACTCACTTACACACTCACTGTACACTGCCCCACTCACTCACTCACTTACACACTCACTGTACACTGCCCCACTTACACACTCACTTACACACTCACTGTACACTGCCCCACTTACACACTCACTGCACTTACACACTCACTGTACACTGCCCCACTTACATACTCACTGCACTTACACACTCACTGCACACTACCCCACTTACACACTCACTGCACTTACACACTCACTGTACACTGCCCCACTTACACACTCACTGTACACTGCCCCACTTACACACTCACTGTACTTACACACTCACTGTACACTGCCCCACTTACACACTCACTGTACACTGCCCCACTTACACACTCACTGTACACTGCCCCACTTACACATTCACTGTACACTGCCCCACTTACACACTCACTACACACTGCCCCACTTACACACTCACTACACACTGCCCCACTTACACACTCACTGTACACTGCCCCACTTACACACTCACTGCACACTACCCCACTTACACACTCACTGCACACTACCCCACTTACACACTCACTGCACACTACCCCACTTACACACTAACTGCACACTGCCCCACTTACACACTCACTGCACACTACCCCACTTACACACTCACTGCACACTACCCCACTTACACACTCACTGCACTCTACCCCACTTACACACTCACTGCACTCTACCCCACTTACACACTCACGCTGTTCACTACCCCACTTACACACTCACGCTGTTCACTACCCCACTTACACACTCACTGCACACTACCCCACTTACACACTCACTGCACACTACACCACTTACACACTCACGCTGTTCACTACCCCACTTGCACACTCACGCTGTTCACTACCCCACTTACACACGCACATAGATTGCCATTCTTGCACTGTCTGCAGGTTAGGACCACCATGGCTGTTAAAGCTTTGGGTTGCAGGGTTAACATGAACTGAGCGTGAAGAATCCTTGACCCCCAATGACAAGGGTCTGCCCCTCCCAACTCCTACCAATAATGTGCCGGACTCTCAGTGCCCCTCACTATTGTGGACATGTCTGGCTCAGGAACCTGACTATATTTATGGAAGAGCCCACAGCACTGATCCCACATCCCAATGGTCACTGAAAGAAGAGCCAAGATCCCGGTGATCGGGCCAATATTTCTTGCTCATCAAACTCACCTAAAGACCTGGAGAACTGGTTGTACCTCTCATTGGACTGTTACTAGTGCACAATAGCCACCACGTTTGTCCACATGTTGCACGGAAGCACTGCATTGAATGGTCCCTTTCTGTCTGGACAATTTCTATAAGATTTATTACACCTCAGGATAACTCGCTGTGAGAAGCACTTTGAGGTGTTTTGATGTGATCAGGTGCTGGTTCGTGAGTATTATTTATTGGTGAAGATGTATTGGGTGTAACTGAGGGTTGACAGCACCTGTAATGAAGCACTGCCACTGGGCTCAGGAGCTAATAACTCTCCCGTTTCCTCCCTTTTCTCCATTCTGCAGCCAAAGTCGGCAAAACCTCGTTGATCATGTCGTTGGTGAGTGAGGAGTTTCCCGAGGAGGTGAGGAGCGCAGTGAAGGAGTAATGGGAGGATTGAATGTTTCGTGGGGGATGGTGGGTGGGTGGAGGTTCCTGATTAATGGGATGGCGGAGGGTTCAGCTTCAAGCTTTCACCCATCTGTCAGTTTGTATCTTTGGCATTTCAACACACCAGGTATCCCAGGCTCGTATTGCGTACTTGTTGTGTAATAAGCCTTACATCTGATATGCAAGCATTTCAAGCAGACAAACCTCAGTGGAATCGTTGTATGAAACACAAACCATTCTTCATTGGCTAATGATCTTAAAACCTTAAAAGCTAATGCTTTTGAAGCAGGAACCTGAGCTCTATTTATATTCGGTGTCGGTACAAGTATACGTAGATGTGTGGATACCTGTGTGTGTGTGTATATATAGAGTCTGTCCTCCAGAGAGACCTGTGACCTTGATCAGAGGTCTGATTGCTCACCGATTCCACATATGGTCAACTTCCACCAAAGGCTGATGTGTGGAAGGCCTGCTGCCAGTGTAAACTAACCTGCTTTCCAGCTGCCTTCCATTTATCACAAGTAACATAGGAATAGCCTCTAGTTTCATTCCACACACACCAGCAGCACAGACAGAAATCCCACTCACTGGGGCTTTCACTCTCCCTAATATTCTGTTGCCCCTGATCTGGAGTATTGGGTTCCTTCACTCATGCTTCAGGAATTACTGCTTCAGAAATAGAATCCCTGTGTTTTTTTTATTTATAATTTGTTTTACCATAGGAAAACAATAGCGCAGACAGATTTGTGATAGTGTGAGTTAGACACAAAGTAAAGCTTCCTCTACTCTGTGCCATCTAGCACTCTTGGGTCAGTCTGGTATAGCTTAGACACAAAGAAAACCTTTCTTTGTACAGCTATATCCAACTTCCCCAGGTCAAATACAGCATTAAGATGCAGTATGAAGCATAATAAATGAAAGCTTTTCCACCATTGAATGCTGGGATGGAGGGAGAGATAAATGAGCAGGTGATAAGGCTGCAGGAGATGCAGAGGAGGGAGAGGTAAAACTGACGGTTTATACTGAACAATATCACAGCATATCACAATAGTCGCTGAGGTTTGGTTAAGGCACCAGAAATATTAATAGGGTGATGTGTTCACAGGATACCCAATACATTTGGTGCCTATTTAAAGCGAGCAGGCTGCCTCCTCCCTATGGTTCAGTGAGAAGAACCTGATGATGAGCTGTCTTTAAGCAGATCCTTTACTGTGTGTTTGGTTTGTTGCAGGTGCCTGCCCGCGCTGAGGAGATCACGATCCCTGCAGACGTCACTCCAGAGTGCGTTCCCACCCACATCATTGACTACTCAGGTATAGAGTCAGCACAGCTCCCTCTACCACACCTACCATCGATATAATCATCAAACTGCAGGGGGTACAGCAAGTCCTAGATCATGGTTATTTCTGAGCTCCTGATTCTCCCATGGATAGGCACATTATAAAATGTTGTGACCAGGACCCCATTGAAAAGAAAAAAAACTTGCCTTTTGATCTGTGGCCCCATTCTGGGCCTGAGAGAATAGAATGAACACAGACTCTGGTATCTTAACCCTGTAGATTAATGTATATAAATCTCACACGGGTGCATGCATGGGCCTGGCTTTATCAGGGTAGGTATGCACAAGCGGGGAACGCTCCTACATGCTGTGTAACCCTCCTGATCTGTTTGCAGCCTCGGAGCAGACGGACGAGGAGCTCCAGGAAGAGATTAAGCGGGTGAGTGTCCCCGACATGGCCGGCCACTACGGTGTTTGTTTAGAATTGATCGTGGTTCACAGGCATTTAACCCCTCAGTTGCTTACTGTGTAAGTTAAAAGTGCACTTCCATCTGTTTGGTCAACTCGAGTGCACAGATACCACACACAGTACATCTTGACAGTCAGAGGTCCAGACACCAGAGTCGGGGGTTACGGCCTGTTTGATCTCATCCTTCCAAGATATAAGACCTCTTGTTGAAGCTATTTTGTAAATCAGTCCCAATGTTCTGGTCTCGAGCAGCCTTTCCAGTGTGCAGTTCCAGTAACCTGTTCCAGCTGTCATGTAAACTGATCTTTGTCCTCAACTTGGTTTGGAAGGTTTATGAATAATAATTGATCCGCCAGTAGTGAATTGTAGGCTGGAATCAAGTTGAGAGGTTCAGGGGTTTACTGTTTTTGGTCATTTAGGTGTCTGACCACATGTGGACCCCTATCACCAAGTTTCCAAGTTTCAGCTTTTTTAAATCAGACTTGAGAGTTCAACATTGCAATTGTGGACCCTGTCTAACAAACTTCCCACTACTGTTAAGCACTCCAAGATGCTACCCATGCATCAAGACCCAGTACAAAATCACATCGTTGTTCTTGTTGTTGGACTTATCCAGGTAGAACCATCTTACCCATTCGGGCTTCGGAACACTGAAGAAGTACTTCATCTGAACTGTATCCTGTTTGTGATGGTGTTGCTTGCGATGTCCCAAACAGGTTGTGAAAGATACTAACCTTGGCACAGCTATCATTATCTGTTGTTCTTGCTTTCCAGGCAAATGTAGTCTGTGTGGTGTACGACGTAAACTCAGAAAGCACGATCGAGAAGGTATGACATCTTTTCTGGTGTCTTACACATGGTAACCTGCTAAATTAGCAACACAACAACAACAACAAGATTCATTTATAGAGCGCCTTTCACGTCGGGAGGACGTCACAAGGCGCTGGACAATAGCAGTTTGAGTTTAGCATTTAATCTGAGTTTTCAACAGAAATAAAGTTCTGTCAATCAGATTTTCCCCCACTGTTTTCTTGTACATACTATGTATGTTGAGATTAGTGTTTTAACCGCTCTACTGGTGATGTTTTACAGATAAAAAGTAAATGGATTCCTTTGGTGAATAGCAGTGCCAACCAATGGAGCAAGTGAGTATAGACCTTGTACATCAGGAGGATGTCCCAAGGCACTCACTCAAAATCTATCTCTTCAACTGTGGTCACTTCTCCCTTCTCCCTTTCCCCTGCTTGGTGTTCGTTCCTGCCACTCTTAAAGCACTGAGATATTATTTTACGTTAAGATCGCTGTTCGAATCTGGAACGCATTGCCTGAAAGGGTGGTCGAGGCCGATTCGATAACAACTTTTAAAAACGTGGTGGATGGATATTTGAGGAGGTCGGGTTTGCAGGGTTATGGGGAAAGGGCTGTGGAGTGGGTTGATGATTGCTCTTTTCAAAGAGCCGGCACAGACTCGATGGCCGAATGGCCTCTTTTTGTGCTGTACTATTCTATGATTCTATATAAATGCAAGTTGTTGTTGCTCCTAGAATTCCAGTAATCCTGGTGGGGAACAAGTCAGATCTGCAGGGTGCGAGCTCTATGGAATCCATTCTTCCCATCATGAACCAGTTCACGGAAATCGAGACCTGTGTGGAGGTGAGACGCATAGGCGTTGGAATTTGGTGTCTTGCTAAATGGGTTTCTAGAACTGACCTAGAGTGTTCGACAGCCTTAAGACTGCAGAAACCTTCTATTCGTTCAGCCATCAGCTCCCCATCCCACTGACATATCCCCATCCCCCCTTATTACTGCTCCCGATCCTCTTTCTATCTCAGTGTGTCTGTCCCTCTTCTGATCTGTCTATGTCTGACTCTCTCTCCTGATCTATTGTTCCGTTTTGCCTTGCAGTGCTCTGCTAAGAACCTGAAGAACATTTCAGAGCTGTTCTTCTATGCACAGAAGGCTGTGCTACACCCAACAGCGCCCCTATACTGCCCAGACAAGAAAGAGGTAAGATTGGAATCAGGGACAGAGAATGGAAATAGAGGGGGTTTGGGGCAAAAGACTAACAGAGTATGACAGAAAAAAGCACACAGACCAAATTGGTGCTGGATGTTTCAGGTACTGTCACTTGGGGGGCTGGATGTTCCTGACATAAATTAGCTGTCTCAATACATCATAGGGATGTCACCATTATCCGAGATGTGGAGTCCTGTAGCTCAGTGGTTAGAACATTTGCTTTGCAAGCGAGAGACCTGAGTTCAATTCCAGGCAGAGGGCGAAACCTTGGGCAAGTTTCCTTACTCCACACCCCTAATAATAATCCCTCCAAAACCAAAAACAATAATAAATTGGTCATTTTCAATCTACGACTGTTGGTGGAACATTACTGTGCGCAATTGGCTGCCGCGTTCGCCCACAAATATACAGTCAATTCACTTTACAGTGTGTTCTGTGAAGCGCTTTGGGATGTCCTCCCGACGTGAAAAACGCTATATCAAATGCAAGGATTATTATTATTATTAGATCAAAGCTGCTACATAAATGTAAGTTGCTGTTCTTCTGAAGTGAAGCCGAGCTGGCAGTTGGCTTCATTTTATTTATTGTGTTTAGCATTTCAGAGGCAGGATTTTTCCTTGGTAATAAGTACACAAACAAAAATCACCTATTTGCCCACAACTTTGTGCGTGTATTTCAGCTAACTCCAGCTTGTATTCAAGCTCTGACAAGAATCTTCAACATCTCCGACCAGGACTATGATGGGATCCTTAACGACACTGAGATGAATTTCTTTCAGGTATTAATAGACAATGAGTAATCTGTGGGTATGAGATTGTTTATGAGGCACAGTGACTCGGTGTGTAGTGTGGTGATTCATAGAACATTTATAGCACTGGAAGAGACTATTTGGCCCATCGTGCCTGTGCTGGTGCCAGCTCCCCCATTGGAGTTATAAATTCTAACCCATCCTCTTGTGCTTTCCTCGTCATATCTGTGCTGGTGCTCGTTCCCCTTCCGGAGCTATTTACTAAAATCCTATTTCTCTTCTTTTCACCCATATCTTTTATTCTCAAGTATTTAACTCAATTCCCTTTCAAATGTGGTTGAGACTCTGCTCCAAAAATAGTTCTGGTGAGGTATTCAATAGACTAACCCCCCTCCCTCTTTCTGCTCAGCAACATTGCTTCAGGAACCCCTTATCCCCGGAGGCTTTGGAAGATGTCAAATCTGTCGTCTGGAAAAACGCACCTAATGGGATCAAGGATGACGGACTAACGCTAAGTGGTGAGTGACATGTGTGTGAGCTGTGTCATTCTGTGGACAGTGTAGTGTTTCCCCCGAGTATGGGAAGGATTCTTGTTAATTACCCTATTTGAATAAGGAATTAATCCGTATGCCAACTAAAAGTTCTCAACAGCTACCCAGGGGTACTCCCTACTCATCCCACTCACCAAATGAGAAGCAGATTTGCTGCTGTACTCAGGAATTTACACCTCATGCTTTCCCTATATCGTTGAGTATATTGGTTACTGCTTAGGTGAGAGTAAGAGCATTGCTAAGTCACACTCCACTTGTCCTATTCTGTACACTCCTCTTGCCCCAGGTTTCCTGTTCCTAAACATGCTGTTTATCCAGCGGGGGAGACATGAAACTACCTGGACTGTGCTCCGAAAGTTTGGCTGCGATGATAACTTGGAGCTGATAGATGACTATCTGTACCCGGAGTGAGTAATGATAACAATAATAATCCTTGCACTTCATATAGCACCTTATCACATCATCGAGACATCTTAAAAGCGTTTCACAGGATATTCTGGAAAGTGATGTGACAGTATTTTGTGGGCAACTCCAGTGACTAATTTGTACACAGCAATGTCCCATAAACAGCCATGAAATAAATCACCAATTTTATTTGGGGAGTTGTTTGCCAGGATATTGGGAGAAACTCCCTTCTCTTTTCGAACACTGCCATGGGATCTTTAATGTCAACTGAACAAATTGACGAAACCTTGGCTTTTAACATCTCATCTCATGAAATAAAAGGATAGCACCTCTGACAATGCAGCACTCCCCAACATTGCACTGGAGTATCAGCCGACACATGACACTTCAGTCCAGGTCAGAGAGAGCTCTGCATTGTTGATGGCACATTCCTTTGGACGAGACATTAAAGTGAGTTCTTGTCTGCCCGTTCAGGTGGATGTTAAAGATCCAATGTTACTGTTACAAAAGAGAGGGAGTTTCTCCCAGTTTCCTAATCGACAACCCTTCATTTGAATGATTGTTCATGATGGTTTTCAGCTCCTTGCTCTGCACAAAATAGCTGCCCTTTTTACCCACAAAAACAGTTACCGCACAAATAATTACTGTGAAGTGCCTTTCATTGTGATGAACTGCTATTAACAATGCAAATTCATCTTTCTGCTTAACCCAGTAGCATCTGCTCATGATCACATGATGTGTAGATCACATTTTCAACCTGGTTGAATGTTTGTATTAATTCCAGCCTACAAGTCCCTCACAACTGCACGACTGAGTTAAACCATTATGGCTACCAGTTTCTCCAGCGCATCTTTGAAAAATATGACGTGGTAAGTGGCCTTTCCTGGGATAATCAGTGAAAGCTTCATCGTGGGGAGAGGGTAGCCGGGCTGCCACCGATTCATGTCTCACCTGTTGATCTCCATATGAACAGGATAAAGATGGCGCCCTGTCTCCAACTGAGTTGCAGAATTTGTTCAGGGTCTTTCCCTACTTCCCCTGGAGCTCAGAAGTCTTCAACGTCGTGTGCACAGACAGCAAGGGCTGGCTTACACTACATGGGTACCTCTGCCAATGGACGTAAGCATTGTCCACTGCAAATATCTCTTGTTTCTTCTCATTGCACCTTTAGCATTAAACAGTGTTAGCGAGGCAGTTATTTGTTCCCTGAGAAGGTGAATAAATGAAGGAGAGTTTCAGGCAGTGCCTGACCCCCTGGACCAATTGACCATGTGTTTGCAAAGGCCATTTAACCTAAACAATGCTGTGCTTGCTGAGTAATGATAACGATAATAATCCTTGCACCATGTGTTGCCACACCATTGATATTTGTACTCCATTGTGCCATGCATAGGTACCATATTGTACTATTAATTAAGCTACACCAGGTATTTGACACACCATGTATCAATGTTGTGGTTACTCCCCACCCCTTCGATAATCTTGCAGTTTATACTTACTCCAGTAATAGAAGAATATGTGTTTAGTGCTGTGTTACCTAGGCTGCTCTCTCACTCCACATTGTGATATGCAGGCTGCTTAGCTGCTCTGATCTCATATACTAGGTTCACAGCTTACTTGGATGTCCATCACTGCATGGAATACCTGGGATACCTGGGATTCACTACCATTGCCAATCAGGAATCCCAAACTGCAGCAATCACAGGTACGGAATAAGAAAACCTATTGCAGTACAGAAACTGGCCATTTGGCCCCTTGAGTCTGTGCTGGTGNTTTTTTTCCACATGAGAACCAAGAGTTCTTAGAACTGAGATTAACTCTTTTCTTTTTGAAAAAAAACTTTAGTGACTCGGAGCAAGATGATCGATCTGGAGAAAGGTCAGACTCAGAGAAATGTCTTCCTGTGTAAAGTCATTGGACCCAAAGGCACTGGCAAGACAGCTTTCCTTCAGGCCTTTCTCGGCAAGAACTTACTGGTATGTTTGTTGTGGCCTCGAGATTAGGGGAAAGAACATGGCATCAATGTTAAAGTTCAGTGTGCGAATATTATGGGGATGGGAACTTCACCGAACCATAGAAATCTACGATTCAATAATAGGTCATTTGACGAATTGTCTTTGTATCCCTGTTTATTTTTCCAATTAACCCAATTAGTCTAATCCCAATCCCTGTGCTTTCCTTGGACCTTTTCTCCATAGATGCTTAAATGCCCCCATGTTCCAACAGACCCTCCCTGACCCCCCCCAAATCATTCCATATTTTGATAACTTTCCGATGGTTCAGTGGGTAAACACACCATGAACTGTGGTAATGAGCCTGTACAGGATTTTATCCCTGGTCTGTGTAACAGTGAGGGGGCACCAATTGGTTTCAGCATCAGTCAAGTGGGGAGTGGGGAACAACTAGCCAGTGTTCCCATTCCTGATTGTCATTCAGTGACCTCCAAAAAAAATTCCCCTTGATTTTTCTTCTTTTTTTATATGAAAAATTGAGCATGAAGAAATGTGTTTTAATTTCATAGATGTAAAAAATGAACAGCTTCAATCGCCCTTACAGATGGCACATGATAGACCCCAATATCAGTTCATTGCAATTTGTGATCAGCTTCTGTGTCATAACATTCTGACACAGTGACACCATTTCAATGGGACAATTCACCAAATTTCACCTGTTACAGATGTTACTCAGTTCTGCACATAGAGATTCACAGAGAATAGGCATAATAGTAATAATAGCATAACTATAGTAATAATAAGTCTAGGCGGGATATTATTAGCTAGGCGGCTAACTGTTGTTGATTTTGTATTCAGAAGAATGATTCGGCTGGAGACTTCTCTGATTACACTCTGAACACTGTGCAAATCAACGGCCAGGACAAATATTTGATAGTAAGTACTGGGTCATACTCCACAAGCGCTGAACAGAGAATGATTGGTAGAAGAGATTAGTCAGTGGATTATATCAGTTGTGTATAGTGGATATTAATTTGCCTGTAATTTGTGCCAGATGTCAGCTTGTCTAAAAATTGGTAGGAATCTCACCTCTGGGTCAGAAAATTATAGGTTCAATTTCCTCAACAGGGTTTGCAATGTTAAACCAAGGTCCCATTATACTATTAGAAAGGAGAAGGAGTTTCTCCCGGTGTCCCAGCCAACAATCGTCCAGGTTAATTGGGTGTTCAACACATGGCTATGTGTGAAACTTTACTTTTGTGTGTAAAAGTAACTACCGCATTTGCCTACAAATACATTCCACAATGCCTATTGCAAAGCACTTTTGAGGTGTTTCATTCTGAGATGCTATAAAACTTGTAGTTTTGTTCCATTTATTCTACACCACTCCAAAAGACAAATGACTATCAAATTCTTGAATTACACATTTATTTTCAATTCTTTATCTTTGCCGGGAAGGGAGATGAAACACCACCTCCACTCTGCCCAGCAGAGGGTGAGCAAGGACACAAGATCACAAGTCTAAGCAGAGGCTTCCATTGTGCACTCAGCACCCTCCACTCAAACGTTACTCAGTATTGGCTGGAGCTGAATGTTTTAAGTTAATTCACGAGTGTTTCTTTTTGGCAGCTTAATGAGGTGGATGTGGAGACCGAGTTCCTGAAAGCCTCAGTTGCTTCCTGTGACGTGGCTTGTCTGATGTACGATATCAGTGATGCCAAGTCCTTCAACTATTGTGCCAGCATTTACAAGGTGAGCTTACAACCAGCACAATCCTGTAGAGTGGGACCATTGATTTCAGTCGTTAAGGGTTGGTGGGAGCATTTCCTATTCAAGCTCATTATTCAGAGATGTGAAAAGCGGATGAAGATGAGGACTGTATTGGAGTTAGGTTGTGATATCCTCCAACTTCCTGACTCGCACATGACCACTTGAGCAAGGTCCTGGAGGGCTGTGGAACTGCAGGTTTTGCGTGAGCTAGGATCTTCAGGAAAGAGGGGAGAGTGCAGAAGTTAAGTCACTGACTGTCAGTGTGTGAGCTCCAGATAGTGCTCAGAATCATCTACCCCTCCATGCTGTGCAAAGCTGCATTGTGGTACCAGTTTCCCCCAATAAACGTGAGACATTGGTATTTGAACTCACGGACTTGGCTGACATTCCAGCCCATTACTGGGGGATCCCTGCATTGTCATAGGTGCCACATTATTAATGAAACTGAGATCCTATCTGTCTTCTGATAGCTGCTAAAGTTTTCATTACAGTATTGGAAAAGAGAATGGAGTTTCTCCCGGCGTTCTGGAAACCAATCCTCCAGATAAATTGGTCATTCACTTCTTATTGTCTGTGGGACTTCGCTGTGTACAAATGCTCATTTTGCCTTCAAAAACAGTCAATACACTTTATAGTAGTTAAAAATGCATGTTATTTCTTTATACGGGAATGGCATTAGATTCTTTTTTTCTACAGGAACATTACATGGAGAGTAGAATTCCGTGCATTTTTGTAGCATCAAAGGCAGATTTGCCAGAACAGAAACAGGAACACGGGATCACACCTGAGGAATTCTGCTACAAGCACAGACTTCTGGCTCCGTACCACTTCACCTGCCGCAGCCCCGAAGGTCCAAACACACAGATCTTCTCTCGTCTCGCACTCGCTGCAGCCTTCCCGTATGTATCCTGGAAGATTTTTAATCCCGTTCTGGGGAAATTGAATACCGAGCGCTGGGAGGATTGAGGACACTTTGTGCATTGTTGGTGACCACACATCTCTTGAGTCGGAGATTCTTGGGTCATTGCAAATGGGTGGGCAAGAAGATCTTCCTGTTGGGAAGGTAAAATGCCCGTATTCCTTAATACAAGTCTTAGGTGTGGCAATACAATGCATTTTGAAATACACCCCTTCCCTCCGATTTCTGTAAAAAGGCACCCACACCTGGCTGAAAAGCCTGGGACCCGCATCTTAAGTTCTCTCTGAATGTAATTTTTTTGTTACTCGGGGATTATTGTCCTGTCTTAACCTGTGATAGGACAGTGAATTCTGAATCTTATGGCTGGTCTTTTGCTTTCTGACAACCTTTGCAGACTCCAGTTGGCATCTAATGTTCCCTTTCTCCCACCTAATCCTTTGTTCTATCACCTGTCTCCAGGCACCTGAACGAGGCAGAGCTGAGCACGTCCTCCTACTGGCTACGGGTCACATTGGGAGCCACAGCTGTGGCGGTCCTGGGACTCGCTGTCTACAAAGCCCTGGCAAAGCACAAATAGCAGGAGATATGCTTAACACTGGGGTAGTGCGTGAGTGACACTACAATCCCACCATGCTGTGGGATTTTTATTTACAACTGACCAGGAGGGAGAGAGAATAATCACTCTGGCTTTGAGCAGGAACAGGCAGAAGAACAAAGACTGGGACTGTTTTCCAAGGGTTCACGTTTGTTGAGCAGCTATTCAGCAAAGCAGCAAGGCACGGACCGGTCTGACTGTTGGCAGCTACTGAAAGCATAACAGGAAATCGCTGTGATCCTAGCTGATAACGAATGTCAGTCAATGTCATCCCAGATCCTTTCACTGATGGAAGAAAATTGTGCTGGTAGTAATACTCTGCTTGTTGCATGTGGCAGAGGACACTCCCAGGCAGGAGAATGGTTCCCTGTAATGAGCTGGGTCAGTATCCTAACCTCCACATCTCCAATCCCTCATTGCCTTGTTCTCGTCGCTTAGAGCCCATGGGATCCGCTTGCCACCTGATTCAGCGAGGCAACCATTGCTTTGCAGGGTTAAGGTTCAATTCTACAGGGTGACCAAAACGTCGTGATAACTGCCCTATTAGCTAAAAAAAACACAAAAATATAATTTCTTTAAGACTTAATTGTAATGGTATCACGACTTTTTGGTCACCTTGTAGATAGCACATCGAAGACTTCCGCTTCCACCTAGCATTGGCCTGTAAGACCACTTTGTCTGAAAATTTAACACCAATTACTTTTTTTTGGAAACTTATTTTCACATTTCTTAAAAACTAAGACCGTATTTAAGAATTTTCGATAATTCTCTCAGCTTTTAAATTTGAAGCTAAGATGGTTTTGCAGGTGGGACTTGGGGGGACTCTAGTTGTATAATAATGATTAGAAAATGATTGCAAGTGAAGCTGTGCTGTACTGCGGCATTCTATGAGGGGAACGGACTGGAGTAAATGATAGGAAACTAGTTCCTTTTCACACTATTTTTATACTGGAATTTATGACTTGCTGCAAATTGTTTCGGTGTCTTGTTTTTTTAAGAGCCGAAAGTATTGATACCTGCTATATCGGGGCAGGTGCTGCCACCATCATCCAGCTGCCAGTGGAACATTCAGGAGAGAAAGAGGGGCAGATGGTTGCCTACTTGGGGGAGGGGGAACCTGTGGAATCCCAAAACAGTCTCCTCTCTCCCAACCCCACACCACTCTCTTTACCCGGCCATTTTCCAGAGGTCTGGGAGCAGATGGCTCTCGGCAGTAAAGTGATGCACAGTGTAAAATGAGAGGAAGGTGGGAGAAACACAGCAAGCCATTTGCATGTGGAGACAGTGTAGCTGGATTTTGCTGGACAAGGTCATGAAGTGGGCCACAGCCCCTGTATTTGGAGGAGTGTATACTTAGTCAATCAAACGATGCTGAAAGAATCTCAAACTCACAGAACAGCAACGTTCGGTTCTCTTTGTTACACTCGGAAATATTTTGCTGGTCATTGGAAGGGTTTGATCCTGTTCTGACACACAGTCCCACACATGTGCACAACTTCCTTATTCCCTGGTAGTGATTGAATCCTTATTGGGTCCTGTGGCTGTGAGTGACTGAGAGGAGTCTGCTGCTAGTCCATAACTTGAAAATGTCATCTATTTACTGATGTGAAACTCTACTAAATACTCCTTGCTCTTGCATTCCAAATGCACAACCAAGTACTAGAGGGAGACTTAAGGTAAAGTTTCAGGTCTAACCCTTCATTGGAACTTGCTCATTGCACGTGACTGCCTTTTTCCCAAAGTCTGCTCATCCCAATTCTGATCGAGGGTCACATCCAAGATTTCTCTCTCGTGCTGATCAGTCTCCTGTCATTAACAGTGGTTTCTGGTTTCACATTTTTCAACATTTGTGTTTGATTTCTAAGTTGAACCTGATTTGGACTTTTGTGAAACGATTCATTACCTCTTTGCCCTTAATGCTGTGCTCTATAACTTGATTGCAACCTTAAATCTCTCTTCTTTCTGTCAAGAATGTCTCAATTCTTCTAGTCAGTAACTGGAAGCTCTGATCTCTGGAATTTGAAACTCTGAACACTTTCTGTATGTGTCTTTTAACGAAAATACAAGATATATTTTTCAAACTCTGTTTTGACTTTGTTGCTTATTACCAGCTCTTTTATATGGGAATTTAAATATTGGAGAGAACTTGCATTGTATAGTGTCTTTTATGTTGATGAAAACTCAAAGCACTTCACAAAATGAGGAATTCAAAATGAAATTAAGTGAATGTTGTGGAGGCAAACCTGATAGCTAATTTCTGTCAGCAATGTCCCAAACAACAATTAACTGAATAGCCAATTGCTTTAAATTAGGGTGAATGAGGGAGGAATATAAACCAAGATAAATGGGAGAAAAACTCTACATTTCAATAAATATTAGTGGGGGGGGGAATGTTACATTTATCAGTGTGCTGTAATGGATTAGACACTGAGACAATGAGCTCCTCTTATTTGAATTGCTCTCAGCCCCATTCTCCAGGCTGTACGCTTCTGATCCCCTGATCATTCCTTGCTCACTCTGAATCACCATCAATCTCTGCTGAAATCCTTCTCTCCTTGCCTTCAAAATCTTAACTTCTATCTCTGACTTTCATCAACATCCTTAAGACTCGCCCTTTGCTCCCTGTTTGGAAATCTGAAAGGTGCTATCTGGGTATTGCTGGATGTTGAATTAACCTCTTTTTAAAATCGTATTTGTTTGACTGTAGCTTGTCAACCTTCGAAACTGTTAAGATACGAGAAAGTCACTCTTGGACTTGTTTCCGCTGGATCTGCGTTAAACGTTAATCTTTGACCTGGGTTGAACTCAGTTAATGATTATTAAGTGGCTGTGATTACATGCTTCCTAGAGGAGAGTTTGCAATTGGATTTATAACCATATATTAATTCCTGAGCTTAGGAATCCCTCTCCCTGCTCACACCTTCCTACTGACACCATCTGATTCCTGCAGACCTGAGCATCCAAACTATAAATCATGGGAGACGCACTCAAGTCCTGATGTGGGACTTTGTAAAATATATTCAGAATGAATTTGTAATTTTGAAGGATTCAATGCAGAGACATAAATTATTACAATAATTGAAATTAAATGTATTAATGGATCTATGTATTTCTGTAACCAAACAACAGCTTACTAGGTACCAGTGTTACTCAAGACCCTTTGGATACTGGAGAACCAGGCAAAGTTACCAGTTGGATTTCTCTCTGGAACGTGATTTTAATATCAGTTTCAGACAGAATTGCAATTTATTACTATTATAAGAAATAAGTGGTGGCCTTATTGCATGTTTAACATAACCACTTAAGAACGTCCAGAATGTTGCTAAATGGCTTGGGGGGCTATCTTTAAATATCTGGGAGTTTGATGTTAATTTAACAATGCTGCTGGTGGTTCCGAACTCTTTCATACAACCTTTAATTCAGATTTAATAGAATTTCATTAATCAACCAATTAATTAGCTTGCCCAATGAAACTAATTACAATGAAGCACTTTGAGATACTTTGGCATGAACAAGCACTATAAAAATTCTTTATTTCACTGCTCCCCCTGACTACAGCCGACTGATCAGAGTCTGTGCGCCATCTGGAGCTATGTGAGGGAAGTGTTGCCTGTATGTCTTCAGTTAAAGTGATTTGCAACACAGGGAAGAAGTGTGTCATATTCGTAAGTGTCATTGTGAAGATGCGGGACACATCCATACATAGACTACGTGTGTAGAATACACAGACTGTGTGTGCAGGACCCACACAGGATACATTTACAGGACACGCAGACAGACCGAGTTAATTAATTGCAATGGGTGCGGTGCAATAATTCTCTTTTATAGTTCCCATAGCAGGGAATTTTAAAGTCACCCAAGGTGCCCGTCATTGATCCTTTTCCGTGACCTCTTGTGAAAGGGGGCACAGATGCCAAGGGCAAGCATGTCCCTCACAGGCATCAGCTACCAACCTAGTGTACAACCTGTTGCTCTATCATAACCAAGTGGCAGCTTGGCTCAGTGGGTAACATTTTCAGCTTTGGGTCAGAGGTTGTAGGTTCAAGACTCACTTTGGGGCTTGACCTCCAGTCTATTGACATTTCAGTGCAGGGTGTGGGGGTGCACTGCCTTTCAGAGGTGCTGTCCTCCAGATGAGATGTTAAGGCAAAATGCCATCTGAACTTCGGTTCTCCGCCCCCCCCCCCCACACAACCGCCAACCCTCACAACCGCCACCACTCCCTCACCCCCCCCCTCCTTGTGACTTATTTCCTTTAAAATTGCGAGACGCTCGTAGTGAGGTGTTGTGAGGGTGGGGGGTGAGGGAGTGCGGGGTGGGTGTGAGGGTGCGGGGTGGGTGTGGAGTGTGTGGGGTGGGGGTGAGTAAGGGTGTGGGTAAGGGGTGGGGTGAGGGTGTGGGGGGTGAGGGTGCGGGGGGCGGGTAGTGGGTGATGGTGGTTCCTTGCAGTTTATGCCGCACCCCCTCCCTTGTTGCCCTGGTTATTCCTGACCTGGTGGGTGTTGCTGTGATGTCCGTCTGAGCAGTTTTGCTCTGGACTCTCTCCCTGTCGCCGGTCCTCTCGCCCGGTGATGTCCCGGTCGGGCTGACCGGACCGACCGACTGACCGACCCCGGTCGCTTCTCTCGGTTTCCGCGCTGTGCATCCGCTTTGATCCGCAGGCGGCGCGGACCCGGGTGAGCCGCGGGGCCGGGCGGCTAGCGATGGCGAGACTTGCGTGCGTTTGTCGGGGCCCGAAAGCTCTACCCCGCCACCGCCTGTCTGCTCCCAGGGCGGGAGCTCGGCGGCAGAGCCAACAGGTGCCCTCCCCGCGAGCCCCCCCCGCCGCCATTGGCGGCGTGACGCGTGGACGAGCCTGTGTTGCTGGTTGCTCTCCTGGAGGAGATGTTAAAGTGTCAAAACCACCACCACAACAACAACAACAACACAACAACAACATGGATTTATATAGCGCCCCTCCATGCCGGACGGCGTCTCAGGGAGCGCTTTGCAAAGCCACAGACTGCGGTAACCCGGGCAGGATGCACAATTGGGATTGTCAAGCTGGCGGCTGGTTCTCCCACTTGCCCCCCCCCACCCCCCAAAGTCGCTTTTTTCCTTTTATGTATTATTTATTTCTTTTATTTCTTTTTTTGAAACCACGAATCCCATCTCACGTCTCGCTCCCAAGGCTTACAGGTTAAAAGGCAACTTTCTGTGCATAATCTTTTTTTTTAAAAAAGAAGAGAAAAGATAAAGGCGGCATTGCAAACCTGATAACGTATAAAATCCATTCTTTAATACAAATTGTATTTTTCTACAGAAATGACAAAATATTAAGTTCGTTTGATCCACATTGAATTAAAGTTTGTTTTGATCTATTCGAGGGTTTGGGGGAATTTATTAATACTTCTATCCTAACACTCACACATATACAGTAATCCACACATGTAAGAACACACAAATTAAACAGGAAACCTATGACAATTTTTAGCTCCTAGTAAAAAAAGAATCTACTGTATGTACAGTTTGCTCGCTTTACATTTTTCTCAAAAATTGAGAACAAAATTGAAATAAAACTGACATGCGGTTACCAGAAGGGGTTTCCTTTCAATTTTTGTTTATTCAGGCACAGGCTTCCTCTCGAGTTATCAACGCTCCGCTCTCTTTAGTCCCACAAACTAGCGTGCTTTCTTCTCCCCCGTTTGCCAGCGCCACGCTTTTGTTTCTGTAATTTCTCCTTTCTTTCACCCGCTGTGGTAAACGTGATGCACTGAGCATCAAGGAAATCAATCAGCTGTCTCCTGGACACTTTGATCCCATTGTCTTTCAGCTGCAGGTGTAATTCTGCCAGTTCGAAGGGTTTGTACAGCAGGATTTTCGTGTAGAATTCTGGGTTTGACTGAATGTACTGTCGTAACACCTGAACTTTATCTGCCTGGCCTGTTGCTTGCGATGGTATAATCTCATCGTCCTCTTCATCCCCCGAGTCTGTGGCAAGGCCATCTAACTCCAGTATTGACTGCCTGAAAGCAAAAGAGAAATGGGTAGGGTTTGTTCAGACCAATGATAATAATAATAATCCTTGCATTGGATATAGCGCCTTATCACGTCTTTGAGACTTTTCAAAGCGCTTCACAGATTATACTGTAAAGTGAATTGATTGTATATTTTGTGGGCGAAACGCGGCAGCCAATTGCGCACAGCAGTGTCCCACAAACAGTTGTGGATTGAGTGACCAATTTTTTATCATTAAAGTTTCAAGGAATTATTATCCCCGGAAAAGTGACCCGCCAATCGACTAACAACCGGGTTTCTGCTTACTGCTAGGTAAACAGAGGCATGTGGAGTAAGGAAACTTTCGCCTTTCCAGGAATCGAACCCAGGTCTCTCACTTGCGAGGCGAGTGTTCTAATCACTGAGCTACAGAACTTCAATGATTCATTCGTAACCCAGTTTTACAGCTTATAATGAGAAGGTTATGCATACATGAGGGAGAAGGTAAATAGAAGGGTACAGGGGAGGGGATTAGAAGAGATGAAGGCTCGTGTGAAATATAAACACAGCCATGGACTAGTTGGGCCATGTTTCCACTTCTTTCAAAAAAAGGGATGTGGGGTAAATTTAACAGAAAAAGGGTGAATTCAGTGAAAAATCAGGATTTATTGCAATACCCTCTGAATCTGCTTATCCCCCAAATTGGCTGGTTTTGGAATAAACATCGGGATAATGCTCACGAACCACCAAATCCAGTAAAGTATGGCTATGGAATGATTTTCACAAAAGATCAATAAAAAAAACAACTAACTGTTCTTTTATATTAATATTATACATATCTGTGTGTAAATGGAAATTGCATTGGTGCATTAAACTCAAATCTACCTCAAATCAGATAGTTCTGGAACAGAAATAAACTAAACCCACTGTTGAGACCTGAAGGCGTCTTCACTCCCTGCTGCCGAAGAGGAGGAGCCCTGAGATGAAGACAGCTGATCCCTGTCAGAAACCACCTCCTCATTATGTATTGCAGATTTTATTGGTGACTTGACTTTAGCTCTGTGCACATCCCGGACACACTGTTTTCCTTTTGATTTAGAATTGGTCTTGGATTGGCTTGTGGAGGTTGTTTTGCTTTTTGCCCCTGAAACAGGCTTTTTCTGCGTTTTGGAGATGTGCTTTACTTGGCTGGTTCTCATTGAAACAGGCTGTAGGTAGTTTCTGGAAGCTGCCTTCGCTTTGTTTGCTGGAATGGGTCCAGGCTGTGTGAGGCAGGCTGAGGTTACGGTGTGCGTGTGGCCCTGCTCAGTGTTGCAGTCCGTGCCAGAGGCAATGACTTGGTGGGTATATTTGTAAATCTCCTTCAGCTTCAGAATCATTTTGCGTTTCACCAGTGGACGAACTCCAAACCTGACATCAATAAATGGAAAGAAATTGGTTAGGAACAGGTGGAGCCATTCAGTCTGTCAACTCCATGCCACCATTTTCTAAAGCATGGTAGATTTTTTAATTTCCTCTTCCCACCTTTTTGCCACAACCCTTATTCCCCTTATTTCCCGAGTATCTATATATCTTATGTACAGCATTTCCTTTTTTTGGTCAACTGGGTGTCTGATACTTACAGAAATCCATCACCAAACTTAACAGGATTCAGATCAGACAGAGTTCGACAAATGTAGGTCACAAGCACATAGAAATTATCCTGATTTTGGAATGGGCTGTGCACTTTCTCCCTGGAGGGAATGCACCCTGCTTACCTGATTCCAGAGAGTATGAGGAGCAGGTTAGAAAGAGCTAAGGGATGGGGACCCCAGAGTGTGTATTGGGTACTGCTGGATTAAACCAACTACAACTGCATAACTTGTCAATGAGAGCACTACCTGGCAAGCTTCCCACTACCCGTTAAGGCTTCAACTTGCAGGGTTAGCAGGAGCCGAGTGGGAAGAATAGCTGTCCCAGTAACCTGCCAATGAGCCAAGCTGGCTCCCCCAGCACTACACTGGAGTGGCAGCCTAGCCTGGTAGCATGCTCTAACCTACAGATGTTTAAATATGTATTCCCAGTGTAGGAATGAGAAATCTTTGTTTTACAATATTGTCAGACTTAACTTCACTGAGAATACCTACCTCTTTAGTTCTTTTTTCAGATTTGGGGTAGGCATCTCTGAATAGGGAGGTTCTGGGGTGATGGGTACCACAGGAAGCTGAGTTTTCATTCGGTTAATGGCTATGGAACAAAAAAAACAAAATCTTTAAAAGCAGTTTCCTCACTCCACTTAATCATTTTTTTAATAAACAAATTGATTTGATTTCCATTAAGTAGATAGGCTTAACCATTTCAACACCCTAATAACAATAATAATAATAATCCTTGCATTTGACATAGCGCTTTTCACGTCTCAAAGCGCTTCACAGAATATATAGTAAAGTAAATTGACTGTATATTTGTGGGCGAAATGCGGCAGCCAATTGCGCACAACAGTGTCCCCACAAACAGTGGTGGGTTGAACTGACCAATTTTTTTCTTTTTTTTTCTTGAGGGATTATTATCAGGTGTGTGGAGTAAGGAAACTTGCCCAAGGATTTGCCCTGCCGGGAATCAAACCCGGGTCTCTTGCTTGCGAGGCAAGTGCTCTAACCATTGAGCTACAGGACCCTATAGAATTTTTTTCATAAACCACAGGGTTAAAAATATCCCATTCCCATTTCCTTCCCTGGACATGTACCAAGGAGAGGTCAGGTCCTTTGGTGACCTTACGCTCTCTTAGTCGGCTTTACTCTTTGCTTGTCATGTGATTTGCGAGATATTGGACCCAGCTCACGAGGTTGCAAAGTTCCCAGTAACAAAATTCCCTGGTCCATTGGCATTTTAATAGCTGATGTTTTACAGATCAGTTTTTTTAAAAAAATAATTAAGTTAAACACAGCTTTTCTACTCTGGAAAAGTAGAACTTCTCACAAGCCAGACAAGTGATTTACTGGATTAAAATGCAGCTGTAAGCAATTTGAAACATAAAATTCCGCCCTCAAATATACAGTCAATTCACTTTACAGTCTATTGCGTGAAGCGCTTTGAGACGTCTAAAAGACGTGAAAAGCGCTATATCAAATGCAAGGATTAATATTATTATTATAAAATTGCATTCTCTAGAATGCCTAAGAAACAACTTGGGTCAAAATTTGAAACCTGCTCACCACATCGCTGGACACACTTGAAGGATGAGCAGAACAAGTTCCACGGAACGTTCAAATTAAACAGCCAACCTGCCTCTGAACTCAGTGCCCACTTACCTGGACTCTGGTGCATGTTACCATATTTGTTGGTCACAGTTATGTCTTTCTCAATGCCAGGAAGTCTTTGTGATAATGATGGGAGGACTTCAGGCAACTCCTCTTCCTCATCCCAATCATCCCAGATTTTAGAATCAAACACACTAGCGTGTTTTCCCCCAGAAAGTGCATCTTTTTTGCCGTTATTTACATCATGAAATTCAAACAATATCCTGGGTTGTGGTTTGCCTTGAAGTGGTGTGCTGCTTTGGATCCCTGTGCTTGTAGTTGGTTGTAGCTCCTTGTCAATAGTTTGATGTTGTGAGCTGTGGAAAGCTGTGTTTGTTCTCTTCCCAACTCTTCCACCTTCATTGTCAATGCTCTCATCCTCCACGGATTGAGGATAATCATCAGGTTTCCAATATTCGTAATCAAATGGAATCGGTGGCTCATCGATGAACAGCAAACTGGCATCAGGTTCACCTCTTGGCAGCTCCTCCTCAGTGTCCTTAACTTCAATCACAGATGTGTCTGCCATTTGCCTTTCTTCAGAGCACTGCAAAGATCCCACTGGTCTCTTTGCTTGCTCTGACGGTGAAGTCTCTAGTGAAGTCTCTAAGTCAATACAGCCATTCGAGTACTGAGTAGGAGGGATAGGAGAAGACATCAGAGACACGTCCAAAGACCGATTAAAAGAACTACTTTCCAAAGAATCCTCCATTCCACCAATGCCTTTTACTTTTTCGGGACTTTTTGATGTTGTCGCTAGCTTGAATGCTCTCTGTGCTGCACCCACAGATTGTGACAAACTCATCTCATCTTCAATTGAGTTCTCAAACAATTCACTCTTTATAATACTTTGGTTTTGCAGAAATTGAGAGTTTTGAGTCTGTGTAGAGGAATGTCTAATTCTTGTTGGAGGTGGGGTAGCTGGCACCAGCCATGATGTCTCCATGGTAGTGTCTCCATTGTTATGTTCGCTTTCACTGCTGAGTATCAGATCTAGCTCGCTTTTATTAGCCTTATCTTGTTTTTGGTAGTTGAAAAACTTTTCAGAGACGCTGTTCGGAGGCAATTCTAAAACACAATTGTTTTGGGTTTCATCTGAACTTTTAGATGGACTTCTGTCATCTTTGGAATTCTGCTCATTGAGGATCACAAAGTTGGAAGTCTTGACAGGCTCAGTAGTGCTGACATGTTCACAAACTGGGCTTCGGTCCATCCCACTCCCACCAGCTCCTTTAAAGTCATAGAAAGGCAACAGAATTGTGTTCAGAGAACTAGACTCTGACGCATAGCTTTTTTCCACTTCCATTTCCTCGTCAGAATCTATTAACAACACAATATCATTGGATTTACTGTCTGGTGCAGAGAAGCTTGAGCCTATACTGATAGGTGACAATTGTTTGTAATCATTTTCATTTGCTTCATTTTCTAAAATACTGGTCTTCAGATCATGCCCAGATAGAATATCCAAACAAGGAGCCCTTACAGAAGCAGACTTTAGTGGAGATGACAGTTCTCCTCTTGAACATTCTGGAGATTCATAAGCTTCCAGTTCCTGGAGATCCCTAGGACAGTCGAACATTGCGTTTTTCAGGCTTAATTGTTGATTTGAATCCACTGAGAAATGAGGCAGAGTTTCAGAAGCTACTTTGGGAGCATCTTCTATGCTAAGATTGAAGATAAATGCTTGTCTGGGGTTATTTGAGATGAGACTTTCCTTGGTGGTGACAGACCAACAATAGGTAGATCACATACATACGGGGCTGCAAAGGGACTTTTGAGATCACATGAAGGTGACAGCTTCTTTTCCGAACAATTAGGGCTGGACTTGGCAGATGGACTAAAGGAAGTCTGGGCATTTGTGGCAATTCTCTCGCATCTTTCAGTGACATTGTCAGGTTTCCCTTCAACTGTCACATCGTGCTGAGAACCCAGTGATACATCTGCAGGTTCTGAGAACAGGGAATCGTAGCTGTCATCTAACACCATGTCCTGTTTGAGACTATGGTTGTGCAAGTTTTCTAACTGAGGTGCTTTGACTTCCTGTTGTTGGGACATCTCTTCAGTTTCCAAACAGCATTCTGAAGACAATTGTTTTCTCTCACGAACCAAAGACTCACAATTTGTAACAGTTTCCCACTCAATGCTCTGTTCTTTCATAATCTGCTTACTTTCTCTACGCATGCCAAGGTCTGCTTCATTTTCCAAAATACTGGTCTTCGGATGAGGCCCCTCAGTTTCTTGAGCAATGTCACCACGGAATGAGTCTCTCTCAATTCTTCTCTGAGTGGCAGCAAATTCGTAGAGTTCTTCCAACTCACTATCTTCCACTTTCTCAATGACTTTCTCTTCATCCTCGGACTCTATAGATCTAGGCTCAAATGCAGGTTTTTCCACTTCATCCAGCCACATGGACCTCAGAAGCTCCTGGAAGTTTTCCAGTCGGCCTCCGTACTTTCCATCCTCCGCTTCAGAGCAAAGATTGTTTCCTGATTGACTTCTGACATCCTCATCTTCTGGGGAACAGGCTTCACACATCCTCACCAATTCGTTCACGGAGAACCTGCTCGATCCACAAAGAAACACGTCAGATACTGATACGGATACGTTAGTACTGGTGTGAAGACCTCCGGTTTGCTTGTGATCATACTGGCCTTGGCCAGTGACTGCTAAAAATTCAGATTATAAGACATTTTACATAAGACATTTTATACATGTCTACTCCACCTTGCAGGATAAGATTCCAAGCTTCTAACAAAGTGAGTTACTCAAATAATGGTAGCCTTGTATATGAAGAGTCTATGTATACATGCCAGCGTCCTCCCGACTTGAAAGGCGTTATACAAATATAATTTGTTGTTGTTATTGCTATATATGAAGTGTCCTTAAACACTGATGATTTCTGGCCTTTGTTATATTTCAGATTTCCAGCAGTTTTTTAAAAAAAATCTATTTTTATATCTGATTAGTTTTACGGGACTATACTAACCTGACAGCAAGGTGGCGGACCTCAGAAAGCGTGTTCGGTGTTACGGTGGCACTGGCAGTGTACAGATACTGGAGAAAGGCACATACTGCTTGTGCTGTAACCTCAGGAAGTAAGAGCCTGCGAGTCAGGGGAGCAGCATCCTCTTCCACCAGGAACCCATCATCATGAACCTGCAAAGAAGTTGGTAACTTGCACTTATGCAGGGCTTTTTATATAGGATGAACTTGGGGATGGGAATCATCCGGGAAGGAGGGAAAAGGCTTGAGGAAAATGACCATACCCATGGTCAATAAGATGCAATTTTGTTTTTTTAATGAAATTGACTCATATTCTTAGTTCCAGCAACATAATTACATGTTAAATCTTATGCTCTTAAATACGATGAAAAGCTACTCAAACTTATTTGTACCTGCAGCCTGGTGAGATCATGCAATAAAACGCTAGTGGATTCTAAACACTGGCCACAGAAGGGCCCATCAAAGGGAGCATCACCTCAAGACTGTTCTGATGACACGATACTGGAGAAAGAAACCCAAAAGTTGGGAGAATTTGTTTGATCACAGGTCACGCCACGGATACCCTCGGGTATCTCGTTCATGTGGCTGGTTATTCTTTGGGTGTGGTCTTAGAAACAACAGTATTAGCAGTGTATTGAACTATGGACAGGGTCACGGTCAAACTAAACCCAGTCCTCTGGTAACGTATCGACCTACACACCTTCCAGGGAGGGAGGGGATTACAGGATAGGCGTCAAGAGCAGGAACGCTTAATGTTTTTCCCCTAACCCAGAGGGCACTGAAAACATCTGTAGGCCCCAACAACTGCCCTGACTGACATTAAATAATCTCCCATAATAATAATAATTCTTGCATTTGATAGAGCACCTTATCACGTCTTCGAGACATCTCAAAGTACTTCACAGAATATACAGTAAGGTGAATTCACTGTATAATTTGTGGGGGAAATGCGGCAGCCAATTGCGCACAGAAGTGTCCCACAAACAGTCTTGCATTGAAGTGACCAATTTTTGACCAAGGAAAAGCGACCCGCCAGTTGACTAACAACCGGGATCCTACTTACTGCTGGTAAACAGAGGCGTGCGGAGTGAGGAAACTTGCCCAACATTCCACCCTGCCTGGAATCAAACCCAAGTCTCTCCCTTGCGAGGCGTGTGCTCTAACCACCATACGATAATAACAATAATAACATTGGCGAAGACTAAATAGCTTTTGATGACCCATGAAGATAAACTCGCTGGCACTTACTGTTTGCACAAGCTGCGGAGATCGTGCATAGAGCACAAACAGGTGAGCGTACACAACCTCACCATTGTCTACCTGGAACTGCACATCACTCAGGTGAGGATTGTTCACCATTCCACCAAAGTCTGCTGTCAACTTCCTCAGTGACTGCTGAAATCAGAAGGTACCAGAGATTGAAATTGACTACAGCAGCAGCTGTCAACAGTCTAGAAACAGACCAGCATCTGCATGTACATGCAATGTATGTATGTAATTATGCATGCATGCACATATTCACCTGTGTAAGTATGCATATATGTATATTATCCACCAAACTTCCTTTTAAACATTCTCATCCATTCTGCATGTTATGCCTTCCATGGCAGTGGTTTCACAATTGCCTAATTGCCCCATGTGAAGAAATGTTTTCTGATCTCACTTTTAATCACCTTACCTCTAGTTACACGAGTATGATGGTCTGTTTTGTATCCTCTACCAAGAAATGAGTTGTCGACTATCTAGCTTATAACTAACTCCCTTCATGGTTTTAACCACCTCAATTAGGCTAACTCTTAACCTCTGCAATTCAGGACTATTACTCAAGCCTCTCATCATAGGGAAATCCCATTTTTCGAAGTAATGCTGGTCAAAAGTGTAGAATGAGAAAGGACAATTGTTTTCTTATTCCATAATAATAATAATAATAATTTCACTATTTCCCCCAACTGTTTGCTTGGTAAATACAGCAATTGTAAATGTTAAAACAGAACTGAAAAATGGCTTTCATACCATATGTTGTGGAGTGTTTCCGCTGCTTCTCTCAGTCTGTGCTGGGACAAACCCACTGGGTGTGATCTCATCAAATGTAGACTCGCTTCCTGAAATGGTGAAGGAAGCACAACACTGTGAAACCAGGTGTGCAAACAGTTATGCTCAATGAAGCAATAGTTTTGCTGTCTGTTTGAGCAATAATTCACCCCAATAATAAAAGATGTATATTGACTGGATGGTAGAGATTTGGTTAGGATTAACTTATGATGAGAATTGCTGAATTATTAGTTTTTAAAATAATTAGTGGAAGAAGGCAGCTTTACACTGCAGTTCATCTGAAGACCTGGCAGACAGGGCCTCAGCTTTTCATCTCATCTGAAAGACAATGCACCCACCCCCACTCAGTACTGCACTGGAGTATCAGCTTAGACTGAGAGCTCAAGTCCCATGTGGGGTTTCAAACCACAATCTAGTTACCAGATGTATACTGCAGGCCGAACCATGGTTGATCAATATGAGTTTGTTATTATCACATACCATCCTTTTCCTTTGCGTGACTATCTGGCTTCCCGTCCATCCCATCATTCCATTGTGTCATAGTCAGGCCCTCTCCTGCCAGATCCATCAGATCAGAGAGTGCTTGATGATCCTGTTGGCTTCTGGACATCAACCCTTTCTCAGTCTCGATATCACCTCTAGCCCCAGATAAATCTGGTTCATTTCTAGTCGTCTCCGAGGTCAATCCTAACAAGTCTTTTGAGACCATTGTTGAGGGCACTTTCTGCCTCTCGCCAAGTTGAAATTCCTTAAACAAACAGTGTGATCAATGATATTCTCCTGACAATTCATTGTAAAAATAGTGCACTGCTCTGGCTTGGATCAGTCTGGCTATATATAGTCTGGATGAGCATGCCTATCCCAATTGATTCTGTATCTATGGTCTTCTGGGGGTGTCATCCTCACAACTTCTGTGTCAAGAAATGTTTAATGGATAAATCTAGGAACAGGACTGGCTTCAAGATTTGGATGGAATGGTGAAAGTAAGAATGAGCAGTAGTTAACCTCTAGAAAGACAGAACTAGGCTGTTCAACCCATCAAGTTTTCATAAGTGTTTTTCTCCACCATGACCTGACTAATCTAATCCCACTTTCCTACTCGCTCCCCACAAGCCTTTAATATTTCTCCTCTTTAAACATCTGACTCATTCTCTCTTAAAGAATTTATGAATTGTGTCTCGACAACATCTTGTGGCAAAAAATTCCACCCTCTGAGTCTGCAATCTTTTTTCCAACCTGCCCTTTAATTTTTTCTGTAATTATCTTAAATTTGGGCCTCTGGTTCCTACACACAATTACTATTCACAATATCATAACCATTTATGATATAACCATTCATAACACTGAAAAATGCTATCAGGTCAACAACCCTTAACCGCTATCAGGTTAGCTCTGGTGATAAAATCATAAGTTCACTTGTTTTAAGTTTGTTTTAATCGCTCATCTTACCTGTTGAGGTTTCCATGGTATAATGGGAGGAACCAGATCACTTGTGTAGTAGAGTGTCGAGTCCCAGTCTCCGAGCAGAGCACTGCAATGCCAGAGGCTGCCTTGCCTGGTTGTGTCTTGGTTGCTTGGTAGGTACCAGGTTTGCCACAGTATCCCATCCTCACAGAATCTGCTTGCAGGTAGTGGAGGGGTGCTGGCTAAGTCCATCTGCTCAGACAGCAGCATTGCCATCCTGTGTTGGATGTGTTTGAGCGCCACTTCAGAATCCTGCACCACCAGTAATGGGGGCACGGCTTCCTTCCGCTTTCTTCGACTTCTCTTGTCTAAACCTAGAAAAACACTGACTTCTTTTACTCATGATTTGAAGATTCCCTGAACGACTCAGTCAGTGTAACAAATCATTTGTGTCAGGAATCTAGGCTTTCAAATTGCAAAGTGCACAGAATGAAAGATGAATCAAGCTCAATTCTCCGAATGGCATGTAAGAAACATTATAGTGAACAGGCACGTACAAGTACAATGGCTTATCGCCAATGGTTCCCTTTTTGATTCAATTGACATAATAGATTGTTGCGAATTGATGAACACAATACTACAACCTTCACGCTCTAGTGTTTGTCGGCTTAGATCCTAGACCAACTTGTGCTCATCCTAATTAGTTACATGAGCAGCTCCCAGGGGAGATGAGAAAACAAAAAAAGGCCAATTCAGGAGAAAAAAAATTACCTGGAATAATTCTCCCGGATCCCCCAGTGGGGTTCATACAGACTTTACGGTCCTGGTGCTGGGGTGGGCATTTTGATTGGTTCAAGACTGGGTTTAAAACGGTTTTCCAATACATATCGATCTATAGAGTTGAATTCCTACCTGTTGCTGCCACTTCTTTAATGGTGTTATGAGGCTGGATGTCAACATTTCTCTGTTCCAGTAAAGAAGCAGACAACGCCATGGCGACCATCGTATCCTCATCCACTGGCTGATTCCTGGTGGTCTTGCATTTCTTCGATGGCTCTTTACCTTTTCCTGAAGCTTTTCGCTTTGCTTTTCCTGGCTGAAGACTGGCAAAACGCGAAATGTGCAGTGGAAGAGGAAAGAGGAAAACCATCATCATGCTTAAGCATCTCTAAACCAAACTAATCAGACTTCCAGGTATCTATGGTTTCTATTTTCTGGTATGAAGTGCGCAGAGAATTCTTAAACCTTTTTGTGATTATGGTATTTAAAAGACACTCAGGCCATGTACACTGGAGTACAGTGGAGTCCTGTAGCTCAGTGGTTAGAGCACTCGCCTTGCAAGCAAGACACCTGGGTTCAATTCCAGGCAGAGGGCGAAACCTTGGGCAAGTTTCCTTACTCCAAGAGACTAATAATAATCCCTCCAAAACAAAACAATAATAAATTGGTCATTTTCAATCCGCGACTGTTTATGGGCCACTGCTGTGTGCAATTGGCTGCCGCGCCCACAAATATACGGTCAATTCACTTTACAGCATAGTCTGTGAAGCGCTTTGAGACGTCTAGAAGACGTGAAAAGCGCTATATCAAATGTAAGGATTATTATTATATTAATATTATTATACTATTATTGAGGGCCACGATGGGAATACAAGGTGTTTTGGGCTGTCTGAGGTTACTGTTGACTCTCAAAGTAAGCACATGTCTGAGTTTTTAATTTTTACCTCGCCAAAGGAGCTGAACTGTCAAAAGCATTTGAATTTTGTCTCTGAACTGCCTGCAGTAACAGCTGTGGCGGGACCTCCATTCTAACAGCACAGCGTTTGAGGTGGGTCGCCCGGCTATTTGAGGTGTTAAAATGCTTCCCACAAATTGGGCACTCAGGCACAGCTGGAGCCGAGACCCTTCTCTCTTCCTCGTCATCCAGGCACCTGCAAAAATAAGTTTATAGAACAGTTATTCATCTTGGTAGACAATATCAAGTTTTGATGAACACAGGATGCTTGAAGCAAGGAACAGCCTTATACAACTGGGAATATGAATGACAGTTAGGTATTTCCAGTCATGTAGATAAAATATACTATTACAAAATGAAGGGCATAAAAACAAGAAAGACAGATCAGGAGAAATCCAAGTGTCCCAGAAATCTCCAGTAATCATTATAAATCTAATGTTGGCTCCATGAGCATATATATATAATATATAACGGAAGCTACAATGGAGCCAAGATTAATTTCTCAATCTCAGACGGCTTTCACACTGTGTGTACGTAGGTCCGATGTTCAGTTGCCTCTCACCTGTTGATGTGCTGTGCTCGGCGAATGGAGTTCATGCTAGAAAGATCCTTCTGACAGATTACGCAAAAGAAAAATCCATTTTCCCAAATGGGGCAAACATTGGCAGCTGCTTCAGCTGTCATGTCCTGTTGCATTGCCAAGGCCAGGGAGGCATCGCTGTCTATGTTGTGTTGACAGCTATCAACTGCAGACAACAAACACAATTGATAAATAACTGTCAAATATAATACCAGGCATAAATCTTCAGGTCATACACAAAGAAGCAAGCACCAAATATGTATTCAAACAAATGCATTAACATGCAAGGTTAAAAAATGTTGCAGTTATCTAATAACTTTAGAATACATACAGGTCTCTTCCCTACTTTTCCCATCTCCACGCAAAGTTCATGCCAATCTGACCTTACAGCATTGTGACTCCCAAGTGAATATCACATGGAGGCAAGTTTTTTTTAAAGAATCGTGATGTTTACATCCCCTGAGGGAAAAAATAGTCATTTACTGCAACATTAAATTAAAATATTTCCTTATTTGAAAGAGAGTTTGCATTTTTATGGCACCTTATCACATGACAGTAATTATTGTCCAATGTTAGTGACTGCAACCAAGTGTAGTTAAATGTGGCGGTGAATTTGTATGCCCCAAAGTCCCACAAACAGCCAGGAGTTGAATAACCAATTGAACTGTTGGGCTGTCAGCCAGGACACCAAGAGAAAACTCCCTACTCTTTTCCAAGGTCCTGTACACCTAAAAAGGAAGACTGGACCTTTTTACAAATCATGAGCTTAAGTGCCCGTACATGAGTAATACTGCACAACCTTAACATAGATTGGCTGAACAGTCATTTTTCCTGTACCATAGAAATACAAAAAAAATATGCAGAGACAACACTGAACTGTGGAAACAGAACTGCGACACAGAAGTAAAATAACTAACGGTGGAACAAGGGATAATTCGAGTTACTTACTTTCTCCTTCATCACGGTCTGCGTGTGTATCTGAAGCATGGGGTGATTGGTTATCCTCCTCCTGTTGTTGTTTTTGATTGTTGCTATATTGCACAGGCTTCTTTCTTTTGAACTGCTGCATATTTTGCAAAACTAAATCTTTAACCCTGGGGATTGCTTTGCTGGTTTCCCCTTTATTTGCTGTAACTATTGAAACGCTGGAGCTGCTGGTCTGTGCACTGGCTGGGAGAAGGGCCACATATCACAGTGAGTGGTCAGAACATGTAATCACTGCTCACACAAAAGACTGGAATTGGATTTTGCTCACAATAAGGTCAAATTTTAAGATAGTCCTCTCTGCAGACATGCCTGATATTTTCTACATTCCAAAAGATTTAGAAATAAAGAACTTGCATTTTTATAGCCCTCATCACACCAAAACATCTCAAAATGCTTCATAGTAATTACTGTCAAATGTACTACACGTATTGTTTTTATAGACAAACACGGCAGCCTTTGCTCTAGTGAGGCCCTACAAACAGCTATTAGATGAATGACCCATTAATGTTTATGACAAGACACCTGGAGAAGCCCTCTTCTCTTTTCGAATAGTGTCATGGGATACTGTTGTACTGGATCAAAACTAAACATGACTCTTGTTAGTAACGGTTAGTAACAGTAAAAGCTAACAGTTCATTTTCTGTGCCACGTATCGTCACATTTACTGATAGTGTACCTACCTGTTAAACAATCTTTATTGGCAAACATCTTGGTCCCCGCTACATCCTCACATGTGGAAGTTGGAGCACTTTGACAGATTATCTGCTGCAGACTGTTGCAGGGAGGGCTGGCTGTACCTTCAATGCTCAGAGTCAACCTAGCCTGATGGCTCTTACTGCCTTCCTCCTTTGTAGCAAACTTGTTCCCATTGATTCTTTTTCTCTCTCGGCTCAGCGGATTCCCTTTTACCTTCGGCTTGGTTGTGTGGTTTGTGGAGACGGATTTGAGCTTTTTCCCTCCAGTTTCTGTCCCATCCTTTGGCAACATTCTCTTCCACTCAGCACGACAGAGCTGAACAAAATCATCATCTGATTCATCCATGGGGCCTAGGATTCTCACTCTTTGCTGATCATCAAGGACACAGGCAAGCTTGCTAGCTGCAACGAGCAAGCATGTTCTTCAGTTCAGGATTTCCTAGGAAGGACCAAACAACTTGTAAGCCCCCAATGTAACCATCTTTCACGATGTAAGTCTCAAGTCTCCCTGAGGTTGAATTCACACTGGGCTTTTAAGAGTCGAATGTAGACAGTGAGGTTTGCTGTCATAGGGGAGGGCGGGAATCACAACTGACACTTATCCTGTCCTCAAGGCCCGGTCTTAACATGTCTGGGGCTCACACGCAAATAATCGGGGTGAAGCACTGGGACCCGGCTTGACACCTGGGGACCTGGCGGGGCCACAGCAACCCCGTGTCATTCCCTCGTGCGGTCAATTCACTTTACAGTATATGCTGTGAAGGGATCTGAGGCGTCGCGAAGACGTGATAAGGCGCCGCATCGAATGAAATCCAAGGATTATTGTTACTAATGCAGGAGAGGGGATCGGGGGACACGAGAGCGTGAGCGGCCTCAGATTCAGCTCCCCGACTGCGGCCGGGCTCAGTGACCCCTGCGGAGAGGGGGGGGGGGCTGGAGGCCGGGCTCAGTGACCCCTGTGGAGAGAGGGGGGGGGGGGCTGGAGGCCGGGCTCAGTGACCCCTGTGGAGAGAGGGGGGGGGGGGGCTGGAGGCCGGGCTCAGTGACCCCTGTGGAGAGAGGGGGGGGGGGCTGGAGGCCGGGCTCAGTGACCCCTGTGGAGAGAGGGGGGGGGGGGGCTGGAGGCCGGGCTCAGTGACCCCTGTGGAGAGAGGGGGGGGGGGGCTGGAGGCCGGGCTCAGTGACCCCTGTGGAGAGAGGGGGGGGGGGGGCTGGAGGCCGGGCTCAGTGACCCAGGAACTCTCCCTCCTTGAAGACCGTGTGTAATTGGAGCGCCAGACGGGGACGGGGGAAGACGGGTCATCACCCCGGTCACTGAGCCTCCTCACCCTCCATCATCCTCTCTCTCTCTCTCTTTCTCCCTCCAACCGCCCAAAGTCCCGCTCAGGCGACCCGGAGCCGGAGGTCCTCCAGTCCCGCCCCCCCACCACCACGGTCCTCCAGTCCCGCCTCGGTCCTCCAGTCCCGCCCCCCCACCACCTCGGTCCTCCAGTCCCGCCCTCCCTCCCCCCCTCGCGGGTCATATACGTCATCCAGTCCGCGCCCCCACGTGTCGGATGGCTGGTCATCTGACTGCGCGGCGGATCACGTGATGATGCGCCGTGCCCCAGCCCGGGAGGATGAGGTGCCGCTGAGCTCTGAGCCCCGGACGCCGAGCCGCAGGACGGCGAACCCGCAGCCCGGGGCCGCGCTGTGTGGAGCGGAGGCCTTAGCCCCGTCCTGCGGCGAGTGACAGCTCCAGTGAGGTGGGGGCCGCTGGTCGGTGTCGCGGGCTTCCGGCGAAGGTCACAGGTGCCCAAATATCCCCAAATGTCATTGACTGACAGGGGAGGGGGGGGGACGTAATCATTGCTGGTACACCCGCCCCCCCACCACCCCCCCCACCCCACACCCACCCTCACCCCCCCCACCACACCCCCCCCCCCCCACCATACCGCCCCCCCCCACCAACCCCCCACCCCACCACCAACCCCCACCCCACCACCAACCCCCCCACCACCAACCCCTCCCACCCTCACCACACCACCCCCCACCCCCACCAAGTGCATGAGACTGAGACAAAATAACCGGGAGATGTCAGTAAAGTCCTGTCATGAGAGGGCAATTGGTTGGGCCGCTGATACCTCAGGTTTGCTCAGCAAATATGGAGAGGGAAATGAAATGGATTGTGTGTGTGTGTGGGGGGGGGGTCTGGGGGTGGGGTGGGGGGTCTGGGGGGTCTGGGGGTCGGGGGTTGGGGTGGGGGGTCTGGGGGTGGGGAGGGGTTGAGAGGCCTGATTCGCTTCTCCGGAATTATTATTGTCGCCTACGTTATACTTTGCAGGATTTCGCGTTCTTTCCCAGAAGAAAATGCCGTCAAATAAATCCGTCTCGGACGCTCCGATTATTCAGTTCCACAACTGTCGTATTCTGAAAGACCACAAATTGCGGAGGTGAGTGACCGAGGACGAGCAGCAGCGCTGAGAAGATCGGGTTAAGAATGGGAGGTGGTGCGATGAATCTGGATTTCAACACGGTCGGGGGGGAGGGGGGCGGGAAGGGTAGTAGTTATTGGATTTGTTATTGGAGGAATCGGAGCAGAAAGTGTAGAGGAACAATAAACAGTCATTTCAATAAAATGGAGAGAGTTAAGGAGTGGTTAATGAGAGAGAGAGAGCTTTGAGATTGAGAGTGAGTGAGAGATAACGCCTCAAATATAAAAGCCTTGTTTACTTCTCTGCTCAGGAGAGCCTGTGATTTATCTCGTCTTCTCGGCACTTGTCCTGCATTGTGAGGCTTCGGTTCTGCACCAGGGTTGTCAGTAAAAACAGATCAGATCAGTCTGGTTTCTGTCTGCTTGAAAGATCAGGAGTCCGGGCTCCAATGAAATTCGAAGCTAGGCACGTGGAATTCTGATGTAAAGCGAGAGTGCCCGGACCACAATTTATGCATGGAAATGTCTGGCTCTAGTTAAAGAAAAAACGGGAGACGCGTTGAGATGTATAAGTAGATGAATAAAGAGGATTTGTAGTCAGCTTCCTGAAGTGAGTGTGAGATGCTTTAGCTTTCACTGTTCACTAACAAGCTGAGAGCTTCAATCTCCATTGTTGCCTTGCTTCCGACCATGTTCCTTGTGCCCTTTGAAGAGAGGACCTGTGGATCCGAGAAGGAAAGATCCTTAATCCAGAGAAGTTGTTCTTTGATGAGAAAGGTTCGGCAGATGTGCAAATTGATTGCAAAGAGAGAATAATCGCTCCGGGATACATTGACGTACAGATTAATGGTGAGCGTTTAATGCTGCGAGGAGGAGCAGCAAAATACTGCTTCAGAAGAAGAAAGAACTAGTATTTTTAAACGTCCTTAAACCCAATTTTATCTGGAGGATTGTTGACCAAATACAGGGAGAAACCCCCTTTTCTTTTCCAATGGTATCATAGAATATTTACATAGAATGTGGAATTTTCGGTCAAAAATCTTTGCTGAAGCATCGCTTAAAAATGAATGATATTTAAAGGGAAATTAGATGCTTGGAAAAAAAGATGAATATTAATAATATAATAATCCTTGCATTGGATATAGATGTCTTCTAGACATCTCAAAACGCTTCACAGAATATATTGTAAGGTGAATCGACCGTATGTCTGTGGGCGAAATATTAAAGGGGAGTGATCAGGAGAGTGGGATTAGATCAGGTGGCTCATGTGGAAAAAAACACCAGTTCAGATGAAATGGGTCCAACGCCCTGTTTCTGTGCTGTAAAGTTCTGTGATTTTATTTTAAGTATAACTGCATACTATTTCTTAAAAAGAATTGAATGTTTGCAAGCTCTAGAGAGCATCATATGTGTGTCTGTCTGGATCTGTGCTGTGTGAGAGAGTCTATGTTTATCTCTGCTCCTGTTCCTAGGCGGATATGGATATGACTTCTCCTTGGAGACAGACAATGTGAATTGTGGCATCTCTGTGGTTGCTAAGAAACTGCTGTCAACAGGAGTGACCTCTTTCTGCCCCACGATCATCACCTCTCCAATAGAGGTCTACCAGAAGGTGGGGGAGAATTGCTGGGACATGCCAGGGGGCAGGCTGTGAGAGAAAGGGGTCAATGTGTGCTGGGGCTGCGGCATATAATATTGTAGCCTCCTGGATTCTGCTGTTTCTGTTCTAATTGAGCTCCACTCGTAACGTAGCATCTTTAATATCCACCTGAACAGGCAGATGAGCTATGATAATTCCCTATTGCTGGTACAAAACCCTCGACCATTTCTCTTCTAGGTGCTTCCTCAAATCCAGCTGCAGCCAGGCGGGCACCATGGAGCAGCGGTTTTGGGTGAGTTCTTTAACAGTTCAGTGTTCCAAGTACATTTTTCTAACCTGTCTGAAGGTGCTGCCTCGCCTTGCACTCAGGGACTCCCAACCTGCTCACGGCTCTGCTCTGTTGGTAGGTGTGCACCTGGAGGGGCCGTTTATCAGTGAGCAGAAGAAAGGAGCGCACCTCTCACAGAACATCCGCTCCTATAAAGCCAGGGGCTTCCAGGACCTGCTGGACGTGTACGGTTCTCTGGACAATGTGAGCATCGTTACCCTGGCCCCCGAGATGGAGAGGAGCGAGGAGGTCACCGGCGAGCTGGTCAGACGGGGGATACGGGTGTCGCTGGGTGAGATCAAATCACAAGATTGTTCGCACTTGGGAGAGTCTCAGACTGTTAATCCAAAGACTCTTAGATATTAGGCAGCAAGAGAGCTCTGCCCCACCCCATACCCAATGTGATTGATGAGATTTTCCACTCTTCCAAACGATACAGCACCCAGGCTTTCAACTCACCAGCTCCAATTAGGTCTGAGCTGTGGGTGGCTCAGAGCTGGAATTCAGTACTGGTCGTTATCCTCTGCTCACTGCCCAGTGAGAGAGTGAGGGAACACTAATAGAGGCATTTTATCCTGGGATTCATAGAGCAGATGAAAAGTCTCTTAATCTTAGAAATTGCAACACAGGAGGCCATTTGGCCATTGTGTTTGTGCTGGTGCAAGTGCTCCCACTGCAACTATCCACCTCCTCCTCTGACCTTTTTATGTTATTTTTTGATGTGAGTCAGTGCCTGGTATAAGTTGCTCTTTCTCTCTGTGGAGGTGTGTTATTGTCTGGGATAATGTTGTGCTCTCTCTCTCTCTGGTGACGTGTGTTAGTGACTGGGTTAACATTGCTCTCTCTGTGGAGATATGTGTTAGTGAACAAAGTTCTTCTCTGTATCCAGGGCACTCTATAGCCAGTCTATCACAGGCAGAAGCAGCCGTGAAGCAAGGAGCCACCTTTATCACCCACCTCTTCAACGCCATGTTGCCTGTGAGTTACATTCCCTATTGGAAGGGGTGAATGGGGGGAGAAGAGACAAGAAGGGAACTTCCCAATGATGTTGTTGAGTTGGTTAGGATTTCTGTCATTAAAAAGCTTGGCATTCAAACAGGTCCAGCTTGGACCACCTGATGTGTCTTTATCCCCATAGGTGACTACAGAACTGATGGGCATGTCTTGCAGGAACAAATTTAGTTTTGGGTAGACCCTTAGTTACCTCTTCTTATCTCTCTTTTTCCCCCCCTCCCCGGTTAAATGTATGGTTTTGAGTAGGGTTGAAGCTGCACATATTCGTTGTTGTGTTTGATGAAAAGCTTGTAACATTGAAACATTTCAAAGTGCTTCCTAGGGAATTGCTGTCAAGTGTGTTGACTGAGTATTTTGCTGACAAACACAGCAGCCAATTTGCACACAGCAGCGTCCCACAAACAGTGATGAGGTGAATGACCAACTTAACTGGAGGAATGTTGGTCAGGACACCACACTTTTACTACTCGCTCAATGAAATAGTGTTTCCACAGATTTGTTCTGAATTTACCCCCTTCAATTGTTGACTGTGTCCTGTTCAGTATAAGATGAAACAGCTTATCATGTCTATATTCTCTAGTCCCTTCAAAATCTTAAAGACCGTAATCAGATCACCCCTCAATTTTCTCTTCTCCAGCGTTAACATGCCCAGTTTACTTAAATATCCAGCAGAATAGTTGCCTTCTCTCTGGTTCATTCTGACGTTCACTCTCTTTCTTTTCACAGTTTCACCACAGAGACCCAGGTATTGTGGGGTTGCTGACCAGTGACCAGATTCCTGATGGGCAGATTATGTTTTATGGGCTGATTGCTGATGGCATTCACACCAACCCTGCAGCACTGAGGATCGCTCACCGTGCTCACCCCTCAGGTACAATACAGAGTAAAGCTCTGTAATGTGCTCCAACTCAGCCCTCTCCAGCACCCAGTCAGATTTCCCACAGCAGCAGCAGCTCTGTGTGAGTCTTAATTCAGTGTAACTGTAGTCTCAACACTGTCCCAGTGCATTAGTAACTCATCACAGACCAAAATTGAAATCTGCAAACTGTCTTGGTGTGACCTTCCTCCAACCCCCTGCTCTCCTCCACCCCGGCCATGATCTCTCTCTCCTCTCTCAGGTCTGGTGCTGGTGACTGATGCGGTTGCAGCAATGGGTCTCCCCACTGGCCAGCACACATTGGGGCAGCAGATTATACACATTGATGAGGAGCTTCACGCTTATGTCGCAGGTCCGTGTAGCAGAGTAAACTGTGTGTGTGTGTCTCTCTTTCACCGTAACTCTCCCTCCCCTATCAACACATCACTTGCCACTGAATTTTGTCTGTTTCTGCAGGAACCAAGACACTGTGCGGGAGCATTGCCACCATGGACTTCTGTGTACGGCACTTCTGGCGCGCAACTGGTGAGACATGGTGGGGAACCAGGGGTGGGTAGTGAAAATAATGCTTGCAATTATCCCTGAAACTGGAGGGAACAACATCACCTGTATTTCATGGAGAGCAAGGGTCTTGAAAGCAGCTTGTATATTCTGAGCACAAGAAGATGATTCTCATTGGTTCATTTTTAAAGAAGAATATTTTCTGAATCTGGGGAAACACTTCCCTCCTCTCTCTCTCTCTCTCACACACACACTCACACACACACACACACACGTATGCCTTCTTGGTAGCATCCTACCGCTGGGCCCAAAGGTTGTGGGTTCAAAGCCCAAGTCAGGACTTGAGCTCACAGTCCAGGCTGACGCCTTAGTACAATGCTGGACAGTACTACATTATCGGAGGTGCTGTCTTCAGCTGAGGCGACAAAATGAGGTCCCATCTGGCTGTTCGGGTGAATGTTAAAGATCCCACGGTGCTATTTAAAAAAGAAAATAGAGTTTATCAGTCCTGTAGATAAATTGTTAATTAATCTCATGGCTGTTTGTGGGACTTTGCTGACAGAATGGCCGTCATGTTTTCCCACCAACGCAGTCACTGTACACGATGGCAATTCCTGAAATCGGTGACATTTTACAAGTGCTATAAAAATTGAATTGAGGCTGAAATGATGCAGTGACAGAAGGTGGTCAGCAGAGGGCAGCAGATGCCACTTAGTCAGTCAGCGACTGTCGCTTAATCGCTAACGGGGGTTGTGATTTTGGGAACTTCATTACCACACGGGATTCCCGGGATTCTGTACCGACGCGGCACCTCCCGAAATCCCAGGGTTCCAATCTCGAATCTCTACTGCAGGAACCGCAGCAGCAATTTACACTTATAATACAACTTTCATCACAGAGATTGCCAGTGCGGAAGGAAGCCATTCGGTCCATCGAGTCTGCACTGTGCAAAATGTTCGTTCAAATCCCACTTGATCCAGTCCGCATTGTGGGGCAGCCTAATCCCCCATTCACTATCCCCTTCTGTTGCACTCCTTAATTGACGGCTTAATCCCTGCCTTATCCCTATACAACAACTGGTCTCTAGTTCAGTTAAATCAGTGATCCTGCACCGACCGCTTCATCTCTCACACTCGTCAATCTATTTCTTTACCAAATTACTTTAATTCCCTCTTGAATGTTGGCCAGGATATCGGGGAAAACTCGATTCTCTTTTCCAATAGGGTCACAAGCTCTTTAATGTCTACCTTAACATCTCATCGCTCCTCCTGCAAGGGAGTGTCATTTTAGCTCAAAGTCACGATGTGAGCTTGAACCCACAACCTTCCAGCCCAAAGGCCAGAGTGCTGCCAAATGAGCCAAGATAATAATAATAATAATTAATAATAATCCTTGCATTTGATATAGCGCTTTTTACATCTTCTAGACGTCCCAAAGCGCTTCACAGAATATACTGTAAAGTGAATTGACTGTATATTTGTGGGCGAAACGCAGCAGCCAATTGCACACAGCAGTGTCCCACAAACAGTCGTGGATTGAAAATGACCAATTTATTATTGTTTTGGAGGAATTATTATTAGATTATTATTAGTGTGGAGTTGAGAACTGGGAAGAAATGTTGTACTTTTCCCTTGGAGGCTTTGAATTTCCCTTGGATTTCTTGGCAAGGTGGCCTTGTACAGCTGGTATCTTTACAATAGTTACAGCAGGAGGTTTAAAAATGCACAGCTCGCAACATACATAATCCCATCTGCATTGTGAGGCAGCGTAATCCCCCATTCACCATCCGGTATTCCTCTTCTGTTGCTCCTTAATCCATGGATGTGAGCGGGATTTGCAGGAATGAAAAAAGGATTTTCAGGCTGGAATTACTTTGCTGTTTGGTGAAAGCTCCCAGGATTACACAGAAGATTTGTGAGTTACACTGAAATCAACGTGAACGGTTGGAACCACTCAGCAGCACGAAGCTCATTTACGTCTTCGAGTCTAATTAAGATGGTGTACTGCAGGAAAATGTTTAGAAGATTTTAACCCTTTGACATAAAGTCATCTTGACTTTAGTGGTAGCACTTCAGTCACAGGTTGTGGGTTCAAACTCGAGCTCCTGACTTTGAGCTGCCACATTTCAGTGCAGTGTTGGGGGGAGAGCGCTGCATGATCTGAGTTGCTGTCCTTCGGATGTGACATTATACCCAGGGTCCTGCCTTACTGTTTGGGTGAATGTTAACTATCCCAGGGTATTATTGGAAAAGAAAGTTTTCCTGGTGTTGAGGCCAAAAGTTCTCCAGCTCAATGGATTATTCACTTCATGGCTGTTCGTGGAACTTTGTTATGCACCTTTGATAGGCTGTCATGTTTGCTTACACAGTCACTGCGTTTTGTTGTGAAACCTTGCAAATCCTTTCTTTCCTCAGGCTGCTCGGTTGAGGCTGCGTTGGAAGCGGCCTCGCTCCACCCGGCACAGCTCCTGGGGATCGACAGTGTCAAGGGACAGCTTGAATATGGCATGGACGCAGGTAAGTGATCCTGGCACTGGGCGCCAAGATTCATGGACATAGGATACAGTTCATCCTTCGCACTAACTTGTTCTCTGAATCTCTGCTCTCTTCCCCCACCCTCTCCTCGCCTTTCCCTCTTGTTCTCTTTCATTCTCTCTTTTATCTCCGCTCCCAACCACCCCCTCGCCCTCCTCTCTAAGAGGATTCTAGAATCCAACAGGGTTGCCTTATATTTATTATAATACTAGTCCTTGCATTTAATACAGTGCCTTCCACGTCTGTAAAGTGTAGATTTTTGTAGGCAAACAATGGCCACACATTCATTGAAGTGAATGATCAAAATAAACTGTAACATTGATCCATTCTATAAATCATATAACCGTATTTATATTAAGTATATAATGTTTCTTGCAGACATGTTGTTGCTGGATGATGAGCTGAACGTGAAAGCCACGTACATTGCAGGCCAGCGTGTCTGGAAGAAGAGTTGATAGACACAACAGCAGCAGTACATGTCCTGCAGCGAATTGTCCTAGACTGAAAATCCGGAAGGAATGTCCCAGGACTGCACTTTAGACACTCATTGATTGTCCAGAGCTGATAATGGACCCTCCTCTGCTCTCACTCCTGTGCGTTGAATTCACAGCTCCACAAATTTTTTAATTGCTATAGATCGGATTTTATTTTAAACTTGCATCAGTTTTCTCTTATCTCCTGTTTTCCTTTCTCCTTCTAAGGGTGAGTTTGACAGCCCCACTCCACACCATACCTCAGGCGAGTGGCCATTATTTATGTATGAGTGAGTCTCTGTCCCCGAGGCCTGGGAGAGGTCATTCTGGATAAGGGAATGAAATAATTCAGACAACCATCGAGCAGATAGGAAGGATCTTTATTTTATTTTGCCTTCCAACACTTCCAGCCACTAGATGTCACTCTCCACAAATATCCACTTTAATGCTTTTTTTAAAATTTTATAACTTGGGAGATAAATCATTTTGTGTTTCATTCATTAAAGCAGTGTGAATCTACAAAACGCCCCTCTCTCTGTATCTAACTCTGCTGTACCTGACCTGGGTGTGAGTGCTGGGTGGGACAGTGTAAAGGGAGCTTTATTCTGTAGCTGACCTGTGCGGTTGTGACCTGAGAGTGCTGGATTGGGTGGTTTGGAGGGAGTTTTACTTTGTAGCTAAGCCATGTTGTACATTCTGGAAAGTCCAGCTAAAGTAGGTAATTGTTTGAACCCACCCTTTGATTTTTTTTCTCTCTCTCCCCATTCCCTCCCTCCTCCCCCATGTGAGTTCTGGAGAGAGAATTGTGATTGGTGGGGTGGACTTGCTGTTCACTTTGACCTGACCCATTATTCATATCAGCTTTGACCGCATGTGCTGTCAGGATAGTCGACTATGCCGGTGGGAGTGGGGGAAGAGAAGGAAGGGGAACATTACAAGGGAGCCTGACCTCTCCACAAGCACCTTCCAGGGAGTTCTTGGATAGAGCCTGGGAGTGGAAAAGAACGATAGTCTCAGGAAATGGAGTTCCAGGCAAAGAATTTCCTGAAGATGAGAGATGGAATCCACGCTGGCTCTGGCTCCGTGTTGTGGAGTTTAACCAAAGCTGACCTCAGCTGTGGCTGCAATTAGCCTCTTGCTCTTGTTCCAAAGGTTAGCAAGAATCTGGCCCCTTATACTTATTTGAAAGTGAGGACGAGGATCCCCTGAGGGCTGGGGAGCCATTGGAGACGGGCGAGGACATGAGCAAGAATGCAAGCGACAGAGTTTTGAATGATCTGTAGCTTTTGTAGGGAAGCATTGGGAAGTCCGACGAGCAGTGAGTTGGTATGGCAAGGTGCTGCACAGAGCTGTGAATGAAGGATCAATTTACCTGGAGGATTTTTGCCTGAATACTGGGAGAAAATCCCTTCTCTTTTTATATAGTGCCATGGGGTCTTTAAAGTCCACCTGGACAGACAGGCAGGACCTTGGTTTAACGTTTCATCTCAAGAACGCCTCCAACAATGCATGTTGTTGGATGTCTCCCTCAGTACTGCATTGAAACGCCAGCCTAGGATGTGGCTTGAATCCAGAACTTGTTGACACAGAGCCAGACTGAGTTATAGTGAGCTCTCTTTTCCCTCCGACCCCCCGGCTCCATCTTCCTTCAGCACTTGGCTGAGCTTTTCTTTGCCACTGCAAATCAAGTTAATTATAACTAGATGTTTTCCAAATAACTAGCAAATAAGGTGCTGAGACTGTGGTGATTATGAGGAGAATATTGGATCGGATCCAACAGTTGGCAGTTATTAGTTTATTAATTTATTTGGCAACAGCACAATGGGTTCCCCAAAGCACATTGCTTTCAGTACTAATGACTGACTAGTGAACGAACCAGTGAGTGTTTGTGTGCAACTCTGGCTACACAATGTTTGTGTGTGTGTGTGTGTAAACCAGGGCAGTATTAATGCTGTGGATTTCCAAAAAGGAGAGAGTGAAATCTAGGAACAGATCAATTGTCAGGGAAAGAGGTTTTGATTGCTCCAAATATCAGGAGGATTTTGCTATCGATCTCGTACTTATTTGGTTCATAGGCATCAAATATCTGTTAATGCATGTAACAGTGGTAATGCACCACTGCATCCAATTCCCTCACTTCCGAAATAGCACAGGAAGGCTACAAGAATGAGCTTGGCTTTGCTTGCCTCAAGTCTCCGGCTTCTTTCTCTCTCAGTATCAGAATCTTTCTCATTTTCTCCCCTCAGTTGATACTTCTACTGTTATTGATCTTTCAATAAAATATAGGGAAGGGGTCAGATTTCCCCCTCAATTTTCCTCTCTTATTCCTCTTAATCTGTCATTTAACATGTTCCTTATCCCATCATTCTCACATTCTTTTCCAGGACTGTAGTACTCTTCACCTCCATCAGTCTTCCTTCTATACTTTGCAGCATTGACCCCCCCCCCCCCCACTTCACAACTGAATCATCTCAAGACCTCTCCCATCTCTTGTACACTTTCCCTCTATTCAAATTTGGGCGCGAGCTGCAAACTTGGAGCCTGGGTCTTTGAGTGAGGTATCCTAACGCTCCTCTACCTCAGCCCCAGGTCTTTCAATCACTAATTATTGGTGAGACCAGCCTTCAATCCCAACGCTATGTAAACACACCTGGAACCCTAAGAGAAAGTCTCACATTCCAGGTGTTGCTGTTGATTTTTACTAAGACAACTGCAACTTTGTTCCAGGCAATGGCCTCGGAGATGCAGAGAGTATTGAGTTTTCACATAAGCCATTCTGCTGCTTCTCTCAGCAGCAGCTGAAAGTAACATATGGTTTGCACTGGAAGAGATTTTATCAATACCTGCAGGAATATTATTGGTGTCTAATAACTAACCAAGCAGTGTTTTGAAACCCGCCTCACGTCATTGGGATTGTAGTGTATGAATAACACATTGGACAGGAAAATATTGGCTGAACTACACCATATGTTGAAGTAATTAGGAGATGTAAGAATTAACAGTCAAGACGCACAATGTTTTGGCTTAGCTTCAAACAGGTCTAGTCAGGACAAAGGATGAGAGGAGACATGGCAGGTAACCCATTCACTGTCCATTTCTTAGCACAATACATAGTAATAATAATCCTTGCATTTGACCCACATAGTCAGGAAGTGAAAGATCAATGTATTTAAAGAATTGTTTGCCAGGACAGTGAGAGAAACTCCCTTCTCACTCCCAATAGTATTGTTTTTTTATGTTCACCAGACAGTCAAGTAGGAATTCAGTTTAATGCCTCCATCACTGCAGAATTCCCTCCAATGCACTGGAGTGTCAATCTGTACTGTGAGCTTGAAGTCCTGATATGGACCTTGAACCTACAGACAGAGGTGAGATTGTTTCCAACTCGGCAAGATAACAGCTTTGTTTTACTGATGGAGATGGGTGAAGGACCGAGGTGTACATTGCAGGACCAGTCAAGGTTGAAATGAGTAGGAAATAACATTAAAAAAATCCCCAAACTACTGTTAAGAATAATAACTTGCGATTTATACAGTTTTTCTGGTAATAAACATTTTACAAAATACAACTGATTAAAAATTAAAATGAATTGTTACATAGGCAAACATATTTTTAATAAGTGCTGATTAGGTGATGCCCAGCTTGGGTTTAGATTATATGGTAAGAAATTCAGTAATGGAGTCGAATGATAGGAGAGAAGGAAAAATATAAATTTAACAATGTGCTTATACGCATGTGGGAAAACTTAGGGGAAACATAAAATGTAACAGCACAGAAACAGGCCATTCGGACCAATAAATCTGTTGATGTAGATACACAAACACCAGACACACAAACAGTGCAGCAGCAAATCAGGAACTGATTCTGAAAGCCAGTGATTGCAGTTTAACAACTCTTGTGTCTTCAGCCACTCACACTTGCACCTGAGTAACATCTGACCCACCGAGCACAATTCAATATAAAAATAGCAGGAAACACTGACATTTAACAGCCTCCAAGACATGCATTAGTGCCATGGGCTGTCAGGGTAAAGCATATGACAACCTATTGCATCTCATTAGGGCTAAGATTCTGCATTAAATAGCACTGAGTACTGTGTGCGACTCTGAATTTTTATGTACCTGCTTTGACAGTGTGTCCAACTCGCAGATGTGTCACCTGGGAGCCATTATCACCTTGATTTCATCTGTTCCTATAACCTGTGAATTTCTGCACATGTCAAGAAATGTAACAGCTTGTAGGATCTTTGTGGCAAGTTGTCAGCTTCTCCTAATTTTCTCTGTACGTGGACTAGCCATCTTGAAGCAGTGGAGAAATTACTCTCTTGTGATCTTCAGGGGATTGGTAAATGCCAGGCGAGGACAACTTGTCTCAGAGGAGATAAATAAAGCATCTGCTTAAAGAGGAACATTGTTCACAAAGATCTCTGCCCGGAATAAAGCTCTCACCATAACAGATGAAGCGTGTGGCTAGGGATGGCTTTATAAGGTGGAGCTGGCCAGAGATAACAAGGGTACAGAATCTGGGAATATAAACACAATTTTTAAATTCAAATCTGTACCAAATAGAATGTCTTTGTTATCTGCCATTATCTAATCCAATACCTTCATTATTTCAATAATTCAGCGCTTCGGGACGTCCCCCTGACGTGAAAAATGCTCTCTAAATGTAATTTTGTGGTTGTTGTATCCAAAGGGAATTTTCTGAGGGCCAGTAGAGTTCTAAACCTTGTGTGAGCTTTATTCTGGGATTTATAGGACTTTGTGAAAAATCCTTGTGGACTGGAATCAGGAGCATGGTTAAATTGCATCCATAGCATAAGCCCATTGAAAAGGAGTTTCTCTTCTCCTCCCAACCCCCTGCACCCCCACCTCAACATCTCTATCCCGTTTGATCACTATGAAACCTAAGATCTTATAAGTCTGGATAGCTCAACACCACAACAGATCTGTATGATACAGCACCCCAAAAGGTTTGAGTGACTCAGCAGCACAAGTCGTGCCCTTTTAATATTAATAATCTTGAAATAATGCCTATAACATCTCAAAGTCCTTCGGAAAGTTTATGTGAAGTGCAATAACTATGTATAGGCCAATGTGGTAGCCAGTTTTACTCTAGTAATTTTAACTAGAGGATTATTGGACAGGATACCGAGAGAAACGTCCTCTTTTTTGAATAATGCCATGGGACCTATCTGAACAGGCAAGTGGAACCTTGCACCAAGCGCCGCATCACAGTGTCAGCCGAGGTGAAGTCAAAGTCCCAACCGAGCCCAGATTATGTAATTCCTTGTGTCGTGCTTTGAGACATTTTGGTGTTTGAGGTGTTTTATCAAATGCAATAATTATTTGTATGGCTGTGTCAGGGTAGACAGTACTTTATTCAGTGGATAAACTGAGAGCATCAGGCTCTATAAACTGAGTCTCACATTGCGCAGTGCGTTTATCTACTAAGTCATCTGAGGAACCTCTTTGCTATTTGATTCATTGCAGTTTTATCTGTGTGTAATGAATTCTAAGTCAGACTATTGCAGGAGTTGCTTGGATCAGCCTCAGGGGTGGAGAGGTCTGGCTCTTCACCAGGTTTCTGCTGACTTGTGGTGGTGAAATAAAATTGTATTGAGAATGGATTATTCCAAGACCTTAACTGACATTAACTATTCCAATACCCCTGTTGAATCAATTGGGATTGCTGCAGCGATTGCAGTTGGATCAGAACTGATCAGAAACCTCTTCTTTATCCAGAGTTGCTGATTTACCAATCACCCGATGCTCTGAAGAACACAAGATTTCTGCATTGCGTTAATTATCTGGGAACAGGACTGAGATTTGGACATCTCTTACTCATGGGTGTCAGAGGTTATTGCTGCACGTTCTCTCTGCTGCATTACTGGGAAGAGGGTCAGTATTCAGCTCTACTGCAGCTATTTATCCTGTGTGCTGCTCAAACAAGCCTCCTGGGGAAATGAGGTAGTGCCCATCCATAAATGGATGCTTTGCTGAAGCTGGTTTGTCAGGTCGCACATGGTCAGAAAGAAACAGTCAGCTTTCAATTTGTACAGTTAATGGGCTTGGAGCAGGGCAATCTGAGCAGAAGTCAGATTGTGTAGATTCCTAGCTCTCTGAGCTTCCCCAGCCAGGCATTCCCACCTCTGCTGTACTTTTATGACTTATTCAGGATTGTTAAATTGAGTCTTATAAAATATTCTTCAGCATTAAATAGGAAAGGGGATCCCACTTACTGTTATTACTAGTCTCTAACCTCCCTTTCCTTTCCAAGGTCCTTAAAAGAGTTGTTGCTTCCCAGCTTCACTCCCTCTCCTGCCATTCCTTTTACGAATCTGTCCAATTGGGTTTCTGTGTTGCCCGGTCAAGATGACAAATGACAATCTGTCCATCTGTGATCATGGCTCCCTCTTGTCTCCTTGTCCTCTTTTTGCTGCGGACATTGTGGACCATTCTTTCCTCCTCCACTGCCTTTTCTCTCACCTCAACCTTCAAGGTTCTGTTCTTGAAATGGTTCAGATTCTATCTCTCACACCGGCTCCACTTTGTCTCCACAAACAGCTTCTCCTCCAGCCCCCGCACTGTCTTATACGATGTTCCTCAGGGCTCTGTCCTCAGTCCTCTCCTCTTCAACCTGTACATGATGTCTTGGTGACATCATCCGCAGACAAAGGGTTAACTTCTACATGTACGCGGATGACACCCAACTCTATCTCTCTGCCTCCAGCCTCAACTCCAGGACCACTGATGCCCTGACAGACTGCCTGTCAGACATCAAGTCCTGGATGAGAGCCAACCTTCTACAGTGAAAGTCAGAAAGACCGAGGCTCTCCTGATTGGCTCTGGCCGGCACTGGCAGCATCAGCATCTACGGATGCACACTCCACTGAGCCAGTCAGGATCATCCAGAACTCTGCAGCTCGTGTCCTCTCCCACACCGGACTCCGTGACCCCATCACACCCATTGTTGCACGATTCCACTGGCTCCCCATTCCTCAGAGGATAGATTTCAATATCCTCCTCCTCACCTTCAAGGCCCCCCATGGCCTTGCCCTCTCCGACGTGCTCATCCCTTATCAATCTGTCCATCCCTCCACTCAGCAGATTCTGGCCTGTTCCATGCCCCTGCCCGGCCTGCCCCACTATCGGCTGTCGAGCCTTCAGCCTCTCTGCCCCCACCCTCCAGAACCCCATCCCATATTCCCTTCACCTCACTCTCTCCTTTGCCTCCTTCAAGGCACATCTCAAGACCCTCCTCTTCGACTGTGCCTTCGGTCACCCTCCTACCCTCCACCCTCCCTGATCCCATCCTACCCCCGCTCAGGTCCTAATCCCTGACTGTTCAGCTCCTTGGGACAATGTCCTGACGTGAAAGGTGCTTTACAAATGTAATTTTGTATTGTAATTGCTCTTCTCTGAGCCCAGTCACTGCAGGAGGCAGTACCCTGCAGCTCCCAAAATTTTTAGCTAAGCTTTTAGCCACCATGCTTTGCTCCCTGGAACTCTCTCCTAAAATCTTACTGTCTCCCTAACTGTTTAAAACCCCTTCTAAAAACCTACCTCTGTGACTGCGGCATTGGAAACTCCATCCTTCATCCCACCTTGTTTGGGCTTCTACATCAACTCTGTAAATCAATTTGAGACATTATCCAAGGTGAAAGGTACTGTTTAGGAGTCCTGTAGCTCAGTGGTTAGAGCACTTGCCTCGCAAGCGAGAGACCTGGTTCGATTCCCAGCAGGGGGAAACCTTGGGCATGTTTCCTTACTCCACATGCCTGATAATAATCCCTCAAAAAAGAATTGGTCACTTCAATCCATGACCGTTTGTGGGACACTGCTGTGTGCAATTGGCTGCTGCGTTTCGCCCACAAAATATACAGTCAACTCACTTTACAATATATTCTGTGAAGCGCTTTGTGAAGTCTAGAAGACGTGAAAAGTGCTATATCAAATGCAAGGATTATTATTATTACAAAGGCAAGTTGTTGTTACATCACTGCCTTTTGGTGTTTCCTGGCTCAGCCAGTAGCTCTTCCCCCAAGGTTGTTGAGAAATTTAATAATTACACATTTCTTTCTTTAAAAAAAAACACAAATTAGATCCCACAGCACATCAAATTATATATTGGTGTGTGTATTTTATTCACATAATGCCTGACTGAATTCTACTCCCAGCTCCTGAGGGCAGCTCAGACATTGTGGTTGCCTGGGTTATTAATGTGATTTATTGTGGATGATAGTTTCTTGGTTTCCAGGGTAATGTATAGGAAGAATGGGCTGTGTGTAAACGATCAGCAAAATTTTGAAGATGGAATAATAGTTTTAACTTCCTGCTCACAATAAGGACTTAAAATGTCAGAGCTTTAACATTTATAATTATCAAACATTCTCTAGTCTTCGCAATTGCTTGCACTTTCGTTGGTGTTGTCCTGGAAACAGGTATAGAGGAAGGTTGCCTGTAGAGAAAGGGATTTTACCCAATTCTATACCTACTTTAGTGTCTCTTCACAGACGACTGTGAAGTGGAATGCTGCAATCACTGTGTTGACATTACTCGACAACAAAAAGTCCCTCCCTTGCTTACCTAATCTAATGTACTAGGTGCAGGTTGGCGAGAATCGAAGGTTGGAGCCCTCGGGGTGTGTGATGACTGGATATTGCTGGAGGTTAATCAGCTAAAATTGAAGAGTTTACCATTGAAAGCATTGTCTGGCAAACTTCCAGCCTCTTGTCCAGCTCGGACCAGACTGTTGTTTAGGGCTTCGGCTTCCAGGGTTAACAGGAGCTGAGTGGGGAAAATCCCTGAGCCCAGGAATGGATCCCTGCTCACAGGAATGACTGTTGCGTGAGGTCACATCCGCCCGCCCACCTTTGAATTTCTGAGCCTGACCGCGGGGGCCAATTCCCACCCGCTCCCTCTGCTCAGCGGGCTCCGGCCTGCTTCGTGGCCCCTGCCTTGCCTGATCCACCATTGGCGGGCAGGCCTTCAGCCATTTTGTTGTTGTTGCTCCTCCAAAATAACTGACCTGATCCCTAATGACCAGAAACCAACTGACCTGATCTGTGTCATCCCATTGGCCAGAATCCAGCTGTCTTGATCCCTGTCATCCCCCATTTGTCAGAAACCTGCAGACCTGATCTCTTTTGCTCCATTGGCCAGAAGCCAGCTGACCTGATCCCTGTCACCCCATTGGCCAGAAGCCAGCTGACCTGATCCCTGTCACCCCATTGGCCAGAAGCCAGCTGACCTGATCCCTGTCACCCTATTGGCCAGAAGCCAGCTGACCTGATCCCTGTCACCCTATTGGCCAGAAGCCAGCTGACCTGATCCCTGTCACCCTATTGGCCAGAAGCCAGCTGACCCGATCCCTGTCACCCTATTGGCCAGAAGCCAGCTGACCTGATCCCTGTCACCCTATTGGCCAGAAGCCAGCTGACCCGATCTCTGTCACCCTATTGGCCAGAAGCCAGCTGACCTGATCCCTGTCACCCTATTGGCCAGAAGCCAGCTGACCTGATCCCTGTCACCCTATTGGCCAGAAGCCAGCTGACCCGATCCCTGTCACCCTATTGGCCAGAAGCCAGCTGACCCGATCCCTGTCACCCTATTGGCCAGAAGCCAGCTGACCCGATCCCTGTCACCCTATTGGTCAGAAGCCAGCTGACCTGATCCCTGTCACCCTATTGGCCAGAAGCCAGCTGACCTGATCCCTGTCACCCTATTGGCCAGAAGCCAGCTGACCTGATCCCTGTCACCCTATTGGCTGGAGCACAGCATGCCGGGAGCAGTTGGTGGAGCCAATCCGTTTAAAGTTATGGCTGTGACGTGCGATGACGTGCCGGTGCCCGCGGCGGCTGCGCTGCTCTCGCTGAAGGCTCAAGTTTGGAAAGAATTTAGATGGAAGCTTCAGCGTCGAGTCGTTTCGGCAGAGAGGGCCGCGCGGGGACGGCGCGGGGTCTCCGGCCGCGGTGATTCTCCCGCTCCCGCAGCGGCGCATGCGCAGCCCCGCCCCCCGCCCCTGCCCGCCCGCCGGGCATTGTGGGAGTTGTAGTGCGGCGCCGGAGGACCCAGCAGCCGCCACCCGGCGACAGCCGCCCCTCACACCGAGCGAACAGGTTAGTCGTGGCTTTCCTGCTGTTGCCCTGCGTGAGTGTGCGTGAGAGAGAGAGAGAGGAGGTGGGGGGGGGGGGGTCTATCTCTCCCCCCCACCCCCCCCACCTCCCCAGCAACGCTGCCCCGTGATGTGCGAGTCCTGTCCTCCATCCGTGTCCCTGTCATTGTCCCTGTGCTCCTCTGTACGGGAGGAGGGGGGTGGGGTGAGAGTATGTGCGCCCCCCTGTGTTTCAGGGGCCTGTGCCCTCTGCTTGGGGGAAGGGGGGGGGGGGGGGGGGGTAGGTGTATGTCTGTGGGTGCCCTTTTGTTGGGGGCTGCTCTTTTTTTGGGTGGGTGGGTGGGGGGGGGGCTGGAGAGTGTGTGTGTATGTGTGTGTGTGTCCCTTGATCTTTGGGAGGGTGGTGATGGTGTATATGTGTCCTTTATTTTTTGGTGGGGTGTCTACCCTCTTTTTTTTTGGGGGGGAGGTGTTGTCTCTCTGACTGGAGGCGGGGAGGGGAGCTCGTATCAGCCCCTCCGGATTGGAGTATGGTTTGGCGAACGCCGGGTCCATATACCTCAAGCTGTGTACCCCATCCACCTCGATTGGTACCCAGCGATTTATATCGCTGAAACTCTGCGCCTCTCCCGACTTGTGGAACGAGAACGGTCGCTCCGTAAGTAGAGATGTGTGTCAGAACTGCGGGCAGGAGGACGGTGGCATTTGCTCATTGCGCATTTCATACTGAGCCCTGCTGTCCCCTGGGAAGCTCGCGTGGACTTAGCCGGCACCTGCTGTGTACCTAGTGAGGCCGCAAACCTACGCCTGTCAAATGGCAAAATGACCAACTTTGTGGGGAGGTGTCTCCTTGGAGTGGAACTGCCTCCTTAGGGTTGCGCTTGACAACCGAGGGAATAGTCTCTCTGATATGCTCTTGGTAATCGGATTCCGGAGCCTGGCGGGTTCACGGTATTCCAGGGTCCTGTTGATGACCAGCCATCCTGCCCTCATCGGCAGGATGTGGAGAGCGACCAATCACTGGGGGGGGGCAGGGATTCGTCCCAATTAGCTCCCGTCAGCCCTGTAAATCAAAGTGCTGATGGGTAGACGAGCTGGACAAGAAGCAGGAAGATTGCCAGATAGTGCTCTCAATGACAAGCTATGTGGATTTAGCTGATCAAACTTCAGTAATACGGCAACAAATGTTCTAGGGACCCCAAGCCTTGTCTCTACCTAACCTGTGCCAAATAGTCTCTCTGTTTCTGGGAGGAGGAGTGTACGTCTGCCCCTGTTTCTAACAGCAACTGTCAGCGTGCATATGTTGTGGTTGTGGGAACATCAGCAAGAAACTTCCAGGATGATGAGGATTGTTCCATTTTTCCCTGTAATATCTTACACTGGAAAATGTTGCTAACCATAGCTTCTTTCCCGAGGTTTGATTTCAGTTGTAGTGTTTTTTTTAATAGGTATTTCCCAGAAGCCTGCTGCAGATGAAATGTTATAACGTATAGTTTAATGGGCGGTAGTGGTGGTGATCAGAGTGGCCTAATCTCTACATTGGGGATGACAGCAATCAATTTAATCCTTGTTCATGTGCTTCATAATGTCATCCAAATCCCTCAATGCGATTATTTCCCTTTAATCACTCCTTGCCCTCCATTCTTTCACTCATGTGTGTTGCAAAGTTTATGGGGAAGGTTTGGAGTGGATTTACGGGGGCTTTTTTAGCTGGAAAATAAATGACGCATAGTTGAGATGTGAAGTGCAGAGTTGATGGACTCCAATAAAATCTCTGAGTATATTGGATAATAACTAGCAATTGAATATTAGGCAATGTGTAAGTGTCGCAAGAGGATCAAAGTGATTCCCTTTGGTGAATACATGGTGTTTGAAAGGTGTCTCAAATCAGAGGAATTAAGTAAGAGTGAATTATCCAATCTGGAGCTGGAAGTTCAGACCATAACACACGATCAGTCGTGATGAATGTGGGTAGAGAATAATAGAGTGCTCCAATTGAATTTCAAGGCATGAATCTGAAAGAGGCATTGAGAAGACTTCTTACAAAGCGAACACATTGTTCATTGTATTAAGCTTTCTGTGTCACAAAGTGATCTCGATCTGTATGAGTTTTTTTTAAAGCCCATCTTGAATATTGACTGGATTTCGTGGTTGCCGTAAAATACTCTAAAAGCAGAGACAGAGAAGGTGCCGAATTTATCTGGCTTAGTTAGTGGCACTCCCCACCTCAGGGTTCAAAAGATTGTAGGTTCAAGCCCCACATCAGGACTTGAGCTCGTAGCTCAATGCCCCACACTCCATCTCTCCATTACTGGAGGTGATAGCTTTGGGATGCAATGTTAAATCAAAGTGAAGAGATGAAAAGTTTTTTTTTTGGTCAGCTGCCCTCTCAAATGGGTGGGGTGGGTGAAGTAGGTCGAGTTGTGTGTGGACCTCGGTACAAGTTAATGTGAATGAGATAAACAGGAGAACATAGGATCTGGCACATGGGTTTGCTGAATGTGGGACTTGAGAAGGTCAGAGCTAGAAATGAGAAGATGTTGGTATTCTTTCTGATTGACTTCCGGGATGGACAACATTGTGAACAGTAGATGTATCTATAGAAAGGCCAGAGTTTTAAATTGTGCAGATACTGTGGTGCAAAAAGAGTAGAATAAAAACTGAGTTCTGCATGTTTCTAGAGGTGTAGCTGGATTTACCTTTCATCAGTTTGAGACAAGCCAGTGTAGTTGACGTACCTTACTCCCCCTTTTTTTCCTCCCCACTGTGACACAACTCTAAGAGCACCCCCACCCATGTGGCTGTTCAAGAGCCACCCTTGAAGGTAAGAGTTGGCAGGTTTCAATCCTATTCTTACCTGATTTTTAACAGATCAACTTCCAGCAGGAGTGGGTAGTAAGCAAGATCAGGAACCAAGCTGTTATTTTCACTGTCCTTAACAGAGAATTTCAGTCAATTTCGCAACAGTCCTATCAGGAGCAACTAATTCCTGATTGAACTAGGTCCCTTCTGTATGGCTCAGCTTCTCACTGGCTGAACTTACTGAGCCATTGGGGAAATCTTGTTTGCTGAAAAATGTTGGGCTTTTTATTGATTGTGCTTTAAACAAAGTCCATTTGCTGCCTGTCAAATTGCATTGATTGTGTCTTTGAGCGATTGGCTTAAAATAAATTTCAGATTGCATGAGCTGTTATATCGTTCTTTGTGTCTTATTGAGATGGCAAATTGAGTGTTTGCCTGTCTTATTTGGTAGTGCTTTTTCCTCTTGGTCCGAAGATAGGGTTTAATTCACACATCCGGATTTGAGCTCATAGTCCAGCCTGACTCTAGTGTAGTACTGGGCAGTGTTCAAGCACTCCGGGGCGCTACCCCACTTGAAAGGTGCTATATAAATACTTGTGTTCTGAAAAGCTTTGTCATTCTGATTTGATATTAAATCGAGGTTCCATCTGCCTAATTTCTCCTAGTGTCCTGGCCAACAAACCTTAAATTAATTGGTCATTCGATTTATATCTGAGATATTCACCCTATGAATCACAATTTACTTGTACACAAGATCAATGGAGCTCAAGGTGAGTGGCAAGGCTGTGGGAAGGGGATTGGCTTTGCAGTTCTTCCGTAGAAACTTTGTGGGAAGCCAACTGTTGTACAACTTGATTCTCATACTAGGTCAATCACTGCATACCTTTGTACGAGGTGAACTGTATGTTGGGGAATAGAAATATCCAATTGATGATGAGGTCTGGCATTGAGTTATGGTATATTTGATCAGGAAAGATATAGTCAGAAATGGTCTGTTTTGTGTAGCTAGGAGCAATCAGGTTTCCAGTCTAATACAGTTGCAGATGAATGTTTGTTCGAGCTCCGTTCTGTTGGTTCATTACAATTTTACAACTGCCTTGCTTTGCAGTTAACCCAGTTACCCTAAATTTGTAAGTTTTAATATATGGCAATTATACAAAAAGTGAAAGTAATCACAAGCTTGCTCATAAATAGCTGTCATTAACCTCCAGCACATCACCAGTCTGTTCAGTTCTGGAATACATGCACATCTTATACACAGCATTTAATTTAACTCCTTGATTTAAAGTGAAGCTGTCTCAAAATTTGAAAATCGCCTTTCCCTGCTGTTTGGACTGTTCCATGCTGTGCGCTGGAGTACAATGATAATCCTTATGTTTGATATAGTGTCTAATATCAGAAGTCTCAAAGCTCTTAACGGGTAATTGCTGTCAAATGTAATTGCTATGTATTGTATTTGTGGGTCGATGTAGCAGCCAGTTTGTGCACAGCAATGTGCTACAAACAGCTATGACCAATTTATCTGGAAGATTGACTAGGACATGGAAAAAACTCCCTTCTCTTTTCAAATACTGCTGAGGATCTTAACATTCTACAAAACAGACATACAGGATCTCATTTTAACATTTCATTCAAAGAGTAACACTTTCTGACAATGCAGCACTCCCTGGCACTGTACTGTGAGCTCAAAGTCCTGATGCGGGCCTTGAACCCGTAACCATCTGATCAAGAGGCAAGAATGCTGGTTGACCCTTGTCATCATGTGGAAAGTTTAGGTGAATTTTCTTTCTCCTATAGCGAGTGACATGCTGCCTC